TCTACTAGTAGAGTTACTTAAAAAGCGCTTACTAGACTTAGACTCCTCGTATACTAATTATATACGCGTAAAGGGCGACGTTATCGTTAGAGTACTAACTAGGGGAATAGTTTAGGATAGTAGGGAATCTACTAAGAGCGTATATAACACTATTACGCTACTACTCCCTAAGACCCTAGAAAGAGAAGTCCTAAACGAAGATAAATAGCCGTCGAGTACGAAGCGCACCTATTATAACGAGCTTACTACTCGTTTAAGAGAGCTTTAGAGGCTAGATCCTTAGTACTAAGAGGCCTAATAGACTAGCGACTCTAACGACTATATTTCTAAGGGTCTCTTTTAAGGAATATAGAATATAGATCGTAAAGATATCGTACGAAGAGTAGGCGTCGCCTATATACCTTAGGACTCGGCTATAAGGCAAGAAATTCTTCGAGTTAACTATAATAACCCCTAATTAGGTACTTACTTTAGACGAGTCCGTATATATTCCGCTATCTTACGATACTACTAGTAGTCGTAGTTAAGAAGCGAAATATACGTATATATTAATATATACGATATCTACTAGCGAATAAAGGTCCTACGGTATCGACCTTATAGTCGGCTCGAATCGTTACCTCGATCTATAGAACCTTAGTAAAATATCGCTATAGATTTTATCGTGGGCTTACCGCCGTCGATATATAACGAATACGTATACGATACGATCCTTATTATCGTCGACCGATACTCGAAAATAGTCTCTCTTACGCCTTGTCGTATAACGACTACCGCCGAAGGGCTCGAATAGATTATCCTTAAAAAGATTATAATAAGGTTTAGAGCCCCTAAATTAATCGTAACTAATAGAGGTATAATCTTTACGGCGATATATTAGGGCTTACTATACTTTTACCTCGCGACTCGTAGGCTCTTCTCTATAGTATTTTACTCTTAGACGAATAGATAAATCGAAAGGACTAATTAAATACTAGAGTATTATTTTCGTTATTATATTAATTATAGGTAATCGAATTAGGCTAAGCTACTCGTAAGCGCCGAGTACGCTATAAACGTAGTACCTAATACTATAATATAAGAGTCCCCTTTCGATAAGGTCTTAATCTTTACGCCGTCGTTACGTATAAATCTCGTACGAGACCTAGACGAAAAGACTCCTAAGAATATTATAGCTAAACGAAGAGTAAAGGCTTTAGCCGAATCTCTCGCCGCTACACAAGATATAAGCGAGATAGTAAACGTAGCGCTTAAGAAACGAAGGCTATACGAGTTAAAGCACTACGACAAAAAGCGAAAGGATAAGTCTTTCGATATTGGAGATAAAGTTATGCTTATAGCTAAGAATATTCGTACGCTCCGCGTAAGTAAGAAGCTTACGGACTAATTCTTAAGACTCTTCTTTATCGTTACGAAATACGAAAAGAATATATATTAATTAGAACTTCTAGCTAAGTATAGTAGACTATACTATACTTTCTATATCTCTCTACTAGAAGTATATTATAAGCGCTAAGGTATTGAATCGCTAAAGACTATCGATATAGAAGACGAGGCGGAGTAGAAAGTAAAGGAGGTCCTAGATATTCGAACTCGAAAATAAAAGGGTAAATCGTATAAATAGTACTACGTTAGGTAAAAGGGCTTCTCTAAGATAGATAATATATAGATATATAAGGTAGATATACTTTATATAAGCGAGAAGATTATATATTTCATAAGGAATAAAGAGTAAAGAAAGAACTTTTTATTCGCTTCGTAGGCGAGGCGTATATAGAGTATACGCTACTCGCGAGTAAGCACTAGTATCACCTCTTAATTGTACTATAAATAAAAGCAAAAGCTATAGATATCTATTAACCCCGTATAGGGGAGAGTCGAGTATACGTAAGAGGAAAGTAAGGATTAGGTATATAATAAGTAGACGCCGTGTAAGCGTAACGCCTTAGTGTAGAGGCCGAAGATAGTATAAGCTAGAAGCTACTAGAGCCTACTCTTTAACTACGTCTATTAGAAGTAAGCGCTACTCTAGCTCGTCACTATCGTTAGAAGATTACTTATTAGCCTAGCGCGAAGATTCTAGATTAGCCTATATATATAATTAGTAAGATATACGTATATAATATATAGGCTTAACTTATAGTACGAGTATTAGTCTCGCCTAAGAAGCGAATAGTCTTTAGAATTCGACTAAGAATAACTATTAACGCGTCGCTTACGCTATCTATACTAGTTGGCGAAGTACCGCTAGCGGTATAACGAAGATTACTCTTGACTAGAGTACTAGGAGTTTAGCTTTAACTTAAAGTCTCGGCGCTACTTATACGAGTATTAAGCGCGTCGGCTACGACTTCTATATCTTCTATAGTAAAAAAATTATCGCTAGCGATAATATAATTATTTATTATTATTAATCGCTAAGCGACTATTACGAGAGAAGTATAAATTTAGTATAATATAAGTAGGCGATACGCCTAAATATTTTAATAACTTACTAAAATATAACTAATAGTACTAGTACAATTACCTTTTGTATAATAGGCGTAGCGTACGCGACCTATAGAAGTTACGCAATCGAGTATAGTGCCCGTAGTATCGCCCTTATTTCCTTTCTTTATTATTAAATGACGAAGATAACGAGAATATAGTAGCTTAGCGTCTACGATACGCTTACTTAGAGTTAGCGAGTCGAGAGGAGAATTAGAAGTAGGACCTACTTCTAATATTAGTATATCGTATACGAGAGTATACGAGAAGTAGAACTTACGCTTAGGACGACGGCTACTATCGCTAGCGCTAGCTACTGCTCTAGGAGTAGTAGCGATATTAGCCACTATAGTATAGTTAGCAAGAGATAAGTATACGATAGGTACGCGATATACTTATAACGGTCGAGATATACGCGCTAGAAAAGGGAATCTTTATATTATGAATTTACTATAGTAAGTTAGTCGCTTACGACTTAAATACGCTAAGATTTCTAATCTTTAACTAATAAGAAGGAGGAATATAAGTACTAGCTATAATATATACGATTAGTATTCATAATACGTAAGCGTAGAGCGTAAGAAAGGATTGCTACTTATCTTAACTATATAAGTATACTAAGGAAGAAAAAGAAAAAGAGAAATCAAAATAAATATCTAGAATAATAATATCGTAGTTAACTTTTCTACGACTTAGCGAATAGAAGTATACGAGACACTTACGTAAAGCTTTACTATATTTACTTATATATTAATTATTATAAGGCTAACGCCCCCCGGTCGCAATACTCACTAATTCTAAATTTTATAATAATATAGTATAAATAAATCTATATATTAGCTATACTTACGCGACGCGTATAAGAATACTACGGTACGCTTATAGAATTTAAGTTAGATATAAATAATCATATAGTAATAGAATATAATTAGTAGAATAATCGTAACGTAGGCTACCCGTATACGATACGATAAATTAGCTAAAGCGGCTAAATATTTTACGTAGGACCGCGCTTTTCGAGGACGATAAAGCCCTAGGGAAGGGGATAATATTACGAATCCCGAGACAGTACGGTATAGTATAGGCACTACGCAACCTAATATACGGCGGAGCATAAGCGTCACGTAACCTAATAGCTACGCCGAGGATCGAAGGATTACGTGACTTCCAAGTAGCGATATCGCTTATATACTAATAGTATACGCCTCCCCTTTAAGTAGCTTGCTCTACCCCTAAGAGACTAATATTCTCTTATACTTTAAGTCTTATACCGATATAGATTAAAGAAATACCTATTAGTTAAACCTATCGCTATACTCTACCTATTTAACTAAGGCTATCCCTAATACTTCGAATTAACGAGAATAAGACTACGCTATAGTAAATTTATGCCTATTAATAGCGAATAGACTTAATTAACTTCGCCGTAGTGATAACTAGACTAGACGTCTCTCTAGTATCCTTAAAGCTTACTTAGTTCCTTATAAACCCGTCTTAAAAGTATCTCGACGCCGCCGATAGAGTGATTAAATATCTTAGAGATATACGTACTTTAGCTATTAAGTATTTACTTATACCCTTTAGTAATATCTTCGAATATATATCTAACGTATTTTTCGCCGATAATAAAGACTCTCGACGAAGCTTAGACGATTATATTATTACCTTATTTAGCGGAGTAATTAACTAGCGAGCCTTTAAGTAGAAGACCGTAATAACCTCTTCTACCGAGGCCGAATTACTTACTCTATTAAATACGATAAGTAAAATAATTTAGTGAGAGCGACTATTTAACGACGTTAATCTTAATCTCGAGTAAGAGTCCGCTATTTACTTTAATAATCTATAAGCTATTCGTTTCCTAATAAAGTACGGCTATAAGCTTAATACTCGCCTACGATATATCGATATCTATAGATATTAGCTTAAATAGGAAGTACAATACGATAAGATCACGATCAAGTAGATTCCCACTAATTAAATAATTACCGATAGCTTTACTAAGGCGCTTTCTCGATAGCGATTCGAATTATTTATATAATAGCTTAATCTATAGAATATTAAGGATAGACTCCTTAACGTCAATACTAACGCCTAGTAGTAGCGACGGCGGTAGCTATAACGAAAGATAATCTTCTTCGTCCGCGATAGGATAAGGAGAGAAAAAGAAAAGAGTAAAAAGCACGTTTATATAGAGTCCTAGAAAGATAGAAAAGAATCTCGACGTTACGTAGTATAACACTAAGCCACGGAGGCGACGACGAGGTCTTCCCTAGGGGGGTATATCAAACGGCAAGATTACGCGATGGCTTGCCGCACCATTCAATAGTCTGACAGTGCCTTGTTACACCAGCGTTTAAGGGCGACGACGAGGTCTCGATCAGTAGGTAAATCACGATTGTAGGAAGTGGGTAAATGATGCCTCTCTCACCTATAAATACGTGGTAAGTACATAGGTAGTTGTAAAAAGGCAGAGAATTCAATGTATTATATCATGCACACTGTTTGATAGCTCACTTCGACCCATGTTCGTCTTTCTCACCTACACTTCTCCCCCAAGCAAAGAAACACCGCTCATATACCTGACTGACACTCAACTTGGGAATCCGAATCGATTCGAGGTCATCACACCGCTCATACTCGTGCACGCTCTTCATAGTATGCACCTGCTTCGTAGGGAAGAACGACGTCGGTTCTTCATACTCGTACAACATCAAAAACTTGCCCTCAGAAAGGACCACCTGGGGTCCTTCCTCCCTTTCCTCGATAACACTCACTCCCGCCGGACACGCCGTCCAGGTATGCGGCACCCCTGGTGCAATAGTGACCAGACTCTTCGGCGGGATAACGTAGATTTCACCGTTGAGCTCGACCAGCGCCACACCGTTTAGCACCACTATCCGCTCGCAGGTGAACTTCTGCTCTGGGGCCGACGCCTCAGGAGGCGCAATGTGGACGTGTCGGGGTAGGCGATACTCAGTCGTGAACTCGATGAAACCAAATTGTCCTGCAAATGAGCGTGTGCCGGGATCGAATTCGTGCATGACCACTGGCACATCTGTGAATGGGCGTTTAATGTTTGCGCCATCCCCATGCGTGATGGTGGTGCCGTTTGACAGTGTCAATCCGTGTTCGTGTTTAGACATTGCCACGGGTCTCCAAGCGTGTAGGAGTTTCAGGGCGTCTTGGAGGTGATATGCTTGCCGTCAGGCTCAACTTAGATAGGTCTGTCAAAACTGGTCACTTGCGTCGTGGGCTTTCAGCACTCGCGATGGACTTTTACCTGGGGACACGAGTCTTCATCAACAAGCTCGCAACGCGTTGAACACAACATGGCGAGGATTGAACGTCAAGGTCGACCGGTCGTGTTCAGGGTTTCAGATCTGGAATGCATGGCGTCCCAGAAAGCCGAACCAAATGCGGAGTTTGGGGATTCGACATATGTTTGCTCCAGCCTTGCAGACCGAGGATACTCGTTCGGAGATGCATCTCAAGTCACCAGGCCATGTCAGACATACGCTTCAGACATCCGGGATGACTGGGCAAGGCGATCGGGAGGCCGAATGCTTGCCTTGCTTTGCTTTGTCCTGAACGAATGACCTAACCAGAATTCCCATTCCGGGTACCCAGTAGGATGCTTACCATCCATGAACATGCCCGATTGGATGACCATAACGAGAGGCTTGCCCAAGACCCCGCATATATGCTCCCATTTGAACATATCCTACGCGATATATCAGCCTACAGTGCTACAGTAGTCCTTAGGGTATTCTTCCAGCAAACTCGGTCGACTTCTACGAATCCCTCCAGCATTAGCCCTCATTGGGATCAGCAGGGTTACAAGGACATCACTCGACACACAGCCGGTCATGGCAGCAGCAGACGCAAGGCTTGACGGTAAGACCGTGACTGTCACAGGTGGAGCCAATGGCATAGGCGCAGAAATCGTTCGGATCTACCACGCTCTCGGTGCCAGTGTGGTCATTGCAGATCTCTCATCATCAGAAGCCTCTGCACACTCCCTCGTGGACAGCCTCAGCAATCCAAGCAAGGCCTTATTCATCCCTGTCAATATAACTGTCTGGACAGAAATGTCAGCTTTATTCCAGAAGACCAAATCGCACTTCGGGCAGATCGATCTCGTCGTGGCCAACGCCGGTATAATGGAGACGCGTAGCTTCTTCGACTTCGAGACAGACGGAGGCGGGGGCCTGGTGGAGGACAAGGGTATATATCGAGTCATCGATGTCAATCTGAAAGGCACCATGAACAGTATTGCAGCTCCTTTGCTGACTTTTGAATGGTCCATGCACTAACAAACTCTCAGCCCTCCGTTTGGCAATGTTTCACATGAAGTCCAATCCTGTCGATCAGGACGGTTTCAGAGGCTCGATAGTCCTTACATCCTCGACCTCAGGCTTCTTCAGCGGTACCGCCGTTGTCTCATACGTTGCATCAAAGCATGGTGTCGTCGGCTTGCTCCGGTCCTCGCAAACCGTAGCGAAGGAGTACGGTGTCCGAGTTAATAGTGTGGCCCCTTTTATAACGCCGACTTTTATCACAGAGGGGTACTCCACCCTGTACAAGGAGCGAGGATTACCTGTGAACAGGCCTGAAGATGTTGCTTCCGCGATCATCAGGACATCGGTCGATGTGCAAAGTCAAGGCAGATGTTTTCTGGTACGCCATGAAACCAGGACATGGAACGTATAATACTGACATTTCCAGATTTATGGCGGCAACACCAAGGAAATCGAGGAGCCGAGAACAGCTGCAGTGGCGTCATACATGGGCGAGGACGTCAAGAAGGTGATGGATGAGGCCAAGAAGTTCTTCGATGGGCTTGGAGGGTATCCGCTTCCACGTCTTAGGATCTAGGAACTGGCTAAGTATCCTGGACCAGGATCCAGGTTGGTCTTGCAAAACGCTGGGTCACGAAGGTCTCATGCCTGTCGTTGCATCGGACAACAACCCTGTCATGTCCCAGCTGAACAATTCGTATGGGTCTTCCAGTTGAGATTGATCGAAGTCAAACATGCCCTCTCCGGGTTCAAGCATGGGGTCAAATGACAGGTCTTGATCGTCCACTAGAGTGTTCATAACTGGATCGGCCGCATTATGGTGCTCTTGACCTTGTGCCGATGGAATTTGCTCGGCCACGGTGGTAGTCTGGCCAAGCATGCGTTGGTGCTGCAAACCATGGCATACACGTCGACCAAGATAAGCTCTTGTTGAGCTCTCGCCGCCTAGTATGATGGATATGTCGGGAACAAGTCGTTCGGTATCTTCTGGAGAACAAGTGTCTCCTTGCTCAAACAATTCCATCATCTTTAACAGCACCCTATGACCATTCGCCGCCACTGGGACTGGGCTCGCTTGATCTTCGAGGACTTTTAGATCCGTCGCCATAGTCTGTACATCAACTCTGAACTGTGCTGCTTGTGGTATTATGCGTTCCACAAGCAGCAGGGCGGCCAAAGTGACGGCAACGGAGAAGATCTGGTACGCTTGTGGATAGAACTTCTGCTGCGACCTCATAGACTTGTCATCCCGCAGAGTCCTATAAACGAGCAAAGCGTCTTCCACAGCAGCAAGGCACTCGTTGAATGCGTTATTGCTTTGATCGGCGAGGAAGGGGCGGTACATCCGGATTCGCTGCGTGCTGACACATGTACGAAGGATGTGGTTCTCCCAGGGTAGGAAGTCATAGGCTCCCGGAAACAATTTGACCTTCCGGTCCGTGTCGAGCTTGGAATACCAAGGAAGCTTCTCCATGACCCTCAACAGCTCGCGGTCAAGATCTACTATGAATTTGTATGATCTGAACTGTGAAGGGTTCGAGACCAAGGCCTTGTTGATCAGCTGAAATACTCTTGCTCGATATATGTTCATGCTCATTGCCGTTGGTTCAGTCAGTGGATGTGGTTTAGCAAAGTCGTTGCCCAAGTCGGAATCATTGCAGTTGAGTGGGAAAGGCACTTCCCAGAGGTGCACCTGTATCAAGGGTGGCCTGTCAAGGCATATCGACTGGAAGCTGCGTTTGGTAAGCTGTCGATCAATGGATCGTTAATGCTAAGCATACGTATCTGAGTCGACAAGATCCCACCAGAGACGATGCCTCATTTCTTCGTCCACATTTCTAGCTGGTACTCGATCCTTGTGTAAGCCTAATGCTTGGGCATTCCGAATAGCTTGGCCCATGCGCCTAGACGGTTAGTAGGCTGCAGGAGTAGCACAGGCTGGCTCTTGACTTACGAATTCAGCACTTCAATGTTGTTGGTCGCGTACCAATAGAGTTGGGTCACAGAGAACGTTTGCAGTTGGATCAACGTCGGCTTTTCCTCGAAGTTGCCCGCCTGGAGAGCTTGACGTGTTGCATGATGCCAGGTGTCGGCATATCGACGGATTGACCCTCGTTGCAGCCTAACAAGTTCCACAACATCTCCAGGGATGTACAACGCACTCAGCGATAGAATAGTGAACAGGAGAGACATCCAGACCAAGTCGGCTTTTTCGATCTCGCCATCCCAGAAGTTCGAATATTCCTTGCGAAAAGTGGGAATGTGGACAGTTTGGAAGATCCAGTTGATGTGTTCGATGAAGTAGGTCAGGAGGATATCCTACTGCGTCCGGGTAGGGAGGGACTTGACGAGGGGTTTTTTCCACTGACCTTTCTGGTCATCGGCGGCCACCATATCTAGGATTGAGTTGCTTCCGAGGTTTGTGAATTGGAAAAGGGGAAGGATCTGTGTATGGGACTGAGCACACGCGTGTGTGCAGAGCGCGTCGATGTACAAGAGCGAAGCTGATCGATATCTAAAACATATGGGTATGATCAAGAACGAAGTTGACTACGGAATAAAGCTAAGAAATGACTATCGTATATATGGCCCAGCTGGACTCGTATGGATCATATGGATTGGTCCGATCATACTGGTCCGTTAGTCCTATGGCTCAGCTGGATCAGTGTTGCGTTGGCGAGCCTCCTGAGCCAGTCACGTGACACCCGGGAAAGCATCGCGTCGGACCCTTGCTACCGCACGTACACCTTAGTGTATGCCATCTCACCATAAGATTCTATCACTCACTTTCGCCAACAACGCGTACTGATGAGTGAATGACTTATTACCAAGCTGTCGGCCTTATCGGATGCCTTACAGAGCCATCAGATCTATTCGTACATTATCTGACCATTCCGTAGAGTCGAGCCGCATACTGCACAAGCTGCCACTCCAAGCACTGTCGAGCAGCACAGCCTGCACGACTTCCTTCTTTTCAAGTCATCGATTGTCATGCGCATACGGTTGTCCCCTGGAACTACGACAATACCGGCCAGGTCTATGTTACACTCAGCTATGTCTGGGGTAAACGAGAAGACTATTCTCTAGGCTCGAACGGTGGCCTTCCGAGTATTCTGCCTCGCGTTATTGAGGATGCCATCTCTATTGCAACCCAACTTGGATTTCGGTATCTGTGGGTTGACAGATATTGCATTCCCCAAACTGATACCGCTGCAAAAGCTGTCCAAATCAGGAATATGAACACCATCTATGAGTGCTTCGAGCTGACAATTGTTGCCGCTGCCGGACATGATCCTTCGTACGGGCTTCCAGGTGTGAGGGGTGTTTCTCGAAGACCTTATCCTTCAGTCACAGTGCAGGGAGCGATATTGATCCCTTTGCTTTCAAATACGGTACATGAGATCAGCACGTCGAATGGAATACACGAGGGTGGACATATCAGGAAGCTCTTCCGTCACGTCGCTGTCTGATCTTCACAGATAGTCAGGCATATTTCCAATGCCGTGGGATGCATTGCCAGGAGAGTATCTCCATCTCCTTGGATTCTTTGCATACTCTAAACAGGCAGATTTCAGAACGAATCTCAATGTTCCAAGTACTTTCGCATCATGTGGACCCGGCATCGGAAAACGGGCATTTCAACAGAACGTAAATAGTTTCGCACGACGGAGCTTGACCTATCAGGAGGACGCCTTAAACGCATTCAAGGGGATCCTGCAAGCCTTCCGGACACCGGCGCAAACTAAAGTCAAACCAGTTGACAACTACGTTGGCATTCCTCTCTTTTCCTCTGGGCTAGGACACACGGACGTTTTGGTGTATGGACTTGACTGGAATATCGATGATGAGTTCAACAATGACGTTATAGGACTCAATCACACGCCCAACGAGACCCAGATCGCATCCGCAGTACGACGGCCTCAGTTCCCCAGTTGGACTTGGCTAGGCTGGAAGATTCCAAAGTCACTACAGCTCAGATTTTCCTCTTATCCTCTCACGATCCTTCTGTCCCACTCGCGAATCCTAACGCTCTTGTCGTCAGACAGCGATTTGACGGGTCTCCCAAGTTTTGCTTCCTGCGTGGACATATTTGTCCAGCTTTCATGTGGATCTTTACTTCTATGGGAAGAAAGCCGGGACACCATCATGAATCTGTACCTTGAAGGTCCCGTAATGCCAAAACTAGGGATTCGGGGCTGGATGATCGATCTCGATATACCTCTTGACATGGTTGAACAACCCAGGTCGGTCGTTGATAAGGTACATTTCACTGATTTCCACATCGATCAGCGAGAGCTTGCATTTGCATACCTCATCGCATACAACCACGGTTTTCCAGTGAGAAGCCAAAACGGCATGGTACTGTTGACGTTGATTTTGCTGAGTCGGTGGTCAATCCCGCTCCATTTAAAGGACATCTTCTCGGAGCATAGCATGACCGCTATGGTTATTGTAAAGGCAAACGACGCCAACGGTGACATGGCCTACGAGAGAATGGGCCTCATACACCTCCATTTTTACAGGGACCCGCACCCACAGATCTGGGACGACGAAACGAGAAGTCCCGGGGTAGACTTTACGATGAAATATTCAAAGGACTTTATATGGCTTAGGTAGATCAGGTCAAGAAATTGAATGTCAACCTGGAAGTCGTGTCAAGTCGTGTCGAGTATTGTCCAGTAATCGTCAATCTTGACAATTCTTGTCAATTCTTGTCAAGTAATGTCAAGTCTTATCGTGTCAAGTCATGTCAAATCGCAGCATCGACTTCAGGTTCTGGGAACACGGCTTAACATCTCCTGGTTTGGTATATTTCCGGACCTGATATTCTTGCTTATAATACATCTGCTTCTGAACCTCGAGTAAACTGCACCAAAAGCAGGAAGGCAGCACAGTAGACCACAACAGCTGCGTTTACTCGAGGTTCAGAAGCAGATGTATCATTGGCAAGAATATCAGGTCCGGAAATATACTTACTGAGAGTTCATCAAGGTTGATTGATTACTTATTTGTTCGGCAAGAAAGAACAAACCCTCCCCCACATCTCGAACCACGAAGCCCATGTTTGTCCCGAGGCTCAGAGAAAGTCCCCGTCGGCGTTGGCGTTTTGACTCGGAGTAGGCAGCGCAAAGCCACGTTGAACACGGAGAGAATGCTGCTCGCGGCCTCGGTTCGCAGGATGCCCTTCTGCTAAGCGTAGGGATAAGCACAACTCGATAGTATACTGGATGGCTGGTCATACATGGCTATCATTAGAAAAGAGAGAAAACTAGTAGTACATGGTATATCCCTCACATATCCCACCACCAACCCCTAGGTGAGCAATCACATCCAACCTCACCCCGGGAGTCTGGTCCCCCTTCTGTCCCGATGGGATATAACAGCGGCAGTAACAGTTTCTAAGATACAAGTTCAATAGTAAAACGAGTGACGGGTACCATTCTGTGCAGCAACAACAATAATAAAATTCATGATAGGAGCCCTCCAAGTGCATGATGGAAGGACCGTTATCTTCCCTGTGGCGTTTCAGTTCAGCCACCATGAGGATGTGGAGAATATGATGGCTGATTTGGAGCGAGATATGGGGTATAGTTGAACTGATTTGGCTGAGCATAGGGAAAGTCATAGTATTCGCCGAATAGGCCCCCGTTGGGCGCTGTCGGCCATCCATTTGGGAAGTCCACCATGTTGAAATTAGGCGAAGGTCCAGCCGTCTGAGCCACGTCTTGGCTGATGGAGTAAGGTGTTGGAGTATCAGGTCGATTAACCCGGGAAGTGGTACCATGTGGGAGGCCAGAGTTGAGCATAGGGAATGCTGGAACAGCCGAATGGGCAGAGGCAGGGGTGGTGAAGCCGGAAGACATGGCCTCCGCGTCGGGAGCCTCGCTCTCTTGCTTGTCGTTTTCGGGCACAGGGCCTAAGTGTCTTCGCGGGTCACGTACTTTCACGGCATGGATTCCGCGGAGATGGTTTTTGAAGTGGCCTTGTCGTTTGAAAGTTCTGGTGCACATAGGACACAAGAACCCCAATCCGTCAGGTGCCGTACGACGACCATCCGCTGATGCTGGCTTGTCTTCACCTCCGTTGTAGATCGACTCCGCCGCAGGACTGGAGTGCTGGTTGAGGTGGGCGCCGGAACGATTCCAGGCGAATCGAGCGGACCTGGAGTTGGGACGAGACTGTCTAGAACGTGGGCGAGCGGCATCGGCAGAATACAGGCGTGCGCCGGGGGTGTTGTCCTGTTGGACCGCCTGTGGAATAGGGTCCAGCCTCCGAGCACTGGTGAATCGTGTAAGGCCCTTGGATTTGTCTTTATTCCAGCTCTTGCTCTGCCTCATGTGCCCAATCATATCGAAAATGTCCGGAGGCGGATTATTGAGGAGGGTAGGGTGAAATTGGCGCAGTAATGCTGAACTACGAAGGCGGAGGACAGCTGCCCAGTCTTCATCGTCCGCACTGAGATATGTCTGGGTGATACCAGAGTAGTGGATGAAGTTGGGATTGCGTTGTAGTTGACTGAAGGTGAAGTCAATGTCGCTGTCGTCGACCAGATTGGCATGGAATTGAGGGCCGTGATGGTGCTGGTTAGGGTCTGGAGACTCGACAGTTGGCCACTGGCCGTTGCTCTGACCGATGCCAAATGACAGTGGGTTATTGGACATTATGATTAGGTAGGTCCGAGTAGTAGTGATCAAACAGCGCCTGCGCTGAACGTTGCTGGGTAAGGTTGGGAAGGACTGGAAAGTTCAATGGAAGCGAAGATCGAAGTCAACAGCGGCACAGCAGCTGCGAGCAAGGTCTGCTCCTATACCTGATAGGAGTGGCAGTAAGAAGCGATCGGATGGTTAGATGGATAAGGGAGGGACAATAGCAACGAGCGAAAGGAGGGCAGATGTGAAGATGATGAAAGCCCTTGAATAGAAATTAGGAAGTGTACACTGTATGATTGAGGTCGTGGAGGAAGGCAGTACAATCATGGGTGGGCAGGCTGTTTATGTATCTTTACTGCACCTACTGACTGGTCTGTGGTCTCGTCCAGATGTGTAATGGACCATAGCGACAAGGCGCACTGCTGGCATGGCATGGCATGATTTCTCTGGAGTTTTGGTTGGAAAAGTTGTTGGTTGCAGGATGACTCTGGGTGCAAAAGAGAAAGAGAAAAGCCCAAGTTAGCGGTAGTCGGTAACTTTAGGCGCAAAACGATGCCAGATTGCAAAGCCTGCACCGCACTAACTTAGTTAAGGTACCTGCAGCCAGGAGCCCCTCCCACCACCGTGAGCGGACCCCCAAAACGTTACCCAAGAACGCCAAAAGTAGGCCTAAAAATCGCTTCATTCGCCCAAAATGGGAGTGAGTATCTGGGAAACGGCGCCCCCGCAGGTGTTTCACAACTTTCTCAGCGTTCTGCGCTATGTATTCGTTCCGCTCGAGAATGAATGGCATCCAACCATTGCACAAAATCCATCCCAAGACCCTCTCATCATCGACATCATCCATGCACGCGGTGCCAGCAAGACACGCTAAAAGACTTCTTTAAACTTTCGATTGCGTCCTGCCCCTGTTCCCTGCCCGTTCGCCACCCCCAGCTGAGTCGACCTGCCACTGCCAGAGGTCCGGATGGTGACAATTTGGTAGTGGTGATGAGGAAAATGCAAACAACGCAAGAGCAGTCCGGAGTGAATACGAGAGGCTCTGTGTTGCAGCTCTACAATGCAAGACCCGAGGACGAGGTAATGGTCTTATCTTGTTCAGATCCTGCCTCGAGCGTCCATCGCCCATGTCGATGTAGTTGCGCTGAGTGGTGTGTGCCTGGCGTCGGCTTACCAGCAGCGCTGATGCCTGTTCCTGGATCATGCGCACACACCTCGATCGCTTACCGAACGCTCATCAATTGTGCAGATCAGCAGACTCTACGTGACTCTACAAACTAATGAGGCGTTGAAACCGAATCTGAGTACGTCAACCAGCACTCCGTGCCTCTGTCCGAGTACCTCGGCGCAATCAAGCCTGGCTGGTCGCTAAGCACCATAGCACTAAAACGGTATGGCATAGCAAGCACGATCAAAGTAGCTACAGTACTGGTGCTATCTACTCTACGGAAGGGTCGATGCGAAAGAGCCACACCTTTTGGGCACTAAATTCCAGGTACAGAATATTTGACCACTCACAACACTTACTGTGACGGAAGGGTGGACGCGACACAGAGACACTGCCACACCTTCGGCCGCACTCAAATTCTGCACGGACGGTCAGGGGGCTTCAAATTCGTTTCAGATTTTCTGGAACCACAGCTCTCGACGTCTGGCTTTCGCCCATAGCGTCTGTTTCAAGTTTGCCTTGACGTGAGAAGGCGGACCAGTTTGCAACCTACAGCTTCTGCTCCACGCTCCCGTACGATTTTCACCGTCCGGAGTCGACCATCTTCCCAAAAAGAGACCATACGCCAGTAGATTGCCGCGCTTCTGTAGTCATTGCTCACCGCACGCCACACGACGGTCATGCTTCCTTGCCGAAATTTCGAATCAACTACTACTGAGTTGCTCGTTGTGCCCCGTTCCTGTGACAGAAAGTCAGTTCAGTCCGGAGTGTGGCATGTCGATCTCCTCCGCCGCATCAACTACACCACAGACCTGCATCGTCATGCAGGAACAGGACAATCCAAGCCACACCTAGTCAGCATCTTGGACGCCCGGGTTCTGGTGAGATGCTGTCAGCACCGAAATACGCCGGACATGTTTGATATGGTCGTCAGACCGCTTAAGTTGTGCTGATCAACCACCTCCCCTCCCACACCTCCACGAGATTCTGCTCATCTTGCCATCTCATCACGAGGCCACAGTGTGCTGGCTGTAAAAGATTTTGCTACCTTAACTCGAGCAGGAGGACTATTTCTGGGAACCCTCCCTCGCGCCACGGCGCGTCGTGCGAGGACCATCACGCTCATAAAGACCGGCTCGTTCTCGACTACTTGAGTATAGCCCGCTCAGATATGCAGCACCTCTCATTGAATTTGTTGGTCCGGACGAAAATGTTCTGATCGGCAGTCGAGAAGCAGAATGAGCATCGATCAACGTGCCGTCATTCTGTGTCAGGCAGAGTGTGCACCGGAGGCTAAGCTTCCTCATAGCGAGTTTGAAACCAGAAATGGTTCGCTGGGCGAATCGATAGATGGAAGCGTTCAGTATCGACGCGTTCTCTCTTTCCAGGAAACCGAGATTCGAAATTTCTGACGAGCACACCACTGACGCCTCCGGATGATGTTGGTATATTATGTCACGAACTCGTTGTTCTTGGCTGAAGAATGAGTCCAAAGGAGAGAAGACGCCACAGACAACAATGGCGGTCAGTCCCAAGTCCTTGATCGTTGAGCATGCGTCGATGACCTGTTGCTCAACAATAGGAGCTTCTTGACTTCCGTCAATCTGTAGACCACCGTCCACGTATGTGTGCCATCCATACATGATGCTCCGCAGCGACGAGGGAAAGTCGAAAAAGGGTGGAATCTCGCGGGTGAAATTCTTGGACAACCGAATCACTGCGACTTTGGACAAGTGTCGGTGATCATGTTCAATAATGGCATTGATGAAATGAGTGGTTCCGATAGTCAAGGACGAAATCTGTTCCTTCGGTACTCTGGACTGCTCCAAAACCTGCCTCACTGCCACCTCAATACCGTCCGTAACATTGGGTGATGTTGTGGCTGTCTTGTGGGCAGCAACAACGGATCTGCTTCGGTCTGTAGCATTGGTGTCGAGTATTACAGCGTCAGTGTTGGTCCCACCAACGTCCACGCCGATGCGAAAGGGAAACGCGTTACTGATTGAACCCATTGCTGGAACTACTTGGTTGTCAAGCTAGATCAATAGTATCGACATTTCGATGGCATTCTTATTGAAGTCACGAAAACGCTTTCTCTGTGTGAAAGGGTCTCGCTCTCCCTAGCCTCCCTAAAAGACTACCTCGAGCGCCGTTGGATCTCGTGCAGGACGGCAGTGCCCAATGGACTCCGGAAGCGTATCGCTGCGTGATGCTCGGATACCGGAGATGGACTTTTCAACATCGGGATCCGAATAACGTCACGTCTCCTGCCTTATTGGCGCTCTTAGGCTCGGAGATCAGGGTCGCCGGCCATACATCAGGACTTTAGCGAATATATGGAGCCACAAAGCAAGTGGAATCGTTGAACAGGCCATACAACCGGTGCTGCTTATCGCAGTGTCACAGCTGCGCATTGCCGGACTCAATTCTGGAGAAGAACTTGCTAAGATGGTGGTAGCGTAAATCTGCTTACGAACGCATCTAATCTACATGATACACGCCATCTTTCACATTTCTATGAAGGTACACTCTGAAAAGGCTCGCGGCAGAGAGCGTCGGACTTCGCGGCTATCGTCTCCACATCTTTCCAACCTGTAGCGACCTTCTCATTCCTCTTTTTACAGTCTTCTGGACCAGTTGTGACGACTCTTGTTTGGCCTTGGGCTCTTGCCCCCTTCACCAGCGCCGACGTTCTCGGCTGCCGCTTGTGCGCGTAAGCTTGGAATATACTGACAAGATGTGGGCCAAGTTTTCCGAGGTCCATCTCATAAGTGTCGCTTTCTGGCGCTAGATATGGCAGAGAATGGCTCAGGTGGAAACAGTCCTCTCTGTCAAGTGTGAGTAAGGATCGGTGGTGAACTTCATCACCCCAGTCGAGGCGCAAATCGTACTCACAGTGCTTGATTTGCACCCTGTCCCAAATGAGGACTTGTTGGATGCGCTGCGTCTCCCACCAAGACACATCTTCGCGAATGCCACTGATCCGATTTCATTTCTTCGCGGTCAAAGATGCCAAATTTGATAAGACGCGTCGCTTCCTGAATGAGTTCTTTAGTCGCTCTATCTGTCCAGGAGCTGACGTTTGCATGCAACTTTTCTTTCCTTGCAGTCGTCTCCTCTGGCGAACAAAGACCCCAATCAGCCTCATTACCTTCGCCTTCAGGTAACGTCAGTGCCCAGGAGGTAGTCTCCGGTGAGACCGGATAGGCGATCATATGTACTCCCTCTCCAAACCAGTTTCTCAAGCATGCCTTTTCCTTCAGAGTTTCTGGCGTACGGGAAAGGCCCGCGGTCTGAAGATATTTCAGCATACAACATTATGCGGTCATTTTTTCTTACCTGGGTGAGGCCGGTGAAAAGCGGTTGGTCCTCCCTAAGGCCTTCCTTCCGTAGCAAAATCCTTCGGGTGGCTGCCTTGATACCATCGCAACCTATCAGAAAAGACCCAGTAACGGACCTGCCTGCGTTGAAATGAGCAGTGACTGAATCGTCCGTCTCTTCAATATTTTCAAGTTCCCAACCTTCTCTGACATCCACCTTCAAATTAGCGACCATGTCTCTGAGCTTCAGATTGAGGTCGGTCCGCTTGACACCCATGGCAGGCAGCCCATGTTTTGATCTGAAAGAACTGGGTAGATCAGAGGACCCTAGAAGTTCTCCCTTTGATGTGTGATCCAAGAAACCTTCCAATGGTATTGATGCTTCCTCAATCTCGTCCGCGACACCAACCAAATTTAATACTTTAAGTCTGCTTTCTAATCAGCCATCAGATTTTCGTTTGCCAGAGGTGTCACAAACCCATTCGGCATCAGCATCAAAGAGGCTCCTACATCGCCCAACTTTGAAACTTTCTCGAAAACGATTGGGTCATATCCTTTGCGTTTGAGGAAGTTGGCAAGGACAGGACCAGCAATGCCACATCCGATAATGAGAACTGTCACTTTCGTCGACATGTTTGTTATGCTCTTACGCTCAACAGGCTCCGTGACTTGGTCGATACAGCGCTGCGCTGACAGCTGAGACTTCTTCTATCCGGCGACGCTTGGACTTTCTCGCACGCGACCCGAAATATACACGCCACGCCAGCCAAGTCAGTGCTCTTCACGCACGACATAACAGGAAACCCTCCATTTCCGAATGTTATGTGGCGGCAGTTGAAGACTGGCCATATCCAGGAAATCAGAAGTCCGAGGGGACCCCAGCACGGCCAAGCATATGTGGCAGTTCGTGGCTTTACATTCAGAGTTTCCCGCAAATCGGAGATGATGGTGTGAGCTCTGGATTACCACCAATCGGACTTGTTCGAAGTCAGACAGGAATCGGCCATTCCACCAGCAATAACCCAAGCGCGTTAGTGTGAGTACTGGAGATAGGATATGGACAATGCTAGAGATAACAGAAGTGACTATGGAAAGGGGTACATGATATGGCTTCTCGCAGGCAGCATAAATGAAGCCGCTTCCTGTGCTCAAGGGTGAATTGCTCCATGTAGTTCGAAACTCTCGAGCTGAGCACAGTACCAAGTCTACGACATGGAGGTATATCCAGCTGAAGAAACTCCAAAATACGCAAAGATGGACATTGAACAGCCAAAGGAGATGACGGACATCCATAGATTGGCATCAGTCACTCCAGGTGTATGTCAAGACATCCAGCTAGATCCACTACTGGAGAAGACCACCTTGAGGAGGTTCGACATGTTCCTCCTTCCTCAAATTGCTATTGTCATCATCATTGGGTACCTGGACCGATCAAACATTGGTAATTGCGACATATCTGGCGAGCATAGATCGTGCTGACCAGGTGTGATTACAGGGAATGCTGCCGTCTTCGGCTTGAAAACAACGCTGGATCTCAAGGGCCTGGAGTTCAACAACCTCGTGACGTTGTTCTATGTCACCTATATCGTCTTTGATATCCCATGGGTCGTCAGTATCAAGAAGTTCGGCGCAAACCGTGTTTTAGGCGTGGCTCTGATCGGCTGGAGCGCCTCGACCTTGGGCATGGGCTTTGTGAAGAACTATCACCAAGCACTAGCATGCCGCCTGTTGCTAGGTTTGTTCGAAGCGGGCCTACTGCCGTGCATGATCTTTGTTATCTCGACCATCTGGAACCAAAAGCAGCAGGCCAAACGCATCGCTGTCATATACTGCGCGACCACCGTCTCCGGGGCATTCGGCGGCCTCTTCGCCTACGGCGTGCAGTCGATGGGCACAAGAGCTGGTCTCGAACCCTGGCGCTGGCTGTTCATCATCGAAGGGATCATGTCCTTTGTGGTGGGTGGAATGTGCTGGTTCAGCATGCCGTACAGCGCAGAAAGGGCCTGGTTCTTGAACAAGGAGCAATCCGAATTCATGGTCCGCAAAAAGCGGCGTGATACTTTGTACAAAGGCGAAGACACCTTCAAGTCCAAACATGTTTGGGCCGCCGTGACGGACCCTTTGGTCTACCTCGTCGCATTCTCCCTGTTCTCGTCCTCACTGCCTTTGCTTGGGTTTGGCACTTTTCTTCCCACCATCATCAAAGGTCTCGGGTACGTAACATGTGTTCCTAATACGGAAGATGCCGCTAACTTACCGGTGATGTTAGATACACGTCTTTGCAAGCCAATTACCTTACCATCCCGGTGTACGCGCTGGCCACAGGAACGGTGGCCTGTATGGCATGGATCTCGGATCACCTGCACAAACGCGCCTTGTGCTTGCTCATTGTGCCGATCCCGGTGCTAATCGGCTATGCGATTGCCATCGGCACACCCAGTCACGGCGCCGGATACTTTGCCATGTTCTTGTGCGGGGCGGGAATCTACCCATACAATTGCCTCATGCTCACCTGGATTTCGAGCAACTTGGCCCCGGACTTCAAGCGGAGCGTGGGTATCCCGTTGGCGGCAACAATCGCTAATATTTCGGGAGTTCTGTCAGGCCAGATCTACCCGACGACCGACTCTCCCAGGTATATCAGTGGGAATGCAGTCAGTCTTGGACTGGAATTTGTTGCATGGTGCGGAGTGCTTGCTATGTACTTTCTGCTTAAATGGCGCAATGCGCGAAAGGAGAAGGCGCTGGCTGCTGGGGTGGAGAATAATGGCAAAGAAGGCGATGCAAGCTTGGATTTTCGATATGTTCTTTGATGTAAGCTGTTGGAAGCTGAGCTGTCGAGCATTTCAACGTGTGGCGTGTCTTTGATTCTGGCCAAGACAAATATCATGTTATAATATCGCGGAAGGTCAAGTTGAAGGATGGGGGAGCTGTAGAGCTGTCTCAGACTGCCCGGCTTGAAGAATGGGGTAATCGCCATACGGATTTGTTGCCCAACAAAATAAGGTTATCGCTGGAGATACTTTGGCAGTTTCCTTCCGGGGCTACTACTAAGCCCATGACCACCATTGGCAGACGCCTAATTGGCCAGCCTTCTGGTCTATCCCCCGAAAATGGCCCTGGCTCCCTCCCATTCGCACGGGGGAGTTGGTCCCACCTGTTTCGATAGACGTGCCGATAACGACCACTCCTTATGGCAAATAGGTCAGTCCTAGTACATTACGGCCTGGCATTATATGTAGGAAGACGGCACGGCACCTCTTCTGAGGTTTCTTTCAACCTCACTCCTACCAAAATCCCTCTGTTGTTTCCTCAACTATGGCGCTCTTCACAGTATCGATTTACTTGGCCGTGGCCGTCTTTGCAGGACTGGTCTACAGGATCCTGCAAGTCGGCAAGCGGCCTAAAGGCATGCCTCCTGGGCCGCCGACGATGCCAATCGTAGGAAATCTGCTCCAACTGCCCAAAGAAAATATCCACGAGAAATTCCGGGAGTGGGCGCAAGAGTACGGTGAAATGTATTCAATCATGCTGGGAAACCAGCGCATGGTCGTGCTCAACTCGCCTCGCGTTATCAAGGACCTGATCGACACTCGCTCCAACAACTACTCCTCCCGGCCGGAGATGTATGTCGGTCAAACGCTCATCTCGGGCGGTTACCGGTTGGTCTTGATGCAGTACGATGAAGGATGGCGGTTGGCACGCAAGATGATTCACAACTTGCTCAACATCAAGACGGCCGTCGAGTACATCCCGTACCAGGAGCTGGAGTTGCGCCAGATGCTGGCCGATATGGTCAAGCGGCCAGACAAGTACCATGATCATGTGCGCCGGTATAGCACGTCATTGGTCACCAGCATCGCCTTTGGCTGGAGAAGTCTGGCATTCAATGATCCGGACGTCAGGCAGATCTATGAGGTGAGTCGTCCGTACAAGCTTGTGCGCAAGACCTTGGTGTTGACAGTCATTTTAGGGATTTGAGGAGTTTGCCGTAGCGTCGCAAGTGTCGGCGTCCATGCTGGATTATTTCCCGCTTTTGCGCTCGTTGCCCGACTGGCTCAGCCCGGCGAAGAGGAGAGGCAAGGAGCTGCATAAGGAAGAAATCGCCTTGTACAAGAAGTACATGCTCAAAGTCAAAGAGCGAAAGGAGAAAGGTATCAATGCCAAGAACTTCTGCGACGATATGTTCAAGCAGCAGGAGAAGGTTGGTTTCACCGACGATTGGGCCAGCTATGTCAGTGGTACATTGTTGGAAGCCGGATCCGATACGACTGCCTCGATTTTCTTGTCTTTTGCGGTTGCCATGATCAACTTTCCCGAGGTTCAGAAGAAGGGTAAGCAGCTTTCGGAAACTTCACATGAGCATTTGCTAATGAGTGATAGCGCAAGATGAGATCGATCGAGTAATCGGAGCTGATCGTCTGCCAACGATGGCTGATGAGGTAGGCACCTTGAACGCTGATGTGGGGTCCGGTCGATCACTGACATCTCGCAGATGAACCTCCAATATATCCGCGGCGTCGTCAAGGAATCCCTGCGTTATCTTCCATCCAGTATTCTCGGAATTGTGCCTCATGCAACGACCAACGCAGACACTTATGATGGATATGAGTTCCCTGCGAAGACTGGCATGATGATCAACGTGTGGACCCTAAACAATGACCCCGAGCGATACCCAGAGCCCCGGAAATTCGACCCCGACAGGTACAAGAACGATTTCCTCCGGGCTCAAGAGAGCGCCACCCTGAACGACCCATACCAGCGAGACCATTTCACTTTCGGAGCTGGTCGACGTGTATGCCCTGGTTTGAACATTGCCGAGCGATCTTTGTTCCTCGGTTTTGCATACATGTTATGGGCTTTTAGTTTTGAGCACGCGGTCGACGAGAAGGGCAACAAAATCCCTGTGAGCACGGAGGCAGTCACACAAGGCATCGTGTGCCGACCACAACCTTTCGAATACAAGATGGTTCAGAGAGATCCCAAGCGGACGCAAAGAGTTCTGAAGGCCTGGGACAATGCCAAGGAGTTGTTGAGCAAATATCCCGAGGGTATCAGAAGTACTCAGTACGTGAGCGACTGGAAAGATTTCACCGCGAAAGAGAAGTTTTAGAGTCTGCGTCAGTCAGCGGATTGAGCGATTACATGCCTAGATAGTGCTCGGTCTACATATCCTGGGAAAACATCGGAATAGACGATGAATAAACACAATATCGCATCACTCCAACAGCGAGGCTGTATGTAGCACAGCTCGGCTCTGGTTTGATGCACAGGCATTGACGCTCACCCATTGACTCAGCGCACTTTCGGCTCGCGATTGGGGGCCGTGTTCTCCGCCGGAGGCTTGAGCCAGAATAATTGTGCTTGCATGAGTTCTAGGTTGTATGGCCCATTGGGTCAACTCGATTAGTGACAGATTACCTACCCATGGCCGAAACTGAGATGACCACTTGCAAGCGAAACCTTGTGAGAGACGACATAGAGCCGCGCGAGCCGTGTCCCCCACTTATGTGAAGGACGGCCAAATCTCCGACCACTCATGACAAACCCAATGAACCAAAAATAATCCCATCTTTGGCTTGTATCTGCACGGTCATGTCCTTACGAACAGCTTTGACATCATTGCAGTATCGAAATCATGCATTTGGAAATGTCGCCAGTCTGTGTTGAAATCGACGGTCAATTGTGTGCTGCCGAGAGGTGTCATTGCACGATGGAGAAAGAGACATGGTGAGGTGCAAACAGAGGTGTGAATGACCTACGGATCTCTGTCAGGGCTTGGCGGCTGAAGCATTGGTTTAACTGCTCGGGGCTCGCGGGCGGCTCACCACGACCGCGCCGCTTTTATATCTCCGGACCTGGCCCTCACCCGCCTCTCACCTCTCGCCTCCCTCTCACCTTCCTACTCCCCTTCAACTTTCTCTTGACTCACCCTCGGTGTGACAGTCCCCGTTTTCTCCTGCAGCTGGTCGTCCACGCCCGCGCCTGCGCCTGCGCCAGGATCCAAACTCGGCGTCGTTCGATAATGGACCATTTCTGGGACCTAGGGTCGTCTCGATCGTTTCCCACCCTCTGCCTCGTCTCTCCTCCTCCCGTCTACCTCGAAGGGTCCTTTGCTCTTCTTCCGAGTACTGAATAGAACCGCGTCGTCGTTGGTTCTTTCCTTGGTGCCAGCACCATCGCCCACTTCACCCGCTGCCTTATTGTCACCGCGTGACCTACTCTCCCCTCCACGCCTGTGCAATCCTCGATTCCCGATTCTCTCGTCTCTCACCATCATGGGCGGACGGACCGCCACCACAGATGATACATAGGCTCGAGCGAAGGCAAACAGATACCAAGAGGGGGCTCATACAGATATCGATGAGGTCCGCGGCCGAGGGAAGTATGTCACTAAGACCGAGAAAGATTATGATCGAACGCTACGACGTTATCTCCAGTGCGATATGCCGTGCCTACCTCTCTTGACGAAAGACGTGTGGCCCTAACATGGAGCTTCTAGATAGCACCTAGGAACGACGAGAGAAGATCATAGGCGAAATGGGCTTTCTCCTCCGAACGAAGATGCTACCTATAGCCATTATCTTAGGGTAGGCATCCCGGCTCCCGACCTAGTAACTGTGAAAGACTTTCTTCGGTTCTATATTGTAACGAGCCGACCCCTAACTTGACAAGAAAGTCCCGACCGCCGATGCTATTTATATCGTTAGAGAGTGGTTCTTCGCGGGCTTTACTTGGGTCACTAGTACGGAGACCATAGCCAAGGACAGGAGTGAGGTGTATTAAGTATGATAAGGACCTCCGCTACTCACCGCATTCTGGGTTCTCCAGATGAACGGAGGCTAAAGCATTCAGTGGGTACGACGGACCTTGACTAGGGGAGGCGTTGTCGTAAATCAGCACCGTCCCAAACACAATTTCACTGTCTGCGATCTGAATTGAGTCCTACTGGCGCTGTGGACGTACGACGATTTTGATATTTATACGGAGCACACGAGGGGCATCGAGTACAAGCTACGTTCCTCATCCATATACGGCACGAGCGCTACACCGTCGTTACTCTATAGCTGGCTGCGACTGGACCAACTATCTACTGGATAATGTATTATATACTCTTGTGAGTCTATACATCTTCAGAACCATGAAGGGGGACGGGACTCCCAGACCATGCATTTCATGACTACGTCTTTACTTAAGCATGACCAAGGCTCGAAAATGCCCTTCCGTTATGTACATTCCATTCGTGTGCTATTCTACACCCCATTTCGTGTGCTCGTCTACATCCCATTTGTGTTCTATGTGCTACATTTACCTTGCTGCCACATTTTGACATTCTTGACCGTCAGACCGCGTTCGTTTCCCGTTCCCCAGCTCGGTTCCCACTCCGATCTGGCTAATTGATGTGTCAGCATAGATTGTGAGAGGTAACAGGTCACACTGGACTCACCGCCGTAGAAGTCAGAGGCTGCAGAGTCTCTTCCGTCAACCCATGGCTTGCTACCAACTCCGTCCCTGTATAACATGTGTCAGCGATGGTGAAACACAGAAGCAACGCTGCCAAAACGTACGAGAACCAGCCATTGCGACTTCCGACCGCAACATTGAGAATCAGGTAGAATTTTTGATCGAAAGGTGCATTCCTGCCACCGTTGAACCACGGATTGGTCAGTAAAGTCGAATTTTCGTAGTCATCTTGGAAATGGCCGCGTTGCCATAGATCCTGTTTCTTGAAGTCGACGTAGAGAACTTGCTGAAGTCGATTGTCGACCCATGTGTAAAGATAATCCTTTGTCCATTCAAGACCGAAGGTATGGAAGCCTTCGGAATAGTCTGTTCTTTGAATTTTGTGTTTTTGTGTAGTTCTGAAGAAGTTGTCGGTCTTCCACGAGATACCTGTTTCAGTTCAACAAGATCACTCTCGAAACCCAGACTGAGTTTCGCTCACCCCAATGGATCGTGCTTGAGACTGTCTCTCTTCCGCCGTTTCTGTAGCCACGTGCGTTACCGCGACTTTCCATAATATCAATCTCGCCACTCAGCGGCCAGATTCCATATACAGAATCTTCGGGCATCATCCAGATTGCCGGCCAGAGCCAATCGCCCTTTGGCACCTTGGCCACGACTTCAACACGACCATACTGGATCGATTTTGCACCTTGCGTAGTAAGGCGTGCTGACCTTACCGGGTTTATGATTGCGTGGGAGGAAATGTTGGAGTTCCTGCTGCATTCATCCGCATAGTATTGGGCAGTTTTGCTGGCTGTGCATGAGCCGTCACCATCTTTTGTCTGATTTGACAGCTTTGTTTTGGCCAAGTTCAGATGATAACTGATCCACAGGTTAAATCTTTCAGCAGCCCAGGGGCCGTGCAACTACTGACCCATTGTGTATTTGGCTTTCACTAATATCGGTTGTGGCAGTTGTGAAAGTGGGAACGATGTGAAGTCCATCTCCATCAGTAAAGGCGTTTCGGCCATCAGTTGTCGTCCAGTCGAATGAGCCCGTACCAAACCCGTCAAGTTGGACTTCATGACTCCAGATGGATTTATCGAGGGTGCTGAAGGAGTCGTCTAAGACTAGACAATACTGCAAAGCAAAACTCTGTGTCAGTGAACCACAGTCAGACGCAAAATGGGAAGCCGAACCTCGTGGTTGGGAACGCCGACCGCGATCCTCCAGTTCACAACAGCGCTGAGAGCTATCGCAAGGAGAAGCCCTCCAAGGATATACCAATTGCCCTTGCGAGGCGCTTTGTATTTCTTGTCCGCAGTCCAAGGTTTCTCAATTCTGCTTTATGTCAATGATGCTCGAATAGTTAGAGAGGGGAACAGATGGAAGAGCAACTAACTTTCCGTCCAGCAGATAAGTCTTGAAGTCATGGTTGCGCGTACCGCTCACACGATAGCTGTTGAGGCCTCGGAAGGGATCCTCCTCGGAACCGCCTGGGGTACGATTGTAGCCATAGTTCTCTATCGATGCGACCTCGCTGTTGCTGTGACTTGGCCTCTGGGGACTTAGATGATTTGCTTGAAGCGCTGCATAGACGAAGTCAGGGTCATGAGAGTTTGCGAACGGCGACGTCATCTTCTCTGGAGTCTTTGCCCGAGACTGACTGACACACAAAAGCCGTAAAGGTGACTGCGAGACAATGATAATGTAGCGGCATTCAACTTTTGCGTAGAGCTGTTGTTGGCAATTCACCAAAATCGATCGGCACGGGTGGTGACTTTCATGTGCTCTTACAGACTGTTCTCATGAGACACGCTTCAAATTCGTACTGGCTGAACGTTACCGGTGTGCGAAACTAGCTCTGGAAACGTTGATCTCGCGTTACTGGAGGCGCATGTCCAGCCATGCCAGCCACAATATTACTCTCGCACCTCGGTGCATGAACCCTGTACAATGATACTCAATTGGGACGGTTCAGAAATTGACCGTGGAATTAAAAACCATTAGCGAGGAACTGAAAACCAGGATTCCGACAAGATAGAGAATATTCTTATCGCACATGAGGAAGGTGCTATACGATGTCGCCACCTAGGTCGCTGGAGAAAGCAGAGTGCAATGTCTCTGGGTAGCGCTGATCCGAGTTGATGATCCTCTGATTGTGAGATATCATTGGCAAAGAAGGCAGAGTCATGGTGATGATAAGCGATATCGATGAGGACCCTCTGATTTACCGTCCAGGTTTTGCGTGTTTTGCGTGGCGAGCTGACAATGTGCTGGCACTGCTGTGTCGCAGCCCAGAGGTCCATCACATCCATGAATAGCCTGAACCATGCAGTGTCTCAGCCTGGAAAAGTCTTAGCCATGGGATCTCCAAGGTTGAGCTGCTGCGGAAGCCTTCTTATCCGGGGCTTAGCACACCAACGTGGGTCTCAGATCATGTTCCTGCAGTAAAAACACATCCAATCATCACGGCAGTCTGAGATTTGCCGAACTCACCTGTCGTCTAAGCGAGATGCGCAACGTTCAACGACCATGCCTTTGAAATCAGACAATGCGGGACGCGACGATGGTCGAAGGCGAGCAGAATCTTGTATCCGGGACAAAGTGCGTAACTTACATGCGGGAAGTCTACGCTTCGCACTCAGGGGTCTCCTTGGATGGTACCCAGTACGGGAGATGGCAAAAAGCCACCGTCTTTTTCTGTAAACAAATCTTCTCAGTTCATCTGTAGTTCATCGTTCTTGTGTTTTGACAAGGCTCGGTGTAATCGACGTGTCAGGCTGACGTAGAGACCAAGCTTCTTTGCTTCTACCAACAACACCGATGGCTTCACTCTCGGAGGCAGGTGCCTCTCGCCAGAGTCTGCCGAGACCTCAATATCTGCATTTTTCGCAGCCGAACTCTTCAGGAGTGTCCGTGTCAAGCCGCCAGAGCAGGCGCCTGGACAAAGCCAACTTCGATGAAGCACTGAGGCACAGAACGGTAAGAGCTTTCGCAAATGCTAGGAAAGCTGAGCTAATCGAGTCTTAGATGGCAAAGTTCCTTTATGGAAAAGGTGTTGCCAATGGTTGGTTCGATATCAACCTGCCAAAAAGGCCACTCGGTGTCCTCCTGCGTCAATCCAATGGCACCTACAGCGTCGAGCCCGACCTCCCGGAAACGTCGGTTCGTACGGTTGCAAAACTTGGCGTTCAGGCAGCTTTTGCCATTGCTACGGATTGCACAGAGGCCATCTTCGATGTCATTGGTGACGAAGATCATGGAATCATGCTTGGTGATGGCCTGGAGCTCCAAGTCGTCGACTGCATGGCCAACCTCATGCGAATTGGGCTTGCTCAGGCACGAAGATTTCCCTACGCGGCATTGATCAGAAGCGAGAGAATTCTTCTAGTCTGGCATGACGAAGTTGACAAGGTGTTGCAACAAGCGGTCGCCACGGAAGAGGAATTGATGAAATTAGTGAGTTCCGACGATCGAGACTGATGTATGTTGTCTGCCAGCCAGCAGAGTGCTGACTGAACATTAGATATGGGGAGCTGCTTCTTTCACCGCCGCCCATCACACATCCAGAGCTTTGACTGCGAGTTCTCTAAGCGTGTGGGACAAATCGAAGAGGGAGAGATTCACAACCGAAGTCACCGAGATGTCGGATTTGGAAGAACAAGAGCTCGAAAAAGAATCCCTCGACCGCCCAGTGAACCTCTATGGCGCTATCATCATGGCTTGTTCGATATTCTTCCTGGTCTTCCTCATATTCGGTTACACGACATCTCATCTCGTCCTCGAGATGCTGACAGACGGCGATCGCATGCGATTCGTCTGGATTGCCTTCGAGCCACTAACCCTAATCGTGGCTATGTTCTTCTCTCTGTCTCTGATGACTTATGCCTTCCAGCTTTTTGGACCCATCACTGCCCTTTTCACCAACACACGATTCTTCTCAAGCAACAAACCAAACCTCAAGCAAGCGTATGATCAAGGATTTACTCCTCCACGAGTCACAATACAAATGGCTGTTTACAAGGAGTCACTGGAGCTGGTCGTTATCCCAACGGTCCGAAGTCTGATGGCTGCAGTCTCAGACTATGAGTTGAAAGGAGGAAAGGCCAATATTTTCATCACGGATGATGGCCTCGGATACCTCCTTCATAGCGACCCTGCTGCCGCACAAGCTCGTATCGAATGGTACGAAGCCAACAACATTGGGTAAGCGTCATACACAGCTGTCTGGCAACTCCTTACTGACTTTCACCACAGCTGGGTAGCCCGACCAATGAACGGCGAGAACGGATACTTTCGTACCGGGCGATTCAAGAAAGCCTCAAATGCGAACTTCTGCATGAATTTTGCCAACAGGGTCGAACAAACTCTCATAAGACTCGTGCATGCCCACAGCCAAGTCAGAGATGGAAGCCGAGTCTTCATCGACCCGGCGGAAGAGGACGTTCTCTATCACCAAGCTTTGACCGAAGAACTGGCTAAGGATAGTCGAGTCAAAGCCGCTGGAAACATCCGTATCGGTGAAGTCATCCTGATGTGTGATTCCGATACTCGGGTTGTAAGTTTATGGACACCTGGTTGCGAGTATTGAGTTGACGTGTCCCAGCCCCGCGACTCTTTGATCAATGGTGCGGCAGAAATGTTCCTCTCGCCAGAAGTTGCTATCGTGCAGCACCACACTAGTGTGTACCAGGTTTCCGGCGATTTCTTCGAGAACGGTGCTGCTTATTTTGCCAAAATGTGTTATGCGCAGATTCGTTTCCAGGTCAGCAATGGTGAATGCGCCCCATTCGTCGGCCACAACGCTTTCGTGCGCTGGAAAGCGCTCCAAGACGTCGCAATAGATACGGGTGATCCTTTGAACCACCTTATGTACTGGTCTGAGTATCATATCTCCGAAGATTTCAACATGAGCATTCGACTTCAAAGCGCCAACTGGGTCACTCGATACGCTTCCTATCATCAAGACGAGTTCAAGGAGCAAGTCTCTCTTACGATATACGATGAAATCAGTCGATGGGAAAGATACTCTTACGGCGACAGTGAACTCTTGTTCAATCCCATTTGGACTTGGCTCTGGAAATCACCATTCACTCGGCTATTCAGGAAATTTTTGTTTTGCGATATGCATTGGTCTTCGAAGCTCAGTATTATATCATACATGACTTCATGTGAGTATTGTCACTTGCGGATAGTGGACTTACGAGCTGACACCCTTGTCTCACAGATTATGCCATCGGTAGTGGCTTCTTCTACACTATTGCCAACTATGTTCTGGTCGGCCTTTACTGGAATGAACTGGACAAATTTTACACCTCCTCATGGTCCATCTTTCTCTCCGTGGTCCTGGTGTTCTGGATCCTCAGCAACATCGCCCTAGCCATTATGCGATTCCGCATCGGCGAACGATCATTCTTTGGTTCGCTCTGGGAAAATTTCAGGTGGCAGCCGATGTACTGCTTCTACTTCTATGGCCTCAGCTTTCACGTCAACAAAGCTTTGATCGCCCACATCGTCGGGTACGAAATGACCTGGGAGATGACTAAGAAGGAAGTCGAGAATTCAAACTTCTTTAAGGAAATTCCTAAGATCTTGCGTACGTATGTGATAATGTTCCTGTTTATGATTGGCCTCGCTGGTGGTGTGATATATATGGCGTGGTTTGCACCACTGGCATGGAGGATTACACAACCTGTGGCGATCCTACCAATGGCTCTGATGATTGTCTGTCATTGCAGCTTACCTTTCGTCCTCAATCCGCATATTGTCAGCGCCGTCGATCAGTATGCTGTTGACGACAAAAGCAATATCGAGAAGGTATGAATGGTTATGATGAAGGGCATTACACGAATTGGGGTTTGCATACGGAGTACACATACACGATATACGACGCGGGTACAACTAGATGGCGACATCCAAACCTAATTTTGCGAAATCTACATGGACAACAACAAAATATATCAATGTCATAATAAGACTTCGCATCAGTCCTTTCTATATACCTCCACCCTACGTCGGGTACTCACACGAAGCGCAGTAATAGCCCTGATCTACCGCGAATGTTGAAAGATCGTGTCGGGCCCTCCTTGAGCCAGACGAGATGGGGACAGTCAGCTTTCAGGAGATGTCACGAAGGCATCGATATGATCCGGCAGAGAAATCTGTCAAGCGATAGGGGTAGCCTGGCTTCCAGCTATGGCAAGGCCCCTGCACGACTCTCCCAGGCAGAACATGGTGAAGTCGGTGCCTCTTCGCAACAGATTCCTCTCGACCGTTGTCAGTGATCAAGTTCCCTGGCCGCCGCAACAGGAGTATAAGAGATCTCATTGTGCTGCTACTTTTCGAACTTCCTCATGGTGGATCCGCCGCGAACCGCCGACACCTTCGCCAAATTTGATACCTATATAACCTCCTGCGATGACTACTTCTGGCGGTCCTTGTCGATGCACTTCTTTGAGCTGCTAGTCTAGCCGCCTAGACGAGGATAGCCACTTAATAGATAAGAGTGCCGCACGGATGTCCCCTGATATGTACCAAAGACAAGAGCTTTGCGATCGGTAAGACACCAAACAGGTGGAGTATCTCTCTAGGGCAGCTGCGAGCAATGTACATAGTATGTCTGGCAAATCAAATCGAGTGGTTGAAACACGATCGCGCTACTTGTGGTCGTACCTGAGAATCCATCACCATGCAGTGGACGACCGGCACTGCGCTGCCACTATTCCTGTACCGGCTTCATTTGTATGTGAGAGCAAGTGTCGTTGCAGAAGCTTTCACCGACACCAGAGAACTTGTAGCAAGAGAGGGAAGCCTGCGCTGAATCGAGATCGTAGAGGGAAGTCGTGAGACCCGCGGGCCGTGAGTGTGGGCACGAGGGCGGTGATAAATGTCGAGGCCGGCCGAGAGGGGATTGAGACGAGAAAAAGCGGCGAGAAGGGATAGCGTACGATCTCGAAACGTGGAACTGACCGCGCCGCTTTTGAACCGACCGAGGGGAACCAACCACGCGATTGGACCAGCCTAAAGCGAGTCTGACAACCCAATCACAGGCGGTCAGGTCTTTCTCCGCTCGCGCGTGCCGGGGGTGAGCACGGGGCGGCATCACCCTCGACCGCAACGGGCCTGAGCTGCGAGCAGTTCGACCACACCTTGGCGGAGTCTGCGCCAGCCTCACCTGACAATGGAATCATGTTGGCCCATTCAATTTCGCTCCGGTCTACAATTGGCGCTGCTCAAGACATTCACAATGCTCTGGTCAGTTCGAAAGAACTTGTACGTGACCTAGCTACAAAGTAATGGCTCGTCTGGAACGACGCACCGTTGTCTCCGTTCTCCTCTTTCCTTCCAAATCGACCAAGCCATACCAAGTCCTCCTGTTTCGTCGTTCCGAAAAAGTCCATACATACACAAACAAACTTGCACCTATAGCAGGCTCAGTGGAAGAGTCCGACAAGACCCCATTGGACGCAGCATGGCGGGAATTGAAAGAGGAGACTTGTCTCGGACCACAACATGTTGAGCTTTGGAGACGAGGTCCTGGATTCGAATTCACAGACGAGACCGCCGTAAGTGGCAAGGATGGACAAGGTGAGAAGATCGGAAGAATATGGAAAGTCTGGCCCTTTGCGTTTCGATTCCAAAAAGACCTTGTTGACGAGCACAATAATGTTGATACCTCCGTGTTGAAAATTGACTGGGAACATTTGAGCTGTGAATGGAATTACGTTGATGACATACTGACGGGGAAGATCTTGGACCAATGTGTGCCGAGACTGGAGGTCACCTTGGGCCAGGTATGGGTCGACCCTGACAGCCCACTGCATCACGGGCTAGAAGAATTGCGCCTTGATCACACCAACGGAGCAAGGCAGTTGGCTACAAAGGCAGTGCAATCGTTGATCAAGATTGTTGAACACGAGCAGAGATCGAAGACGCTGGATACACCTGGGGAGCTCGCGAAGTGGTGGAAAACTTTCTGTCTGCAAGCTTTCCATCTTGCCTTCAATGGTAGGCCAAGTATGGGGGCGGCCATTTCCAGTGCTGTTGTCACTGCACTAAAGGCTGCGCAGGAAGAAGCCAACTTTGGCTTTGCGAACGTGAAGCAAAGTCTTGCACTTTACGTGGAGAGACGAGGAGAGATCTCGAGACGAGTGAGTGAACAATTCGCTGCATTGCTGCATGACGAGTTCGAGGTCTCAAATGATGGCCAATCTGCCAACAGACCTCTGAGGATTTTGACACTTAGCTCCTCATCCACTATCAAAGCTGCGATACTACATGTTCTGGATACGGACGAGACTCGCCTCATCGAACTCCGTATACTCGAGTCGCGACCTCTTTTTGAAGGCGTAGGTTTTGCACAAGCCTTGACAAAGGAAGCTCAAGGTCGTCGACAAGGTCTGAAACCCGGCTTGAAGTTTCATGAACGTCTACGACTCGTCGTGGCCTCGGATGCATCTGTCGGCATTTTGAGTAGGGATGCTGATATTCTCATCATTGGCGCTGATCGCATTTCTGAAAGCGGCGACGTGAGCAGCAAGACTGGTTCATTACCAGCAGCATTGACGAGCAGGGAGGTGACGAGAAATGCCGTCAGGGTGGTATGTATCAGTGAGACGGAGAAGATCGCTTCCCCAGGGGCATCAGAAGAACACGAAGAAGAGGACAACGACTACGATGAAGTCGCCCAAACTTGGAAGATGGAGAGTGATCTAACCTGGGACGAGATGGTCATCGTTCGCAATGTTTACTTTGAGTGGGTTCCTGCTCAACTTATCGACTACTACGTGTGCGAAGACGGTGTATTATTACGGGATGATATCAAAGAGAAATCGAAGCTGATTTCTGATTTGACATCGGAGGTCTTTTCAAGATTACAGGAAACATGATATCCGTCAGGCCTGTTGTGATGCTGAGCTAAGCCCGAAATGCCGAAAACTTTTCCAGCTCATCTGGGGTAGGTGAAGTTCAACCAATGCCCTTTCTAGAGGATGATTCCTCTCGTTCCATGGTCATACAAGTGCAAAAACATTTCCCAAGGCGCCCGTTAACTGCGAACCCGATATATCAGTCAAGGAGCGGATATCCTCGTCTGGAATTGACGAAGAGAATCCCTGGGTTACAGTTGTTGAAGGGTGAACAAAGAGGTTTGGCAGAATACTCCTTTGGTGTCAGCCATACCATCGTTGTTGGACATATCAATTCAGAAGCTGCCCATATGTAGCGTTGCGCAGCGAAATGCGCCTGAGATGGGCTGCTACATCTACGATACTACTGCATGCCAATGGAAATCCATTCTGTTGAAGCTGCATGCCTATTCACAATTTACTCTTCTTCTTATTGGGTGTTCCAAACTCATTCATCATCCTCCTTCCCTCCGCCTCCATCCCCTGACCTTCAAAAGCCTTGCCAAACTCCCATATCCCGGCATCAATGGCTTCTCGCAACGGTACCTGCTCCCACACGGCCATCAATCGTTTCTGTGCGCGAAGAGCATCCGCCCCATTCCGTAGGATCAGTTGCACCCATTCCTCCACCGCGCCGTCCAGATCTTTGCGATCTACAACCCTGTCAACCAGACCCCACGACTCAGCCTGTTCCGCCGTGATCAGATCACCTAGCAATAAGAGTCTGCGTCCTCTAGCCGCGCCGATCTGTCGCGGAAGCAACGCCGCTTCAATAGTACTCGGAACGCCGCGCTGGACTTCGGGCATGCCGAACATGGCGGTGGAGCTGGCAATTCGTAGATCCGCTGATGCTGCGATCCCAAGGCCTCCACCCAAAGCGTGACCGTTGACGCGCGCGATGACAGGAACATGAATCTCACGCAGGCTCTTGCACGCGAGATGCAGTCTTGTGATGGCCTCTCGTGCTGCCTTGGCGTCAGGCCAGGCTTTGGCTTCGGAGATGTCGATGCCCGCAGAGAAAATGTCGCGGTTCGCCAGTGGGCCGCCTGTAATGACTACGCAGCGCAGGTGGGCGAGAGTGTTGACTGAAACTTTCAGCGCTGTCAACAAGGTGGCGCTGAGACTGTTCAGCCGTTTCGGGTTGGAAAGCGTTATTGTTGCGACTTTGCCTTGTGGATAGGAGGAGATGGAGACTGAGATGGGGGAGTTGGGTTTGGAAGTGGGAGGCATTGCCGGAAATGCCACGCGTTGACAGGTCGGCGCAGAGATATAGGTAGAGACGATGAATCGGAAGTGTGAGCCGCTTTGGTACAGAAAAGACAGCAGAGGTTTCACTTTTCCCGAGGTGTCGGTGGACCTGATGGGAACGACGGTCGCAAACAAGACCGGAGTTCCCTCATCTCGATAAACGTGGGGAAATAGACTGGGGAATAGCAGCGGGGAAAAATCGGCTGTGGAGGCCTAGCAGTCTTCATGCAGGTGCCTGCAAGGTCTCTCCTATGAACACTAATCGACGACTGGGGAATCAACATACACAGGTGAAGTCAACTCGTTGAAGTTGGTTGGTGCCAAGCGGCTGACGAGGCTGAGTCTTGGTGATGGAAAAGGGGTTCCGGCCAAAGCATGTGAAGATGTAAGTCTGCACTCTAGCAATTTCTGCAGATTCAGTGGCGTCTACATCGCTTTCTGCATGACAACTACTGCGCACGCAATCACCGAAGCAAGCTACTTCCAGATCACGCAATGGCTCTTCGTGCCCTCGATCCCAAAGCTATCGGCACTGCGGCAGCCTCCACCTGTCTTTGCATCGCTATCGACGCTCATCAGTCCAACCTCCACGTGTACTTCCACTCATAGCTTATTCTTCAACTCCTGCCCAGCCAAGAACCGTCTCAGATTATACGCAATCAGTGTCGCCGGGTCCTGTGGCCTTCCTCCAGCGCCATGCGGGCTAACAATGACGTTCGGCGCGGTCCAGTAGGGCGAATCCTCAGGCAAAGGTTCCGTCCTGAAGACATCGAGGGCAGCACCACCAATTTCTCCTTTCTCCAAGGCAGACAGCAAGGCCGCGTCATCAATCGACGTGCCTCGTCCGACGTTCACCACCCAAGCGTGTTTCGGGAGGAGTTTTAGCCTTTCCGCGTTCAAAACATTGGTCGTCGCCTCCGACCCGGGCAGAATCATGACCAGCGCGTCGGTATTTGGTAGCAAGTCAGGCAGCTTGTCCTCCGAGTAGACCTCGATGCCCTGGCGGACACCGGCATGGCGGGCAATGCCTTTTACATTCGCGCCCAGAGCAGTCAGCCAAGGGGTGAGGGTTTTCGCAATGTTGCCGAAGCCCCAGACCACAATGTTGGCATCTTGTAGCGTGGTGAACTTGCCCTTGGGTCGGTCTGGTTGCGGACCACCCAAGTCAGTCGACCATTTGTGTTGGTGCTGGTAGTCGCGCATCTCGAAGAAGCGACGTGCCGCATTGAGGAGCAGGCCCAAAGTGTGCTCGGCCACGGTGTGGTCATGCAAACCCGAACCTGTGGTCAGAATGATCTTGGATGTGTCGAATCCGGCATTTATGACGTCGTTGGGACCTGCGGCAAGGGATTGGATCCAGCGGAGGTTCTTGAGACGGGAGACCTCTTCTTTCAGCACGGGTCCTGGGTTGGACCAGGTCACTAGGATTTCGGCGTCGGTGTGTTCCTCGGGAATCTTGGATTTGACGTCGTATGGGTGCGGTGAGACACCGAAGCCTTCGAGGTTCTTCGCCTCAATAGCCACCGAGGTGGGGTAGAGGAGCTTCATTCTGCAGGATCGCGTACTTCTGGATTGTGATTCCTCAACAACTCCCTTCTAATGCTGATCTGATGAGCACGCGGAAAAGATTACCTTAGGTGTTTCCGAAACGTGCAGGCAAAAAAGGTTAGTGCTGAAGTCCACGTGAACCACAGCCTTGTCAAGGGTAAGCTCGCTGTGAAGATAGTCTGTTCAATCCTCGAGATGAAATAAGTGAAGGAGATCTTTCAATGATATTACTCAATGTTGTAGAACTCAATTAGTGCTTCGATTCTCTTGGTGCAGATCGTCTTTTGCGGCGTTCACGATGCGGGACAACTCCGTATGTGGGGGCGGATGGCGCGATCAATTGTCGGCGGATGGCCGGTGGTGCCCGACTGATCCATTGCGCGAGAGGAGCCACAAGTCAAGCTTCTTTGATGCAAGTACATCTCACTTCACGACATTACATTCTCATGAAAGAGCTACTATCCAACGAGTATGTGCTATGATGAACTGGAAGACAGCTGCCAACGAGTATGGTTCGAGAGAGGTTCATAGGCGACATGTGCATGGGCCATAGCAGATGGATCATGACCGTCGTCCAGCCACATCAGCTTCTCGAAAAGCCCAGACTTCGGAGTGGTTCGAGAGAGGTTCATAGGCGATATGTGCACAGCCCATAACAGATGGATCATGTCCGTTGTCCAGCCACATCAGCTTCTTAAAAAGCCCCGAAGCTGGAGTGGTTCGAGAGACGTTCTTGGGCGATATGTGCATGGCCCATAGTAGATAGATCATGTCCATCGTCTGGCAACATCAGCTTCTGGAAAAACCACCTACCTGAAATGGTTCGAAAGGCACGACTGTGTAAGTAGTTAGGGTGTTTTCTAGGTAGTCTGTTGTAGTCTTTCTACTGTATCTGACAATTCCGCCAATCCGTCGCAAAGTTAGTGGAGTTACGTAAGCGGAGTAGACTATAGGTAGACAAAGACTAGTAGAGCTAGAAAGGAGGAAATCAAATTGAGTGATTCTTAGCCTTAGAAAACTTTGGTCAGACCTTAGAAGAATACAGAAGCGCACCATTATCCTCTCGATCCATCGTGTTGGAAGGTATAGTCTATAGTGTGGTTAATCTTCCCGGCCACCAGGAAAACAATGGACCTGGGCTGTTGCTCTCTCGAGCCACGATATAGTCGGATTATGAAACTGACTGTTATTTAACCGGTCAAGACTGCAAACTACGTGGTGCGGGGAAATAGCATTGCGGATTTATGGTGTGACATGTGCTTTCGGATACTACCCTAGTCACGTGATCACGCTCTCGAGCCATGTTGTTTATTTCATTTTCTCCTCAACATCTGAATACTCGGATTCAGTCTTTTTTGGTATCTTCACGTTGACCAACTCCATAGCGGCTAATCAGCCTAACGACGCTCTCGATATAGCGCGTCACGGCGCCATCGATGTCAGCTATATCCAGATTTTCCTTTTGAGCTATTCCAGCACACGGTTCTATTGCTCAGCCTTTCCCAATAAGTCATCATATTTCGTGACACACGAACTATGTTTTCTTTCGACCCTTACATACTTCTTACCCACATATTATGGAAGGTACCATAATAACAATAGTCGGATCGCTAGTGACGAACATAGAAGAAGCCTACATCATGATCCAACCGGCAGCTCACAACCATACAGGCCATCACGTGATCCGTGTTTTCGAGCAGCCTTGTTGACTGGGGATTCTCACATATCCTTGTCCCACCCCTACCACTCTCTCGAGCCATGGTGTCAAGCCTCGATTCTGGTGCACATCCAAAGTCGCGGATTTCCTCATTTTTGAAGCTACGACTAGCTATGCACCAACTATTCTATCGAGCCATGGTCCCAAGCCTGGATTCTGGCGCACATCCAACTCCGCAGACTTTGTCACTTTAGAGCTGCATCCGGCTAAGTCAAGCTGATCTCCTTATGTTGACATTGCGTTTCAAGCATCCGATCTCTGCTATACTGCTTGCTTCTACGCAACCCCACTTCAGTTTTTGGACTGGTCTGATCGCGGTCACATTGCCCTTCACTTCACTTGATTCCACCTGAAGCTTCATTCGTACTGTCATCAGACATTGATCTGAACTCCCTCCAACTCGATCTTCTTCCATTTGTTCCCTCAACAACTCGATCTTCCATTTGTTCCCTTACCAACCTGACTGCTCTTGACGAGACCTGATGACTCTACAGTGCCAGATTGCATTCTGCGGACGCAGCGCCCGTCTCCGCTCCGGCTACATGGTTGCAGGTCACCTTATCGTTCCATCAGCATGGCTTCAGCCAAGCAGACACCTGTGAAACCTTCACCTCGAGCCGAACAGTCCTCACAACTTCAGATCAGAAACGCCATCTGCGCCCCAGTCAGCTACACAAAGATACTCCCGAAACCTGTTTCTAAAGATGCGCAGAACAGAAACCTAACCAAGGCTGGTGAGAGAGAGATCGCTGCTGATCTTGGCTTCCAGACTTGCGCACAGTTCCACCAATGGCTGGATAGTCCGCTCTTCAAGGCTTATCGGGATGAACTGCAACAATGGAAAGAGGAGCACGTTGATTTGAAGATGGACAGAGCCCGGCCAAAGGCTTACTTCAAGCTCTTAGACGAGCTGGTGTCCAAGCCGCAGGCGTAGGTCCAGAATGCATTCTACCAGAGAGGTACTGACACTGCCGCAGTAAGCGAGACAAAATCGACTGTGCATACTTTGAAGGAACTCCTGGTGATGCTTGGAAGAATCATGACTTCTTTCTTTCGACCTTGCTCCGAATCTTCGTGGCAAATCAAGAAGTCCAAGACTACGGATACGACATTGGCCCCTTTCCACACGATATGCCGCAGGAGCGCTGGCATAAACTGTGGAATGCAATCCAATGGTGCAGAACCAAGAATTTCTTCACGCCCAACGGTCGCGCATCAGCCGCCAAGCGAAGCTATGTCAATAACGCCTTGGCCCGCCCTTGGTATATGCAGCAGGGACACGGTCAGGATGCGGAGGATCTCGAAATGTCGACACGACCAGATGCCGCGGAAGAAGAGCCGCCATTTCCAAAATACTTCATCACGTGGACGAACATGCCTGCTGTCATCGAGAAGGACGGCTTGATGAAGGAAATCACATTGGCCCTCCCAGAACTCTGCGAGTTTCCATCATTTGAGACATTCAAACAGCATATTACCAGGGAGTTTCAGTTGCATGAGCGAGAACTCAAGGTCAGAGACCTGCTGTTCACCGTGGAGAGTGGCCCACAGGCAAGTCTGACCCGAAAAAAGGTGGCTGTATATTGGGAGTATCTTACCAAGTATCAGCTGGAAGGCTATATGATGAACTTCTTCTTGGTCTCCGAAGCTCTCAAGCAGGTGGATCTGGACTTGATGGTCGAGAAAACGATCATTCCGCCTGTTCTTGCGCGAAAGTATCAATATGCTCCTGACGGTTTGATTGAGCAGAAGGATGACGGAGACTATGAAGTCGCAAGTATTCCCACCAAGAGAAAGCACGATGCCATCAAGGAAGACGAAGCAGCCGAAGATGGCAAGCGAAGAAAGCCAGAGGAAGCAAGTGTCGTCTCCGAAGAAGCAAGTGTCGGCCCAGAAGAAGCAGGTGTCGTCTCAGCGGAAGCAAGTGTCGTCCCTGAATTTGAGGAACATTATTACAAGAACGAGGCAATTCTCCGCCGAGCGGATGGACTGTCCGATGCAGGCAAGGTCTCCGTCCACGGAGAGGAGCCAGACTTGGAAGATGATTCTATGGTTGAGGATGACGGCAAGACGATTGATCTGAGCACTGACGACGAGGATGAGTTGGACGATGAATCCAATGACACAGGAGACGATCGTATCAGCGAAGGACTTGATCCTCCAGCCGGGGGGAGCATCGCGTCTAAATTCGATCTTACAGAAGACCTGGATTATGTCGATGAAGGAACCTCCTCCGACGAGGAGGATCAGCAGACATTGCCACCGCGCAACAAGACACCGGACGAGAAAATCGGGGCGAACAAGAATACCCTCGATGTTCAGAATGCATTCCACCACGGAGAGGCCTCAGAGCTTTCCGATCCTTATCATTATCGGGGGTTGGATGGTCCACGGAGAAGAAAACCAGTTCTTCGAAGTGCCCCAGACTCGGATGCTGCTAGTTCAGGCGAACTTCAGCAGGTGCAGGACAAAGACTTGCCGACCGAAGATGTTAGGGAGCTGGAACTTGGCGCTGAGAACCAGTTTCGACTACACGATTCGGACGAGGTCACCCAGAAACAGGTCAAGCCTTCTGAAAAGCTCAAGGCCAGTCTCGAAAAGCTGAGCCGGCTTCTGGACAAGTACAATTACTCGGAAGAACCGTTGCTTCCGGACAGTACTACGCAAAGCAGACTTCGAAAAGAACAAAAACGCTGGACGGAGGCGCTTCAGCTTACAACCGACTGCCATTGTGAGCCACATCGGGCTAAGCCTACCCAAGAAACATTGCATGCAAGTGCCGCCATTGCTAACATGCGCCTCACTGGTAAATACTTTGAGAACGAAGACGATGTAAACGAATTCTGGGAAAAATACTGGAGTCTTTTGCGGGCTGCTTCTGGTGTGGATCAGGACGATGTCGGGCCCAATCTAATGCTGTCGGCAGAGGTCCTCCAGCTCAATCAAGACGGATATATCCCAGGTATGACTGGCTTGAAGCCACGTCCAGCTCAACAGTCGGGTGCCGCGTGGCTCTTCGCGAAAGAGCAGGAATCAGGCCTGATACGGTCTGCAGATGGAAAGCACGAGTATCACACTATGGCAACCCTGGGAGGTATAGTGTGCGACATTCCTGGCGCTGGGAAGACGTTGATGTGCATTATGCATCACCAAAACATCATCAATCGCATGCCGCCGGCAGGAGGGGTTTACAAGCCGAGCATGTATATCGTGCCCAAGATCGCCATTGGTCAGTGGTACGACACTTTCAGAAACAATGCTCCTCACATCACGGTGTTCGTCATCTGGGGAAAGAAGAACTTCAGGAAGACTGCAGACTGGATGGCAGCGAATATATCAGCCCAAGATCTCGAGAATGGCCCTGAAGGTGTACCAGAGCGGTTGAAGTTCGCATTTGACACTACTGATCCCAGAGCGGCGTCGGTAGCCTTTGCCATCACCAAGCAGACTTGCGAAAGCCGATTCAAAGACCCTTCCGCCTGGAGAGGGCGGTTCGTGAGATGCTTCATCGACGAAGCCCACTGTATCAAAGACCCTGACGCGAGCATTTCAAAGGTCGTCAAAGGCTTTCAGTTCAAGTATCGCCACCTCATCACTGCCACCCCCATGATCAATGATAAGAAGATATCATTGGCCTTGCGGACTATCTCTACCGTTCGGAATGGGCTGACAAATATGGATACGAAGAAGATTTTGACGTATTTGACCCTGAAATCGAACTCACTGACCCCCGAGTCGTGTGTGCCCTTCGCAAGAAAACAATCAAAGCTGCTTTCGCCAAGTTGCCGCAGCATTCTAGGGTAGACGCAGCGCGAGACGTCCTTGCCGACGAGTTCAAGCGCCTTAGGGAGATTATGCCTAAGATCATGCAACCGGTGCAGTTGAGGGGGGCAAATGGTACGAAGCTGCCGGTGGGAGATGGATCATATGTGGTCATGGGGGACGACCTTCCGCCGTATGAGGCTATTACCATTGATTTATGTATGGAGAGCTCAGCCGCAAACGAGTAAGTCACCCTCCTAAGACGGGTGCCACCTTTCTGTAAATGCGGTCGTCGGCAACAGCGCTACTTCGCCGTCTCCATGTCCCACAGTGGGGACTTACTAAAGCGGCTTAGTGAGTAGTCAAATTTTGCGGATCCTATATTTGAGCCACGAAAATCAGCCTAACAATTCATCCGCAATTTCAAATTGCGATGGATAGAAAGACATGATGGCCGAGTGGTTAAGGTGAATATGCCCCACCTTCTTAGACATCCTCGTGCTAACTGTTGTTTCAGGCGTGGTATGTGCAATCTTTCCAAGGCTCAGACCCCTATTAACACCCCCCCGGTGACTAGAATTTCCTGCCTATATCAATGGTATTTACGTATCATTGGTATAACATGATCACTCAGACATCACATGGCAAGTTCTACCTCTTTAGAAGAATGAATAGCATCTAACGTCCCAAAAGGGTTCGCCCGTAAGCACACTAGCAGCTGCCTGCAATTGACATTCATTAATCCTGCTATTAGGCACAGGTTCAAGGTAAGCTTTGTCAAGACATTGTGTGTCAACCAAGTTCTAACTTCTCTCGAGTCCTGTTCATGTCGAGTTACTTTTTTTGCATTTTTGCTACCTAAGGTTGACTTTGCTTGGCTTGGAGCTTAATCCTCTCGGACACTCATCTCTGTCCCGTTCGTACCTGATTATCAATACCCTAACAAAATCAGTCCGACCTCCACTTCCTTCCTGCTAACCTCGGATGTCGTCGCATAGATCATGAAGTTTCCCGAGCGACCTACCCCTCTCTTGTCCGAGTCTTTCCACACTTGCAATCGTGCCCCGATTCCAAGTTAGGGGGTGCTCCTGGGGCAACCTCCTTCCACTCATTCACCTTTTCTCAACGCCTGTGTAGGTCGTATAGCTGTCAAAATGCCTCTATCGATAGACCCAGATTTGTGGCTGCTCTCGAACCCCTTCTTCCCGCCTATATCAACTCCACGCCTTCCAATCCGTAACAACCCCGTAAGATAGGCAATCTCGTTCACTCCCTTGACTTCCTCTTCGAGCATCCTTGACTATTAGAGCAAGCGGAGGAGCTAGCTTTGACAGTCACCGTGAAAGAAAAGGCGAAGAAGCGAGACAGACAGCGCCCAAATAGATCTGTTATAATCTTCACAAGTTGATCCTGACTTCTCTTAGTGGCTAAAGGTACTTTTTTCTACCTCGCATCTCTTCTCCCGCACTGTATACTGGTTAGTCTCTGGTGTGTGACCGAAATTCTCATCATCGTCATCGCTCGATGCTTTGATGTGTCTGTTGTTTGCAAGTGAGTTGACGAGGACGACACCTGAAAAATTGTGTGGTAACAATGAAATGATCGCAAAGTATAGGAGCTCAATGCTCCGAGAAGCTACCGTTGGAACGACCAAGCCAGTAAAGAACATTCAGATTGTGACTTTGCTCTCTTGTTGGAGTATGATCAAAAGCATCAAACACGAGTGCAGAAGAGCTTTGAATAGACCATTGCTCTACCACAAACACGAAGCAGCTTTCATAGAAGCGTTAAATGTCCAATGAAGGGTACCGCCATATCGAATTGAGCCTAAGTGGGTACAGGCCTCAGACAATGCCAGTTTCTCTGGGAGTAGGCTTGATGAGCATTGTGTGGAAATACAACGTCGATATCAGTTCTGACCATCTCTACCCTTCCCACATTAAGGACAAGTACGGGAAACATGATATCCTTATCATCTCAGCAATAGCCTTCTTTACCTTGAGCAGTATCCCTCTAGGTCTCGCCGTTGGTTCAACGCACAGGTACATTTACACCTGATTTTTCGTCTTCACCAATCTCATCAACTTCCTTAGTCCCAACATTGCCGCGACTTCCCTCCAGAAACCAGTGGGCTCGTCTATGAGCGCAGCCTCATACGCGTCGATGATAGGCTTGTCCCACACGAGATCCGCCTGGGAAGCAGGAACGAATTTTGTGCGCTTGACGAGCTTCCAGCCAGTAAAGGTGATCGGTGCCAACAGCACCATAGTGTAATACGAGAAAAATGTTCCAACATCCCAGTAACCAGGCAAAAAAGTCGCGTATCCATAGCAAGTCACCGTGACGACCATGCCACACAATCCAATCCAGCCGCAGTAAGGTTGCCACCAGCCGACATACGGTAAGCTTTTTCGATCAATGCCTTGTGCCTTAAGCGCCCTGAAGAAGAAAAGGTAGGTGATCGACATGACGATATAGTTGATCATCTGTGCGGCTTCGGTCAAGTTGACCAACCACGTAATGACTTGAGACGTTCCATTCGAGACTGCCAGGAAAGATAGGAATGGGAAGATCATGGTCACCAAATAACAGTACACCGGAATGCCTGCCTTTGTGCACTTTTTCAAGAACCGCGGAGCCTGGCCAGCGAGCGCGAGGCCATACAGAGATCTCGTCGCGCAGTAGGTGAGTGCGTTGCCGGCCGAGAAAATAGAGGAGACGAGGAGTGCGTTTGTGAAGTGCGGCAAGCCCGTGATGCCCATGTTGTGCATGGCAATGACATATGGGGATGCACCGGCCGTGCCCGAGCCGCCACTCTTGCCAGAAAGAACGTTGTTCAGGGTGGCATCGTTATAAGGCAGGACAATGCCAACGCAGAGAGCGCCTCCCATGAAAAATATTGCGAATCGCCAGTACATGGTTTTAAAGGCGGCCTTGAGGTATACTCGGGGTCGTTTTGCTTCTCCAGCGACCATTGCTAGGTATTCCGGGCCGACAATCGTGAATGCTGCTGTCCAGAGTGCTCCAAGAAATCCTTCAAAGCGGCCGAGAGTACCGGTGGTGATGTATTCCGCGAAGGAGCCCTTTGCGTCCAGGTCAGCCTGCTCCGATACGAGGTGTATTGTGCAACACAAACTTACAGGATTATTCCAATACCGAAAGCCATAGGCATCGTGTTGAGGACTGCCTCCAATCATCGTAATGAACGCGAAAGAGAAAACCACTCCAATGAGAAGTACTTTGCCGGAGGCGAGCCTAATCTTCGACGTTGGAACCACTCAATAGTCTGAAGGATACCAGGTAAACTTACCAGAATTCAGCCTCGCCGTAGTACTTGACAGCAAAGAGGTTCAGAGCGCTCGTAGGATGTTAGCCGAAATATGTCCGAGTGGTAAGGAGGCCTTGCATACCCATATGATACTATACAAGCAGCACAAATTGCGCCAACAGGAATGTTGTCGCTCCAGAACGTCAACACCAAATTGAGAGCCGAGATTTCGAATGGAATCAACGTCGCTTCGTAGAGGAAGAAGTTCCAGCCGGCCATGAATCCAAAGGCATCGTCTACCCACTTGCCAGCCATGCGAATAAAGGACCCGGAAATCGGCATAAAGATGGCCATCTCTGCCATGGAGTTGTTGACCAAGCCCAGGAGGGAGCAGTAGATGACATATGCCAGGAACAAAGAACCTGGGCCTCCCTTGACAAGACCACCGCCGATACTGACGAACAACGCTGTGCCAATGGACCCTCCGATGGCAATCAGCTGAATCTGGCGATTCCCTAAGTGTCGTTTCAATTGATCAACATTTTCGACGACGGTGCCCGGCTGTATCTCTCCTTCAGTGTCGGAAGGCTCCGCACCAGACGGCAGCGTTATGACTTTTTCTGATTTGGGGTCCGACATCTTGGGGCGTCGGTATGCTGATGTTTGCTGAGAGGTGGAGATATATTTGAAGAGAAATCGAGGTGTTGGACAAAGGTTATATACATTTCGAGAGACTACATCTTGTTCAGTGGGAATTTTCAGGTTTCTTCTGACTGGTGAAAAAGATTATCGCGCTCCGTGAAGATACGGGGGAAATTAAGTTCAAGACCAAGGCCGAGCCGTCCTTTCTAAATGAAGATGGATCCGTTCCCCACTACCGGTACCTTGATATACCGTACCGTATGGTAACAGGAGTCTCCGTACAAGATTAAGCCTGTGCAGAGATAGGAATGATGTTTTTGATTTGAGCATGATGAGAGGGGGGATTATTTGTCTGCTTTTGGTAGTAATTGCCAGCAGCCCCGATCATAAACCATTATATGCAGATATCAAGATATCAAGTGTGCTGCAGAATCCTGGCTACACTGCTCTTTAAGCCTTCCACTGCGTTTTTCTCTAACATCACGTCATCGCCGTTATCTCACGCCGGATATGGCACCTGGACTTCTAGCTACACCTCCAGCCGAGCTATCTGGTCAATGGAGCTCAAAAGATGCTTCTCCTAGGGTAGTCTCGTTTGACCCGGCCCGGCATATGGCTTTCGAGCCGCCGTCCGAGGTCATCACCCTTCGAGACCTGCTGCTTTCAGAAAAGAATGCATGTTCGCCCGTGGCGATCACCAAGCCTTTCCCGCTCTTCTCACTAGAGGGAGTGGTGCAGATGCGCAAGGACATCTTTCGCAAAGAAGTAGTGCAGAAGCACGGCCAGAAAATCAAGCCCGGCGTCTACAAAATGCGCGGCTACTCTCCGGACACGCCTTTTGTCGACGCGGTCTGGCGTAGCCCTGAAGTCATCAAAGCATGCTCCAACGCCGCAGGAGTTGACCTGGAAGTCATCTTTGACTATGAGATCGGGCACGTCAACGTCCAGCTGGACGAACTCGCTGATAAGCCTTCGCTGGACGCGGTTCTCCCGCCAGCGATGCCGCCAAAGTCGTTCAGTGGTGTGGATCTGACATCTTTCGATACGGAAAAGCAACTAGCTTCCGTTCGAGATTGGCATGTCGATGCATATCCCTGGGTTTGTGTATGCATGCTGTCGGATCCCCAGGGCATGGTGGGAGGCGAAACAGGCATCGAGAAGGGCGACGGTTCGATAGTGAGAATGCTAGGTCCAGGTATAGGCTGGGCGGTCATGATGCAAGGAGGTTCCATCAACCATGTCGCCCTCCGAGCGTATGGTTGTGAAGAGCGCATTACAATGGTCACGTCATTCAAGGCCAAGGACCCTTTGCTCAAAGACATGAGCACACTTCACATCACCAACAAGAGCAGTCGACTGGAGGAGTTGTTCTTGCAATGGACAACGTATCGTATGGATGTGCTGGCCAGACGAGCTGATGCAATCAGAGCTGAGATTGCGGAAGGAACCCTTTCGGCCGACGAGATCAAGCTCAAGATGGACGAGTGGGCAAAGGAACAGGTTGAGTATCTCAACATCACTTGTCGCGAAATGCATGACGCTGAGCCATATGGGAGTGCCAAAGTCGTGCATTGAGTGGCGAGTAAATGGTATAGCTCGAATATATTCAATGGTTTGTTCTTCGTGGTAGAAAGAATGGAATCATGTCATGATCGTAGCCCATGGATGTTGCTCCGTCCAAGTCCCGCATCACGAAGTCACAAATGACCCCTGAACCTACGTCCGCAACACAATATGAAGTGTGCAGATTGAGGTGTGTTCACATTGAAGAATGGTTTAGGCTTTCGCTTAATGATCAATGACAAGCGTGGAGGTCTATTCGACTCTGTGTTGGCTCTTATCGACCGCGCGTATCGCAATGATATTCTAGCAGCGGTCAAAGATAAGAATACATAAGCATGTGCTTCTCAGGCCAGCTTTGGACCGCTGATTATCTTGTAGATTTGTCGATCGGAAATCCTGCAAATGCAAAGGTCCTAGAAATTTTGGTGTTTCGAGGCGCGAGAGATAAGTGAGTCCAACTAGACTTTTCATCTAAACCGAATTGGGTAATTTCTTCTCGTGGGGGTTACCCGATCGAGATGCCCCACTATCTGTTTGCTTTAGATCGTCATGTACGGTAAAGCTCGTATCAACCAATACTGCTTTGCGAACTCTCCTCGGTTGATATCAACATCTTCGTCGCATCTTGGAACATGATAACGATGAGGTTCATCGTCCAGAAATGGATGTGCAATCCGTGACCCTGCTCGCCATTAGCATGCAGGAACGGGTTACTTGACCCGTGCAAAGCTCGGATTTGCGGCATGAATTCAAGATAAGGAGATATGCTGCCACTCTACCAGGTCGAATCCAAGGCTCTGCATTGGATAAAACGATAGTTGTTATCTCGTTGAACTATGGTCGTGAGTCAAAAGATACCGCTCAAGCCGGGCGTCTATGCAGCAACCCTCACATTCTTTGACGAAAACGAAGATCTAGACCTCGCAACCCTGCGCGCTCACAATCACTCGTCTTGCCAAGTCTGGTCTATCGGGAATTGTAGCTCTCGGCTCGAATGGCGAAGCTGCACACCTCAGTACGGAAGAGAGACAGCTCGTCACGACAACGGTCCGCGATACCCTCAACCAAGAAGGGTACCAAAGCCTGCCAGTCATTGTAGGAGCTTCGGCTGCCTCCACACAAGCGTTGCCACGAAGCTGCTGAGGCTGGAGGTTCCCATGTCTTGGTCCTGCCACCGTCTTACTTCAAAGTCGCCATGTCGCCGGATGTGATCAAGAAGTTTTACTCAACGGTGGCCGATGCTTCACCCTTGCCAGTCATCATATACAGCTTTCCCGCCGTCGTCAACGACATCCACATGAGCTCTGAGCTTATAATACAGATCTCGCAGCACCCCAATATTGTCGGCACCAAGTTCACATGTGGCGATTCAGGCAAACTGGCACGTGTGGCACGAGCCATGCATAGTTCCATCGATGGTGGATATTGGGCTGTTGGTGGTTTAGCTGACTTCACCCTACAAACCATGATCGCAGGTGGCTCTGGAGTGGTCGCTGGAGGTGCGAATTTAGCACCCAAGATCTGCACAAGGATTGTTGAATTGTTTAAGCGACGAGAGTTTGATGAGGCAATGAGACTGCAGGCGATACTGGCCAAAGGCGATGGGATTCATACAGCTGCCGGAATTGGTGCCACCAAAGCTGTACTGCAGCGCTACTTTTCGTATGGAGGAGCGCCTAGACTTCCCCTGACCATACCCCTTGTTCAAGTCATGGACAATGTATACTCTGGGGTTGCCGAAATGATGGAATTGGAAAAGAGCCTGTAGGGGATAGACAAAAGTACGAGCCATACAAAATAGACTCTTTCGTCTTGGTCCATATGTGTGGTGTAAGCATGAACAATCTAGGTACACCAGCTAAGCTTTCGAGATCAGTTACCAAAGCATGCACCTCCAATTGGGATGTTTCTCAATACTCAATTGCACTGCTTTAGTGATTAAGACACAGTTGCGGTCTGCTCGCTCAAATGTGCCATTCCTCGTGATGGCACTTTCTGCGATGCCTTGCGACCGTGTTCAATTTTCCATTCTCCATTTGTCAAGTCCTGGTGTTGTAAACAGACTGGACATCAGCCTTATTTATGCCTTATTTTTGACCTCACTAGACTCCAACTCTCCAACAGCAGAAGTATCGCCTGAGACTCGACCTTCCGGACCGGGGCTAAAGCCTTGAATCTCGGTCTCCACGACTGGTCCAACGTAGTATTTCCTGCCCCCAAGGTACCAAGAGACCGCTGCACACAGCAGTATGAATACCAGAAATACTACGGCATAATTCATATCGGCCGCAGTCACAGGCATGTAAGTGGGGAGCAGGAAAATGATGCTCACAAATAAGGTCCATGCGCATGCCCAGAGATTGACCAGAGTAGAGAACTTCCCTAGGTGCCACGGTCCAGGTGTGAAAGAGTGGAACAGCAGCTTACACACGATCGGAATGCAGTATGACCAATCCAGCGCGATCGCACAGATGCTGAAGACGCCAGCTATAGCGGCGTAAGATCCTAGCCCAATCAAGTTGATAGCAATGCAGGCCAAAGTCGATATCCAGACAGCAAAAAGTGGCGTCCTAGTGGTTTCATTGATTCGCGTCCAAATATGCGGTAGAGGTAAGAGACGATATCTCGAGAAGGCGAATACTGATCGAGCTAGTGACTGAGTGGCAGCAAAGCAGGAGAACTCGATGATAATGAAGGCCGAAACGGTGAAGAATATAGCTCCGGCCTTACCAAGAGAGTTATAATATAGCTGAGCCACGGGTTGTTCGATTGGGGAGGACAGCAGTTCGGTCGGATCGCCCATACAGAACACAAGGACAATGTTGAATAGAAAGCCGAGTACATATGTGCACGCCATCGCAATCGAGATTGCCCAGGGAGCTTTAAGCTCAGGTTGCTTGATTCTGGCACTGTCAGTGGATTCCCGCGGGGTTCGAATGTGATAACTCACTCCTCGGTAATGTGCGCAGTGGCGTCGTAGTCGGTCATAGTCCACGAAACAGACAGGAAGCCGAATAGGAAAGACCAACCAATCGGCTTCCAGCCTGATGGCGCCGGGTCATCGACGTGGGTGAAAACATACTTCGCGTCGTGCTTGTTTTCAGTCTTGACTAGCAACGCGATACAGCATGCAATCAACACGGCAAGGTGGAAGACCACGTATGACTTGGTTATCTTTTCCATCCAATATGTCGGAAGAGTATTGACCAGTCCACATACGACTGTCAAGCCAGCCATGACCCCGATCGTGGCGCCAGTCGTCGGGAGCCACTGAAAATCTTGACCGATCGAGACAGCGGCGAGGAGCATTTGTGCAGCTCCGTACTCAGCCGACGCGACTCCGGCTACCTGGCCGAGTAGGTTGAGCCATGCAGTGATCCAGCTTATACTTGGGACCCAAGGTGCTGGGGCCATGCGGGATATGGTATAGTACAAGCCGCCGCTGGTAGGGTAGGCCGATACGAGCTCCGCGACCGAGAGGGCGATACACATACACCCTGCACCAGAGATGAGCCAACACCATACCACCGATGCTGCCCCACCGGCGTATAGAGGATAAACGAAAGTGGTCGTCACTGTTGAGAAGATGCCCGAAATACTCATGGCGAAAGAGAAGGTTGAAAAGTAGCCGAATTCGCGTTGAAAGACCTGGGAAGAACAAAATCATTCGTATTCGTCCGACACGTATCGGGCCTGCCTTCTTACCGGCTGATAACCAAACTTCCCTGCCAGTGCTTGATCGGCTTCATTCAGCTCTTCTAGAGCTACTGTCTTTCGTCTTCCATGGTCATCTCGAATCTCGACTCTGCTCACGCTGCCTTGGCGTAAGCTTGGAGCTTCACCGGCGGCCTCTACCCCAGTGGCTGCAGCCATTGTAGGTGAGAAGACTGGAGCTGGTACGAGGGTTGCTGTTGCAGCCGGCTGCGGTATACGTAGTACGCTGTTTGTGTCGGAGGGGATTTATTGAGTCGCTGGAGCCTCAAATATGTCAGAAGATGGCTTCAGAGTTGTGTGCTTGCGTTGACCGTACTGTGCACCAGAGACTATTTAAGCAGGACCTTGTAGGCACGGATGGAGCACTTTGACATTAGATCGGCAAGTCGGGATCCGATTGTCAGAATACCGAGGAGTTCAAATGTACATACTGCCAAAAAGAACATGTTCAGCGAAGAGCCCACCACGACGGCGAAGACCGCTTGTAGGGGATGCGCTATCCCAGGAAAGGCAGATTGCTTGATATCTACTGCCCGTGAGTGGAAAAGCGTTGGATATCGGAGACGTAATGCGTACCTGGAGTCCACCTCTCCCAAAGGTCAACACACAGATACTGAATACTGTTGACGTCGGATCGTCAGGGTCGAATAAATGTTGCTCATCATTTGGTGGGCCAGATTCGCGTCGCGGCGGGGTATCTTTTCCCAATTTCGCATTAGCCATGCCTTTGACATCTCACATTCAAATTGTGGGTTCCGGGGAAATCGTGCTTGTGGCTTTCGATAAGCTCCTTCTGCACAGTCTTACCGATCAACATTTCTGCTGCTAAACATTGTGCAAATTGAGCCTCCTCTCGGCCGTTGAATATGCAGTCAAGATAAGCGCGAAATCAACGAAGAACCGAGATAATATGATCACCACCAATCAGCGACGTCATATTGAATGGACTCCCATCCTGGGCCCATCATTTCCTGGTGCAATTTGTAGAGTGTGGCTTATGCAGGCCGGAACCATCTCCATTCCTGAAGATTTTGTGCTGCTACCGGCACCAAACACCAATAATCGAACCATCCAAGAAAGTCCAGAACAGTCAAAACTTCGCAGCTTCAATGCTCCCGACTTTGTCTTTTTAATTGAACATGTCCCCACAGGCGACTTCTTCCTCTTCGACTTGGGCATGCGAAAAGATCTTCACAACCTACCTCCATACATCTGCGACGTCGACCTACCAATCTATGACTGTAGTCCAAGGCTGCCTCAAGTCATCTTGGCCAAAAACAGTCCTGCCGGCTTCGGTTTTTCCAAAGTGAAAGCCATCATTTTGTCACATCTGCACTTCGACCATATTGGAGACTGTGGACGTGAAGCCTTTCCCGAGGCAGAACTTTGGATAGGACCGTCAGCTTGCATGGAAGCTCGCCCTGGCCATCCTCATGATCCCATGGCGACCGTTCTTGCAAGTGACTTTCCCAAAGATGGCACCAGGAAGATCGTCGAATTCACCATTCCTCAGCCTCGCCTCCAGGAAAGAGGCGACGGTAGGGCTACCAAGATCGAGGAATGGCACAGCACTGGTCAGTACGAGGCTGTAGACTCTCAAGTGCCGAGAAATGGCTGGAAACCTTCGGGAAGCTTCGGCCTAGCCTTCGACCTTTTTGGAGATGGGTCAGCTTACTTGATCGATACGCCTGGTCATGCTGCGGGCCACCAATCGCTTCTCGTCCGTGTCACCACGTCAGAGAAGTCAAGAGAGGCCAGCAAAGTCAGTGAACAAGACGGAGTAGATACAGACCAAGGAGACTTCGTCTTGCTAGCTGGAGATTCGTTTCACCATCCCATTTTATTGCAGGACCCATCCAGAACCGCGCGTCCACCTTACGGCACCTACACAATACATGCTGATGACGATTTGGCAATCGATACCATGATCAGGACACGTGAATTCGCAAAACGCGAGAACATCTGGGTCATTGCTTCTCATGACATCTCGATCGTAGAAACGCTCGCAGCAGGGACGAATGGTGTGGAAGGTTTGGTCCTGCTGAATGACTGGAGGCGGAAAGGATGGAAAGGCGGCCAAGGGCAGTGGCACCCGTGACGATAGGAACATGAACATAGTTGGAAGTCAGCCAGAGGTATCGGCGCCATGGACGATCTAACGTGCTACGTGTGTAGAAATAAACAAATCATGAAATAGGGAAGTGAAGGAACATTTGCCGGGAGATGACTAATCATCGCCATGAAAGCGGGCAGGCACGTGAGCATTATCTCAATCGCATATCTAAAGTGCTCTTCTCCTTATCTATCCTCGTCGTCCTCAACGGACTCAAAAACACGATGGAACACTGCTAACTTCTGCATCGATGCTGTTCCCGGCCGCCAATGAGCCAGACTACTGTGCTTGCGGCCATCCGAGGTCGTTGTCGCTTCCCCTGCAATGCCTCGCTCGCGCGGACTTCTTGTCGACCTTGACACGTCCGAGCGAGCACCACAAGGTAGGGAACCTCTTATCAAAGCCACAGCCTGACCGTGACTCTAGCTGACCCAAAGCGCGATGAACAGATTGTAAAACATGCAAGACAAGACGTGTGCGCTGTGACCGAACGACGCCCTCGTGTCGAAAATGCAGAGGTCGCCGACTTGAATGTCCCGGATATCCCTCGGGCATCCTCTTGCGGTGGACGAATGTGGTTGCCAGCAAAGGAAGACCGAAAAGCCCACGATCCGTTCAGCAGTCTTGCAAAGAGAGCACACCGTCGCCAACGCGACAATCATCCTCACCGGATGACCCAGTTGAAGACGACAATGGAGCGACTTTGCAAGCGCCCGTGTCTCGTTTTGTCCCCTTGGAATTCGACTGTCCAAGTCGGCCTACAGCTTCACCGTTTGATCTTTCCTTTTCAAGCTACTCTGCACTTGAGGGCAACACCGCGCACCGTCTGCTGCACCATTACTCCACCATACTCTCGTCGAAGTTACCTTGGATTGACTCCTTCGACAATCCGTGGCGATCGATTATCCTTCCAATGGCGATGAACTCCCCCTCAGTCATGTTTTCGGTCCTCTCAATGGCAGCCGAAGATCTCACATCCAAACTTGACCACGTTTCCGTGCCGAACAACTTCTCCCACGATGCAACCACCTATCGTCAAAAAGCTATAGAACTGCTGACATGCGACATGACCAGAGGCATGACACACCGCGACCATAGTTCGGCGAATCCAGAAACAATCACTATGACGCTAGCAGCAGCACTGATCCTGTGCAATCTTGAAATCAGACAGACACATTCCACCACTTGGCACCTTCATCTCCGCGCAGCCCACGCGATCATCCAGTACTGGGAGACGACAAGTCAGTCTCGCAATCCCATGTCCGCCACCAATGTCTTTCTGATTCAGAAATTCTTCTCCATGAAGGTCTTCGCGTCGATGTCGACGTTTGAGGATACGGAGGACATCTTGACTTATGGTCTGAAAGACCAGAGCAATTCCGTGTTCCTCGAATTTCTCCGGATAATGCAGGACATTACCCATGAGCAACGCCATAAGCCTCTGAGAGGCTCTGCGGAAACCCATCGGGAGGGACACAAGTGTCAACAGCTGCAACACAAGCTCAGTATGGCGAGACAAACAGTGTTGAAGTGCAACGAGATCGTGCTTGCAGATTCTGCCACAACGAAATGCGATCTGGAGAATATTGTCGACATGTTCTACCACGCAGGACTCATTTACAGTCACCAGGCACTCGTGCTTCGATGCTGCTCAGACGCGCTGTCGAAATGGCGGAATGAGATTCTATCCAAATTTGACCTTTTGAACGAGGTGGACAGGTTCTGTCAGAACCTCGTCTGGCCGTTGTTCATTGCTGGAACGCAAGCTTGCGCCGACGGAGATGGGCAGCGGGCCATCGAGGCCAACATTCGACAAACAGTCACACTATCGGGCCACTGGAACGGCCTGAGGGTCTTAGATTTCCTGAATGAGCTGTGGAGATCAGGTCATCCGCGAGGACTTGATTGGATACCCTTGGCTAAAGACTGGGCGAAAAAAGGTAACGGGTTTATCGTCATTTGATCGCGGGCGCATTCTTCCCAGGAAATTCCACGCTGGTGGTTACTTGCTCAATTCCCTCGAAACCTCACTTCTTCCGCACCTGCGCCACATCTGGTGAAGAGGCTCTCCTTTTCCTCAGAACCTTGAGAAAGTTGGCCTTTGACCGCGTCGCGAGGCCTTCCTTGGGGGTCTTGGCGACAGGAGAGGCATTGGTGATCCTCACCATCGATCGCTACGATGCACATGAATGGATGTGGAACATCATCCCGGGTTTGAGTTTACAACGGTCTTGATGCATTGCATGATGATAAGTGGCCAGAGAAAACATTGCGTAACAGACTGGATGGGACGTGCTACCCTCACGGGCTTCTGCTTGGCGCGTCAATCCGAAGTCAGCCTTATTCCAACCTCATCAGACTGGTCACAATAGGGGCAGAAATACAGCCTCACGTTGGTACATTTCGTAGCATGAAGTCTACTCATCTATGTCGCTACGAAGCGGCTGCAGTCCAAATATACACCGCCGATTCTCATCAAGCAGCAGGACCGGTCGATGAAGAGCCTCTCTGAATTGCCTGACTCCTGCGTAAAATATCCATCACCCCTTAACGGACTTTCGCTCAAGGCACATAGAGCCTGACAAACCCTTGTACAGCCCTTCGACAAGTCACGCAATTCCCAAAATTGTTCAGCGCCAAACTCACGCGGCAATCTTCGCAGACACAAAGACACCGGCATGGCCACGCGATGATAGTCCTGGGTGAACTGTGGCACACCACACAAGGTGGACCAGCTTGTCTATCCTCATCATCGTCACCCCCAGCACCCACATCTTCGGTCCTTGCCGGAACAGCTGCCTTCTTCTTGCGGCGACTGAGGATCAGAGATTCAAGAACCTCACCTTCCTCCTGCGCAGTCAGTGGTCTTGGCCCCGAGGAATTTGGTGCGCTGAACAAAGATATCGTGGGACCCTGCATTTGGGTCTGCGGGCTGCGTCCAGCAAGCAGAATCCGTGCCCGCTCGCCATCGATCTCACGACGATAGCGCGAGCGAGTCATGATCCCAGGAGAATCGGACGACGTATTGGCCAGGTGCGCCGCCAGGATCCGTGCTTCTTCACGCGACTCGCGGTCTTGCGGGTTCAGGAGTCTCGCCAATGTCGCAGAGTCGAGGGGCGAGTCGTTGAAACCTGGCGTAGACTCCCTCGTTTCAATAGCTGAGAACGACCACGATGGAGCAGAGTCTTGAGTCGGCGTCCTTGCTCCTTCAGGCTCAGATTCCCAGGCATTCTCATCTTCCACCTCGTTACCATCTGTACTAGCATTGGTCGACATAGAGATCACGCTCGTGGTGTCATCGACATCGTCGCTCTGGGGAGGCTGGAAATCACCGCTCTCATCCTTCATACCAAACCATCCGCCAGACTTCCACCAGTCGTACAGCTTCGAATCGAGAATTTCGTCAACTCGTTCGTCCGGAAACTCGGTCATCAATCGTCTCCTCATTTCCGGTTCAATATCCACGTCGTCGTTACGTGGACCCGTCAACTTCCCATCTTCGTTGATCGACCAGAAATCGAGCACACGGTCATTCCTCGGGGCATTTCGTTCTGCATTTATCTTCTTCAGTGATCGACCAACGATCTTCTTCAGCCAACGCGGTCTAGCTGTAATCCCAACCGAGTCCAACACGACTCCACACCCAAAGCCAATGTATCCAGCAATCAAGAAAATGATCCCACGCAGGTAAATCATGAGAAGGTAAAAACGTGTTGTGCGTTGGACAGCTCCAACTCCGCCTGACCTAGGAGTTGGATACAGAAAAGAATCTTTAGCTTTCAATTCGCCCTCCTTTTTATCAAGTTTGCGCTCTTTCAAGTAACCAGACTCCCAAATTCCGCCTTTGTCGGTGCCGCCAGGGCTCGACGAGGGCAAACCATACTCTTCCAAAATTTGGAATTGCTGACCACTGGAAAATGGTCCTTTTTCGGTCGTGGCCGCCTCAAATTCATCAAGTCTGTCCTCTTCGAGCCATGTAAATTGCCGTACTTCGACTGACCGACCCTCATTGAGGAACACTGCTTCCGATGCCACAGTCAATGCAGCGAAGCCGACACGGAGTAGAGCAGTGTAAAAATCCTCGTACCACCGGATGTTCACCCCTCTAGTTTGAACAGCCGCTTGGAGGTTGTCATGAGCGATACTGAACCGCTCCTTCAGACTGGTAGGTCGAGGTATATTCGGATTTGTGCCCAGTGAGATGGCCGTAAAAGTAAGTGCCACAAGATAGATGACGAAGCAAACTCCGATGCCGACCAAGATGGCCATATGCGGTAAGAAGCCCACAATAGCAACCGTCGGAAAATGCAGCAAACTGCTCACAGGACGCTCGTCACCATCCTCTCCGCTCCGGACCATAACACTGGTGCTCAGAAGACCCCAAAGGAAAGAGGCCATGAAAGCCATTCCCCAAACACCAGTGTGAACGAGGCGCCACTGCCGTTGTTTCCCGAAGACAGCAATGAGGTGGGAAGATAGCGAATTGCCACATGACAGCAGTGTTACTAGTAGTAACTCCACGGGCACATTGAAGCGATCCAGGATGTGCGGTCCGGTCAAGGCAGCAGTAGCGTCAGCCAGAGCGAGAATGGTGCCTGATGCAGGTATCGTGGGCTGTGATTGAGGGATGGTGATATTGGGCTGGCCTCCCTCCGATGGTTTGGCTAGGCCAAAAAGTCCGATACCAAGAGTATGCGCCAGTGCCGTTTCAGCCTCCGCAAATGCCAGTGAATGTTCAAACACTGACATACCAACCTCGGTCATGGACGGTACTTGCTGTAAAGAGCATGACAGACTCTCCACGACATGAGACAAACTCAAGCGCAAGAAAGACGGCCACAAAAGTGAGAACGAACCCTGCGATGCTCGTTTCTCGGGGCTCGGTCTGCTCATCCCAAGGGCAGCACAGGCGTCAGCATCTGTGGATTGGAAGAGTATCGCAGATGTCATAGTATGTAGTGCGCCACCATCTTTAGACCAGTCCAACAGGCTATATTTGTTGTTGTCGCCATGTCGAAAGAGCGAGAAGTCGGGCGATGTCTGACATCGAATCGCCTGCAGAAGTTGGTAGACTTGGGTTGTGAGGAGTAGGAGGGGCATGATTCGGAGCGCGAGTCTCTTCGGCCAGCCCAGAAAGATCCGTTGTCTCGAAGCACCATAGACACCGATCCTGTTGAGGATGAGAGCCTTTGTCCGTCAGCACAAGGGTATACTGCCTGGGGATGGAAGATGACTCACCATAGCGAAACACGTAAACGCCCATCTTGACGTGAGGTAGTGTAACATGCCCCAGTAGCTCTTAAACGTACTGGCCTGAAAGATCTCAGCGAAGAAAGCCGGCCACGATGCTGGACCTGTTTCTCCAAGTGCCTGCGCCAAACCAGGTTGTGCTGCCACATCAGCCATTGTTTGTATTGCTCCCCCTCCCACGCCGGGATTGCCAGCCTCTGTCCCTAGCCAAAGCCACTTCCCAAGGCTTTCAGGAACGAAGCGATTCCAATAGTCGATGAAGGACTGGTCGATATGCGACGTGATCCGAAACGGGTTGCGCAGTAGGTCCTTTGCGGTCGGGAGAAACGCGGATGTTATGTTCGAGGCACTGGCAGTCAGTCCGGTCGACGGAGAGACAGATGCGATTGAAGATATTGCAGTTACTGCCTGCGTGACCGTGGATTCGACCGAGATCATGTCTAGTCTCCCCGCGGTATGCGGGAAGGAATTGCGTTCAATTCATGGGTTGTGATTAGTTATAAATCGCCCGTACCAGCGAGAACCAACAGCATTCACTATCTATTGAAATGCGGGTTCTGAGCAACAGAAGATGTAAAGTCAAGTGGTGAGTATGGCGCGATACAGGTGGGATCAATAGAGTCCCTTAGAAGGCCTATTGCCTAGGCCCGCGCTCCGAGTAGCCCGAGATTCCGGCATGATCATGTAAGCAAGGCTGCAGCATAACCATCCATGAACTTCATGATCCGATTCACCCCAACTCTCCTGAAATCAAGCTCTTGGCTGTAGCCAAAGCTCTTGAAAATATCACAGCACTTGTTATATATGATCAATTGCGTATGCGACTTGACGTGCCCGCTAAGAGCACCCCTGTCATACTCCAAGCTGCCATATCTTACAACCCAGCCGCTTCTTTCTCCGAATCCCATGTCCTCAAGAAACTGCCCAAATCGTCCATGACCGCATCCGGATCAAAATCATCCTCCCTGAGTGATTCATGACCATTTTCGATTTCGCTAAGCTTCATAGGCCGCTGGGCATCTTGTTTCATCGACGCTGAAGTGTCATGGGCTGTCGAGAGCATAGGTGCGGCAGAATTGGTGAGGGTTGACCTGAGAATGCCTTTTGGGCAAGATGAACCTTGCAGCAACTTCGAGAAACCACCTCTATGGACCGGCGATGATTGTAATAGATGCTCTTCAGCATCTGCTCCTGTGTCAGCCGCCAAGTCTATCTTCAGACGTTTGACCCGGTCTTGGTTCAGTATCGAGGGTTTGGCGACTTTCATGGCCATCTTGATAGAACCTTGTGAGGATCCGGAGGACGCCTCGTCCGTATTGAAAGCTGCTCTCTTCTTCCGTTTCAAAAGCTTCTTTGGAGAAGAGTCTTTGTCAGACTTTGCGGTTGGACATTTAGTGCTGGGAGCCTTGACAGGCGAGGCTGAAGACGGATCATTCCGGAGGACTTGCTCCTCGTTATTTATAGCTGGCTCGGCCACCCTTGGTGGCTCAGCTTCGTCGACTGCGGCAACAGTGACGGGCTCGTTTCGAAAAGGAGCAGGCTGATCAGCGGAATACACTGCATTTTCCTGTGCCACTTTCGTAGTTGAGTGATCGTCATTTTTTAGTCCCAAGTCCAGTACAGGCTGATCTGAATGCTCTTGCAACAGGAGACCGTTGCTCGATAGGTATAAGGGTGCCAAATTTAAGGTGGGTTGCATTTGGACCTGCGCAGAGGGTAGGGTGTGTAGAATGCTTGCTCTGGACGCCTCTCCCGACAGTGAGGGAGGTCCAGAATCGTGCTGGTTGACTGTTGACCTTTCAGGTGCAGTATGAAGAGAGGCAGAAGTTAAGTTGGATTCGAGCTGCTGGTGGCACTCTTCTGTAAGGACACGAGGCCTTTGCTCCAATTCAACGTGATCTACCGACGTCGGGTGAAGTGGTAGCAACTGGTTGTCGGGCTGGGGAGAAGTATCATCGACGATATGTGAAGTCTTCAACTCGGTAACGTCCGCAGCCGCGCTGGGAGCTTGCCGACATACTTGCATATCTCCATCGTCCTTCACACGGCCACGTTTTACCGGTTCATCCATGTCGTGAGGAAGATGAAACATGTCTTGCCGTTCTGAGTCAGTATTAGGCAACACTTCACTCATTCGGGATAGGTGTTGCGGTTCTCGGGCTGGCGGTAGCTGCTGCGTATATTGATCGTGAGCAGCCATACTGAGGTCTCCAACATGCTTCGATGTCAACATGTCAACAACAGCGTCCGCAACTGGAGGAAATTCAATGTGGATTGGAGAAGCTTCCCATTTCTTCGTTCTTCCCCGTTTCTGCGAATACTTGTATGTAGGAGAAGACATTGACGAGAACGATTGCTGTGGCGGCATTTGGTGCTCCGGCTGATCGTAAGAGCTGTTTCTTCTGAGCCAGTCCTCCACCTGTCGCGTTTTGCCATGCTCCTCTTCAATGGACCGGGGCAAGTCGTGGTCCTTCTTCCTCCAAAAGCGTATCTCGTCGAGGCTTTCTGCTCTTTTCACCGGCTGCTGTGAACTTTCTTGTTCCAGGGAAATCTTGGTCTGCATAGGGTGCGCTCGCGCGGACATTGAACACCTTCGAGACTCTGGCTGTTTGTGTTTGATATCCTCTTGGAGAGGGCTGGTCGCAGCTCGGTCTGATCCAACCTCAACTGCCTTCCTCCTAGCCCATGGGTTCTGCCACCCATCCTTGAACGGACCATTCAGCTGCGCCGTTGAAATGAACAGTGCTTCGCCACGCAGGTATGATGTTGCATAGGCCCCAATCCGTCGTCTCTTAGCCGCTCTCTCCTCCGTGTCTCGGTCCTGATTGCTTCCCCCATCATGGTATACTATCGTGTCTGCACAGATTGGGATCTCGTCGACGCAGACTGGGGATACCGGCCTCGGATATTCAGGTACTTTGACCCTGATGGGAGGCATGGCCAGATCAAAGGATGGCACGGGAGGTGCAATGCATTCGTGACTGTATATAGAATACCTCAAAAATGGCAGTGCAGCGTTTTCATAGGTAGAGTGAACCCCAGCGAGCAAATTGGTAGAGGTTGCTGGGCCGATAAGAGAAAGAAAATGCGCGTAAAGTCCGAAAGAGGGTCGCGCGCTACGCGTTGGAAAAAGTGGTGCATGAGGTTCTGTGGCAAGAGCGTGGCGTCACTGCTTAATGTCACACAGGCAGAAGGATGGTATCATAGTATCTCGAGATCTTCATCCTCAGCTCACACACCGGAGTGAAATGAGAGGGACGCGATGCTAGTAAAAAGACTCTGTTCCTGGCTATTTACAATTTTTTTAAGGATAAGGAAACTCGTAATGTTTTGCTCTGTTCAGCACCATCTGCGTGCAATTTTCACCATCCTTCACCATTACAACCTCTACCTAGTAAAGCAAGCACGCAAAGACAAACCACCGACTGAAAGGGTATCGAGGAATTACCAATGCAATCAAGTACCGACTCTCCAACGCATCAAACCGACCCACGCTAGTATGCCCATTTACTGAGTAACACCGTCGTAGAAGGTCTTGCTGCCAGTGTTTCCGCCAGACACGTTAGCACTGCCGTTGGTGACATCGCGCTTGCTGTCGAAGGCTTGGTCGACCTGGTTGCTGAATCCGCCACTCTGGCCATAGCCAGTTTGAGATCCAACACCCGAGCCCTGGTTGTAACCAGTTTGTGATCCAAGACCAACACCCTGACCGTATCCAGAAGCGTATCCAGAAGCACCAGTACCTTGACCGCTACCGTAGCCAGCGCCAGTACCATACTCGCTGCCAGTGCTGCCATAGTTGCCACCGCTTTCGTAGTTACCACTGCTTCCATAGTTGCCTCCGCTACCAGCACCCTGTCCGCTGGAAGAGAGGTTTCCCTCAGCGCTGGGGTGGTTACCGCCTTTGATGGCAGCACGACCGGTACCGTGTGGCTTTCTCTCGATTTGCCTAAGCTTGGGAATATCGGAGGAGGCACGAGCGGCTCCAAGACCAAAGATAGGAGATTCCCATCGGTCACCCTTGGCGGCGAGTTGTTTGTACTCGGTAGCCTTGGTGGAGATACCACCGGGTAGGTTGATGTTCGGGAACATGGAATCTTCCTTGGTGATAGCAATGTTGACCTCCATCTGGGAAGTCTTTTGCTTGGCCTTCTCCTTCTTGGCTGTCATCTTGTTTTGGTAAGCGTTGAAGTAAGTCTGGAAGACATTTTGGGCATTATCGGGGTCATTCGCGGCTGCTTTCGTGGCTTTCGCAGCGTCCTGGTAAATGCCGTATGCGAATTCGTCAGCCTTCTCAATAGCATCTCTGATCTGCTTCTCGATGACCTTCGTAATGACGGGCTTCATCAGCTTGAGCAATATCGACTTGCCGATCTTGAAGAGCAATTTGTGGTTGGACTGCTTAACCTTGATGGCCAAGTTCTTGATGACAACATCAATCGTGTCGACAGCAATGAAATGGGTGCGGTCGGCCTTTTGAGCGTTGCGGGCAGCAATCTTGAAACCAAAGCCTTCACCAGCAAGGATGATGTCCATCACACCCTTATCAGTGATTGACGGGAAACCTTGCTTCTTCTTGACATAGTATGCAACATCACGGAGATCCATCTGGATGCCGGAGGCGTGAATCATAATCTTGTTGTGGAGTTTGCTGTTGGCGCCCTTGCGGCCCATGCGGAAAAGACTATCGTTACCAAACTCGAGAAGATTGGGGAATAGGTTGTCGCTTTCAATGACCAGGTTCTCGACCACCATATCGATCATCGGGTCGGAAACCTCGATACGTGGGATTGGCACATAACGGGTGTTCTCGAAGATGGCAGGGATGATGACATTGGTCAAGTCCGTAATCAAGTGTGGCTTGAAAGTGGCGTTGCCGTTCTCGTCGTTACCGAGATCCAAGAAGAGCTTCTGGACTGCGTTGCCGAAAGCAGTGTTCTGCGGGTCTTGGTCGAATTGGTCGGTGAGGAACTTCAACTCGTCCACGACACGGTCGGTGTGGTTGCGGTAACGCTCACGGAGCAGGTGATGTCCCTGGTCGTAGAGTCTGTTCCACTCGTCGGTGGCAGAGTCTTGCAGAATGTAACCTTGCTCTTTCAGACACTTGCGAATGTATCTATCCATGTTCTGGAACCATTTCTTCAACTCCGGGTCGCGGTCGGCATCAGCGTAGATGTCGTTCAAGGAATCGGTCAAGTCGTCGAAACTTGTGTAATTGGCAAAGCGTTCAAGCAGAGTCTGTGGTTGTGTCAGCACGCTGTGTTGTGACAGTACAGATAATCAAAATACCTTGAAGTTCTTCTCAGCACGCTGAAGGGCACCATCACCATGGGCTTCCTTGACAGTACCAGTGGTCTGTTGAGCAATATTCTTGGAATGTCCGCCATAGGTTTCGGCGAGGTACAAAAGAGTGTCAATGGCCTCTTGGTCTGGTTCATGGTCAGTATATAAATCTAGAATCACCAGAATCCAAACGTACAGTCAGAGTGGCCCTGGATCTCCGCAACCATCTTCTTCAAACGGAAAACGGTCTGGTCACGTCGCTCCTGAGGAATCTTGTTGTTCACATAATTCTTGGAACGCTGAGCGTAAGCGTCTTTGGTCTCCCGTGCCTTGTCCTTGTGCTCGTCGGGAACATTCTGGCTGGCCGTCTGCTTCAAGTTTTGAACAGCATTCTTGGCACCGGCGCGGCCAGCATCCCGTGGGTCGTCAGAGGGATGTTGATCGGCAGACTCTTGTCCTTGTCGGAGAGCACTCTTGGCCTCGCCGGGTTGGATTGGGGTGTTCTTGTGGAAGGTGTCCTTGAGGTTGCCCTTGGAAAGATCAGGAGCGTCATGCCAAGTGTTATCCTCCGCGGGCTCATCAATGTTGTTGAGTTGGTCTTCCGATGGGTTGACTTTTGCGGCAGCCTTTTGTGCGGCGTCACCAGCCATGTCACGGGCGAGCACGGTGACATCGCTGAGAAGTTTGCGGAATTGACCGTTGGAGATGATGAGGCGGGCAAGTGTCTTCAAACCGTCGAGGGCTTGATTGCCGTGCTGTTGAGCAGTGCCTTTGTCAATTGGGGCGTTAGGAGTGCTGGCATTGGCACCATCAATGTTCTGGCAATCCCAGAGGAACTCCTGAAGCAGATCGCCCGAGTTCTTTGACAATAATAGGTATTTGGCTTGGCGAACGATATCCTTCACATCAGCAACTAGTGCTCGACCTTCTGAGGAAAGTCGCGACGAAGGAGAGGCCAAGGCCTTGGACTCGAGGAAGCTGTTGAGGGCGACATCGATCTGCTTGTTTGAGGGGGCCTTGCCGTTCGAAAAGGCTTGGAAGATTCCGTAGAGCTGGAGTTTCTGGTTGACGTCTTTGTCCTTGATGGCTAGGTTCGTGGGAACGTTGACGTTGGCCATGATGGCGATGGTAGGAAAGTGTGTTTGGTATGACTACAAAATGGGTATCACAATATTAGAGATCCTGAAAAGGATTAAAAGGCACAGCGGGTATCACAATGTAGAGGTGCTGGCCCTTGTAGCGCTGTTGTGATGATGGAGTGAAAGTTAGGTGAAGTTTTGAGAGTGTTTTGGGTATTGGGAAGATTTAAAAAGCAAGGAAGGGGAAAGGAAAAAGGGAAGAGAAAGGGCGATGATGTATATCTGTGATTTTTCTGCCGGACCTGGCAAGACCTTGGACCTGACCTTGAAACTGGGGGAGGGGGGGGCATCACTGTGCCAGTGTCCTTCGCATTACCTCACATCACTGTTTTTTACTACTAGTAGGTCGTTGCTTTGGTGGCTACTTGCCTCTTGTGGCACCAGACGCCAAACCAAACGAGAGCTTTGCCAGGTCACGCCAGGTGCACGCGCCCGCCTCCAGTTCCAAGTTTGGGTGCATAAGTTTAGTTAGGATCGAGGATCCCAAAGCATGCCCTGATCGACTACCGACGCCTAAGCAGAAAGCCACAAGCTATGGGCTGCTGTTGCTGGTCTACGAGCCGTACCTTGAGTCGGGGAGGCGTAAAGACCTACATCATCATTGGAATGGTGGAGCAGTCTGGAGATTTGATTGAAAGGGATGATGTCGACACAAACAAGACATGACATCAACCGACTCCATTCGGCCCAGAACAGGGAACTTGGCGTCGCTTCAATCACGATTCTCTACACGGCGCCAGATCTTTTCCCACGTTCTCAGGTCGACCAGGTTCATCCAATTTGTTCCTAATTAATGCATCTAATTCTTAACGTGCCACTAAGCGAGGGAATCCCTTGACAAAAACAGCCACCTCGACCCAGATCTTTGCAGGTTGAATTTCCAACTCCAGCCGCCTCCAGCCTCAACTCTGCTGTGGTACAACCTGCGCACGAGGCAACAGTGAGACAACAAGAACAGCCACAGCCATTCAATGCGCATGTTCCCACCTCCACCTCGGAACATTCCCCTTTCTCTACCGTAGAAAATGGCATCCAAGCCACTGACGCATATGTGCAAGGGCCAATGGTTATGCAGCCCGCTCTTTGACTTTTTAGCAGGAACGCGTCTCATCTCAGGCCACGACCCCAATGGAAAAAAGAATGCTCGATGAGTTTCGACCGAAGCTGATCCTGCCGTCGTCGTCATCATCAATCTCGGTCCAATCATGCTAGTCAATGGTGATCGAGAATCGATCTTCACATCCTGATGAACTCTCCCGGCAAGGAATGACGTTAGAATTGAGGGCGGGCCAACAAGAATCTAGATGGTCTTAGGATAATTGTTCCGCCAGTCAGAAGACAGCTTTGGACTTGGTTGACCTGGTTGGGGACAAATGTGGCTGGTGTTTCGCTCCCCTTTTTTCTCCTCGTTTCTTTCCAGCCACACTTAGTTCGGAATCGTACCGAAAGACTTCACGTGAGAGCGTGTCGCTTACCTGGGTACACATGACTACGCGTTTGTGCTGCCTCAGGCAATCCTTGTAGCCTTGTCGTGCCTGATATTTGCTGACAAAGTCGCCTTTGAGTAACTCGGAGGCGCCATGGTAGTACACTTGCGACAATGAAACATGATTGAGGGATGAGAAGTTGCCATTTGGCTGCTTTCAAGCAGCTACCGCCACAGCCTATTGATGTATTTTCTTGATCGCAGCTCTCGATCTACCTGCTTCTGATCCATCACCATCACAGTCGCAATCATGGCTAATCGATCGAGACCTACTGCCCCAAGACGCTCAGTGCGTAATCGCAAGAAACAGACCACCCTGCAATTGTCGCCTCTGCCTTCCTCTTCTCCAGCGAAAGAGAAATACAGTCCGGCTGTGCAAGACCGATTGGCGAGTGTGAGATATCATGGAGCAAAAGGATCCCGTCGAGAGGTAGATAAAGAAGCGGACGAGGTCGATATGCTTCCAACGCCAGAACCATCATCTCAGATTCGAGGTCGCGATGAGAGTAGGTTTGCACAATCACTCTCTGCCTGGGATGCACTCACACTCCCAGACCAAGGGAATGCGCAGGCTTCGCTGTTGTCCTCCCCTACCCCGGTCCGGTCGGTCAATGTAGTCGAAGAAGACGATTCGAATGAAGACGATCTCATACAGTCGGCCAGCAAGAGACGAAGACTGTCCCCTCACAAAACCTCGACCAACCTCACCAGCTCTCCGCCACCACGACGGTCGGCCCGGTTCCACTCTGGAACATCGTCACAATTACATGAGTTAGCAATAGAGCCTGAGGATTCGCCTGCGGCCAGACGGTCTGGAAGACGGCGAAGAAGGTCATCACCGCAGTCTGCCCGGTCACAATCTCAGTCTCCTCAAAGCGTTGTTTCCGTTGAAATTGCTACCCCACCACGCCCTACAACTACAATGTCTGACCTTGGTTCTGCCGAGACCAGCGACGAGGATGACAAGATACTAGCTTCGATGCCGACGTCGCGTCGGCGGAAATCCAAAGCTGTGACCGATGACCCATTTGTCGTTAGTGATGATCATGTTCGCTATGTTTCTGACGAGGACGTCCCATCAATCCCTACAAATAAGTCTCGGAGAAAGAATTATGAGGACGACTTTGTTGTAGGTGATGAGGACATCGAGTACGTCTCGCTCGAGGAACACGATCGAGCTACAGCAAATAGTCGCTACGCTCGTAAATTGTCCCGATCGCACAAATCCTCACGAGAATCTCGCCGGCAGGCGGAGCAGGAGCAGGTAGAGCTGGAAGAGGATCTGCAGGACCTACAAGATTCGGATCATGATGACGGTGCACGAAAGACGCGTACGAGAGGTGGGCCGGTCACAACTCAGCGGGACAAAGCGCGAGAGCATTTTGACCTCCTCAGACGACGACGCGCGGGTGAAAAGGTTCCTCGAGTAGTGGATTCGGATGACGAAGAGGAAGAGGAAGAATCAGAAGGTGTGGATATCAATTACATTGGAAGGCCGCACGAAGAGATTCTCAGTGTCCATTCCTCTGTCGACACAGATCAAGAATCCGTACAAGAATCAGTCCAGGAGGAGGAGGATGACTTTATCATCGAAGAAGACTCAGCAACTGGACGATTCGGCCGACCTCATCCGGATATGCCACTACAATTCACCTCTTTTGCATCTTCGAAACCACGAGATCTCTTCCCTCACATTATCGAGTGGCTAGTCAAAAACAAAATTGCTCCAGCCTTCTCCCGCGATGACGAAGTGTTCAGTCTAGCATTTGACCGTCTCGAAGATCAAGTCAAAGCACAAGCAGGTAGCAGACTGATATCTTCCGCTTGGGGCAGTGACTTCAAGAGAGCAATCCTCGCACGACCAGGTATGAAAGTGGTGGCACTACCTGGTATGGATGAGGACAATATGCGTACCTGCGATGCATGCAATCGAACCAACCATCCTGCGCGGTACGAGTTTGTTTTCTCCGGCGAGCCGTATTACAAGAAGACGCTTGAGCCTGTAGACACTTCTGACGACGAAGATGAAGAAAGCCACGATGATGGACCGTCATATGATGAGAATGGCCACATTCTCCCTTCTGTCCATCGACGTTACTACCTAGGTCGTTTCTGCGCAGCGAATGCGGAGATGGGCCACAAATTAACGCACTGGAAGTATCATTTGAACGAATCTCTTATGGCATACCTCGAGGAACAAGGTGTGTTGTCGGCCGATGCTATCGTAGCGCGCGACAAAATGAACAAGAAGAAGCGGGAAAAGGAAGCCGAAAACGTTGTCGACAGCATGGAAGAGATAGGCGTCATTGGTGAGATGTGGAAGGATTTTGAGAATGATTTGAATGATGCGCGATTGGGTATGGAGGACTTTGAGAAGAAGGGCGGACGCTCCAAGGGACGTGTTGGCGCGATCAGATCGACGGCGAATGGGCTGGTCAGAGAGTGGTCTGGGGACAGGTACCGCGTTACGAAAGCGGCAGATTCGGATTCTGAGGGAGACTGAGCCGTCCTTGGGAGGTCATGAGGCTGCATGTTCTGGATAATTTGCCATGCACATTTTGGCTATTTAGACAGGATGCTTGAAAGAGATGTAGCAGGGACGACATGGAAGTGGGCTGACGTGCTCTGCACAATTCACAGCCACGTAGCCAATACGCAAACATGGACAGATAATGATGGGTCTTTCTGTTCATTCCTAAAAGTTTTGATTCCGTGCTTGCACAGACATTAAAATTCTTGTAGGGTAGAGACGAGATCGTGAGAATCCATTGCTCTCTGTAATCGGTCATCGAAGGCTGCGGTCCCGGTCAAACCAAGTCCTGTCCTGAATCCCGACTTCGACTCATGTGTTGTTGTGTGTTTCCTCCATATCGTACATATCCTACCTCTCTTCCTGCACCGGTTCTGCGTCACGGCCTTCCACGATCAGCAGCCGCAGACACCGCACTCTCCTCCACATACTCCTACACAATCATCCCAGACCATACTTTGATACAAGCAGGGATAGCCGCTCCAGAAGACATAGCCAACCCGGTCCCGAGTCAGATGTCATGCGGATGTGTATGCGCACAATCATGCCCATGCTCATGCTCATGTTGCCCAGCAAAGATATCTTACAACGAAGCCTTAGTCTGCCCTTGCTGCTGTTCCGCACCCCCACTCCCACTCTGGATCAACCCAGCAGCACCCTCGGCCATCATCTGCTGTTGTCTCTCCTGCTCCAGGAACTGCTGCTCCTCACCCAACGCAAGCGCGTACGGGATACCAAGCAAAAGCACACTCGTCGCGAGCACCCACAGGCCCTTTCCGGAGTAGTTGACGGTCGTCGACGTCGCGGAGACTACGCTGGAAGTCACGCTCGAGATCCGCGCACGGGCTTTAGGAGGGATGATGTCGCGCAGGGCGATGATGCGGTCGTACAGGCTTTCGTCAATGTCGCCGGATTCCGAGGCGGCGTCGTCGGAGACCTCGGAGTCTAAATACACCATTCATCAGTATTTGCCCAGGTGGACAAGCACGCATGGACGTACCGGTATCAGTGTAGTCTTCGTCATCATCAACAAGAAGTTCACCGTCGGTGGTGGCTTCGGGCTTGTTGACGAAGTGCTCGTCTTCGAGGACTTCGAGCTTGACCATTTTCGCGGAGAATGTTGTGTTCGAAGTTGGTGTGTTTTGATTGCTAGTCGATACTGTTCACTCTGTGATGGAGTAATTTGCGCTTACAACACGGAAAGGTCTTGCGTGTGGGAAGATGTTGAAATGCTGAAGTCGTGAAGCTCTTGCAACCGGAACCTGCAGCATTGCGTCGAGACTTTTTGAAAAGAGCCAGCCTCGTCTTGGCTCAGTTAGCAAACGTGACAAACATCTCAGCCTTGCTCCTACTTTCGGATACGGCCTCGAACCATTCCACGACTTTCAACTTTCGGCTTAACGATGACAACCACCCTGAATATTTGGCAGTCTAAATGGTTTGGAAACTGAGCGACGTCCTTCAAAAGTCGCAGGGGGATCACATATTTGGTGGCGAATGTGTCTACAACCCAAGTGGTGTCAGTAGTATTGACGCTGAGACGACGAATAAATTGGAATAATTTAATACTCCGGTCCAGTTCCACAGACAGAGGCTTTACAGCAGCAGTACACTTGGGCTCTTCGCATGGGTTTGGCACAACGAAATGTGGTCTAGTCGTACCAGTGGGATACATTCGTTCAATGGACACAAGCCTCAGACTTCATTACATCAAAAAGCTGCACTTGAGCACGGTTTGGAAGAATGCAAGTCCTATCAACCCAGGGATTTATCAATACCACCTCCCTAAGATCCATCTCATTCTCGCACCAATCTGCATTTCGTTCTCAGGATACGGCAATCAACGCCCTCGTTTACCCATGTTCGTGGTGTAATGTCACATCATCATGGGACCCGCGATACTCACTGATGCCACAGTTGTCGCCCTCCAGTCGTGACCGCCAGAATTTGCTCTTGCATACTGTCCATCTGTCTGACTTCAATACCAGCGTCTTCCAGTCTTTTCCTGCCATCGTCCGAGAGCACCAGAATTCCAGGCTCAGATATGCCAAAGTACACAACTCTGATGGAGTCTTTGAGTTCCAGTAACCTGTCCACACACGACCTTGAGCCACTCAATCGTTCATTGCAAGGTTCCATCGTGGTATAAAGAACGGTGTTGGTCGGCAAGACGTCCCCTACTTTCTGTTCGGGGATGTCGTGACTCTCTGCAACTTTGATGATGCAACAGTGTTCCGCATGTATTGTGCCACCATCGGAAGGTAGCTCGGAGAGCAGTTCAGAGGTATATCCGGTCGAGAGGATCTTGCCTGTGTCGCCATTGACAAGGACAGCTCCGACGTTGAACTTGGTTGGAGCTGGAGGTGAAAGACAGGCTTGTTCGAGTGCGTACTCCATGAACGCCTTGTGATCGTCCCGGGCGATGGTAGAATGAGAGGACGCTGTGTCCATATTGAATTCGATGAACTTTGCCGCAAGTGATCGATTGGGTGTTTAAGGATGCCTGAACCTCTCGTCGAGGAGTAGTGGATGATCTCTTGGGTTTAGCATACATGCAAGACTAGTCTGCGAAACAGAAAGGTGGGAAGTCGACTGATGCAGGGAGTCGTTGAAACACGACGCTCATGGCAGGAGCTGTGAAGGTCAGAAGTAGAAGGAGTAATAGTATAAGCCCTGTTGAATGCTCTTTCCATACTTAACTTCGAAGCTATGGTAACAACAACCAGTCCGCTGCCTGCTCGATACAATAGGCATTCCCTAGCCGAAGTCGTGAATACAGCTTCACAGAGCCGACCTTCCGTCTGCGTTAACGATTCAAGACCGCACTGTCGTTGCGGCGAAATCCAGTGTCTGGGTCACTACCCGAGAAACTGTGTATTGCAAGTGGTGCACATCTAATATAAAGGCTCATGCGTGCGTCAATAATATCATACCGTCGTAATCAGGATCCTCAGTCCCAAGGTACTGCACTGGACCGCATTCAAAAGTCCCATTCCACGAGCATCCCATCAGCCCCTCTCATCTCGCCACCCGCCAGACCATCCTTCTCGTCATCACTACCGTTGTCGACACCTTTCTTCTTCTTCTCCTTTTCTTTCCGAACCACGATCTTCGGAGGCGCTTTGTCCCTTTGCACCTTGCGCAAGAGGCTGGGAATGTGCTGCCGTCGTGACAGTCCAACACGGTACGTTGTTTTCTTGCCGCTTGACGAATTGGATGCCTTGATAGGAGAATGCGTCATAGGCCCCTCGTCCGCAATCGAACCTTTTGACGGCGTGACGACAACAGCCATCTGAAGTACATTTTCCTTCTCGGGCGATGCCAGCCGAGAGGGAGCTTCAGATAGAGGTGACATTGTGGGTGCTTTCGGCTCTCTGTAGACGTTCTCTCGTTGATGATCGCTCGTCAGATTCGTAGACTTGTCGGCTAAAGCTGGTCTGGCCTCTTCCATCTCCTCCTCTTTATCTTCTTGGACTTCTACCTGTGGGAGTGGCTGGAGCTTTTTGGGTTTCCGTCCTCTCTTCTTCGGTGCCACCCCAACGTCCTTAACCTCCGTAGGGATCTCAACAGTTACTTTGCTTTCCGTCTCGTTTACAAACGTGTTAAGACCTTGGGTTTCCTTGCCCTCTGTGCTCTCGTGATTCTCCATCAACTCCGTCTCCTTCTTGAGCACGCTTAGATCGGGAGGCAGGTCCAATTTGACAGGGGTCGGCTTGGTGTCCATCCAAACAACGTCTTCTTCTCCCTCACTGAGCATCGGTTCAGCCGTTTTGAGCAACGCAGCCGCAGACGTTTTCGCCCGCTTCACCTTGCTCTTCCGACCTTTCTTTGTACTGGATTTGGCGGATCCACCGGCAGGAGTCTGTTCAGCTGGTTCCTCGAAATCTACAATTTCGTTTCTGGCAGGAGTTTGTTGTTCGGTTTCGTGTACCGAGACGGCTTCTTCCTCAGCAACTTTCTTGGACCTGGATCGGCTAGGGCGCGGCTTGTAGTTGTCTTTCGGCAAACCAATCATCGCTTCATCACTGAGATGCAGCTCACTTGTTGGTTGTTTTACCGGCGATTCTTCGGCGGGTGCTTCCTGTCCAGCTTCTCCCATGACTTGTTTAGACTTCCCGCTCTTTCGCTTCTTCGATGAAAGATTTGTGGCCGATGTCTCAGATGCTTGGGATACCGAGTCGACAGTGCCCTGCCTTGTTCTGCTTACGTGTGGCAGATCTGGCAACGCAAACTCGTCCATGTCGTTCAAGGCGCCAGGAGCCGGAGACTCGGAAGATATCCGGGGGTTCTTTGGCTTCCGTCCGCGTTTCTTAGGCTGAGGCTTCTCGACGACAGTATCGATAGGCTCTGGTTGTTCAAGTATGGTCGCCATCGCAACTCCTGATCTAAAGTCATCGATTGGTGCTGGGCCGATCCCAACCCCATCATTTTGCATGATCACGGAAGGATCCACGAACGAGGGTCGTGTGGGAGAAGACTGAAATAGGGCAGAAAGTGCCTGATGTGGGAGAAGCTCATCCGTTGAGATGGATGGAATGGCCTGTTGCTGGGTCATTGTCTGCTGAGCGTCTGTCTGCATGATAGTGACGCTGTTGTCACCTTCAGCTACAATGGATGCTTGACTCAGGGAGCCAAAGGGATTGGTATGAATGTCGAGTCCTTGATTCGTGCCACGAAAGTCCAGATTGATTGATTCATACTGTCCCATTGAAGCCGTGGACGTAGTTAGTCGATGTGTCGAACTCGATAGTGAATGGTCAAGGAGATTGATTGATGGACCAGCATTTGGCAATGAGTTGAAAAGGTTCTGGCTTAGTCCATCTGTTGACTGAACTGCTATATTCTGACTGTTGGTACTGGCGGCTAGCGAGGGCTCGCCGGTAGGATTGAACAAGTCGATGTCCTTCAAGGCACCACCCCGAGACTTGGATGAGTGAGCATATGTTTTCGTCCTTTTCGAGGCCGAGACTTGCGCAAATTCATCATGTTGTAATCTCCCCGAGCTCTTCTGTAATTCACTGTGGGCTCGTTTCTTTCCTTGCGCTACGGGCGAGATTTCGCTCGATCGCTTGCCCATCAGAACATCAGAACTGTCGCTGGGTAGTCCTGCCAATAATTCGCTCGCTGTCGGCGCGCCGTTCACATGACTTGGTGAGTTTGATGAGAGTCTCTGAGTAGGATCTAGAAATTGGTCGAAGTCGTATCTTGACAGTAAGACCTGACTTGGGTCAACACCTCCATCGGCATTACCAGTTGCCACCATCTGTTTCACAGGTGAGTGAGAATCTGACTCAGCGTCCGAGTCCGCGATTTCAGGCGCCATCGATCAGTTTACGATTTGTACACATTGGTCATGACATAATGTTTTGGTGTCTTGCAAGAACAACAGTCTGGGAGGCGAAGACGCGAGAAGACGCGTAAATGACAATAAAAGGTGATTACATAAGAAACGCAAATCCACGTGACGGTCTTCAGTATCCGGGCAAGCTGAGCAGAGCAACATCTTACTTACCACGGCATAGCCTATGACCGTGGGAGACGGCTACATTACGAGGATGTTGAACTCGTCAAGGTTTACGGTATGTAGCCTTTGAACGTCCTCCAAAGCAAGTCCGGTTTCTGGACGCATCTGTCGCTGGAGGAAGCAGTTCGAATCAACGAAGGAAGGAAAGATGCCGCATCGCACAGTAGACCAGTTCAACACCTCCACGAAGCTTACACGCGCTTGCCAGCATCTACCTTTCTCTTGCTGACCAGACTGCAACTTTGACCATACCCCTGAACTGGCACCTGGATCCAGGCCTCAGCAGGAGACACAAAAGATGTGCAGGAACAATTCCAAACAAGGCGAATCGAGCAGCGCATATCCATGGAATCGGTTGCAACTTGTCGGCTGCTGTGTCAGTCTGAAAGCCTGCTTGGGACCTTGTCTCCGGAGACTATTGTCTGTCCGCAGACGCGAAGGGTTCCGAAAGTACGGTCACAGTGTGGACTGTGGGCGAAACCATCGACAGCGTGATGGTCTTGTCTCATCAGTTGGACAGTCCAAGTCAAACCAATGCAGGTGCAAGCTTGTCAGTCTGCGGACTTTGCATTCCCTGACAGCGCCCTACTGTAGGCGAAACCCATGGTAAGCATCCGAAGGTATGATCGCCACTTCCACGATCCTCCTGTTTCATATCATTTTTTGGATGTGTACACCCATGTCTTCGTGGAGCCGATCCTCAGCCTCAACGGACGCCCAAGACTGGATCGGTGCAGACGGGTTCATCGTGCCACAACAGCGGCCCGAGATACGTGGCTCGACTAGATCGTGGTCAACGGTGTATGCGGACTGTTTCTTCCGCAACGCGGCAGTTATAGTGTCATATATGCATCAACGAAACGTGCAAAGATAGCGTGTAGGGATTGGTCCGAGAACCAGTCGGTTGAGGTGGGAAAAGCCGCGGATCCCTGCCATGTTGCCAAACGGCTTTGCCAGGGGATATTGTTCTTTCGAGAAGAACGGTGTAGGGATCCTCAAAGGCGAAGAAACACACTGATCAACAATAATAGGAGCCTGAGATCAAAAGATATTCTGCTAGGAGGTCGATGGCCGGAAGTGTAAACTAGCAACGGAAAAGCCCTTTGCAGTGCATATCGCAGATAGTCGCTGTCGCGGAAATCCATTTTTTCGCACTGCAATAAAGGCAACTATGTCATTGTCGCACAAGGATTGATTCTTCCCGTCTCTCTCTCCCACTTCAGACTGCGCTGGGCCGTTTCTTCACCAATCTCCCCTGCTCAACGGTCGCCACCATCCGGACATCGAGTGTCCAGTCGCATTCACAGAGAAATTGTGAATAAACGGAAGTGTCAATTGACCCCCAATCGAGGACCCAACAACGACATCGATAGCCGTGCGCATCTTTGTCGATCAACCATTCAAAACACTCCTTTCACCGAATCATCTCAACTCTCGACACCGAGCCTCTCACTGCTCCACGTGCCTGATATTCGCCCACTCGATCAATCTTTCCACGCCTTGACCGCCTCCTTCCGAATACTACTGTACCTCCTCCAATCCTGCTTTGTAGCACGTCGACATTCTCTGCGTCGCCCTGGCGTTATTGCTTATTTCTTCGGCTCTCACCTTCCACCCCTCCAAGACCGACCACTCCTAGCGAATCATCATTCCACGCCCGAAGCAATCCCTGCCTCCCAGCTCCTTGCCAAATGTCCTCCCCATGTCCAGTAGCGTTCCCGCCGGAAGACCGTCCGCGCAAGCCTCGACGGTAAATGGACAGAGTCTCCGCCATGACTCTACTTCCTCTTCAACCTCAACAAGTCCCTCGTCGAGCTCGAAACCGATCTCAATCTCACGGGGGACGAAGGGGACGCAGAAGAACCATGGCAGAAGCCCGTTATACAATACTACACGGGTAGCCGACTGGGGTGGGAAGACACCTCCCTTGTCCGAGAGAGACAGCATTTTTGCCGACCACTATGTATCTCCCCCAAGCGATCCTTCCTCTCCAGCAGAGACAATAACCCACCAGTCGTCATATCCCAAGTCATCGCGGAAGGCACCGGGCACAATGTCGACCATGGTAGCTCGAACTCTTTCTCCACCAGAGTCCTTTCCAGTCACTCGCCCTCAATCCCCCGGAAATTTCGAATGGTTGAAAAGGTCGGACTCTTCTGAGAACACTTCTCGCCCTTCTACAGGTACAATACATGGTATTAGAAGGATCGCGTCAGAGGGACATCCGTGGGTCAAGAAATTCCATGTCACGGTTCAACCTATGGAGGAACAGGATGTCGGCGCTGAACAAGGAATCGGTCACAAATATGAGCAGCGTCCCAACACAGCCCCGGACGTCCCAGATACGTCTGAACATGATGAGACTGGCCACGGCCCCTCCGAAAGGGGTGGATCCATGCGGGCGGCATTCAAACAAGGCCCTCGTACGGAACGAAGTGTTAGCCGGGGTCGGCAACATGTTGACAAGAGTATTGAAGCAACTGTTAAGAATCCAGAGACAAGTGGAACAGCTCGAAGCAGGAAGGCCAGCCATATGATGGGCATATTCGATCCTCGCTCCGAGTCTCAAACCCTGTCTGTTGTCGGCGAGCTGAGTCGGCAACTCGCAGCGAGCAGAGTGCCGTCCAAGCCTTCTTCTCGGCCCACCACTCCTGGCGACCAAGATATCATTACCCTTCGGACTGGTCGAAGAGGTTCCAAAGAATCCTTTGATGTCGTTCCTGCTATTCCATCACTCCCAGATGAGGACGTACAAGAAGGACTTCCCGAGACTGAAGGTGACACTCCGTTTGTGTTGCACCATGACCCATATTTTCGCCAACAGGACCTGACCCAACATCCACATATGCCTGCAAACTTGCTGGAAGAGATAAAAGGAGCTCATAAGAGGAAGACCACGTCGGACAAAGGAGAGGGCGCCCAGCGGCAAAATGCTCACATAAATGGATATTCCGACGAACCCAACAAAGGCCGGCGGGAAGATGAGGAAGAGCATATTTCTGCTGCTGTCTACTATCCTCATCCAGGCCCGTCACCGGAAGAGATCGAACGCTTCACATCTCCAGGCGAGCTCACCGCCAGAATTCAAGCTCGCATCCCTGCCATCGACACTGCTTCTGCCCCTGAGGCAGCCGTTGACACGGCGGTGGGTACTGAACACATTGACATTTCAGTAGTATCCAAGAACGAGAAAAAGATCTTCCACGGAAATTACCGGCCTGTCGATGAAGAGAGGGCGAATCCGCCCACTCCAGCTCTTTCGCCAGTTGAGGAAATCCCAGCCAGCGCCGTGGTCAGCGCTTCAGAATCAGAATTTGAATCTGGAGATGAATATGGTTTGACAAGTCAGACGGACGATATGTCGACGACTCCAACACAAAGAAGCACACTCATCAGGAAGCCCAGCGAAACGCGCGCATCGCACACCAGAGCAAAGGTCGTGCTCGAGCCATACAGACACCAGGTCGGCGGCCACTCAACGATTTTTCGGTTTTCACGACGAGCAGTCTGTAAACAGCTGAACAACCGGGAGAATGAGTTTTATGAACGAATCGAGCAGAGACACCCTGACATGCTCAAATTTCTTCCCAGATATATTGGAGTACTGAACGTCACTTTCTCCAAGGGGTCAAAACAGTCGCAGAACTCCGAGTCGCTAGCTAACGATGAGGTTGGGGCCAAGGATTCAAATCGATCGGAATCGCAGCAACCTGAGGCTCAGCAAACGACCGGATCTGATGTTGCCAAGATCTCCCAAACGTGCGAGCAACCACGCATTGTCAGCCACTCGCAGCAAATCGGCACAATTCCTCAGGTCATTTTGGAACAAAACAAACACATTGTCCCCTCGAATTATTTTGACTTACCGGAGCGACCTCGAAGCGCCGATCCGAACCATGGACGACGGCGCAGCAAGGACTTTGACCTGTCATCTGCCCAGGTTCATGATGAGCTTCAACAACCCAAATCTCCTACCCGTCCTTCAATGCCTGAACACTCGATCAGCTGGGGCAACACCTCTGTTAATGAAGGTCTGAGAGATAAAGTTCTCCGGGAAGTCTTTGGACCTCCTCCAGTCCAATACTTTCGACGCCATCTCCATAACCACAGTACAGTGCCTCGACTGCGGGGTAACCATGCTAGTCGCAAGAGAAGCAACCTCTCTGTGAACTCGCTGCCGCCCACGGAGGGTGGCATAGTCAAGGAGGTAAAGGAGCAACCTGAGAAACCGGGCACAGATAATGACACTTTACACGTGACGTGGCAGAACAAAATTCCATCACAAACCAGCCAGAACTCGTCAGACAGCTTGTACTCGTCTTCAGCATCTGTATATGAGGACTACAAATACACCCTGGAGCAAGTCAAGACTACTGGGAGCGACATATCCAATGCTTCAAGTACCGAAAACAAATCATTCGTCAAGCGGCGTCACTCTGGGATGGGCCTTCGACGTAGACGTCAGTCGGTCAATGACAAAGGAAATCCCGACCTGGAGTATTTCGAGAATGAAGCTTACTCAACTGATGTTGGTCCAGATACAGGAACTGACGTTTTCGCCATGGATCAGGAGCGACAATCTGACAGCTTCGGCAAGAGCCTGAGAACATCAGAAGCACCCAGTGCCGCCAGTGAGGCAGTGAGCATTGAGGCAAAATCTGATAGCCCACCACTTGCTATCCGCAAATCGAGACAACGGTCTGATGGGAGTCTAATCCCCGCCAATCCGAAGGAGGCTCAATCGGCGGCCGCTGGGGATCGAGTGGCATACTTCATTCTGTTGGAAGATCTCACCAGTGGTATGGGGCGCCCTTGTGTGCTGGATCTCAAGATGGGCACGAGGCAATATGGGGTTGAAGCCACCAAAAAGAAGATGGAGTCTCAACGCCGGAAATGCAAAATGACGACATCACAACAACTTGGTGTTCGGATTTGTGGCATGCAAACGTTTGACGCAAAGGCTCAGAAGGTGTCCTACGAGGATAAATACTATGGTCGTGATCTCAAGGCTGGACGTGAGTTCCGTGACGCACTTGTCAGGTTTTTGTACGACGGCATCAGCTATGCGAGTGTGGCACGACACATTCCGACGATTTTGCACAAGTTGGAAAAACTGGAGAATATGGTAAGGCGGTTACCTGGCTACCGACTTTATGCCAGCTCTTTGCTGTTGCTTTACGATGCCGAACCACACAGGTCTCGTGAGGCTGAAGAAGCGGCAAGAAATGGTCACGACATTGCTCAACTGAAGAAAAAGGAGGGCAAGAAGTGGCCTCCACCAATCGATATTAAGATCGTGGACTTTGCCAATTGTGTGACTGGTGAGGATGAACTTCCGCCAAATGCTCAGGCTCCGCCAGCTCATCCAAAGGACATTGATCGAGGTTACCTGCGAGGTCTGAGGACCTTGAAAGCTTATTTTGAACACATCTTGAGCGATATCAAGAACAACGATCTCAAGGAAATAAATGGGAGGGAGGAGTTGACCAATGACACCAACGACTTTTCCAAGGAGCTGCCGACTTCTAGTGCTGAGGTGGCAGTCGAAGAAGAGGGAGAAGTCAGTGTATAGCGGGTTGAACAGGCAAGGGTAAAGACTATGACGGAGCAATCCAGAATCTTTTTGTGTGCTGAGTCCTTTAGCGAGGAGTATGGTGTTCATCTTTCAACACAGGCATGTGTGTATGAACACAGGGTGTCCCAACGGCTGGTAGGCAATTGACCATTGTCGTCAGGGTCACAAGATGGCCAGGTTTCAGGTTGTCGTTGGAGGCGTTCTGAGCTCTTACACTACGTACCTGGGTAGTAGTAGTATTGTAAACAACAGTCATGTAAAGAGAGACCCCAGTTCATCCCCAGGGTACCTGGTAAGTGACCTCGTATCAACACATGCACCTGGCATGGAGCGGTGCAGTATCGGCCCACCTCGGCACCTGTTCTGGCCGCCGATTCACCCCTGGCACGTGATCCGCAGTTTTCCAACTTCACCGCAAGGACTAGACTGCACTGCTCTTCGATCGACAGAAAAGTGCCCTCCACATTTGCCATTGCGCCTCTTCTGGATTGCTTTTGCTGTTCCAACACGCTCTTTATCTATCCTGCGACTGACCTTGCTTGACATTCGAATACCACCTTCGCTTTCACGACCGCCCAACATGACAACAACTATAACCCGTGACAATGTCACGACGCTCTTCCCCGAAATCCACACCCGCCTCATCGGCGACGAGCTGGCGCCCAATGCGACCGAGGGCTCTTCCTCCAGCTCCAAGTCAGATTCGTCAGAGGAGGACCTGTTAGCCGGCTACGACGAAGAACAAATCCGGCTCATGGACGAACAGTGTATCGTGCTAGACAACAACGACATGCCGATCGGGTACGGGTCGAAAAAGACATGCCATTTGATGTCCAACATCAACCGGGGACTACTCCACCGGGCGTTCTCAGTTTTCCTATTCCACCCCGAAACGAAGAAGTTATTGTTACAGCAGCGGGCCTCGGAAAAGATTACATTCCCTGATATGTGGACGAATACATGCTGTAGCCACCCTCTTGCGCACCCACAGGAAGCAGGCCGGGGCGATCTGGAGAGTAATGTCCTCGGCGCGAAGAGAGCGGCGATCAGAAAATTGGGCCATGAGCTGGGCATCAAGGCCGAGCAGGTCCCGTTGGAGAAATTCGAGTATTTGACACGGATACATTACCTTGCGCCGAGCGATGGGCATTGGGGCGAGCATGAGATTGATTATATCTTGTTTGTCGAGGCGGATGTCACGACGGAGGCGAATAAGAATGAGGTGCAGGACACGAGGTGGGTGAGTCCGGATGAGTTGAGGGGCATGTTTAGGGACGTGGAGGAGCAGAGTGGGAAGGATAAGGCGTTGAAGTATACGCCTTGGTTTCGACTGATTTGTGAGGGCATGTTGTTTGAGTGGTGGGAGAAGTTGGTGCAGGGACGGCTGGCGGAGGTTACGGGGGAGAAGGAGATTAGGAGGATGTAAAAACATAACATGACAGACTCGTTGAAAGGTCGATGAAAGTGGTTGATGGTAAATACCTAGGTGGTCAGGTCGAGGCATTTGCTCGTTCGTGAGTCGATGGTCGGCTACGCTGGAGGAAAGGGGGTGTTTGAAAGCGCAGGCGTAGGGGACTGTTAATGGGGCTGGAAAATACGATACCCAATATTACAAGCATGTTATTCGAAGACGTGATGGCAGGAAAATGTGATGCGTTGTGTGCTCGTCTAAGGAAAGGATGCCCCTGAGTCGTTGTAGGGGGACTGACCACGTATTTCGAGGTTGAGAGGGAAAGGTGTGCACTCTATGAGGATACTGAACATGTCTCGAACATTGTCTATATTGTAATTCGATATCGTGCTGAACTGGTCCTGTACGTCCTGTAACCACAATCATAAATTTCTTCATTAATATGCTTTTTCAAATTTTTCACATGTTGGCACCGCCCTCTTGATTTCTCTGTCTCGCCTCCTCCACGCTACGCTGCCAGTCAGTCCGCATGAGATATGTAAACTCGATCAGTGCAACAAGACCCAACGCCAGGGCCACACCTGTCCAGAGACCCCAAAGACCCCAGTCCTTGCCGAAGGCGAGACCAAAACTAAGCGGCAAAGCGAAGACGTAGTAGCAAAAGAGTTGAACATAGCCACCGAACTCTTGCCGTCCCAAACCACGAAGAATACCATTGCACGCTGCAGCCAGTGCGTCGAAGAGCTGGAATGCAGCGCACAGAGGTAAAATCTCGGCCACAATGCGGATGACCTCTGGGTCCGAGGTGAAAAGCCGAGGTATATAAGACCTCAACGCGGACAGGAGGGTCACGTTGAAAACACCAACGACCACAGCGGCGGAGAAGGTAACCTTTGTGCTGACCTTGGCGGCATCGGCGAGAGTGGCGCCGATGAGATTGGCCACACGGGTTGAGCCTGCAATGGACAGAGGGAATGGAATTTGGAATGTGATGGACGTGAGTGTGGCAACCACAGATTGTGCCGCCAGCACCGTCGTTCCAAAATAAGAGGCGGCAAATGTTAGGACTTCAAAAGCCAGAACTTCAGCCTCGATCATGAGCACACCAGGTAACGCAAGCTTGATCATGGGGACCCAATTTTGCAAAGCTTTCTTGGTGAAGCCGTTCCAGCACGACATGCCAGACTTGGAGACGAAACGTACGTAGATGAACAGACCGAGCGGAAGGAGGTTGTCCGTGATGGCGACAGCGAGAGGCGCACCAGCAAATCCCATTCCGAATCTCCACACAAACAGCCAATTCATCAAGGCATTCAAGGGGGCGCAGAAGAGAAGTACGTAAAGCGCAGCGGAGAAGAGACCTTGCGCTTGTGCGTATCGCTTGCCGGCTTCGAAAGCCGCATAACCCGGTGCACCAATTAGAACAATCTTGAGATATAGACCGGCAAGTCTGGCAACCTCGGGTTCGGGGACAATTCTGAGCAGGATGCTCTCGGCAAATAGCCAGACGACGGCGATTGGAATTGTGATGGCCCATAGGAAGAAGATCATGCGTTGCATTTGTAGACCGACGAGCTTCTTGCGTCCGGAGCCATAAGCCTGGGCGCATAGTGTGTCAAGCGAGGTTGCCAGGCCTTGATAGATGGCATAGCCTGTGATGTTCGCAGACATGGAGGCGAGACTGACGGCTCCGAGTTCGACAGTGCCAATATGTCCGACTGTGAATATGCTGGCCACTGTCAAAGAGTACTGGAGAAGGAATGTCACCATCAGTGGTGCAGAGTATCGGGCAATGACCTTGGCTTCGCGTTGCCAAGTGGTGTGAATCATGCCAGCAGCGACTGCTTCTTCCCATTTTGCCTCAATGTTCTTCGCGTCGGCTTGGCCGCCATAAGGGAGTGTTGGATCGCCAAGCAGAGGAGAGGCTTCGGATGCGACGCCCAGTCCGCCATCTAGGGCTGGTGTGGACTCCTCATCCTGGGAGACCTTGCGGTTGCCGCCTGGGATTCCAAGGTAGCTGCCGAAAATACTCTTCTTCCGGCCGCCTTCATCGGTTTGAGGGTGTTTGGGCGGAATGATGTTGTTGTCTCGCAGCAAACTTCTTTCCTCTTCTAGTGCTCGTTCTCTTTCTTCTCTGGACAATCTTTCGTGTTCGGTAATTCGCCGTGGAAGGATGGTGGCTCGATTTCCAGCTCCGGCGATGCTGGGTCGACGATAGGACCCAGCGAAAGAATAGGCATTTGGGACCGATGTGGACGGTCGCAGCGTTGAGCCTTCAGAGTCGGAGTCTGATTCTGCGGCTTCCTCGTCGTCGGTATCTTCTTCGATGTCTCGGGCTAAAGATGCTTGCGCTATAGGTGACGGGTTGGGTAGAGAATTGTGAAAGACGCGGCTGGTGAGACTGGTGACTCGCTCGAGAGTGTTGCTGTCCTTGCGTCCGGCCATCTTGGGACAGTTGGAGGGGGCTTGTTGCACGACGTCGGCTATTTCTCGATGAGGAATACTTGCATGCTCAGAACGTGAGGAGATGGACGTTGGTGAGATTCCTCGCGGTGGGGTTCGGGATGCTGGTTTTATTTTAATGCCAGAGACCGAATTGCTTCTTGTCATCCGTCTTGTTGGGGAGCAGCGTGGGAGGATATTGTTTAGAGATAAAGCTCGCTTCGAATGGTTTACGTTAGTCGGCGCTGTTGGTGGAGGGTTTCGATCATCGGTTGGATTAGCCACATCGGGTGCCGGGGTCCTCCTCGTAAGCTTCCTTTAGGCGCTTTAGGCGTGCTTAGGTGATTGGAAAGGCCAACGAGAAGTCAGAAAACATTCCTATGCTGTCGCCAGCTTTTCCTGCTCCATCATTTACACAGTAAGAACCTCTCGTATCGAACAAATCACGGACTACTCCGAAGAGGTCTCTTTGACGTAGAGCGTGTTGTTTCCTAAACCGAATTTTTGACGGCCGGCGTGCTCCAACTGGCAATCGCTGGATTGGTTTGACGACGACCTCACTTTCTTCCATTGTGCCAATTCAACGTCGATCACACCACTTCGCTAACCTGAATGTCTATCATACGACATCATTTTTAATCACGTCCTCTCGTTCATCTACCCTCACTACATCTCGCTCTTGTCCGCCATGGCCACACCAGCACCTCCGGACACCGCCAACGATGATTGGCATCCACTCTACAATCCATTCTCTGCCACTATCAATATCGATGAGTGAGTCCTGTCCCGCTTGTACGGCGGTTCATGATTACTAAGTCGCGTCTTCTACTTAGAACTCATCCTTCAAACCCAATTCGGCTTTTTCTACTCCGCCCATTTTGGGCTCCCTTATTGTTCTCAAACACATCCTCCGACGCAAGAGACCATTGTGCCAATGAACGAACTTTCCTTTCCTGGCTAAGACTAGCTGTCTACATGGCCGTTGTCGCCGTCGCCATTTTCGTCAATTTTCATCTCAAACACCAACCTAGTGCCCTCGAACAGAGAATGTCCCGGCCCCTGGGCATAATCTTCTGGGTGTTGTCGCTTGCCTGCCTCTCAAGTGGCATGGCCAACTACATGCGCACTGTGACGAAGTATGCCGGAAGACGAGCACTGGTGCAGTCTGGCATCAAGACCCAGCTCGTCTTCGGAGTCGTCGCGACAGCGATCGTAGCGGCATGTGCATTGTTTCTGGGTGCCGAAGCTCAGGCCTCGAGAAGTAGGAGGTGAATTCCAGGTTCATACAAAACGTACTGTTCTGTGTCGACTCCCTGGTGCATTTACTCACTATCCTGGTAAGCCAAAAGGTGCACACGAATCAACCGACATCAGTGGGTCGAGATATCCTCAGCCTTGCTACACGTTCTCGTATCGAGTCTGCCTCGTAGGTCTCTCATGGTAAGGCGCGCCACTTCCTGCTCATGCTTGCAATTGGCTCGGCTATTGATCCTACAAGCCTATCCTTTTCTGTCCAGTCATACTGCAAATTCTCCAGGCTTTCACAAGGAGGGGCATTGAAGACCCCGCAATCTTGTTCTGCTCAGCCTCATCTCGGTTGTCGACATGCGCAGCACCTTTGGTTAGCGAGATATCGAGATCCAGTCCAACCCGAACAAAAATTCTCTACGATGGTGTCGAGCTCAAACACGACGTGCGGTTCAACATGTGTTGTATTTGCTTGGTAATCTAGGCTCAAGAAAATTCTGGATATGTTGACATGGACCGCCTCGACAAAACCCATCACAGGAAGCTGACACTCCTGACGAAAACCCGTCCCACTTTGGACGCACCCGACGGAGGAAATTCCACCTTACCTCATGGTATCAAGGTCTGGTATGATCCTGGATATGCTGATGTCGACATTGTCTTCATTCATGGCCTCACAGGCGACCGAGAACGGACATGGACCCATGAAGCGGCCCTTCAATCGTGGCCACAAGCAATCCTGCCAAATCACTTGCCAAGTGCGAGGATATTGACGTTCGGATACGACGCTTATATTGTTCGAAAGGGCAAAGCCGTGACCAACCAGCTCATGGATCATTCGCTCGACCTTTTGAACGCCTTGACGTTGTGCCGACAATCACCACAGGCGTCTTCCAGACCTTTGTTTTTTGTCGCCCACAGTCTTGGAGGGCTTGTTTGTAAGGACGCTATTTTACACTCAAGGAACAATGCCGACGCTCATCTGCGAGCTGTCTTCGATTCGACTGCGGCCATCGCTTTCCTGGGTACTCCACATGCTGGTTCTGATCTAGCATCTTGGGCGAGACTATCGGCAAAGGCACTCGGCGTTTTCAAATCTACGAATACAGACCTCCTCTCAGTTCTGCAGGCTAGCTCGGAAGTACTCCACCGCATTCAAAACGACTTTGTCTCCATGTTGCGGGATCTAGCTTCAAAGCAGCGATCACTGAATATCACATGCTTTTGGGAGTCACAACCTATGCCATTGGTCGGTAAAATCGTGGACAGGACGTCCGCCACGTTGCCGGGCTATAATGCGATCTCGATTCATGCAAATCATAGGGATATGGTCCGATTCCATGCTGCAGAAGACCCTGGCTTTGTCAGTGTCCTGGGTGAGCTTCGACGGTGGGTTGGAGACATCCAATCTTCTGAACTTGACCGAACAGCCAAACTGAGAGCTAGTGAGCTGGAAGAAAAGAGACTGGGACAAATGGGGACTGATTGCCTCAAGTCATTATCATTTGCCGAGATCGGTGCCAGGAAGGCCAATATTGATGAGCCGAGTCCGCAGACCTGCGAATGGCTTTTCCATGATCGCCGTTATCAACGCTGGAATAGTATTGATGGGCGTGGCGAGTTCAAGGATGACAACTTTCTCTGGATCAAGGGGAAACCAGGCTCTGGAAAGTCCACCTTGCTAAAGCGAATCGCGCAGGAGCACGAACAGAATGCGCACACAAATGGCACTCTCTGTCTCAGTTTCTTTTTTAATGCACGTGGCGCCCTGCTTGAGAAATCTACCCTCGGTCTCTATCGGACTCTGCTCTTCCAGCTTCTACAAAGATCGAAGGTTGCAATGGCACAATTTCTGCCTCGTTTCCTCGAAAAGGAGGAGCAGCATCCTGGCGAGAAAGTGACCTGGCAGATCTCTGAGATTTCCAACTTCTTCCACACGGCAATCTCGCAGCCACTGGCAATCCCGCTGTACATTTTCATCGATGCGATGGACGAGTGTGAAGAGTACGAAGTGAGGAAGGTGGTCAGAGACTTTGAGAACAGCTCCGCAGCTGCGACCTCGAATGGCGTTACTGTCAAAATATGTCTGTCCAGTCGGCACTACCCTCATATCAGTCTCCGCCTCGTGCCCGTCCAGGAGATCTTTGTGGAGAATCACAATTCTTCAGATATTTGCTGCTATGTCTCGCAGGAGCTCAACCTTCGGTATGATGGTCTCCGTGTTGAATTGCAAGAGGGAATAGTTAAAAAAGCTGGCGGCATATTCTTCTGGGTGCTGTTTATGGTTCGGCGCCTCTTGAAGGCTCATGACCAAGGACTCACGGAAGAGCAAATGAGAAACCTCCTGCAGAGAGTCCCGCCTACTCTCGAAGGCCTGTTTGAAGAGACACTGGTGAGTATGGAGCCAGAACGCCGTTGTTCATTCTCGGCCATGGCACCATGGGTGATGTGTGCCTTCCGTCCACTCAAGCTTTATGAACTTCATGTCGCCCTAGCTTTTACTGCTGAGGAGCATCCACTGTCGCTCCTGGACGGCAACGTTGTGAATGCGTTCAACCCCAAGCGTTTTCGAAAGTATGTGACGGATGTCTCGGGAGGTCTCTTCGAATCGATATCTGTTGGTGGCGAAGTTGTCGTTCAAGTCATCCATGAGTCATTCAGAGAGTTCTTCCTGAATCCCAATAAAGCAACGGTGGTAATACAATCAACTTCGGGCTTCTCATTTCTACGCCATGCTCACGAACGTATACTGGCCGCTTGCGTGCGTTACTTCAATGTCAAGGAGCTACGTCAACCTTTACCGACACCTAGAGAAGATGGCAGTATTGCAATCGAGGATCTCACAGCGATGCTTTGTAAGCCCCTGGCTGTCCCTTTCGGGCTGTTCGCCGACCACGGTATTGCATATTTTCACGAGTACGTGTTTTTACACCTGAAGCACATTGTCGATGTTTCCTATCCTGACGGTCAAGCGTTTGACTTCGCGAAGGGAAAGAGGATACTAGAGTCCTGGCTTGTTTTCCTGTACTACCATGTCATTCAGACTGGAGCCCTATCGTCGCCACAGTGCGACGCGCTTGATATACTCTTCCAACATCCCTGGATGGTCGGCCTAAGTGTGTCAGATATGAAATGCATTACAAGGCGTGTCAACAACGTGGTCATTTTCGTCAACAAGGCTATGAAAGACGGGTTTGTGCTCAAGGAGGCCCATATCTCCGGCCGAGGCTATCGTAGCCTGGTCCGTAGGGCTGATCCTACCACACACGCAACCTCAACCTATCTTTGCATGTTTGGACACGGAAGATTTACTAAAATGCTGGATGACGAACTCGGAGCCACGACTAATTTAGGATTGTACGGAGACGAGTGGAAAGTATATAATTGGTCCCTAGGACTGCAAAGTCTGCGGCAAAAATTGAAAGCCCATCGCTTTGAAATGGGACTCGCATTCTATATGGTAGCCGGGCGAACACCAGAGCTGCGCGAGCTAGAAGAATGCTGGAAGCGAGGACGATTTCCGCTTTCTACTACACCTCTACTCGATTGGCAAATCATGGAAAAGCTTCGCGTGGCAGACATGATGGATCATAAGCAAGACGTTGATCTTCTGACAACTCATTTACAGCCCGGCGGAACGCCGGAGTGCAGTTCGATATTACTAAGCCTCCCCCCCTTCCCGGCTATTCATCTGGGCGAATCTGGAGCTTCATTAGAAGTTTCTAGTCCTTACAATGGTTCACATATCATCACGACCAGAGTGGATTGGGAGTTGAAACATTATGGTCTATGGAGGAATAAGTTGGACAGGTTGAAACGCAAACGCAGCAGGTCCCCTGCCCTCTCGTCGTCTGAAGCTGCAACCCAATTGATCGCCTTGCGCTATGGCAGAGTCGCAACTTTACAAAGGGTGGTTGTCTGATCAGACTATATCTTGACCGACAGATACCGCCCAGTGAAGCCATCATCATTATATCTGGAACAGTCAAGCATGTTCCTCCGATCATACCGCACTACGGAGCAGTCATTGTACCTGACCAGCAGTACGTTCACACTTTGACAATAACAACATCTCAGGCTTCTATTGAGCCGGCTCCGCGACCTGGGTGGGAAGGCCGCATCCTGTGCCAATCTGGTCATTATCGGCCTGGAGGGTAGATTAGCTCCCATCAGCGAATGGTTGTTGCCTCAACAAACTCACAATGACAGTACAGCAAAGTGGCGCATATCCAGTTGGGCAGTACCGAACCGCGTATGTGATCTGAGCTTCAGCCTGTACGTTTGTTGTTTCATCGTGTGTCAGCATCACTGAAAAGGCTTCAGGAAGGGCAAGACATACCCCCAGGCAGGTTGCATCAGGCAGATCAACGGCGCCGGCAAGGACATCTGAGCAGCATTCAAGGGTCATCGGAGACTCGCAGAAATCCTCAGCGGTATCGTATCCAGCAGAAGGCTTACCACCAGTTCCCCAGGAGTTGCCACGCTTAACGCTCTGCTGGGGAACAGCGCTGACGGCCACAGCCACGAGAGCGATGTTGAAGGTTGTTGAGGTTATCATATGGATGGTGTTAATGAAGGTTGAATGCTTCAAGGGAGTGAAGAGTTTATGGAAAGGAAAAAGCACTTGAAAATGGAAAGTCAAAGGCTGATCGGGATGAAGCTGTCTCGTTGCTTTCGACTTGGAGATGAACGTCTCGCCATGGAGGTATTCCACGTGTTTACATACCTTTCAGTCTCGCTCTCATGTGGGACGAGAAGAACCCAGCCGCCATGACGATGGCAATGTCTTACGTGAAGTGGCACTGCTACTTGCACTCTCTTGTTCAGGTATGGGGCAAGCCTCCCTAGCCTTCCCACAAGTATTCCTTCTGCAGTGAAGATCTTCTGTTCTACCTCTTTCAAGGCTTACCGCAAATCATGACAGCATAGGGAGCTGGATCAGGAACGCGAAAGGGTCAGCGAAGAGCCATCGACATGTGTTGTCGAGACAGACCGATTCGGCTGCGGTCAACACTATCCCACCGGATGTTACAGATCGACGTGGATTCTCGTCATCCGTGTCGGCGATGTGCTTCACCCTCTTGCCCTCACTTCTCCAGTCCTCTTGCCCGGCAACCGAATTGCGCGTATGGCCTATGTAGTAGAATTCTGGGGATGAAACATCTCGACCCGTTCAGACTGTAGCCATACTAGAGCACACTCAATTTTTTATAGAAGATGGCGGGGTGTTATGTCCGTAGTCGTCGAGATGGGTCCGTGGAGGCTTTGACGAAAGCAAAAGGGGAGAAAGGAATAGATCTGCCGGAATTGGCTTTAGGCTTCCAACCTCATGCAGAACTCCTAGATCTACAGAATGCTAGGCTGTCGACTTCAGCGCAAAGGCAGCAATCCCCCTACAAACAGGGGATTCGTCCTTTTCACTCGGGCATCCCTTATACCGCGCTGTGTTTAGATTCTGTGTTAGCTTTGACAATTGCAGGACGAGCGATGTTGCTGTGTCTAAGAAATGCAGCGGATGAAGGAACGCCTTGGCCGAAGAGGCTCGTATTCGCGTGAGGGGCCAAGAGTGAGATAGAGGCCTTATCTTACAACCCCTTATACAAAATTGTCACAGGCGAGTCGAACACACTCGTTCCCTGTGTTCTGACCAACTCCTGGTAAACCGACTCAAAAACAGACGTAACTTCAACGAGTAGGTGTGAACTGAGCGGATACAAAATCTCCAACAATTGCCACCATGGCGCCCACAGAATCTAGTCAGCGGCTCGACGCTGAAGCTCTTTTCGACTCGGTTGGTCAGGCCTACGAATCAGCCTTCGCCGACTGCTCAGCGCAGAGAGCCTCGGTCACCTGGCTTCTCGAGCGTCTTCCTCCTCAAGCCTCAGTTCTAGACATTGGCTGTGGGACTGGTCGTCCAGTCTGCTCTTCTATGGCCGCAGCTGGCCATATCGTGCTGCGACTCGCAACGTTCCAGAAGCATCATTCGAGAAGATCGACATCAAAGACTTCGAGCCGCCAATGGAAAACAGTATGATGCGATCACAGTCTACTTCAGTATGATTGCGAGTGTCACGCAGGAGCAGATTCGGGAGTCCATCGCGAAGATCTACTCGTGGCTCAAGCCGGACGGACTATTTATCTTCGCTACGGTCCCTATCAGTGGCGAGAACATGGATATAGCCTGGATGGGCCGTCCGATTGTGGCGAGCAGTCTGAGCTCGGAGGAGGTGCTTGAAGTCATGAAAGCGGCCAAGTTTGAGGTGCTGAAGGTTGAGAACAGTAAGTACCTGCCACGGGCAGCTCAGGCTGGGATTTGCAAAGAAGAAGATGTTTGGGAGGAGGAGCATCTGTTTGTGTATGCGAGGAAGTGACCAGGGGTCGATATCGCAACATGCCATAAGTCGCTCTATACCGTGCTCGCGATTCTAGAAAGTGTATCTAATGTAGTTGCGCCGTTATAACACTCGTCACCAATCTAGCTCTTTGTCGTAATGTGTTCTGGATGATCATTCAACCATGCTTCTGAGAAAGGGTAGTCAGTGTAGCCGTCCGGGCTCTTGACTTTATAGAATGTGTCGCGTTGATATGGTGTCAAAGGCAGGTTCTTTGCAATTCTGAATGGTAGATCAGGATTCGAGAGGAAGTACCTGCCAAATGCGATTGCGACATCGTCGTCTTTGAAAACAGTGTCGAGAGCTTCACCAGCATTCTTCGGTGTATATCCACCAGCGATGATGATGGGACTAGACTTCTGCCACGCTGCCCTTGCAAAGTCCAAGTTGTCCGCCTGGCTCTCCTTGTTATCTACATCGGCGTTCCCGGCAACGCGAGGCTCGATCAAATGCAGGTACGCGAGGCCGAATGATCTTAGTTCGGAGATGAGATGAGTGAATTGAAAGATTGGATCCTGCATGCGCATTCCTTGGAATGTGTTGAACGGTGAGAGGCGAATCGCTGTGCGTTTGGGTCCGATGGCCTCGCAGACTGCGCGCACAATGGCGAGACAAAATCGTGATCTGTTCTCGATGGTCCCTCCCCATCGATCCGTTCGTTGATTGCATACGTCTTGAATGAATTGATCGATCAAATAGCCGTTCGCTCCATGGATTTCGACACCATCGAAGCCGGCTTCTACTGCGTTGCGAGCCGCTTGAGCAAAATCGTCGATGGTGTTTTGGATCTCGTCTTCGGTCATAGGTCGTGGCGTCATGTAGTCATCACCAATGGGAACTGCACTGCTGCTGAGCATCTCTAGGCCTGCCTTTTCGAGAGCGCTCTTTCTCGCGGCTCTCCCAACGTGCCAGAGCTGCATGAAGATGAAGGATCCTTTCCTATGCACCTCGTTGGTAATGCGACGCCATTGTTTGATTTGAGCCTGCATGAAGATCCCTGGTGCATTTTCATCCCTCCCACGAGATCTAGCTGCTATAAAGTTAGATTCGGTGATGAGGAGAGTCCCAGGAACACAAGCGCGTTGTGAATAGTATTCCAGCATCATCTCAAGAGGCACGTGTTCGTCGTCCGCCCTTAGACGCGTCATCGGCGCCATGACGAGGCGATGCTTCAAGGAGCATTCTCCAATTTGCAGAGGCTCGAAGAGGCGTGTCATGTTGCTTTGGCCTGATAGGAAGAGTCTCTGACTTCAGCGTCGATGACTAGAGCAACTCGAGGGCTCAATATTCATCATGTCGATCACCAGATATCAATCTTGTGGTCGATGGCGCCATTGAACGTGCCAAGCAAGGTGTGGCGGCGTCGTCGTCGTCGTCGCCGATGGACCCACTAACCGCCTCACTGAAGACAATCCTGCGGAGAGTGAACAGCCGTCCCGGGCCGAAGATGCCAGACCTCTTTTCCTTTCGGCTAGGAATTTGCTGCCATGTATCCTTCAACGCTGACTGCTTGCTTAACAACATTCAAATCGCTGAAGCAACAACCTCACCAAATCGCAGCCGTGTAATGCGGACGACAGACTGGAAACTCAAGCACAATGGAGGATGATGTATTGGTCGGACGTTCCCTAGGCTCAAAATGCCGTGCGGGGTACGGCTCATTGAGACCACAGCCACGATGACCAGCATGCGCCGTAAAGCATCTTTCGGGGCACTCACAGGGCTTGAAGGATCGACGTACCCGAAAAAGCCGCCTCGGTTAGGGACTCGGTGCTGCTTCCCTGAGGGTGCAAAAGGACACGTCCAGCCTGGACCTGTTCGCAATCACCTCATGGGCTTCCTGGCTCAAGCATGATGCTGCTATACCTCACCACAAACCCAGCCCGGACTGACCCGGGTTTAACCGCCTTATGCTACTTACGCCGTGCACTACCTTTTTCGAAGCTCTCTCTGGTCAATAGCCGGTATCGGTTCATAGGAGCACCACTTAACCTTGCGATTTACCTGCCTTGGACTTGATTGGACGCTAGCTGAAGAACTGAAAAATGCGATAACGGCGAGTCTCTATCAGCATGAAGGAAAGATACCACGCCACTTCTTAGGTGGAGGGCAGATAAGGCTTCGAGCATTGATCGCCCAGAACGGTTGAGTTCGCAAATTGTCAAACCATGGCTAATCCTGCGAATCAACGTCCAAGGTGCGGCTTGAAGGCGCTCCAATACCGGTATGAGTCCTTTCAGTACTAATCGCCGAGTGCGTGTATATTGCGGGTGTACGATCTTCGACGTCTTCGAATCCTTACCATCGTACGAATGTCCTTTTTGGTTCTAGATTCATTCTGGACGACTTTGCCCTTCTTCAACGAGTTGATACCTCAAATCATACAAGACTTTCCTTCCTAGGTCGTGCACAACACTTGTTGCTTCTAGTGACAAAGATCATACCGCCATTGATCAGCCACAGATATCACATTCGACAGCTGGGCCCTTCATCATGGCATCTGGCGCACCTCCATTGTTGGACTTCTCGTGTACGTGAAAACGACCAAACAGGTATGCGGGCTACAACCCAATACTGATTGTCTGTCACTCCACAGCTTACTACGGTTCCGACGAAGCGGCCAAGGCAAAACTGGTTGACGAAGTGCGCAAATGTTGTCTACACAATGGATTCTTCCAGATCATCGGACATCGCGTGCCAGCGGAATTGCAGGAGGCGGTTTTCACGATGTCCAGGACGTTCTTTTCTCTGCCGCAGGAGTCAAAAGACAAGGCTTCCATAGGTACGTGATTGGGATCCCTCATCACATGGAAACGTCACCCCGGACACTAAGGCATTCTTTCTCAATAGAGACCAATTCCTGGTATCGTGGATATGAGAAGAAAGAGTCTCAGATTCTTGAAGCCGGCACCGCGCCGGAACTCAAGGAAGGTTACTATTTAGGTGAAGACCTGCCACGCGATCATCCGTATTTCGTCAACAAAAAGTTGAACAGTGGACCGAACATGTGGCCTCAAGACTTATCGGACTCGGACTCGGAGGAATTCAAGTCGGTCTTGACGAGATATTATCGAATGATGCACGAGCTCGCTCGGGATGTGCTGGCCGTCTTAGCCAAAACTCTGGACTTGGAGTCCTCGTATTTCGACGCTTTTACCAAAGACGCCGTCGCCACACTCCGGCTTTTGCACTATCCACCACAGCCAAAGGATTCGGATCTAAAGTTGACCCGCGGCATTGGTGCTCATACCGACTTTGGGGCTATCACCTTGCTGATGCAAAATGAAGTGGATGGTCTTCAGGTGTACGAAAAGGCAACCGGCGATTGGCTCGATGTAAGGCTGCCAATCTTCTGCGCGTATGTATAGGCTGGCGACTGACACTGGACTTTCCGATGCAGGTCGAACCCAGGAAAGGCGCTTACGTGGTAAATCTGGGGAACATGTTTATGCGTTGGTCAGTTCAAGCCCTTGTTTCCGTCTCTTTTACTTTGTTATGTACTGACTTCGGCTCGAAATCACGACAGGTCCAATGACAAGTACATTTCCAACCTACATCGAGTGATCAACAAATCCGGCAGGGAACGCTACTCGGTCCCGTTCTTCTTCAGTGGAAATCCCGACTACGTTGTTCAATGTCTACCAAATTGTCGAAAAGAGGGCGAGCCTGCCAAGTATCCGTCAATGACTGTCCAAGAAGCTGTGGGAGGAAGTTACAACAAAAGCTATGCCGCCGCCAGGGAATACAAGGTAAAGGCGGCGCCGAAGAAAGATAATGTCCTGATAAGCACGCAGCCTATCACCGTTTGAAATAGGAAATTTCTCTTCTGCAAAAATATAGGTATAGAATGAGAGATGTAATTTGAGACATCCACCAGATTTTAAGGGAAAGTCGTGTGGAGTTTTTTCTCGATGCTCAGAGCAGACGGGTCTTCCTGGTATTTCTCTCAACCCGACTAATCGAACTAGATCATCGAAACAGTATCGAGCGAGCAGAAGGCCAGAACAAGAGCACCTGAGTGGGAGGACCAATGTAGGGAACCTTTTGTACAAGGCTATCAGAGTCTCCTTTCAGCGCGATATCCTCGTCCAAGGCACCCACCACCCCACAGCGCCTCGATCAAGGTCAATCGGTTACTCTCACGCCCGACAAAGACCTCGGCTACTGTAGAAGCTTGGAAGGAGGCGGAGCCCCTAGGCTTTCCTGCTGAATGTATGAATGGATTGCCATGAGATGGAACGAATCCCTAACAGAACTATTTCACTCATACAGATCCCAGGTGACAGAGAGTGGACCGACGGACAAAGTCAATTGAATATCTGCAGAAAGTCAGCACTACAGGCACGAACAATAGTGTTATCTTCAGATCAGGGCAGAGAATCGCGGTAGTCCGACATATTGTCGCCGTTGCCTTCCTTATTCGCGAATCTTGACCTGTTTCGCATTCTCTGATAGTAGCTGACTCTGCCATAGGCGCAAACTAAGCTTTCAGGCGCATGCTAAGCTTTCGTGCGGCATTGCCGCATTCAAACTTCGCCCCTATCAAGACACAAAAGATCAAACCACTATGCATATGGCGGCATTATCCGCCTAAGGGTCTGGGGATCTCCACACCTCACTAGGACCTCGTTGATAGCCAAAGACTGCAAACAGCCATTTGCCCAATCAGTAGTCATCAATAGTTTATCACGGTCGATCACAAAACCGACGAGTAATGGCCAGTCCGTTGTTACCCGACAAAACAACAGTGGGGGAAGTGCAAGGAGTGTCTCCTGATCGTCTATTGCTGTATGGTGTCTAAATAGACGCTGGGGCGGACCTCGACAGCATGGAATCTGTCAAAATTGCAGAGCCGAAGCAGTTCAAATCGTTAGGACAGCACATCATTGAAGCAGGAAGCGAGCGACCAAACGGTCAAGGAAAAAGATGGATCGCACAGTCGAACACAAGGATTCTCCCGGCACCGTGACCCTCGTTGACGTTGCCGGCACCATCCATGCGAAACATAGTCGACAACGCAAGGACATTGTGCTTGATCCAGCTCCCAGCGCTGACCCGGAGGACCCCTTGAACTGGAGTCCGGCGCGGAAATGGCGTGCCACGCTGTGCGCCCTCTTCTACACGTGGTGTGTCTGCGTTTCTTCCTCGTCCTGCTTCTCTGTCTTCACACCGATCAACGAGGCCAGTGGAATCAGCTTCACCAAGCTCAATGAAGGAACCGGCTACATGTACTTGCTATTCGGCTGGGGTCTTCTGCTTTGGCAACCGCTTGCTTTGACCTATGGCAGAAGAGGTGTCTACCTGATCTCGCTGTTGGGAACATCCATGATCAACATCTGGGCAGGGTATGCAAAGGACAACCCCACCTGGATTGCTACCAGAATCCTCATTGGGTTCTTCGGAGCTCCAAGTGAGGCGCTATGTGAAGTGACAATGGCTGACTTGGTAGGTTGATCCCTAATCAATCTGGGCTTCGGAAATTGAAGGATTCGGTACTGACAAGTGTTGTAGTGGTTTACCCACGAGCGTGGAACATATATGGGTCTGTACGTGATCGCGCTATACGGAGGTCAGTGGGGCGCTGTGCCCGCAGGGTTCATCAACGACTCCATGGGCTGGCCGTGGGTTTTGTTCTTTTGTGCCATTCTCAACGCAATCGGCTTCACAGCCTGCTTTTTCTTCATGGAGGAAACCATGTACGTCCGAAGCAGCCCGGCCGGGATCGCCACTGGCAGCGCGGTTGCTGCTGCCGGCGCCAGCGACGACGAAACCGTACCGCGGGAGAAGAAGGGCGCCGATGCTGAGACTGGTCTTGCTCAGGACGTCTCACCTGGCAAGACCTACCCTGTCCGAACATACTGGCAGAAGCTGTCACCGTTTGTGCCCCTGAACGGTCGTCCTAACCACTTCTGGAAAAGAGTGCTCTCTCCCATCCGCCTGTGGCGATTTCCTGGCATCCTTTTCGGAGGCTTCATTCACGGCTGCTACCTCTGTTGGTTCGCGCAGGTCAATGCTGTGGTCAGCATTTTCCTTGGTGGTCCTCCATATAGCTGGGCTGCCGATGTAAGTCCAACCCCCGGATTTCGATTCTTCTCCCTTGAGTTTTAGGCGAACGGCTCAGTTCGGTTGAATGATGGCTACACTTGCTGATTCAATACGTGTGGATACAGGTCGTAGGATTGACCTATCTAGCCGAGTTGATCGGAACTTACCTTGCCGGATATTGCGCTGGGAAGCTTGCCGATCTCCTGAGCATTTGCCTCGCCAGGAGGAACGGTGGTATCATGGAACCCGAATTCCGACTCTGGCTGTATGCAACGGGTTGCATCATCACCCCGTTCGGACTGCTCTTGCTCGGCGTCGGCTATGCCCACGGCTTGAGTTGGGTAGCCCTAGTGTTTGGCATGGGCATGATCGGATTCGTGGGACCAGCTGCCGGTTCCCTTGCAGTCAGCTACATCGTTGACTGCTACCGGGAAATTGCTGGAGAGGCACTGATAGCCGTGATTCTCATTCGCAACACAGTAAGTGAGAGAGCACCATTTGAAGCATTCGGTGACTGACAGCCTTGTTTGCAGATGAATTTTGGCTTCAATTACGGCGTGACCCCGTGGCTGGACAACATGGGAGCACAGAACATGTTCATTCTCGCCGCCGTGGTGGCTTCGGTCACGACCGCTTCGTTCTTGATCATGATCAAATGGGGTAAACAATGGAGAGAGGCAAACGCGGCGACGTACTGGAAATATGTCAGTGAACGAGTGGACCATTGAATGTCCTGGTGGTGGACCTTCGACGTCGTCTAAGTCTGAATGCTTTAATCGAATATATATGGTGACCCTTTTTGAGCTAGAACTTTACTGTCTCCGTCTGGCCCTTGTCCTCTCGATGCAGCTCAATTCATGCTTCTGGTCCATTCGGTTTGAAGACGACTTTGTTCAGTTCTCCACGTTCAAACCGTGCCAACGCATCTGCATAGGACTCGTCCAGCGTCGGCAGCACCAGATCAATGAACTTCATGTCCTCAATCGTAGCCTTGTTGCGGATCAAGGACGCGAGCGCCTCGTCCCATACGGCTCTTATTGGGCACCGCCCAAACTCGATACGGATGTTTTTGTTGTAGCAGTCACCCGCGCTGAAGGGAATGTTATCGTTGTGTACGCCTGCGTTCGGTTGTCACAAAGTTAGTCTCTCTCACCAAGACATCTTCACTCTCTCTACCGCCAATGTGGGTTGCCATACCAAAAGAGCTGATCTTCCCTCCCGGACAAATAATGTCATATGCAGTCTTCAGCGCAGGACTAAGTCCTACGCCTTCAATGACGGCATGAACACCGTTGTTGTCTGTGGCCTTCTTGATCTCGGCCGCTACATCTACTTCCTTGAAGTTTAACGGTATACAACCGAGATTCTTGGCCGCCTCGAGCCGGTTCGGAAGCGAGTCAACCGCGAATATCCTTGCGGGCTTGTACTCTCGAGCGGCAATGATTGAACATAGTGCTACCGGACCACACCCGATGACGGCGATGGTCATATTCTGCCACTGGTCTTTCGATGTGTCGATGAAAGCCCTTTTTGCCGCGTTGTAGCTGTATGTCAACATATGTCAGCACAGCTACCCCCTTTCCGGTCGAACAAGCCTACCCCGTTGGAAAAATGTCTGTCATCATGATGGCCAGCTCTCCTAGATTCCCTTCTGCTGGGATATGATATAGTGATGTATCAGCCAGGGGGCACTTGAAGTATTGCGCCTGGGATCCATCCAAGGTTGGGTTGCCGAAATTCCTTCCCTGCTTGCACCGCCCGTGAACGCCTCGTTGACAGTGGAAGCATACATCGCTAGCGGACAGGTAAGTGAGACACTATTTGGAGCATGATAGTGGGGTGTAGAGCTTACCAGCTAGTCAGAAAAGGTGCTATTACTCGATCACCCTTCTTGAACCTTTTGACCTGACTGCCAACTTCATGTACAACACCCAGTGCTTCGTGTCCTGTGACATAACCGGGTTGCATATTAGTTTTCGAATGGCCACGATACCGGTGAAGTTCACTCAAAACTCAGTCAGCATGGAATGAGCATGCCCGAGGATATGTTACGACCAACCTTCCACACAGGGCAGCCGAAGTGGTTTTGATAATGACATCGGTGGGATCAACGGGATGCGGAACTATTGTCCAAGGACAGATTTAGCTTGTGTTCTTTCAGAAGGGCTTTGGTGGTGGATGTACTGGGCCGTTCCTCCAGCCTCACATCGTATGGGCCGTAGAATATAAGCGCTTTCATCATCTTGAGGTTGAGAGTGGTATGGTTCGATGTTGTCTATTGTAAAATCGGCCTAAAGTGTACAATGATACTGGAAAATCGAAAATACAACGAATTTCAATCGTTAGGGAAGACTTGGACCATGCCAATGCAGACTTGAGGTGAATGTGCCTTCCTGACAGCAACGCTTTCGTCTCTACCTAGTCCAGTGACCGCTGACAACGTCTGGCACAGTGTTTGGTGATGGAAACTTGTCGCAGATGGTCGCTAGAAGCGATCACAAAGGCTGGACATTGAGGCTCCGCGCGGAGACTCATAGTCGGTGTCATCGTTCTGCTCGAGCGGATTGCCCGAGGTAATCATGTCTAAAGTCAGGCTGGAGAAAGGAAGAGGTCGCCTTCTCCGCACGTTAGCCAGCCTTGCTCCGGGTTTGCTCTCGAGGGATCAGCCTCGTCATAGGCAAGTGACCAACCAGATGACATTGAGAGGGATTACAATATCCAATCCACTACAGCATATCCCCAACTCCTTAAGAGTAGCAGTCTTCTCTCTGGCGGTCAAGAAAACATGTTTCCCAGTCACCCTCTCCAATGTTGCAATCTGTTTTTGGCAACGTGGAGATCATGATCATGACATCATCTCAGCCATAATTCAGGGGTCTAAACAAAAAGACAAACCTCGTCTTGACTGCTATGATTTGACATCTCAATTAACAACAAAATGGCCGAAGCAGTAGCAGGCCTTTACGCGGTCGAGACTCTTGTCGAAGGAGCAGCTGTTGGTGCTTTCGCTGTATCGAGACCGACGGCACCTTTACACCTCAGTTTTCGGAGGATCCCTCCCTCAGCCAAAGATGGCGGTCTCGCTCGATCTGGCCACGCTCTGAATATCGTCCGAGGCAAAGCCTACGTTATTGGTGGTCAGGGCCAGTCCAGCTCCAGCTCCAGCTCCGAAGGTGACTCTTCCATACTCGCTATAACACTGCCGGTTGCTTCTTCATCCGATGCGCAAGACCTCCCCAGCGACATTGAGATTATTCATCCTGTATTCAAAAACGACAACCGCCCCCTCGCACCCAATTCAGAGCCCGAAACTGGCAGTCGCACGTCCTTCACGTTTAATAGGACCGGCCACACGACCACAGCTATCGGCGATAAACTTTACATCTGGGGTGGTAAGGGGACTACGCCGGATCAAACTGTGGACGATGTTCCCCCTCAATCTTCCGACCACTTCGTCGTGTTTGACACCTTGACCAGCGCATACAGCATCCTGCCAGCCGACACAACCAAGTGCCGTGATGGTCTCCCACCTCCACGTACCAGTCATTCAGCTACGTCAACACCACATCCTCAGCCAGGTTCACTCCCAGACGGACCCAGGATCGATGCTCACGGCACAATATTCATCCACGGCGGTAGTGCCAACAACACCACACTTCGAGATACCTGGGCATTCGACGTGGGATCGCGCGCATGGACCCACTTCCCTGACATACCCGAGCCAGGACCTTCCGAGGTAGCCAATGAAGGAAGAATAACCTACGTGAACAGCAGACTGTGGAGACTAGGCGATGGCTTTGGACGTGCTATGTACCTTGATCTTGCAGAACATGACCCTGCGCCAGATCCCAACCCACACCTACCGGGTGGTCCCATGTCAAAGGATTCATCGGTGCTGGGCGTCGGCCTCAAGGGCGACGGCAAGTGGCAAGTCATTAGCTTTGGCACAGAAGCAACTGGTGGCAGTTCCTCCACGAGCACCAATGCATCTTCACTTCCTATGCCCCGACTATCTGCTGGTCTGGTACCCGTCACGACCGGTTCTGGCCGGCGCTATCTGGTATACTTCATGGGCCGTGAATTGAAGACAGGTTTGAACGACTTCTGGTCCTTCCAGATCCAATCGGACGATACCTCTGGTGCCGGCCTCAAGGATATGGTCCGAGATGTGGTCAGTAAAGCGAAGAGCTCGTGGGGCTCCGGCGAACATAGTTGGGCGAAATGTGAGATGGCGAAAGCGGACGCAAAGAGCCTGACTAGTGAGGAACGTGAAAAGAGACCAGAGGACAGCTCTGGCTGGCCTGAAGGACTGCACGAGTTTGCCAGCGACGTCTGGAACGACCAGGGCGGTAACGTCTTCATTATCTGGGGAGGCAGACGGGGAGACAACGCCGTTGACGAGGGATGGGCCGTGACTGTTCAGTGACCTTTGATGATGTGGCACGCGTCTCAAGATGAAGAAAAGTGTTCCCGGCGGCTTGGTAGTTTTCTTTGAAGGCCGCCCATGGTAGCTCAAGACTTGTGTGAGTAGGATAATGAAATGCGGAATTTTGCGTCGGCCAGAAGCTGTGCCATGAGTCGGTCCGGGCATGGCACGGACAATCGAGGCGGGCGGAAATATCTAGTAGGTGGTGGGTGAGGCACCCTCTCCACCCCTCCCTCCCTCGGTGGATGGTCTTGGCATGGAGCGAAACACACGCGCCTTGCCTGCCGTTGACCGCGTCTCTCTCGGCGGGCCTTGCTTTGCTTTCGGGGGCGTCATTCATTCCCGTGTCTTTTTGACGTGCACTCGCCAAAATAAACCCTAACAAGGGACCAATGAATGCATCCACATCCCTAAACGCTCTATTACCACCGCATGCCACAGACGACTCGGGGCTGCATCCGCACGAATTGATGATTCCTGGATCCTGGTGAAGGCACAAAGAAACACTCACCCTCTCCACCACTCCTCGTCGCTGTCAAAGCTCCCTCCCCCCCCTTCCCAGTCATGGACTCGCCGGCCTCTTACCCCGCCGACTCGGCCTACAGCCCCCAAGTGGTCAACGAACAAGATCAACAAGAAGAAACCACGGCGATCCAAAATGGCGGCCACCAGTCTACAACAGCTACTCCTCCGCTCGACAGTGACCCAAACCAAAGATACAACTCCCCCAGTCTGTATCCACAATCGAATTCGCGGCCAGGGTCGGGCATGGGCGGTCATCAACAAGCACAGCAGCAGGAGAACAGACAAGCCCAACCCGCCAGTAAGAGTAGCGTGGTCATAAAAGTTGGCATGGTCGGTGATGCACAGATCGGCAAGACGAGCTTGATGGTGAAATATGTGGAAGGCAGCTGGGATGAAGACTACATACAAACATTAGGTGCGGCCTCTCTGTTCCGCCCTTGCTATGAGTCCACACCTTGCTAACACGATGCTGCGCAGGTGTCAATTTCATGGAAAAGACCATCTCAATACGCAACACCGAGATCACGTTTTCAATTTGGGATCTCGGCGGCCAACGCGAATTCGTCAACATGCTGCCTTTAGTCTGCAACGACGCCGTTGCCATTCTCTTCATGTTCGATCTCACCCGGAAGTCGACCCTAAACAGTATCAAAGAGTGGTACAGGCAAGGACGGGGCTTCAATAAGACCGCCATTCCGTTCTTGATTGGCACCAAGTATGACCACTTTGTCAATTTCCCGAGGGAAGACCAAGAAGAAATAAGCAATCAGGTATGCCACTACTCACCAACCCCTATCAGGCGACTGGGATGCTGACAAGAGATGCTCTAGGCTCGACGTTTCGCCAAAGCCATGCGCGCCAGTCTTATCTTCAGCAGTACCAGCCACAGCATCAACGTGCAGAAAATCTTCAAGATTGTTCTATCCAAAGCGTTCGATCTGAAGTGTACCATTCCCGAAATCGAGAACGTTGGCGAACCTCTCTTACTGTACCAATCAGTCAATTGACACCGAAGGCATGACAACGATTGGCAGTGTCGTTTTTGGCGACGGCCTGCTCACGAATTTTACCTTTGATGACAGAAAATGACAGCACCTGTCCAACAAGACAGAAATTTTGATAATGGTCCTCAGAGAGTGTGTTCCGACTTCCATGGACTACAACCTCCACATACACTACATGGCGGGTCTCAGCACCATAACTATGCCACAACTAGTCTGACATCACAAGCGTTGTTCTTTTACGGGAATTCTTGATCCTGAGATGTTTTTCAAGAAGCGGGACGGCGCAATTGTAGGAAATAGTGTCTGGGTCTCGAATTATTAGGAAACGAGGAGTTGAATTGAGAAGGCGGACTTGAGGTTGATGTGCGCGAGCACGGAAGAGAGTGAGATGAGCAGGGGAAGGTGATGGTGGGCAGAGAGGAGGAAAAGTGACCTTGCGCCTCATGTTGGAACTGGGGGTTCTGGATTCTTTGGAAGCTGATTATTCCAGCTCTCACAGAAGGACTGGAGAGTCCGGCCCACGACTGCTGCAACGGCGCAGAAATAATACGAGCTGGGCTCTATGAATCAAACCAATTCCGAAGTGGATGAAATGCTGATCTCGCATGATTTTGTCCACTAGTCTGCTCACTAAACTATACACATTCAGGTGCAGTGCCCTTCCACAATTCTACCACAACGACCTTGCTGGGTAGACACAATGTCTCTTCTCTTCTCTTCTCTTCTCGTTCAATCATCGTCTTCGTCCCAAATGCAACTGCTAAGCTTACCAGTTGCCGCGCGCTTTACGAGGGCGTCCATCGCAATGTCCATGCGGCCATGCACCGCAATATCAATACATATTTTGGCTCGTCTGATCCCAAGAGCTCCCGTCCTCACTCTTGCCCACATAATATGCGCTATCCACCAGAGAAACCGCATCCTAAGCAGTTTCGAGTAGCACGGTTCGGATGACCGGGGCAAAATCCTTCTTTATGTACTCGACGTAGCCCTTCCAAGGCATGATATCGCCACCGAGGTTATCGGCCGTCGAGGGGAATTTGCGGTCCAGTTCCATACTGATCCGAAGGACCGCGGCATTGGCTTCGTTGACCTTCTCAATCTCCTGCTTGACCGCGTTCTCCTTGATCTTGGCCGACAAAACGATGCGGAATTTCTCGGCGAGACTGGACAGGCGTCGGCGGGTCTCATCTGGATCGATCACTGCCAATCTTGAAAGCATCAGATTGCACAGAGTCCGGATGTCGTGGTCGTCAGGGATCCCGTCCAAGATGCGATCGAAGATCTTCGGGATAGGAAGATGTGGGATGGCGCCGGGACAATCAAGCAATGCGTACATGGTTGCGTATGCGGACTTGCGGAGATCTAGTCCTGCATCCTCGTGGTGTGTGAAAGGACCGATCTTGATGGTCTTGACGAGCTCGGGTTTGATGTGCGAATCCTCGAAGATGGTGGGTAGGAGCTGACTGATGTCTGGTATGACGAGCTCCGGCTTGTTGTGGATCGCAGCGTTCAGGGTTGTAACCGCAAGTCGGCGGTTGGAAATGTCGGCATCACTCAGCATGGTCTGCAACATCGGAGTCATCATCTTGACGAGTAATGTATTGTAGGAGCTGCTGGTCTCGCCGAGCGTAAATCTGAATGCTGAAATCACCGTGCCTCGGACGGTAGTGTCCGAATCCTCTAGCGACTTGGCCAGTTCTGGGACATAAGTGCCTGGATCAATGGTCGCAAGTCTGCCAATACATTCGGCACCAACGGCACTATTATCTTCGGATTGTGACACTGCAAACAGTTTCTGCCACAACTCCGATGCGAAGGGTGTCAGCTCGCCGAGAGAGCTTTCAGAGTGCTCGAGAATCTCCTTGAGGGAGTGCAGATACAAGTAGTCTTGACCAGATGTCTGGTTGAGGCTCTGGAGAATAGTGGGTAAGCAGTGGGAGACGTTGTTTGAGCTGGCACTCCCAAGGGCGACGGCAGCAGCAAGTCGGACTTTGTCAGAACCAGCTGACAGGCACTTGATGAAAGTCTCGATGGGAACGGGAGATTTGGGACCCAAACGGAAGCCAACCTCGCCCAGAACGGTCAGTGCCAGGCAGATGAGTCGAACATCTGTCGATGTTTCCAATTCTTTCAGAAAGTCGGGGATCGTAACTCCTAGGTTCTCTCCACCATAGACCAGCAAAGTGCCTATAGCTCTTCCCAGTACCACAGTCTCACCGGTTGTGCCAACAGCTAGGAGCCCTTTCATAAGCAGCGCTCCTACGCCTTGTTCGCCGATGACCTTGACAACCAAAAGGTATGCTCGCAACGGTGGGCCCTCAAGCCTCGCTTGTGTAATGGAACAAAGAGCCATGACAGTTTCTTCATGGACGAGTGCTTCCGCGTTCGTTGGGATAATCTTAGACAAGATGATAAGTACGGGGGTGAGAAGATGCAGGTCGTTCGTTGAGATCAAAGGCATCAATAAGTTTCGTAGTAGTAGGATTGTGTTTGTGTCGTACGAGGAAGATGTGACGGGATTGAGCGCAAGATACTGTAATGATTCCAAGCAAGAGACACGGAGAGCCCGGTCAGCCTTGCGCAGCTGGTTGGCCATTTCTGCCGTGACCTCTCGAATCCAGGCAGCTCCGATGTTATCATGAGCGCTGGCAGCCTCGCCAACAAGGCCAATGGCTCGTGCACTTGCAAGTCTTGTGGTTTCGTTTCTCAATCTGTCGTGGAGAATACCCAAGCTCTTGACCCGTGCATCGCCAGACAGAAGTTGTGTCGATGAGGTTCTTGCAACAAGCACCCCAAAGACTTGAATGGCGCGATGACGTACCTCCAAGTCAGTGTTGTTGTCCGTCACTCGGTCCACAATGACATCCCATAGCTTTGCAATATGCATAGCATGGTCTTGGTTCGCCGTAGAAAGTCGGGGTGGTGTAAGGGCCTTGACGAACTGTTCAATGGTAGACAGAGCTTCGCTTGAAACTTTGTAGTTTCTGTCCCGAGCGATTACCGTCACTGAAGGTATCAAGGCAATGACAAAGGGGATCAGGACAGTGGTGCCGTTAGTCTCCACAATGGCACTGATTAGTGTCAGCGTCTCGATCTGTAGGCTGGCCACAGTCGCCGACGTTCCTGAACCCGCACCTCCAGAGCCTGCAGCATTTGACGGCTTCAAAGCGTCGGCTATGGGATCTTCGAGTTGCTGTAAATGATCTGACAAAACCCCATTTCGCGACAGTGTGAGAGTCTTCAGCATGATGACAGCCGCTTGTTTCAGGGACATGCTGGCCTTCTTCCATAACTTGCAGAGAGCTTGAACAATCTTTGGAACAAGTCCAACGAGCTCAGCCTGAGGACCTGTCGGTGGAGAAGCAGGCATGATTGGTGGACTCGATCGTATGGAAACTAGTCCTCTGAGATCGGGGTCTTGTCTATCAGCCTCACTGTCTTGTCGTCTGCGCTTCCTAGTGTTTGTTGGTGCTGCGGGGTTGTCAGAGGAATCGACTCGGGTCAATTCATGAGTCAATCCAGAGCCAGTCTTGCGGATCAAAGCCGTAGTGGCGGCAATGACTTCCAATCTGACGCTATCTTCTCTTTCACTGAAAAGACGCGAGATCAGAACGGGTGCAATTCTGCCAAAGAGAATTTCGCGGTCCGCTGCAGCAGCTCCAGAGATGATGGTGTACAACACCTTGGCGGCACATCTCCTCATTTTCCAGCTCATGTCGTCCACATCACTGAAAGCGTCCTCGTCGTCCAATTCCGCATATTCGTCATCATCATCGTCGTCTGGAGCATCTTCTGTGATACCATCATCGGAAGTCTCGTCTCCAACTCCTCCCATCTCATCGTCTTCCACGTCCGCTACGTTAGGATCGTACTTCAGATACCTCAAGGCGGCGTCAATAGATTCGGAGAGATGAGGATGCATCTCTGTGGGGCATGAAGCCAGCAGTGCCTCTAGGGAGATGAGTGCGGTCTCGCGGAGCTCCTCGACTTCCGGGTCCACTTCGATATCTTCGTCTGAGACAGATGCCGTGGATGACAGCTCCTGCTGGCTCAATACTTGAAGAACGTTTGACACGACATCATTGAGATAGGGACCAAACTTTGTTGGACTGGAGCGTGCCAGCGTTCCGACGGTGGCGACAAGGAACTTTCGGTGCTCTGTGGTGAGTTCTCCATTCTGAAAGCTTTCTTTCAGTGCCGCAACAAAGGAACTGACCTGAGCATCGTTGAAGTGGACCAGCAGAGCACCGATACCAGCCAACGCTCTCTTCTTGACCACACTCCCAGCCTGTGGACTTTCGATCATGGACATGACAGCTTTTGCCAGTGCCACCAGTTCCAGCTCTTGCAGCATAGATCCATAGCACTTGACAATCTCAATCATCACGTCTACAGCATCGCTGCTGTAGGCCTTGTCCTTTGGTTTCTCTAGCAACCCTGTTGGCAGTTGAGGTACCGGTTTGTTTGAGGGTAGAACGACACGTCCAACTAGTCTAGGTATCAAGACTTTGCTGATAGCGCCATATGCTTCTTTTACATCGCCGCTCGGTGCTACATTGTTCAATTCAGGGTGAGGTAAAGCAGCAATAAGTGTGCGCAGAGCTGTGTTGGGAATCGAAAGGTCAATATCGGTGTTGGTGAGATCGGTGATTTTGTCAATCAAAGGTGCAATGATCTCGCCTGGTGTACGTGCGGCCAGCGGTCCGACACTGTCGATGTCAGTAGGAACTTTGTGAAGAAGTGTGATTGAGTTTACCATTTCAATGCCTGATTCTGCACCTCTCCATGCTGATCCGCGAGGGCCTTGAGCAGCGCCTCGATGAGTCTTGCAGCAGTGTGCGTATCTTGGTGAATGTACTCGGTGGTGTTTGATTGAAGGATGTTTGTCAGGTCGCTGAGTTGCATGAAACGTATGTCCGGATCAGGGTCGCTGATCTTTGTGAGCAACGAAGAAATGCCCTGTTGAGCGGAACTACGGTCTCGCGCCATGTCGACAATGTCTCGGCGGAGATTCTGTCGTCGCGCGAGAGTGGGATCGTGAGGGCTTGGTTCAAAGCATCCAGGTACCAAAACGCGGAGTAGTGGGTGCCCGCAGGCTGAATCAAGTGAAGATTTTGTCTATTTTAAGACGTAAAATGCACGCTGAAACGCTTCGAGAGACAAGGAGAATAAAAGCCTTGTATAAATCCTCGCATCCCCCAACACAGAAATATGATCGAAGAAACAGGACGTAGACAGTATTGATTGTGTACACTATACAAGTACTGCTTGGAGTAATTCACGATTCCGTGACTTTAGTGGGACACGATCAAATATCCAAAGGAATGACGCAGTTACAGTAACTTGCCGTCTCCAGCCAATGGGAAGGAATTGGAGAAGCTTCACCCAAAGAGCTCTTTTATTGACGGGATCAGGTCACTACTACTGCAGGTCAAGTACAGTTATTCTCATATTACCTCACTTTTGAACATTCCTCCCTCTCCATACCTACCTACCCTCTTTCTCATACTCCCCTGGAGATGGCCTTGCCACGGTCTGCAGCTCTTCGGAGCAGCCTGCGCTCTGCGACCCTCAAACGAACCACAACACAAGCTCGAACTACTCTCCGCGACATTGGCCGCCGGACCTATGCCGAAAGTCACACCACTAAGAAGAGCAGCGATTTGCCTTGGTCAGTCTACACTATTGCGCAACATCGGGAGTTGCATGCGCGATTCTAACAAAGAAGGTCAGGCTGATCGGATCCGTCGTCTTCACCGTCCCTGCTGCAGGATGGCTCCTCCAGCAAGGTCCTAAGACCTCCTCCGACCATGGTCACGGCGAAACAGAGCCCCACGAGGTTTCGGAGGAAGCTCCCGCTGAAGAATCTGAGGAGGAGCCCGAAGAGGAGGGTGAAGAAGAGTCCAAGGATGAAGACAAGGAAGACAACGCAGACAAGAAATCTGGCGGTACAACTGAACCGGAAGAGTACGTCCAACCGCCCCGGATGTCTACGACGTTGGTTGAGGTATATACTAACACCATGTCCAGTCAAACTGCTGGCTCGCCCGACGGAAAAGAGAGACACACAACCGAGTCGGCCGGTGACAAGCAGGTGAGTCGAGGCTTCGTCCGGTTCCTCTCATGACGGCTACTAAATGCTTCCAGAAACAAGGAGATATGTCCGGAGCCAGCAATCCATTCCTCGGAGACGGTGACAGATCGAAGAAGCCTGAGGGACCAGCAGCCACAGCTCGAATTCATGGCACAGTCGACACAAGCCAGCGACCTACTATGGGCCACAAGGATCCCGAAAAGTCTCAGCCACACGGCCGGGACGAGGACAAGCCACCCCAGGGGGAGGACAAGGAAGAGAAGGAAGAGTGAAGCAACGCTGAGTGACCACCATGTTGGCAGTGGCAGAGGAAGCTCGTTGGTGGGTGTGATTGCGCCATCGTGGATAGAGATCCCGAGGAGGACCGTAGCTGGGACGATTCCATTGTATCTGTGTAGAAAAGCATTACCAGAACATCAAGCCCAATGGGGACTGAACTGCAGTCACTCCAGCCACCTTGCCCACGAGCAACTCTTGGAAGCAGAATACACCTACAAATGCCTCCTCTATTCTTCCAAAACTTCCAGCATGAGCATAGGCTCGACCTACCCAATGCTTATCCGGGTACTCTGGTAGGCTTTTTGTTGCAACTCTTTCCGTCATTTTGCAGCAATCTTGTTGTGCCATCTGCCGAATTCTTCCCTTTTATCGTCCTGTCCGAAATCATGGACATGCTCAAGTGTTCGATGATCCACTTGGTCGACAAACTCAGCTGCAATTTGAATGCCGCCTTCCTTCTCAATCTGGCGGACCTTTGATTCGGCAGACTTTGGGAAAGTAATGGTCATTGGACACCGGTACCAATTTGCGAAGAAGGTGAGGTTTAGCATGACCCGGACCTCGTCGGCCGTACGATTGGGCATCCCTGCGTGCCACAACCTCATATCACGGATTATAAGGCCTCCTTTTTTGATGGTCGGCTGAACTGGGGCACCGTGGGACGCAAGTCTCTGGTCCAAGAGGTGCTGATGTATGCCTTTCATGCCATTTTGGTCCGAGAACTTGGTCGTCGCATGCGTGCCCGGCCAGCACTCGGTCGAGCCGTTCTCAGCCGAACAGTCAATCAAGATGACATTGACAGCAAGACTGAAGCAGGCGCGAGGATGTTCATAATGCACATCGCAGTGGACAGGCTGGCGGCTTTCTCCCGGGAAATTGGTGTTTGCCTTGTGATATCGGAGGACCGGGTTCGGTCCCATCATCGTACTGCACACTTCCACGGCGAAAGGATTTGCGAGAACATCGGGAAGAAGATACTCAGGCTCCGGGATCATGTGTTGCAGGATATTCTGGGCCTTGCTGTCGTAGTTGAACCAAGTGGAAGACCCTTCGCGCAGAACTTTAGCCTCTTCGACCATGCGCGTGTTCAGAAAATCCAGGCTCTCCTCGGCAATGGCATTGTCCAGCACTACTACTCCGTCCTGGGTGAGTGCCACGACAGCCTTCTCCAGATTCTGCTTGGAGATCTTGCCTGCTTGCCGCTCCTGTGGACTGATCGGAACATGGACCACGGCCACTGGATTGTCCAAGGTGGCGATCATCGTAGACTGTGTCGAGGTTTAAACGTAGCCTTCTGATGGTTCTTGGCCAATACCTGAGATCATATGATAACTTGTGATATTGCCAGATCAAAACATTGTCAACGCTCAGGGAGGTATATATCACCTCTAGTCTCGACGCCGCGCACTATTGGCACACCTGATACCCGATCCACTCTGGACTTCCATTCCAGACTGCGAGCACTTCACGGAGGTACCCACGGCCAATGCCCACAAGACCTGAACCCGTCCACAACCTTATCTGCTCGGCTCTTGACTGCCCGACTTGCCTCTCTTGTTTGGGAGATGTGTCCAAGGCACGCCTCCAAAGGAGATAAGGATCTTGGAAAACGACCTTGGATCAACATCAGACATGGACTACTCCGCGATTGGTAACTTCAACAGTCCGCAGATACTCGGCTGTGCCTCGCCGACCCTCGTCGTCACGTACACGGCGTTATCAAGTTCGGAGCCAAGCAACATACACGGCTCGACGGCAGCAAACACCCGAAATAGCGGGTCTGGTGTTGGCAGGCTAACTTGATGAGGCAACTCGGACAGTTGACACTCAGTAGGTCCTGTGGACCCAAGGCTGAACCTCTTAGGGGTCTAAATTTCGATGAACATGGGGCTTTTCAGAGATCGTTATTGCTACTTCGAGGCATCTTTCGAGATAGGGGAAAAAGTTGCCAGCGTGAAGACTTGGTGTCGCGTGCAAGCAAGTTGCCGACTCGATAACTGTTCGGTTTCTTATTCGCCACAAGAAGGTCCGTCAAGTGTAGTGGTCGTGGATAGTCGACTCACTGGTCCAGCCTCCCTGTTCGATATCAAGAACCGCCTTCTCAGCCCCTGGTATACTCGTATCGACCATTTCGGGTATAAGAACACTTCAGCATCGCCTCTTTCAATCATGCTCTACCCAATCCAACGTTCTCCATACCATTGAGCTTCGCAAACTGTAGTATGTCTTCCGAGAACGACCCAGCCTCACAACTGGGGAAAATGGCGACTGGAGGTACAGCATACCCTGGACGGATCATGTCGTCTGAAGCTGACCAAAGGTTTTACAGTCGACCCTGAGCAACAACATGTCGCGGCTCAGCCAAAGGACCGACGGCTTTTCGGCTTCAAAGGACCGCACTACTCGAATCCAATGGTGCAGATCGTCGTCGTTAGCATCATCTTGTTCCTGAACCCTGGGTACGTTCTGAGCAACTCCTTTCCCTCAAGTCTCTCCCAGATTTTGCTGAGACATCAATAGTATGTACAATGCATTATCAGGCCTCGGAGGTGCTGGCCAAGTCGACGCCACTGCTCAAAACAATGCCGGTATCGCCCTACATACAACCTTTGCGGTCATCGGATTCGTGGTGGGAATTGCCCACAACTACCTGTGAGATTTCCCTGGTTTGTCAGAGATATATTGATGAGTATTAACAAATCTGGCAGAGGCACAAAGTGGACAATGGCCATTGGAGGTCTCGGGTACTGTGTCTACTCGGCCGCATTCCTATGCTACAACCACACTAAGAACCAGGGATTCGTCATCTTCTCCGGCGCCCTACTCGGCTTCTGTGCTGCGTTTCTGTGGTGCGCACAAGGTGTCGTGATGATGGTGAGTGTACAAAAATCATCAAGACCCATAGGTGCGACATCTGCTCACGAGTCGTCCGCACTCTAGTCGTACCCTGTCGAATCTCAGCGAGGTCGTGCCATCTCCATAACTTGGCTTTTATTCAACCTGGGAGCGGTCATCGGCGCTGCCGTCTCTCTAGGCGAGAACTGGAGTGTCAAGGCTGGCCACGTCACGGACGGAACTTACGTTGCGTTCATCGTCCTCGAGGCCACTGGTGCCTTGCTCTGTTGTTTCTTGACTCCCAGCGACAAGATCATCCGGAAAGACGGAACAAGGGTACAAAAGATCGTGCACCCTGGGCTGAAATCTGATATTGTTGGCCTCTATAAGACCCTGGTGACAGATCCTTGGATCGTCCTGCTCTTCCCAATGTTCTTTGCATCCAATTATTTCTACACCTATCAGTTCAACGGTAAGACATCTGTGACCAAAAGCCTCGTCGGAAACATGCTGATTCTTTTTGGCCAGATGTCAACGCATATTATTTCTCCACCAGAACACGGGCATTCAACAACGTCTTCTACTGGATTGCGCAGATCATCGGTGCCGGTGTCTTCGGCCTTTTCCTCGATTGGACACGATTCACTCGACGCACTCGGACACTCATGGCCTGGGCCATTTTGTTTGTTCTCGTCATGGCGATCTGGGGAGGTGGCTACAAGTTCCTCCTAAAAACCAACCGTCATGTCACGGGCCCTGAGATGGATCTTTTCGACACAGATTACATTTGGTATCTCATTGTATGTTGCTATTGCAGTGGTGCGCTGCACCAAGGGATCGCAATGGCAGGCTGACCAGATTACCAGCTCTACATGTGCTACGGCCTCCTAGATTCACTGTGGCAAGTCTTCTGCTATTACACCATGGGAGCCATGACAAATGACCCCTTCAAACTCGCCTACTATGTTGGCTTTTACAAGTCAATTCAAGCAGTTGGAGCAACGACCATTTCCAAATTGGATGCGGTAAAGAACCCCCAACCAGTCGTGCGATGATGTTTACCCAGAAGGACTAATGTTTCGTGCAGGAAAAAGTGTCTTTTCACATCAATTTTGGAACGAGCTGGGGCTTGATGGCGGGCGCTATGATCGTTGCGTTGCCACTATACTACTGGCGTCTGCATAATACCGAGGTTATGGAGGCTGACCTGATTACGCCTGGAGTCACAGTGGAACCAGACGAGAGCATTGTGAGTGGCAAAGACAAAGCTGAAGGTAGCACAACGGTCAATGAGAAGACTCCCCAGGCAGAATGACAGTGAACCGGGGTGAAAAGGGAGGGGGCCGGTGGAGTCGATCAGGTTCGAGGAAAAGGTTGACGGACAACACCTAGCCACTCGGATAGACTGATTGTGATTTATCGAATTTATTCGGAGGGTCCGAGACATGACCAGACTATAGATAATCGCAGCAGAGCATTACACGAACGTGCGAAGCCCCATCCTCGGGTCATCGTATCATATTCTCATTCATATCAAAATCAACGGACCATCCAGAGCTGGTGTTCCTGCCTCATTCGAGATCCAGACCTGCTCAAGACGTTCTCGAACTTTATCAAGCGTCTTGACACCACGTCTGGATTTCAGCGCCGTCAAACGGCCCCTCACGAAGGTTTGGACCGCGTGATTGACCGACCCATTGTGATTGACAAAATAGCCCGCCATGTAGAGTGGCCACAAGTGACTCGCTGCCGAGGGGCTGTCAACCGAGACATAGCCGATGTGCCTGACGATTTCTCTGCAGTAATGCTCAATATCTTCTCGGTCATGGCTACCGGGTGACATCAGGGTCAACTTGTGGTAAAATAGAAGACCGGCATATCGCATCGCTTCGGCGGTATTGCAAGCATCATTGGGTATTGCTTGCGGAGGGCTCCATTCCAGCAATTTGCTTTTGAGATGGATCGCTGCTGGCATCTGGAAAGCTTCAATGTATCTGCTGCTTCCATTGGCCGTCGATGCTGAAGACAACATTGAGAGTTTAGCCACCTGTGAGAGAAGTCCATCGACGGATGTAAGGAAAGCATTACTGTGATCGACGAGCGCCGACCATGTATCTCTGTTATAAAAGTCCATCACCAGCGACGTGTAGTCGGTGCCGATGCTGGCCAGGACACTCTGGTAGGCGAATCTTTCGATCAACATGTCAGCTTGATTGCGGCTTCTTTCCAGAATACGTACATGTCCAGGAGCATCTTCAAGTCTCGATCGGGCGCCTTGCATTGAACCATGTAGTCTGCAATGATCTTTCCGGCGGCTCTGAGATGTTGAGACCAGTTTGTAGGATTGACTACAAACACCTGAGTAGCGTCCCGTGTCAGTATAGGCTTGAACGCGGAAAAGCAGCGTGGCATGGACTAGGTACCTCACTGATGCTCATCATTATGATGGTGGCTAGCGTAGTCGCGTCAAACCCTTGCCATGTGTTGATGCGATTGATCAGCTTCGGTAAGACACGATTCCCATAATGCGGCAGTTCTAGAGCAAATTGTTCGTAGGTTGACGCCAGGTGAGAAGTTGATACGAGTAAGAGCGTATTCAGAAGCAGGTCGGAAGACATGGCCATAGGCAGGACGACTCGGCAGTAAGTGTTGATTGATCTATCGTGTGTGCTTGACAGTAACCCCGAGACCGTGTAGAAAAAGTGATGTAAGAGGAATTGATCCTTGGAGGACAGGATGGAAGATGGTGCGGCTCGGAGTTTCGATAGAGCCAACTTTGGAGCCTGTGCCTCTTCTCGTATACTGTTGCCTCCAGTGCCATTCTGGCTTGAACGCCGCCGCGCCTTGGAAGATTTGATACGTGAAGTCGATTGCATCCACGTCAAGCGGACGTTATAGCCTTCACATTTGAGGCTCAGACGGGTGCATTCCGCACAGACCGGCTTGCCCTCATCACAGCGATATCCACGCCTTCGACAGGTCCAACATCCTGCAGTACGGGTCAGCAGCTGCGGTACAACACTGGTTATCAAGAGAAAAAGAAGCGCGCCGCCCGCATTACCTGTTCTCACACGCTTGATACTTCCTGATCCCATTGTGGTGGGTCATTGTGGAGAGTCCATCTCAACAGCCCTGACAATCAAGTCGACCAAGCAATCGCCAAGACAGGTCGTTTTGGGGGGGGGCCAGGCGTGCAAGGTAATTGAAACAGGATGCAGCACGATGAGGCTACCCAAGGCGCGGAAGTGATGATGATGCAGTGGTCCGTGTCGAATGTGAGGAGAGGTGAGCGAGATGTTGAGGCAGATAAGTTAGCAGGAACCTTGCCGGAGTCGAAGGTTGACCTCGTATCTTGAAGCCTCTGATTCGCGGAAATGAGCCGTAATTGTATACGAGGATTGTCACTGCCAAGCTGGGGGACTGCGTGCTTCGTCTGTTCCGGGCAAAGGCAACCCATTAATTAACGGTAACTTACTTGCATCAACTTTTTTAACGACCTGGAATACAATAAGCTCTTGCACACTTATGTTGCTTGCCCCGTCCGTATTCCACCGCTGACGACGGTCCTCTGTCACAGTTCTCCTATCCTCCTCTTGAAGACCATTTTCCACGTTTTGCGACCAACACGTCCCAAGCTATCGCGCAGATGGCTCGACCCCGTCGCGCCTCGAGCAATCTCGGGGGTGATCCTCGTGGTGATACGAGTGCGCCGGCATGGGCTACCATGGAAAGGACCCAGCCGGCGCAGAGTAGCGTGAGTTGACCAGTGTGCTGTCAACGTCCTCTCTAATCATGCGTTAGTCTGGAGGGAAAGACCTCCCACAACACTCGAAAAGGCGGAAAGCTCGATCGGCCCTTCACAAATGGAAACAAATATCCTTCAGACATACCTGGCTGACACCTCTCGTCCTCATGGTTGCCATTCTGGCCGCCTACTTGGTGAACCCAGGGGAGCAGAATCCCTTCCATAAAGCCATCTTCCTTTCCTACAACCTCGGACCAGACTATCCAGGCGGGCCGGACATGTACGGAAAAGGATACGCGGACTGGGTTTTTGTAGGCTTCTACACGATCGTTCTGACTTTCACGCGCGAGTTCATCATGCAGCGACTATTGCGACCGATGGCCATAAAGTGCGGCATAAGAAAGAGGGGGAAGCAGTCGCGATTCATGGAGCAGATGTATACGGCCATGTACTTTGCCATTCTTGGACCATTCGGTCTGTACGTCATGAAACAAGGATCTCTCTGGTATTTCAACACCACGGCCATGTTCGAGGGATTCCCACATCGCAAGCACGAGGGGGCGTTCAAAGCCTACTACCTGATACAAGCCAGCTACTGGGCTCAGCAAGCCATTGTTCTCGTTCTGCAGCAGGAGAAACCCAGAAAAGATTTCAAAGAGCTGGTCTTGCACCATATCGTGACATTGGCGCTTATTGGACTGAGCTATCGGTTTCATTTTGCGAAAATGGGTATCGCGGTTTACATCACCCATGATATAAGTGACTTTTTCCTTGCAGTAAGTTTTGTTCTCTGGTGAAAGCGCGACCGGGTCTAACATGTCTACAGACGTCCAAAACATTAAACTACCTCGATTCCTTCATTGTTGGACCATATTATCTCACTTTCATGGGCGTATGGATCTATCTCCGTCACTACATCAACCTGCGCATCCTTTGGGCTACTCTGACCGAGTTTGCGACCGTTGGACCATACGAATTGAACTGGGAGACGCAGCAATACAAATGCTGGATCAGCCAGATCATCACGTTTGGACTACTTGCATGTCTACAGGCCGTCAACTTGTTCTGGCTGTACCTCATTCTACGCATCGCCAAGAATTATGTGTTCTCCGACTCACAAGGTCCGCAAGACGAAAGGAGTGAGGATGAGGAAGAGGATGAAGAGATCGAGCGCGCCCAAAAGAATGAGGATTTGAAGTTGAATGGCAACAAGCCTGCTCTTCAATTGAACGGAGTTCCTGTCGAGGGTGAAGCAAAGCCCGAAGGAGTCCGAGAACGCAGGAGAAAGGCCTAAGATGATACGAAAAGTGTTTTCATTCAAGAATTTTCTTCGATATGTATAGCTAGGGAAAGGGCGCAAAACCATCTCACCCTTTTTGGTGGATGGGTTCTTTTATAACGATATTAATGAGCGACCAATAATTGAGGAAAGATTTTCAGCATTATCATTTATCTGCTGGTGAGGAGAAGATATAAAACATTATGTACCATGAGTCCATCTCAAAGATATTTTCGTGGCAGGCATTGGCAGTCAATCTCAAGAACAACGTTGCGAAGTTCTCGCGGAATAAACTGTGCCTAATGATGGCACCATTACCATTACTGCCGGACCTCTGTTTTGTCTCTTAGTAGACGGGAAGGTCAAACGCTGGGAAGCTATACGTCCAGCTCTCAATCGAGGCGTTATCCGTGACGCAGTCAAACGTGGTGTCGCTATTCCACAGAGGACCAGTAGGCCACTGGCAAAGCAATTGAGTCTCGTTGGCATAAGTGCCGGACGACACCGTGGCGTTGAGACGACTTGGCTGGACTCCATTCTCGACCCAGTCGATCATGATGGCCATGTTGTCTTCTGGGTACGGTCCCGGCTGGAGAGTGTTCGTGCCGCAATGAGCCGCGCCGGGGACATAGTACAGTTGGTACCAGTCCTGCATTTCCGCGATGGCTTCAACATCAGTCAGATTGCCGTACATGATGGACCGGACGGATTGCCAGTAGTGAGCGGACGATGCGGCGGGTACACTAGGATCAGATTCACCGTGGTAGTGCAGCAATTTGCCGCCCGCATCGCGGAAGGGTGACAAGTCCGGCAGAGTGGTCTGGAGACTGTTGTAGTATCGAATCATAGCGGTGTCCATCCACCCCACCAATGTGTCGTACGTGACACCGTCGAGATTGTCGAGGTTGGTGGTATTGAGCAGTTGGACGAAGCGGGTGACATACTCGCCGCCGGTGGATGGAATGTCATACGTCCAAGATTCGCTTGTGTTGCTCCACACCGTCACGGCATCTTCGAAGGAAGAAGCAATCTGCCAGGAGAGATATGCCTGTTGACCCGCGGAGTTGTGAAGACCATCGTAGATAGCCTGCGCAACCTCGATGTCCTGGGCGCTGATGGTTCCGTTTTGTGTTGGAGCATAGGTGCTGGTCGTGGTCGAGCCGCTCGGGCCACGGCCTCCAGCTCCTGAAGAAGCAGATGTGCCTTCACAGTAATAAGCTGTTCCGATGATTGAGCTCAAGTTGAAGTTCAGCTTGCACAGATCAGTGCGAGACACGACGCCATCTGTTCGGCCGTCGAGAGGGTCACAAGCGCTGATGGTGGCGTTGACAATCACATCCAACGCGCATGGGTTGGGGTAGTAGTCCAAAGTTTGCTCGACGGTGACTGGGAACACATGGAGAACTTGCTGTTGCGCGAAGCGGAAGGCCGGGGCACCTGCAATGACACCATCGTACTCTGTGCCCCAGCGTTGGACCTGACTCATGCCCTCGCGTCCACCATCCGAACAACCCTCATAGTAAGTGTAGAGTTTGTCGCTGTCAGACATGCTGTAGAGGGCTTTCGTGAGGTACTTTCCAAGCAGTGCCATCTCGCCCAAGGCCTCCAATCCGAACATGTTTGTGGCATCCCAGTTGATTGACCCGTTACCTGTCAGCACTTTGTCCATGTAGCTGTAGTCCAAGGCATCGCAGCCGGCACTGGTTGCGCCTGCCGCAGCACCATATTCGAGGCCGCCGGTCGCGTCGCTGTTGAGTGCGTAGCCTCCACCACCAGCGACATAGAAGCGCGATTCAAACTCGGAAGGTTCGGGGAATGCGTATTTGACAACCACTGTGTCGTCCTTGCCCGGGTGAGTGTATGTGACGGTCACGTTGCAGTAGCTGTAAGTCGTGGAGCTGCCCGAGCTGGTACTCCCCATGGTTGTGCCGCCCATGCCAGTGCTTGCATTGTAGACTGCGCCTGCCGTCGTCGCGTCGGGAATCAAGTTCAATCCAAGCAGTGTGCCATTGAAGGCAGGATAGATTCAATGTTTGACACAGTGCAGATGTCGGCAAGTGAGGCAGCGTTCGATGTCGCCGTCACCGCCAGAGCGGCGACAGCTGTAACGCCTGTTCAACGCATGTCAAGTCGATGTATGGATGTTGGAGGTATCGCGATGAGAGCACTGACTGCGGGATGTCTGAATGACAGGATGCATCCAGCAGCTTTTCATGTCCAGAGGGCTTGTTCATATTCTCCACGGTCCTCAACATGGTAAACTCTGTGTCACGGGGAGCCACGCAGGGTTACGCATTCTCTGGCGCACTCGGAAGGTTCGCAGGTTAATAAAAGCATAGCATGACGAACTTACCACGACCTTGACCTGATGCTTCGGCGTTGGCCTCGCAATAGACTTGCATTGCCGGATGCAACAGCTGCGGTTCGACCAATGATATCGTCGACATGATACCCGACTCTGGACAGAGTCTGGAACAGAGTCGGCTGAACCTATACTAGCTGGCTGGAGCTCCTCAGGAACAATTGATGGATTGCTGCAACTGTAGCCGAAGGAAAAACTGCATAGCTTCTTTAGTAGTGAGAGCCTGGTCAGAGGCTGCGTAAGCTGGTGTTTTGAGTTGAGCAGTGACGCAGGATCCACGCGTTTTCTTCCGATGGCAGTAGTCATGGCAACCTCATCTGAACACACGTTGCATCCATTGGGCTGCGCAAGCTTAGGAGACAATATAGAGGAACATATAAGCAGGGAGCAACAGAACCTTTTGCTGTATATTGAACGCGACGTCTTGTAAGTGAAGACAGTCGAAGCATTGGCGCGAGCACAGGTCAGAGCCTTGTCGGGTGAGGGGATCAACAGGGACAGACAGGTAGGAGAACTTGCGGAGTCGCGTCGATTAACCCCATACTGTATATTCAAGGCTGCGTAAGCTACACTTGGCGTCTACGCCGCCCCTTATGTCAGGATGGATGTCTTGTCAGGTGGTATGTAGATGCGTAGAGGAGCCAGTTGGCACAGGACATGGTCAATTGGCTGCGGTGAAAACAGAACAAATTGCAGGTTTCCTTTGAGTTCAAATGTACCTTCGCAGCCACGTTGCACACGAAGAATGATGACACGATTCGAGAGGCCTAGACCATCACTGATCGGAAGAAGCTGGACCTCCGGGCTAATATTGGCTTCTCCACGCAATGGCTGGGCAATGAAGCAGTGAACCGCCTTGGTTGCGGTGGTGTGAACGTTGCAGAGTGATCCGACTTGCAGACCTCGCGCGGGATGAGGGCACCTCCGCATACGACTCACTGAAGACCTCGGAGAGTTTTGAGCAAGCATGTTGCTGGAGGGGAAGCTGATCCCGGTATTTGGAGTTGGGGTGACTCTGCAAGACATCTATAAATGCAGAAGACCCATGGGATTGTGTATAAGAGGACATATAGATGGTTGAGAGGGCGACCATCGAAGTTTGCTCAAAGTTGCTTCCTTGTGTGGGGAAGATCTCGCATGGTAACAAGCAATTGTTTGCATGAACTCTCCTATTGGGGTCCTTGTTGATCACTAGATGTATAGTGCATACCTCATCAACAGTTGCGTGCTAAGGCTCCTTAGCCTCAACAACAGGATTCCATACTGCTAGATATAGGAGGCATGTCCTTTCGAGGCGGGTTCTGACGTTGCCATGTACTGTTGAATGGTCATCAGCGGACAACCTCACGACTGCAAGAAGTTCAACAGTTCTTGATTGACTTTGTCTGCACTAACATCCGGCAGAGCATGTGGTGCTCCGGGGAACTCCTTTAGAGTCGCCTTCTTGCAAAGCTTGATTGCTCTTCGTGCACTAGCATCGATTGGGACGACTTGGTCATCAGTTCCGTGCAATATCTGAGGGATTCAGGAGTCAGCTTCGATGTGTTGCTCTTTCTCTAGTTGCTAGGTGGTGAGTGGCAGTGTAAGTTTTAAATACTCACCAGGATCGGAATATCAGCGTTACGTAAATACTCGCTAGTGTCAGTCTCGGAAAAGGCTTTGATACAGTCGTACGCCGCTTTGAACCCGCATAGCTGCCCTTGCTGCCACCATGACCAGATCTTGCCTTGGCTCACGTGAGCATTGGGCCGATTGAAGCCAAAGAAGGGCCCAGCCAGCACGTCGATAAAGAATTGTGCCCGATCTTTGACCATGGCAGCCCTGAAGCCGTCGAACACCTCTAGTGGTACTCCGTTGCACATGCTATTCATATGGAGTCTGAGATCGGGAGCCTGGAGGTCGGCAAGTTCGCGGACATCGTGCTGATTCGGAGTGACTCGCCGTCTATGGTGGCGAGTGTCGATTACTCTGCTGCCCTTGTGACGCATACTTCAGCCGCAAATGTGGATTCGGTCATGATTAACGGTGAATGGGTGAAGAGAGACGGGAAGCTGCTCAACGTCGATTGGAACGACCTCAGGGGCAAGTTGCAGACGAGTAGGGCACAGTTGGAGAAGAAATGGGAAGGAATTGATTGGGATTGGAATAAAGATAAAATGAAGGATGCGTGGTACTTGAGAGATGTTCTGGAGTAGATGATATCTACCGAGCAAAAGCGTGTTCCTTCAATTAAGTACTGAGTACAATAAATACTGTTGGTCGATCTAAAGTCGTTCGTTCATTACCTTTAATATCATTCGTCCCTTTGCAACCTCATTATCGGTACCAGTATCAGTATCACGATCCACATTGCACCAAACCAGTAACCTTGAGTTGGACCGGACTACACTGTGCTGCCCAATTGATCGTGTATAGATTGTAAAACTTCCCACTCAAACACTGATAGAAAGTCGTGTTTCCGCCCAAGGCTAATGTTGGTGAACCTGATCCGTCTTCGCTGTCACAAACACTCCATCCTGACGTATATATTGCACCAGCTTGAGGTGGCCCGTCGAATTGGAATTGGTAGTTTGACGCGATGTAGCCTGTCCGATTGCGTGCGTCGAGGAGTGTGCCGTTGGACAGCGTAAGCTTTAGTGTGGAATTCGATAGGCATGATACGAGGGACGACACCTCTACCGACCCGGTCTCGGATGGTGTTGATGACCGAGATGCAGATGTCGTTGAATTTGCGGAGGTTGTTGATGGCAACGCAGTTTCTGGGGAGACCTCGCCCGTATTCGTGCCGGTGCTCGTGTTGCCGTTTGATTCTTGAGGTCTTGGTGTCGCAGCGCACCCCGGGTCGGACGGGGACTCAGTCGATGCGGCTCTCTCGGCTGCCGTTGGAGCTGAACCAGTAGGATTCTGAATCTGACCGTCGCCGATCTGTGATATAGGAGTTATAGTCACAGTGGCTGTGCTGGTCTGCGAGGTTGGTGTTGGGGTCATGGTCACGGTGTGCATTCCACCTTGGATCTGGCCGTCTCCGATCTGCGAGACGACGCCTACGGTGAGGGTCGGTGTTGCTTGGGAGGAACTACGTCCTATGTTAGTCTTCGTTCAGTGCTCTAAAACGAGGCTGGCACTTACTCTGACCCCTGTCTCTTTCCCAGCTGCGTGGACGATGTTGAGGTTGAGTTTAAAGTTGAAATGTTCATTACCGCGATGCCAAAGACGCCGGAGTAGCTATGCGTACAACCTGGTTGAGATGGGCCGGAGGGCGCGATCGTGGCTGTGACTGCTTGAGGATGTGCAATGGGAGATGCATTCACACCAAATATGAAGGCGAGGAATAGCAGAGATGTGTAAAACATACTTGTTGGGTTATGCATCGTGTAAGTTGTTCTGATGTTCTCTTTCGAGTGTGGTGACTAGCAACATAGGAGACTCGTTCGAAGGTGTCTTATAGACTATCAAACTGATGGTCAGTATACCTTGCCATGCCATGTAATGTGAAGACTGACCTCCTGATGGCATCACAAGGCTGGCGAGGAGGGATAAGGCTGGATGGTGGTCCGTGCAGGTTTCCAGACTTTTCGAGGAATGTGAGTTGTTTCCAGAGCCGCAACTCGGGCGCCGACGCAGAAGAGCGCCTATGAATGCTAGGCCATGGCAATAATTGTGGCAGAATTCCTGGCAATGCTGGGTAGTGTTGCCCTCTGACGAGGCTGAGCTTCTCCAGGGTCGATCACAATTGGATGTGTCGAGGTTGGTATTCATAACTAAACCTACCACTTACCTCAAGCACAACCACCACTTATCGAGCAGCTCCAGCTTGAGTGCGTGAAGCTGACAAGCGGCCACATCAACACACACTCATCGTACCCAGAGGCATTCTGTCTGATGGTAGCGTCAGAGTCCTTCTTTCTACCAGGTTGCGGTCGCGAGTCGTCGGCATGGACATGACACCAGATGCATCGCGTCGCCTCATCATTAGAGTATCCGTTGAGCTTATACGGAGTACATAGGACACCTTGTCTCCAGGGTAACTTGAGTTGTGTTCAATCGAATGAATACTCACTTCTCATGGATGAATGTGATTCATTCTGAAGTTCTAACCCTAAGGAATGACGCACCCACCAATTTCTAACCCTAACTGTACCATGAAAAACGATCGATCTCATACTAATCAGGCAATTTCGACTTCCCCAATGGGTAAGCAAGTCTCGGCCACTTTCTAGGGTCATAAACCGATTAGATTTCTAACCCTAACCGACCCTAACCCTGTGTCATGAAAAGGGGAAGGTTGATCAAATCGGGCAAGTCTAACTTCCTAGATAGGCAGTATTCAAATAGATTTGATTTCGTCGGATTAGCCGGATTCCTTTCGAACACACCATTAAGGATGATTGATTGATTGATATGTTCATGAGAGTTGACTGCTCTGTCCTCGCTCACGTCGCCTCATTATCGAAATCAGAAACTTTTGCAGCCGTCCAGAATCCAGCTGCACCAACCACACCCCAGATAGTGTACAATAAGATCACCCGTCAAAGACATCACAATCCATTATCATCGAAGTCTCCTGTCGCAGCAAACCTCGTTCAGACAATGTCGAACCTCGTCCGCAGGCTTCTCCACCACGACAGACTGTAGCGAGCTCGGGGATTTCACCAATACCCCCTGATTCGTCAACCTGGTCCACGTATCGTCTTTGCTGCTGAGTCGCTCGCGACACAGTGTCAAACCGTCGAGTTCGACCAGCTGTTTGCAATGGTCGGCAAGCAACAGCTCAATAGTCCGCCGTTTCAGGCCAGTCACTTCGTCGAGCGCTTTCACCCAGGAAGCATCCTCTTTTGGCAAACCATCAGGCAGATGATATCGTGCCTCTGACAAAGACTTCCTGTTATCAGCCGTGCCAGAGACAGGACTGTAGAACCCAACGGTCAACGGGTTGTCTCTAAGATCGATCCGCTCAAGGGATGCCAGTCGTGACAACACCAGACATGTCCTCCTCAGTCTCTTGACGCGGTTCTTGGCCAAGAGGAGATGATTTAGATGTGCCATTTTGCGGAGTGGTGCTATGTCTTTGATTGCATTGAAGTTGGCATTCAAGTATCGGCAGTTTGGAAAGGAGGTGCCAAATCCCTCTGGCAACTCTGTGATGCCACATGCAGCGAGTTCCAATTCCCGCAGGTTATTCTGTGGCAATGTCGGCAGCTTGATCGTTCCATTCGAAACCGAATTAGAAGACAGCATAATAGTACGGCACTCATTAGCAGTGGACAGAACGAGGTTCACGATCTGTGACCCGGCAGCTTCCTCTCTAATTGACAGGACCTCCAGGTTGTAAGCGGTTGAGAGTCCGCGGATGTCATTGATCTGGTTTCCATCGAGGTCGAGACATCTGAGCATTGGCATATGCTCTAGGCCGATCACTTGAAGCTCGTTATACGAAAGTCGTAACTCTTCAAGGATTATGTCCCCGCCTTGGAGTTCTGAGTCGAAATGCTGGATTGCATTGCTTGACAAGTCTAGCTTTTTCAGCTGTGGCAGACATCCTATATTCTTCACTTCTCTCAGATGATTATTGCTCAAGTCCACATTCCGCAGGCGACTGAGTTCTGCACCCTCAAAATCAACAGCCATAAGCTGATTTCCGCTGAGTTGGAGATCGAGAAGGCCATCAAGGTCCAAGATGCCGTCAATGTTTGTGATCCGGTTGTTATTGGCTTTTAAGCTGCGAAGATGGACCAAAGAACTGAATCCTTCCAAGCTTTCGAGAGCATTGTCAGACACATCAAGATACTGGAGGTTCTGCAGGTGTGCCCATGAAGTTAGGTCGTTCAAGAGGTTGTTGCGAATGTCCAGAATGCGCAGAGAACTTGGTAGCCCGCCGAGCTGGGTGATCTGGTTCTGCGATACCGTAAGTTCCTCCAGTGCCGGACAATAGTCCTTCAAGCTATGTACCGAGGTTATGGTCCTTGGTGCAAGGCTCATCTTCCTGAGATCATCCCAGTAAAGCTCGTCCGGAGCTGCATCCGTTATTGCTTTCATGAGTGAATCAACAGCCAGCGCCATGGAGCCGTGAGCATGCCGCAGCGCATTCGGGTGCTTCCTCTCTTCGACGTAGCTTTGATCTGGATGTTTGACACTGTCCACTTGATGAACCGAGAACTCAGACAACGGTGTCAAACATAGAATGCTGGCTCCCTTAGCACCCTTTTGAAGTTTCACAATACTGCGTGAAGGTGCTGGAGTTAGCTGGTTCGGCCGATTAGCATGGATCAAGCTCATTCCTCCAGCGGGATACTCTTCATCATGTTCTGCTATTGTTGAAATAGTGCGAGGTTGGAAACTGAGCACATGGTCCTTCTCGATGACTACTTTGTGGTGCTTCTTTCTGAGCGACGCTGAGAGAATTTCAGCTGGCTCTATATGAGGCGAGTCGCCATTGAGGCTAGAGTCGTCGAGATCAATCTGAGATTCGTCGAGAGGTAGATCGTCCTCCCGAGGGAGGGCATCGAAGTCCTCGTCTGACATGCGGGCGTAGTTGATACCGGACACAACTGGCGAGGAAAATGCTATGGTGACCACCCGCGCCTGTTTTCGGTTGTCGTTGAGTTGAGCTGGAGGTCTTGATGCCATACCGTCGTGGAGCTTGACTTCGTGCTCGGATACTCTGGAGCGGAGAGAGCTTTGATTGACTTCCTCGGCTTCATCATGAGCATCCCATTGCTGTTGATTACGTGTGAAGACGGCTTCTGAATCCAATTCTTCCACGGGTGCTCTAGATGTTGCTGCGGTCTTTCGGACAATCTCATCTTCTACAACCGCAGACATTTCTGCCTCCTGGGCTTCGGCTTGAAGCTGTCGAGCTTTGGCTTGCAATTCTTCCAGCTCATCGGTACTCAGATCAGGTATATCCTCGAAAGGGTCAGCTTCTCCCAAGGTTTCACGAGTTTGGTCATTTGCAATATTAATGCCATTGTCCTTCTGCATCTTCTTAACCCACATTTTCTTTTCATGATCAAAGGTCATTCCACCAACTCGCTCTGGTATGGACACCGTTCCGAAGGCAATGACTCCCTTGAGACCTGCTGTGGACGATGAGTTCGTGGGGAACGAGTTCTGCGAGGAGTTTTGGGTCTGTTGAGTATGGAAATGACCTTCGTGATCTGGATCATGAGGTCCCTCGATCGTGGAAGCCGAATGCCTGCGTTTCCTCATTGTATCCGTAGGGTTCAGAATACGGATGTTTGGTGGGTCGCTCTCTTGAAAGTCATCTGGAACAGGGACTCTGGCAGCCTCGACTGCTGAACGATTGTCTACTTGCGCCCAGGTGCCGAAGACTGAGTTGCTAGTCAACGCTTCAAGGTCGTCTCGGTCTTGATATTTCTTCAAGTAGTCCTCAGTCTGGGGGTCGTGTCGTGCATGCCGACGATCAGACGCCGGTTTAAAAGGACGTTCTCTTGAAGGCGGCCGAGAGAAACTATCCCTGGTCGAGTCGCCATCAATTTCGAGGTCAAGGATAGCATCAGGATTGAGCTCGGAGGCGTGCTCTGGTTCGGTGATGTCTCTCAAAACAGGCTGTGGTTTTCCTCGGGCTCGAATAAACTGCATCACCTTGTTGGCTTCTTCCATATAATCTTTCGTCGCAAGAGATGGCTTTCGCGACTCTTCATGAACATGAACAGCTTCCTGGGCGAATGCGGCTAGTTCTGCGGCCAATGCTTCGGTGACATCTTGGTCGGCTTGCTCCAAATCACCCTTGTCTGCAACAGGTGCGACTTCGAGTTGTTCAGTAGGTTGCCTACGTGCCGATTTGGGTTTCAAAAGGTCTCGCGACGCAAGAACTTCCGCGTCTGCTTGAGCTCCTTCGGCTCCGGCTCTGGCGTCCTTTCGCTTCGTACCTGCAAGGGAGGCTGGATCTTCCACGAACGTGAGCTTGAGTTCCACCTCGGTATTTGAAATAGCTAGCTGTTCCTTCAACAAGGTTTTCCGTCTCTTTGTCGTTCTCTCTTTCTCTAGGGGTGCAGCCTGGTTCGGAGGTTGATTTCCGCTGTTTTCACTTCTTACAATTGTGCCCAGCGTCTCCTTGCTGAGGGATGTAGACTTAAATATCCTCGCGGTCGAGTCAACGGAAGCAGTATCAACGGGCGCAGGTCGTGGTATCTCCTGCTCGAAGCCGAATGTATCCAGCTCGCCCTGGCCAAATTGGCTCATCCGCAGTGCGTTATCCTGCGGCTCTTCATAGGAATCATCGTTATCGGACGGTTTGATTGATTCCTCAGGCTGTTCGAACTGGCTTAGAATCCGCAATAACTTGTTGTTTGTATAAGTATCGCGATTTCCGAACAGCTTCAAGGGACTCCCGGACAACACGGGCCTGAGATGGGCGTCCGTATGATGTACGACGCTCGTATCCTGTGGGGTCACTGGCGCACTGACAGTTATTCTGCTATCGTCGATGCTATCGTCGAAGCCCCGCGACTGCTGAGGTGGTGAACTGTGGAAATCCAGGGGACCTCGTGGGTGTGATCCGAGTCTCGAGGGTTCTTGAGACAGACTGAGGCTTTTTCGAAGGAAGGAGGAATTGTCGTTGGACCGCCCACCGCGTCGAGAGTTAATGAAGCCTCCATGACTGGCGAAATCCTGCGTTCCCATTGACAGGTCGTCCGGCAGAGAAAGAGAGGTCAAGTCAGGTAGCGGTTCGTCCATGGAAGCACCTTTGGCATGAGTGCTGGCTCCATAACTGACATCTCGATCGCTCGAGCTCGAAGTCGGGCGCTGAGAATGCTCCGATGCGGCTTGTTTCAGCTTGCGTTCCAATGCATCGATATCGATGTCATCAGAACTGCGCAGCACCGTAGCACGGATGGAGTTTTGTTTTGACACGGTGACCGGGCTGATGAACTCATTTTTCAATTCTTCCTGCCCACTAAGCGTCCTCCATCGCGGATCCCTCGCGTTGTATACGCTCTTGCCATGACTTTCGTTCACGGACCTGGGAGACGACTGAGCGGAACTCATCTCACGAGTTCGCTCGAATGAGGCTACCCGCTGCCTCACCAGCCCTCCTACCGAAGTCGTACGCACGGACCCAGAAGGCATCACTGGGAGATTATGTTGTTCCGACTCTTCTTCTTCGACTTCCTCCAAAACGTCCAGGTTGAGTCGGCTTTTTGTTTCTCGTACGCTACTGTACTGCATGGGAAATGGATTAGCGGGGGGAAGGTTGAAGGGCCTCATCGGCTTAGTCTCTTGTACGGCCTCCGTGTCATTGTCGCTGTTCAATTGTGAGGAAGTTGGCTGCGTGAACATTCCCTGTAACTTGGAGGGTGAGAACAGGTCGAAGCCGTTGGTCGCTACATTCTCACTATTGGCCAGTCTCCTCTTCCACTCCGGCGTCTCCAACAAAGTAGGCTTCTCATCCAATGTGTGATGCTGAACAGAATTTTGCGACTCGGAGAAGGCACTGGACGGTCGGCGGGGCAGACTTGTGTATTTCTGAGATCCGAGCGAATATGGGACATTGAGACTTGAGGCACTTCGTTCGCGTAGAATGGGTTCACCATTGACACAGGCTTGTCCCTTCGATGATCGATGTCTCAGAAAACTACCCGTCCCAGACTCTTTGCGCATGTTCCTGGCCAGATGTGGGATGCGACTTTGGGAGTGTGAAAGAGCGATGCTACCGCTCTGTTGGCTGCTCGAAAACGATGGCGCAGGGGAGGAGGACTGGTGTTCGGACTTCCAGTCCTCTGAGAGAGAGTCTAGCCATGGCTCCATGGTTTCGGTGGTAGAGATAGGTAAAGAATAGTAGTGGTGATGGTGTGAGAGATCAGAGTCGCGAGGGGTCGCGTTTTGGAGCAGCGAACAGTGCTCAAGCAACTGTTGTTGGTATAGCATACTACAAAGTAATGCTGTCTTTAAGCATGGTGGAACAATGTGCACAAAGAGTATGGGATTGTATACGTGTGACATAAGTGTTGGTGCTCAATTACTTTTTAGACGCGTAGTGGTGTTGGGCTGTTCTGATTGATCCATCGCTTTTCGCCTGTTGTGCATAAAAAGTGGCGCCCAGCGAGCTGTTGCCAGGCAACGACTTTTCCCTTTCACCTATTTGCATTTGCATTTGCTATGCAAGCCATTGACTCGGCCACCAATTTTCTATTACTTCTCGGGAGCATGTCATGAAACAGGTCAGCCTGCGTGAGGTATGTTTTTTAAAGCCAAGACTGGATGGTACTCCTCTATACCATCCTGCTCGCATAGGCGTCCATGCAGTACTCGTATTGCTGCCGACGTGACTACGGGAAACCTAATATCGGTATTCCCAGCGAGTGCCTGCGAAACTCTAGCTGACCAAACGATCGGGCCACGTTGCTCCCTCCTGCCTGTATTGATACAGAGTCAACCTTCGCTGACGGTTCTAATCGAGTGTGCATGTCAATCCAGGCACCTTTACCAACATGGCTTTCCTCCCTAAAGAAGCGTTGACATTGACAGGCGGCTGCTATTGCAAAGCCATCCGGTATACCATCAAAATACCTGCGTGGGACCACCGCCATGCAGTCCCTAATGCGGTCGAGACACCCATATCAGCAACCGAAACCGTCGAAACACGTCTTCCGGTGGTCATGATCGATCACTGCAACACCTGCCGTCAAGTAGCTGGTGCTATACTCCAATCCTGGTTGATATCTCCAGTAGGATGGGTCGAATGGGACGTCCTCTCCAAAGAGCCGGCAGATGAGACCCTACATCTGTCCACCATAGACGCAATTGGTCCTGTCCGCGACAATGCGCCATCAACATATGTGACACGCTTCAACGCCTCGGACAGGGCGACTCGGGCATTCTGCTCCAGATGCGGGACAACTCTGACATACATATCACATAAAAGGATCGATACCCCATTGGCAGCTGTTGATATCACGGTTGGAAGTCTAGATAACGAAAGCCTGAAATTGACGAGGCCAGAACGCCATGCTTGGTTCGATTATGGCGTGGACTGGGTGAAATCTTTGTTGACGAAAGGTGATGGAGGGTTTCTTGTCCGACATGGGGAGGGGAACCTGTCGATAATGCCCTCAAATACTCGTGATGATGAGGAGATACAAAAAGAAGATGCACATAGAACTTGTGGTGACTGGTGAATGAGAAGCAAGACATATTTCCAGATGCGGCCAATACGTAGTGATTGATGTCATTTGAACTGCTCCGATGTTCGACCTCATCTTCGAAGAAATTCCTCCTGCGCAATCCTCAAAGTCACCACTGCGTTGCGACAACTGGTGCCCATTTCCCTGGCCTGCTCGGCCCCACGGCAAGGCTCAAGGTATGACCGAGCAAGATGTAGTCCTCGGCGACCCTTCGAGACCGGGCTACTCGCTCTGGACTCGATCTCTCATCGTTCGTTCCCCCACTGTCCTCCCCTCGATTCCACTCTGACGAACATAATCTCTCATAGGCAGGTGCTCTGGCCGGCCTCACAGTCGACTTCTCCCTCTACCCTCTCGACACGGTCAAGACACGATTACAATCGAACCTGACGACAGGCCAACGCCATGCCTCGAGCCTTCTCCCGCGGCACACAATCCAAGGCACCCTGCGTAGCATGTACGCGGGTCTCCCCTCGGCGCTTCTGGGGTCCATGCCCTCAGCAGCGTTCTTCTTCCTAGTCTACGACGGAGTAAAAAGAGGGAGCTCGACTAACAGCACGTCTGTACACATGCTCGCCTCGTCACTAGGCGAAATTGCTGCCTGCGCAATAAGAGTCCCCACGGAAGTCGTCAAGCAGCGAGCCCAAGCCGGCCTCTTCGGCGGTAGATCCCTACTCGCACTGCAAGACATCCTGGCACTCCGCAAGACCGAATCCATCCCGACCATGGTGCGCGAGCTCTACAGAGGAGGCGGTGTGACCATCATGCGCGAAATCCCTTTCACAATCGTCCAATTTAGCCTATGGGAGTCCTTCAAGTCTTCGTACTCACAACGACAGCACGAGACCACAGGCCGTCAAAAAGGACTAGTCACTGCCGCCGAGAGTGCCGTCTTCGGCAGCGCCGCAGGTGCCGTAGCAGCGGGCATGACCACGCCTCTTGACGTACTGAAGACGCGGATCATGCTCGCTCGACGGGAGACAGGCAGTTCGGCCTCGACCAGAGCTGGGCCCGTCAAGATCTTGCAGGGTATCTGGCAAACCGAAGGCCTTTCCGGCCTGTTTCGCGGATTCGTCCCCCGTGTTGGCTGGATCAGTACAGGCGGTGCCATCTTTCTAGGGACGTATCAATACGTCTCGAATCAACTTGCATCTGTCGATCCCTAATGAAACGATAGATTTCTGATCCGCAAGAGAGAAAAAAGCGACCAGGCGACTTCAGTATTGCCTGATATGTACATATAGTAGACTTTTCTAATCTCAGATACCTATGTATATAATGCCACCACGACCACCACCATTACTGCCCGCGCCTCCTCTCAAGCCCCATATGCAACTCTGCTTTCACGATGCATCTCTCCTGAGAAGTGGTACCTAACTCACTCCCGTATGCTCCTCACTCTCCTCCCTCGTCGGCACAGCCGCCGGATGCGGCAACCTCAACTTCTTCCTCCCATTACTTTTGTAGTACAACACAACATCACCTCCCGTCCGCCACACATGCACTCGCAAAGTCGCCAGCGTGGTATTCGGATCGACCTTCTGCCCCTGACAATACAACTCCAAATACTCCTCTGGCTTGAGATCCTCTTGGCCGTCCGCGTGAGACTCTGCCGCCTCCAGCTCCGTCTCCTTCTCTTTCTCTCTCTCCTGCTCCGCATCAACAGCCACGACATCCTGCTCCCGCTCCTCGATGTTCTCGCCGTGCGCGCTCGATGGCTGAATCTCAATACGCTCAGCAACATACGCGAGTATCTTCTTCGCGCGCAGCATGCGGTTGGCATTGAGGCGTGCATTGCCGTCCGGTGAAGCAATGCTGGGTAATTGGTTGTCGTAAGAGTGAAGCACAAAGGACACTTTCACGGTCTCCTTGTATGGGATTTGGTTCTACAGCACGCACACAAACGGTCAGCCACACGACATAATCACGGCTTCATAGGAATCGGACTGGGGGAAATAAACATACCTTAAGCAACAAATCACCTAGCCACATCGGTGCGATTTTCTCCAGTGTATCCGCCTCATTACCCAGCTCGCTGATCTCCCCACGATATTGATCTGCAAGTCCACCAGACTCGGGATTATCTTCTTGAATAATGACGGTAGTATGAGGCGGTGGATTGAGGAGGGGCGTTTCCATGGCCAAACTCGGGGTAATGCCGGCGGGAAGAGGTTGATCTGGTTTGGACTCCAAGTGCTCATCATACTCATGCCTGATCTTCTGGATGACACCGAAGAAATTATCTTCGATGACTTTTTCTTCCTTCTCTGAGGGCGTAAACGAAGCCGTATCCGACTTTTCTTCGGGAACGACGGGTGCTTTGACCTCTGTTGATGTTCTTGTCATCTTTTTAGGGAATGTCATAGGAAATTTCTTGCCGAAAAGACCCTTTTTCTTCTCCTCCGAAGGCGACGTTGGTGTCGCCAATGGCATGCCCTCTGTTGCACCCGGCGTCTCGGGCATCTTCTGGTGCTCTGACGATGCCTCGGAGCGGTTGTGACCGCTGGCTGACGATGAGAAGTAGTCATTCTGGTCGGTTCCTGTCGGTGTTGGTGACACTGGTGAGACTATCCCGTTCGTGTGCTCGGTTACTTCCTCAGCCGTGGGCGTCAATGTAGACGATAATGGAATAAAACCTGGTGTGGCCGCTCCAATGAGTAGCCCCGGTGTCGGTGGTACCCGAGCCTTCCCATTCGACGCCCGTGGGGTCACAATCTGTCCTGGCGATACCAATGGCGTGGTCGCGGCTGATTGCGGCATGGCAATACTCGTTGGCGCCCCAGGTCTTACAAGGCCCTTGCTGGCTGTTGTCGGACTTTGCAGCGTGCGCCTATGAGCTTCGTCGCGAGCGACTTCCTCGTCAACCAGTTTCGAAAACAGATTGCGCAACACCCATTTCCCCAGGTTGACTATGACAACTGTTAGTTACAAAGTAATACCACCAGCAGAATATGACTGACTTCTTTGATCTTCACGGAAAACCATCTCTTTGCCCAGGTCCAGATCGTCAGCGTACACTTCAGCGTCAAAGCAGTAATTCTCTTCGAGCATCACCGTGATCTTGCCGGTTTTGGTATCGACAGCACACCAATTCGCGAGACTCTCGGTAGTATTGACCTCAGGCACGACCTCGTCAAGATGTCGTCGACCAAATGACTTGATGGGTATACACTGCTTGACGTCAGACAAATCCCTCATGTGTAGGGGGCCACACTCACCTTTAATAAATCCCATAAGACCACCTCTCCAGCTGTATCTAAGGTAAGTATCCTCTTGCGGTCGTTGAGCATGACATGCTTGATCAGTCCGTTTTGGCCTTCAATCGTTTCCGCTGGTTGTCCTCGAATGGGTACCACAATGCTCAGATCGTCAGCGATCATGGCTTCGGACGCTTTCCTGAGGTTCGTGGCCGACACGTTTGGTAATACACCAAGATGTTTGCGTCCCGGATGTACAGCGGTGTTTGAGACAAGAAGAACCGCGTTATGCGGGATCTTCTTCTTATGACTGACGCCATTTGTCATTGGACCTGTCCGCGCCGACTCGGGTGACAACCTGTTCGGTTCTGGACTCATGGTGCGCTCTTCTCGCGGGGAAGCAGGTGGTGTTTCCACGTCAAGCTCGGTGTCCACGTCAAGCCAACGGTTGACGCTGGAACTCGAGGTTGCCGTCCAGATCGAGTCACCCGCAGGCATGACACGAGCAATACCATCGTGTTCTTGACAGATCGCAACCGAGATACCGTCATCGATTTCCATTGCGCGCCTAGTGTCGGTTTTGGCCACCAGACCCGATTTGTCGCCAGAGTAGAACACAGCCAGGTTGGGATCGTTGGAGTACATGCACCAAACACTGTCGTTATGCATGGTCAGGGTGTGTACACACCTGCCCGCCGCAATGGACCAGACTTTTATCGTTTGATCCGAGGAAGCTGTGAGCAAGGTGTCGCCATCATCGCTGATGAGGATGTCCCGCACATTATCGGTGTGCCCTACCAGTTTCGTGATGCTCTTTCCTGATTTCACATCCCATAATCTTACGACGCTTTCTGGACCTCCACTTGCTAGCATGGAGCCTCGAGCACGAAGAGCATAAACAGAGCCTTTGACGACATCTTCTGCCTTACCGACATTGATCTCGAGAGTTTGTCCGCCGCCATTCAAGTCCCACAGGCATATTCGGTGATCTAAACCTCCAGAAGCAACCCAATTTGCTGTTTGGTCTGGGGTTGCAAGACATTTGACGTAGTCGCTGTGGGAGCCGATAGTGTATGCTTGAGTTGTTTCATGTCCATGTGGTCGCCATAGCTTGACTGTGACATCTGACGAGGCCGATACCAGTCCCAGGTTGTTCTTGACAAGTACAAGATCGTTGACCCAATGTGTGTGCGCCTGGACTTGTTTGCGGTAATTAACACTGCTTTGCTTGTCTCCTCTTGCATCAAGTTGCTGGTTGCGTCGCTGTGCTTCGATGTCAACGTCCCAAGCGCAAACCACACCATCCCGACCGCCTGTATATCTGTAACATATCTTAGTATATATTTTCATGTCCTTCACTGCCAGGGACTGCGTACAAGATGGTTCGGTCATCGTCGTAGGCCAAACCGTTGACCCCAAGCCTATGGCCTCCGGGAGAGCTTGCCAGAGGAAGCACTGTTATTCGTTAGCGATGCGCAATCCTGCAGCAATCGTTGCGAAGAGTTGACAGACCATAGCTGATCCTCTGGCGCTTCTTCTTGGCCATGCCCGTTCGACCCGCGCACGATATTCCACCACTGCGACTATGCGAGTTGTGTAACCTTAGCTAGCCATCGCATCGAGCGCATTTATGTGAATTCCACCTTGACCCTGATTCCGTGCAAACTCTCGTGGGGAATGGCGGAGTTGTCAGAAGTTGCATCGGCAGATATGGTGGGACTTTAGTCTACGCTACGTCGAGATGGAATGATGGCTGCGGGTTGCGGTACCTTACGCAAGCGACTGCCCTTGCCCGCCTTGTCTTCTAGAAGGCCGGGGTCGGCGGCCCCGGGGTAAATTCACCCGATGGAGCGTAGCCGACTCGCCGAGTACCAATGCATTATTCATCCTTCAACCACTGCATCACACGACATCTGTTCCGACTTCCAGCATGACTAGTTACGATAATCATGATTTGCGATTGATGGGCGGACGTAACAACTGGTATATCTGCACATAAATATAAAGCTCCTGAACATTCGAATTTCCGCCCTTTTCTCCAACGAAGAGTCCCGCAAAGTGTGACATACCATCCTACACGCATTCATTCCTTCAATGTCATTGCTTCCAAGCTGCAACCCAGCTCGTCGTCCCGTAGCATCACCCACTGGGTTTGAAGAGGTCCTTCACGAAGCCCATGGATCTCCGTCTGGTCGTCAAGAGCCAGTCTGAAAGGTTTGCCTATACCTTTGCAGGTGGAGGACCCCCTGAACCCGCTTCCAGGACATGCGTATGTCCTTCAGCGCGATGGACCACGCCGTTTTCTTCTTGATAACACACTTTCGAGCCCAATACCCAGTCGTCCTCAAGTATTTCGTCCATGGTGGCACGCTCTGCGGGGTCAACCTTGAGCATACGTCCAATGATGTGGCGGCTTTCTCTTGGTAGAATGCGAAGCAGCCGCCAGGGACCTTTGATGACCTCTTGCTTATCCCCACCTGAAGTTCCTGGCCTCTGCTCATTCTCGACATTTTCAGAACTATGGTGATGGTGTGAATGAATGCTGCCAGCCTCTGATGGACGTCGAGACGAACTTTCGTCTTCGAAGCCAAGATGCGACCGTTTGCGAGGATGTGAGTCCGGGACAGGAGTTCCTGGTGTCGGCGGCGAGACGAACAGCTTGTATGAATTGTCGACAAGCCGAGGCTGTTTCCAAGGGAATCTGCGGAGTGTCATGCAACAAAAAATGATCGCCAGAGACCAGATGTCGGTGGCAGTTGGATCGTACTTCTTCTCCTCGTACACCTCAGGCGCAAGGTACGGATCTGAGCCGACAATTCCTAATCAGGAGTTAGCATCTGCAACCACATCCCAAGGATGAAACTTACCTGATGCCAGGACGATCTCGTTTTCGAATGGATATCGAAATACCGTAGCACTTCCAAAGTCGATCAGTTTCATGATGCCATGCTCGCTGACCACCACATTATCCAGCTTCAAATCTCGGTGTGCCAAACCCATGCTGTGTAGATAGCTCACACCATTCACAATCTGCAGAAAAGCGCACGCGATCTCTTCCCGTGACATTTTGCCCGTCATAACAATAGCGAATAGGTCATATGGTGCGTACTCCATCACCTCGTACCAACGGCTGTTTTCCTGGATGATATCCATGGTTTCGATAATATTGCCATGGTGTAGCGTAGATCCAATACAGAACTCGGCGGTTACCTTCTTGTTGTAGTCTTTCTCGCTTTCCCAAGAATGCCTGTCTCTGAATTGCTTGACAGCAAAAGTGACGCCATCACTGCTTCGTTTGAGCAGTCTCACAGAACCACCCGCTCCTGAGCCGAGTACCTTGCCGAACTTGCCATACTTGGCCTCGAGACTGTGATCGTCGGCAAATGGCACGCTCGAAGGAGGGGCTTGATGTGGAGGAGTTCTCGTTCCGGACTTTGTAGATTTCCGTGATGCAGGAACTGAGGATGCTGGCGAGTCTTGCTGAGTTTGATGTTTGTTCTTGTGACCATGCCCACCGAGTCTGAAGAATCTCTTCAATTCGGACATTGAACCATGTTTCTTCCCATCTAGTCCGCCTTTGTCTGAGCTTTCGCTAATGTGGGAATATGGATCTTTCTTGCTACCGAATATCGAAGACCGCTTCTCGGAGCCTGAAATATCGCTACTACTTCCGTGCCTCGGTATCCGCTCCGCTGCAGCTGCAATTGCAGGTGCGAGCGAGCCTTTCCCTGTACTTCCGAAGTGGCGCGGTTCAGCCTTTTCCTGAGATTGACTTGCTCTAGATTGAGGGAGTTTGCCAGGCTGGGGTGAGGAAGGTCGGAGCTTTGGCGTGCCTACGGGGCTCTGCTCCGTTGGGCTTGCAGACTCAGATGGGCCAATCTCGAACTTGGGAACATGCCTAGGGCCTAGATCGTGCTTTTCGCTGGAGGATGGTTGAGAGACGTGATAGCCTTGTGCATCCGGCGGAGGTGAAGTCTGTGGTGTTATTGCATTTTGTCCTTGTTGGGCCTTGACGATGCTGTCGCTTCTGCCGTCTTTTGAACCATGTGGTGTCAGTGGTGGGGATTGGAAGGCTGAGGATATTGATCCTTGACCATGTCGACTGGACCCTCGTGGCGTTCCGGGGGTTTCGCTCTCTCGTGATGGGACCTAGATCCAGGGTCAGAACTTCTTCTCCCCCAGCTGCAGAGATTGACCTACGCGCGAGGCTGGCATCGACACCGTCTCATAGGCAAAGTTGGCCATCCGACTTTCTTGCACCCGTGATTTCTGCAGAGATATAGCCAGATTCCTTATCTGCTCATGTGCCTCAGGACTGAGGTCTTCGTCATCCTCATCTGCTGCTCTGGCAGACTGTCCCGTCGCATCTTTAGGGTCTATCTCTTCGTCTTGTGAAGCAAATCGGACATTGCCCTGTGCTTCGTCTCTCGGTACAGTATTTTGCTCGGGTCCAGCGTTTGATTCTAGATTGCCCGAGTCAGCTCTATAGCCCCTCTGCCCAGGTCTGGTGCTCATAGGTACCTGAATCTTTCTTTGGGTCATCTCCAGGGAGCAACATGGCGGATAACTTGGAGGTCATCTTGGTACTATATCAACGAGGGTTCGGTGGGATCGATGGTGGTTGACGACATGAACGAGTGGTAATCCGAGCCAATTCGGTTTCCGAACCACAGACGTGAGTTTCAACCGTGAAGAAACTGCATCAGGCCCAAGTTAGAGGAATTGCAAGCTGAGTCTTCGGAAACAGATGACCTAATACGGCCGCGAAAAGCATTGACCTGGGCAGTGGGGGGAGCGCAACTTACAAATGACGGCACAATATATACAAGGCTTCGTGAAAGCAGAGGACAATGTCGAGATAAGCAAACAGAGAGAGGATAGCTGGTGAGTGAAAAGAATGGCAGCGTTGTGTTAGAGTAGTAGCATATGAAGGTGATGCTCTTCTCGACGACGGGCAAAACTGCGGCGCAGGGGAGAAAAGAATCCACCAACCCACGGTCAAAAGGTTGCAGGTGGGATGTTCCCAAGGTGCGGTGCCCCGCCAGCCCAAAAGGCGCAAAAAACCAATATTTTGAACTATTCCCGCATAAGCCTCCCGTTCAGTCCCTTTCTTATTAAGATTTGCCCCCAGGCTATCATACGGTCATTAATAGTTTATTGCGCATTGGCTCACAAAATGACCCTGCTATCAAGCGCAGCACATACAGAAACACCGTACTATTTCAATGATGCCTGTCTCCATGACTTTCATAGTGTCTTTTGGCTGTTAGTAAGGCCTTATGCCTTGATTCTCCTCTAAGAAATCTTGCCCGGCATCCTGCGTATACATTCTCGTATACATCTTCCCGGCTGCTCCGGATACCTTGATGACACACCACCTCACTATGACATTCCAGCTACCACGTACCAGGAACGCGAGCAAGATCTCATATTGCTCGTCTGCCTGAAGGTTTGTTGGTGTGAAACAAGACGTCATCTTCGCGCTCGCATTTCAGAAAGTACGAGCCTAGGAACGGAGGGCCTTGATAGTGCAATCGGGTGGTATGATCTTGTGTTCAGGCGATCGATTAGTATATAGGCGAGCGAAAGATAAGGTCGTGGTCTGGAAAATCTTCCCAATACCTGCCCATGGGGCATCATCCTGGCATACTCTATTCGTACAGCACCTCACTTTCCCATGGGGTCGAACTCTCTAAATCGCTTGGTCATGGCATGATACACATTGTGCGCATGCCAGAGCGATCTACACTTTGACATGCATTCTCGGCTTTCCTTCGGTAGAGGCGGCAGTCATCAAGTCTTTCAGTGGTCGATAAGAACTTTGTTATTCTCTCCGGCGGAAGCGGCCTTGTCTCCTTGATGATCGCCTGACTTCATAAATGCAGCCCAAAGTCAATCAACCAGGGTCTTGATTTTGTCGACTGCTAGCTTTGGCCCGAGGTCAAAATTTCCCATGTCAACATCCAAGAGCACATGATTGGCGGCAGTCTCTGACATGGAAGTTGTAATATCCCCTCTCTCCTTTGATGGCTCGGCGACTTTAGCGGTAATCGAGCTGGCCGAATTCATCTGACTGAATGTGAGGTTGCTGATGAGAGCAATCAGCTTCCTCAATGACCGAAGGCCTCGACTCCGCATTGGTCATGGCTGAGAAATGGCTTGGTCTTGGTGTAGAGCAAGTTCTGTGAAGTTGTAAAAGAGCCCATTCTCTCATCACGGCACGACGTTGACACCGATAGACTTGCACTGCCATATCACACTTTTGCTCAGAGCCTCGAGACTCAACCCCGATAGCCGCAGCTCACTCTGCTTGATTTTCGCAATTTCATAGATATGTTTCAAAGAAACTGTGCCAACAGATTGATGACCTGGCTGGCCTGCTCCCTTGATTTTGCCTTTGATCTCTTTGACACCGGCAGCTTGGAGCAGCAACCAAGATGTCATGGGCGTGCGTATGTCAAAGGAAAATGAGCGATCCGGGCGGACTGTAACACGGGCTGGAATAGGGACGCCGGGAGTGATATGAGCTGTGCGAGCATTGAATTCCTTGCGCAAGTCAGTTGTGTACTCTACTTCGTTCACAATGCAGTCATACCTTGCAGAAATCAATACTTTTGACACCTTTACTACCCAGAGCCGGACCAACAGGCGGACTAGGACTTGCTTGGCCAGCACCAACTATCAGTTTCACGATTTGATCGCGAGCCGGTACCTTTCTCGCCATGCCGGGCCAATCTTCAATGTCTGTGACTGCAGTGCTTGATAGGAGGGGGCCACACAAAGAAGGATGAACCTCTGGGAGTCGCAACAGTAAGTCGTGATGCGTTTGGAGCTTTTATTCTGTCGACGGGGAGGAGTATGAAATGTAAAATATTCAGGCGCATGGAAGAAAACGCGACCCATGACTGGGAAGAGCTTAGCGTGGCCTGCCTACCATACTTCCCGCCTATCCGCCCTTGCAGTGTGGAAAGCGCAGCCTGAAAATGGCCCCGTAGGCGGCCCTCTAGAGGCGCCTTTGATATCTGATACGCTACGGTGACGTCTGCAACCCTTTCACTGTTACCTGATCGCAATCTATTTTTCCCAACAGCAAAACTGCATCCGCTTACCCTCGTCAGTCCTTTCTCAAATCTCTTTCAGCACTCTTCCACAAAGTATGAACTGGTTCAAGCAGCAATTAGCCAACGTGGTTGGCACGGAGGAGCCCGAGTATGGATCTACCGCCATACGGCCAGTAACCAAACAGGCCGAGACGAAGCCCTACTCGGTTCTCAAGAGAAACGACCTACAATGGAAGGGGTTGGAGCGCACAAACGTCGAAACAGAGACCTTTTACATGTTCTCAGAGGATGGTACAACTTCCATGGCGCAAGTCATCTACAGTAATGTCGGGTAAGACCCTCCTACCAGTATTCACTACCGCAATGGCTGACTATTGATAGCGGCATTCACACCACTTGTCAATTCAACAGCAAGATCTTCGATTATGAAGGACCAGGAAAACATCAGTTCTGCTCAGACCCTTTGAACAACTATGGTTTTGATGAAGAGAAGACGGGTTTCTACGCCGATGATGTGGCCATGGAACTAAATGAGGCGGGTGATGCGTATACAATCAAATCGGCCCGCAATGAACATTGCATAGTCAACTTGACTGTGACGAGAATCGCTCCCGGATTCCAGGTTGGCGAGGATGGCACAAGCTATTACGGAACAAACCCCGCCGAACCCTGGGGCGAGCTGCGACATGCTTTCTGGCCTCGGTGTACAGTCAGCGGCACCATGCAGACACCAAAGAAAACGTACCAAGTAAAGGGCAGAGCAATGTACTCATATGCTCTCATGGACATGAAACCTCACCATCTCGCCTGCCGATGGAATTTCCTCAACCTCCAGACTCCCACCTATTCGGCCATCCTGATGGAGTTCACAACACCTCAATCATATGGAAAGACCGTCGTTTCCGTCGGTGGCATTGCAAAGGACAACGAAATTGTCACCGCCGGTGTATGCCGGGCGAAGCACGTCACCTCGCTTCAGGAAACCGAGACTGACTGGCCGGAACCTAGAGAGGTGTCTTTTGAATGGTTAGACCAAAATGGATCCGTGGTTGGCGAAGTCAAAGGCGAACTTCCCAAGCGGGCTGATCGAGTTGAGGTGCTCGCCCACTTACCTGCCTTTGTGAAGTCCTTCATCAAGGGCGCAACAGGATTGAAGCCACATATCTTTCAGGTAAGAACATTCCTGTGGAAGTTGAATTGTTGCTGACCAGATTAGTATTGCTCCAAAGATGAAGCCACTCTGAAACTCAAGGATGGCGAAAAGGAAGTGTCTGAACCTGGTCAACTCTTCTGCGAAGCCACCTTCATATCCTGATGAGATCAACGTACGTGTACAAAATGCCCTTTCTAGATACCTGAATTGGATGGCTGGAAGACCTACGATTGGATATTTTAGCAGCCTTAATGTCTAATGCCTTTACGCCTTCTGATCATCGCTCTTTTTCCTTATCATGCTTTCCTTCAGGTGACCTCACCTAACTCTCACTTGCCAGCTTGACTGTGTTTCTTTTCACTTGGACGGCGTTGGCTCAATTTCCACCCTGTCCTCAACTCACTTCACATTCCACAGTCCTTCGCTCTCCACACCTCGCTTACCAAGCTCTCAACAATCAGCTTTCCTTCTACCCTCGCCTGTTGCAAAGCCCAGATCAGTCTCGATCTTGTTGTTCTTCTCAAACTTGTCAATCAAACCAGTCTTGTTCGCCATGCCTATCGCCACACCGACAAAAGCCTACGGCCTGGCGAGACCTGGAGCCCACGTGCCGAAGAGACATCGCCGGAACATACGAAGAGTTGACGCCATTCAAGGTGTTAGTAAGTCATGACATCCTGACTCAGGTATTCAGCCCGAATATGATGCTGACGCCAGCCTTCTGTAGCTCGTCCAGCGATCCGGTAAGCCAGAGGTCCTAAAGAAGGGCTACTCGTGTCGAGATCTTGACTACTGACGGCAAGGAATTTGCTACAGCCGTCTTGCCCGACGTGGCGGTGTGATCCGCATTCAGCGAGAGATCTATGACACGGTCAGAGGTGTTCTCCGCAAGCAATTGGAAGAAGTGAGTATCACACTTTGGGATGAGGATGTCAACGTCTAACATGCTATCCTAGATCATTGGAAAGCTCGTGTCTCTGTTTGGTGGCTCTGATGAGCACAACGCAAAACCATGTCTTCCTCGGGGTCGCGAACGAAAGGTTCGTCATGGATTTTTGACAAGAGAAATAAAGAGCTGACCAGTATACAGACGGTGACGCATGACGATGTGTGTTTTGTTCTGTATAGAGTATATACGACCCTCCCACCGGCCTTGTCTCAGTCTACTAACCTACTTCTCAGATGGGTCGTCCACTCTATGGCTTTGAATGGCCATATCTGGGTGAGCAGCGACGTGTTGGCATCCTACCATACTAAACCCACAATGTGTGTCGATGTGAAAACGGCGAGTCAAGGTCATCATGTCTTGAAACAGCTCCTTCAACGAGTTCTGCATGGTCAGTCAAATGAGATTGAAAATGGTGGATCGAAATGCTGTCGGAGAAACTGATTGAAAGATCGGAAGCAATGACTGGCTGGCATCATGAATGGTAATTGGAGTATCAAGAGTGCTTGAAGCAAAGCCACGGGCAGGTTCCATTGAGAGAACAGTTGGATCAAGTCCATATCCAGGGAGAGGTCTTCAGTGTTGCAGCACATGGTTGGCATACAATTGAGGTGTCCTCATCAACGAGCAGAAACCATCTTCTTTCCCGAGTCTGGCAACGGAGGTGCATTAATCTTCTGCCCTGAATGCTGCCCTTGTTCATTATAGCTCCAACAACAACTTTCCTGTCGTCTTCCGACCTTCCAGATCCTTATGTGCTTGCACGGCGTCCTTGAGAGGATAGACCTTGTGGATCTTGATGTTGAGCTTCTTAGATTTAAGCAGGTCAAGCACACCGTTGGCGTAGAATTCCAGCTCCTCGCGCGTTACAATGTACTGCATCAGCGTCGATCGCATAATGGAGATGTTCTTGGCCGATAACCTTGCAATATTGAATGGTGGGATTGCACCACTTGCTAGTTTTAACAGTCTTGTTAGTTCTCTACCACGCATACCAAACACGAACGGGGAGAAGGGTAGGTAAGCACTGACCATTTCCAAAGTACACGACTTTACTCTTCCTCGCTGCAACCTCGAGATCGCCTTCGTACGTGTCCTTCCCTACGCCGTCATATGTGCAGTCGACGCCCTTTCCGTCAGTGATTTTCAGGACTTGCTCAACCCAGCTCGGCCCGTCTGTCGATTTATAGTCGATGACATGTGTCGCACCATTTTCCTTTGCAAGAGCGCACTTCTCGGGTCCGCCTGCGGTACCAATGACCGTGACTCCCATGTCCCGCAGGATCTGGCATAACAACAGACCCATTCCGCCAGCGGCGGCGTGTACCAGCACAGTTTCGCCCTTCTTTACCGGGTAGGCTTCCTTGACCAGACTCAGAGCCGTCATGCCCATTAGGAAGCCGCCTACGGCATCTTCATCAGAGACGCCGTCGGGGATCTTGACCACTGATTTCTCAGGTACGGCAGTGTACTCTGCGTATCCGCCGCGAGCGATCCAGACTACCCGGTCGCCTTCTTTGAACCCATATTCGCTGGAGCCCTCAATCTTTGCGACTGTGCCGGATGCTTCTTGTCCGATGATCATGGGGAATCCGGCAGGGGCCGGGTACAGGCCTGTTCGGAAGTATGTGTCGATGTAGTTTACGCCAGCGAAGTGGTTCTTGACGAGTACTTGGCCGTCAGATAGGCTGGGGACGGGGTGCGAGTCTGTGTATTCGAGGACGTCGGCGCCGCCATTCTTGTTGACGAGGATGGCTTTCATTTTGGAGGGAATGGAAGACATGGCGCGGGTGCGGGTACTAGGGAGACGGTTCTGACCGAGGGAGATTTGCGAGCTGACTGCGTTCAGACGAGCGGCTGCTGTTGCGATTCTCTGGATACGTCTCAATGGGAGGTGGGTGCGGAGAGGTGCTAACGACATGAGCTGCCTCGACAAATACACTATTCAAACGCCAGGATGGACTGGTGCTAGGAACCTGAAATTATACGAGCAGTGGGCTGTAGTCAAGTGTCAACCGCGAAAAGCACTTACACTGAATTCTCAACTAACTCGTGGAGTGAGAACAACATGTTTCGGTTCCGTTCGTCATTTCTAAGCGTGGGTTGATCCCCGCATTGTCGTCGGTGCGATCTCGGGCGGTTTGAGTACGTCTCTTTCCATCTCCACCTTCAGGGTGAGAGCCATTGTTTGGATGTCAATGGTCGATACGTAGGGTAGGGTATTCTGCCTTATCAGCGCTGTCGGTCAAGCTCCGGTGAGCCCGGTCTGCATAGACCTGTCATGCCGCCCGTTCAGCAGGAGGAATACTCCCACAGGTCACCACCAGGCAAAATATGGCGAGGGGTAGCGCATCGAGGCCAAGTCACTGGGGCACAATTTGCAGGATATCCATAAGGCTCTTATATCACCTCTTTAGCAGGATGGCCGATGCTTGGAAACGATTGCTATGCATGGGTTCTCAAGGCCACAGAAGGACCTTGTTCATAACCCATAACCGATTAGCCATGCACACGTGTAGACTTTTCTTGGGAGACGGGTGTAACAGAAGATCTTCCGTATGGTTCTAGGTAGGTACCCCACGAACGTGGCTGCGATAAAGGTCCTTAACCTTTGTCTTCCCGCCCTGACACCGGTCACAAGCCAAAAACCTACCGGCAGAGCAAGAGGATGTCCCGGCGGACCGTGCCTGCTACCTATTCAGGGCTCGAGGATGACAGCATCGGCCGGGGATAGGAGGACTTGCTGCAGTGAAACATGGGAAGTTCGTGTCCTCATGAACACATGATGAACTATCAACGCCCGATTAACGTGGTCGCTATCGCCACGAAACCGACTGGCCAACGGTATTCGCTCGTCAGCAGCATATTCGCTTATTTGGAAACATTGCACAAACGTGCCATGATCATGATAAGAGGACTTGATGTAAGCGAAGGTGTGAAGGTATATATCACTATAATCGGGCAACAGACACGGCAAGTTCAGCAGGTGGTGTGGTGTGGTGGAGTATTTCGCACTTGTGTAGTACGCGGCAGCATCCATCATACCTCGTTGAGAGCCCATGAAGTCTATTATGGCAGACCGGTGACGAACTGACGAGGCTTTCTTGGAGATTGTTCTTAGCAATTAGATGTTGGGAAAAGATACCGTACCAGAATCCCATTGATGAATTGCCAACGTGGCTTGGGCTGTCGCCGATGGGATGGCAAAGGTCGCCACTGGTTGAACCAAAAGCCCTGGCAGCAAGTGACAGCGAATGCTATCCAGTCCTGCCGGTCATGCAGACAGACGATTGTGGCATGTCCGCGTTGGCGATCTGCCAGGGCCTCTGCAACTATGAGTGGTTCTCGTCGACAACCATCGATGGGATGAACAGTCCCAGTTGACAATTTGGGGCTTCGTAGCCCATGAAGTCCTCAGACTACCAGCGAAGTGTCCCACACCACCTCAGTAGTTGTCACTAAGTACTTTGCAGACTGATCATGACAGGTATGGAAGAGGTTTGCTGGAGCTGAGAGAGGAAGGTGGCCGTGTAAGCGATCCAGTGTCTCCTATTGCGGTGTCAAAGGGTAGAGTTGAAATAAGGCCTGATGGGTTGATTGTTGAGCGGCAGGAGACAGGCCGATATGCGCCCTGCAGCCACGTTCCTTTCGTATCTGTAGTCAGCGATGACAGGATTGTCGGTCGATAAGGGCTATTATTGTTGCCTCGTAGGGTAAGGTAATCAATCGATCCGGTTTCGAAGTTGTGTTTAGAGTGTATCTGGTAAGTACATGCATTGACGCAGGCAGCGCTGAGAGGTTCTCTTCAGCGCGCAGCATAACAGACGTGCATATACGACTCCATATAGGCGGCGCAGTTAAAGAGGGTCTTTCTAGGCGTTGATTTTAAGCCAACGGGAAGCGGAAAGCATCAGGCGAAGGATTAGCAGCATGCGGATGCGGGGGCATGCTCCAAAGCTAATAACGCCCTACCTTGTCACTTCTTGGAGGGCTTCTTTTGCACACAAAGCCTCGTTGCCAATCCGGGACACCGCTCTTTTCATCTACCACCTCCACTTCGCCTCAAACACCTGTGAACCTCATGCATATGCCTTTACGTTATCCCGAACTAATGTCCGCCGGATCGCACCTGATGGCGTCCCGTCACAAAACCTTGTTTCCATCCTCGATCACTCGCTTCTCTTCATATCACTGACTTGGCTTGTCTTTGACTCTTAAAGATACCTGCGTCTCCTGCTTTCCTTGAGCCTTCTTCCCGGTACTCTTCTTTGCGGATCAGCCTCACGCTGAGAAAATCGACTCTCTCAGCATACTCGAGCCTCGCCTGAGTTCATTTGACTGTGAAAACCTTGGGCTAAGCGTGGACGCGTATCCAGGACCCGTCAGTTGCGTTGCCTTGTGCCTTCACGATTCACTTCGAGTGTTCCCCGTTGGGCCACAGGGATGATGACCTGATTTCGATCTGGACTGCCACAGTTCTTACACAGCCTGCGCCTGCTGCAACCTATTCCCAAACAGACCGCCCCAACAATCAGCGCCCCAGCCTCTGAAACGCTACAAATGACAAGCCTTGTCCGACAAGTTTTACAAGATACCTCTTAGTGTTTCCGGAGCAATTCTATTTCATTCCTGCTTACTTCCAGGAGAGACTTTTTGTGTTCGTGTGGGCATTGCAATGTGTGAATGCTTCACGAATCGATTGTGGGGTCAAGTCAATTAAGATGACACAGCTGTGGCCGCCTTCCCCAAGCGTGGAAGACGAAGATGTGGCATTGGCAAAAGAGCAAGTCGTCGGTGTCCCAATAGACAAACTCAAGACTGAGAATCAACCCGCCGGCAGTCGAGGCTCGGTTGATCAATATCCCATCATCCTCAACCATGATGGACCAGATACGGACTTTACCCAAACACTATCAGTCCACCCCGAATATGACCCAGGCTCGGATAGTGTTGATCTTAGCAAGGAAAAGCCTGCCAATTTTCCTGTCGGCACAAACCCGGAGAAGAGGTTCATTCTGGTAATGGCTGAACAGTCGGCAAAAGCGGAGGATGCTTTCCCTGAGACTTTGCACCGTTCCAAATCGTTTACGCAGGTCGAGGACTATGGTTTGTCAAGGGCAAGGCCCGAAGTCGCGAGAATAAATACAGATCTCAGTAACGGACTGAATGGGATGACGCCTGGCAGGTGGCATCAGCCGTCGCCTTATACTCGGAGCCCTGCGGAAACTGTAGCGTCCACAGGACCTCATCAAGCAGGAGCCACCTTGCTCTCCCCTATGGACGCTCATCAACCCAGAAGATCCATCTCTGTCCATCAGACGTACCGTTCAACGCCTCATGACAGAAGTGATACGGATCATACTTTAAGCTCAAGGAGGAAACATGACCGCAGTACAAGCCGAGCATATCGACAGAGTTTCTCTCACTATGATCGTTCCGAGACGGAGAAGGAGAGGAGCCCTACACTTGGCAGGAGAAGACACAGCCGGGGAAAGAGCACCAGTCGTCCGGATAATCGTTACCGCAGCCCAGCTCCGTCGCACAATGGCTTTTCGGAGTATTCCTACACATCACAGGAGCACATCACTCCACCTCAAAGTCCCAAATTGTCGGCTGCTTTAGCTCGATCTCCAGTATCGGCCCGCCCATCTGGCAGTCATGGCCACGCTGCCAGATATGATCACGATAGGGTTATCACCGACTCTCCGTATGCCTCATCAGCCGAGGAAGGACGTTTGAGGACACATGGCTCCGAAGGCGAGAGAAGAAGCACGCGCGAAGGTCGTTCTCGACGAAGCTCACATGCTCGTCGTGACAAGAGCGCTAAGCCTCACATGAGTCGAGCACCATCTCACCGTCGACACAGAGATTCGAAGGACGAATCGAATCGTGGATTGGGACCTTCTGATGAGCGTCGTGGAGATCAGACACCACTGTCTGGTCAATCGCCCAGAGTTATGGAGGACTATTTTGAAAAAGCCTTCATGGCAAATCAAACCAAAAACCCCTCTTATGCCCAACAACAGTCTCGAGCGGTATCTCCTTTGGCTTCGCCACCGGACAGCCCTCCGAGAACACCACGGAACGAGAGACCACAGAGAGACCACCTCGGGTCTTCTTTCAATGCTTCGAATACGTCAAAACCAAGGACCCGTCCACCGTCCATGGACGACAGCCATCCCAAAGATCTCAAGCCACTCACCTCCCTCCTCAGCGCCGCGACTTTGGGTGCTACCGTGGCCGGAAAGACCATTCCGAGCCATTCCCGGTCGAGTACCTCACTATCCACGCTAGGAACACCCAGCAGTGGATCTCAGACTAGACCAAGCAGTGGACAGAGATCTCGGAGGCATTCGCCCGTCCCCGATGATACGCCGGCAATAACTCATTCTTTGTCACGGACTAACTCGCTGTTAGCCGGAGACGACGGCACAAGCATACGTACCATGACTTATACCGTTCAGCAGGATCGAACTCTGCCAAGGACATCTGCATACCTTCCTGCGCCTGTGGAAAGCCCCCGCACCGCAACACGTGCTGCCTCATATTCATTTCCTCCGGAATCGCCGAGACCAATGCCCCTTTACAGAGCAATGTCAAGCGTGTCGACGCAGAGCTATCAGCAATCTGTGCATCCTCCGACACAGCGATCAACAATGTCGAGGCCGGTAACGCCAGCGCCGGAGCAGGTTCCTGTATTCGCAGCAGCACCCCTACGACCGGCTGCGCCGCCTCTATGTCCCCGGTCGACGCCTGTCTCCGGACTGCACGACTGGTACACGATCCGTGATATGCCGTATCTGGATTTCTGTCCGACATGTATGAGCTTCCTTGGCGCCACCCGCTTCCGCGATCATTTCATTCCAAGCATGTCCAGGGACCCTAGGCAGCCAGTCATGTGTGCAATGAATAGGCCTTGGGTTCGTCTCGCCTGGATGCAGTCGATCAAGCACGACAAAAAGGACCTGCACCTTGTTTGGGATATGAGCACCCCGCCACCACAAGAGACGAAACCCTGCGCAGGGTCAAAGCCGGACTTGAGGAAATGGCATCACTTGGAGGATCCAAGGACTAAGAGACCTATCGATGGTTTCGATATATGTTCAGCCTGTGTCAGAAACATTGATATAGTGTTTCCTAAGCTGCGATCTCGTCTTTTTGACCGACCCAGCAACAAGCCGAACCAGGAGAAGATTTGCGGTCTCAACATAAGCAGTAAGCATTTTTGGTCACTCCTGGCAGAGTTGGAAAGACTGGCCGAACGTTGGTCGAGGGAGCATTTCAGGCAAAAGGACGTCCAAGACTTTGCCGACTACGTTCGACGAATTTCAAGACATCGTGAATGTGCAAAGAACAACATGCTCGGAAACGTATCATGGCACTTCATACCTGAGCTTCCAGAGTTTACAATCTGCGAAGAATGCTACGAGGAGGTGGTTTGGCCTATCAGAGACCGTCCTATTGCAAAAGACGTGTCAAGGACACTCAAGCTTGTGCCGAATTTGCGACGAAGCCACTCAGTGCTAGGGACAAGCTGCCAACTTTACAGTGACCGTATGAGACGGATCTTCCACGAAGCTGTCTCAAAGAATGATTTCGAGGGCTTGAAGACGGCGGCCAAACAACGAATCAGCACGGAACATTGGCTGTGGGAGATGAACAAGCTGTACGAGGCGGACCAACGAAGGGGAATCGATAGGAGGACAGAGCTTGAGAACAATAACTCGATCTGGCGGTCGATTGAATAATTATGAGAAACTCATGACTTACGATTTATGGATCAAGAAATGAGAATGGCATGAGATGATGACCAAAAAAGGGTTCCCGCTGGAATCGTTGGATAGACCATTATGACCTTGTAATCAACCCAGCATGAGGCTGTGAAATTGGATATCTTCGAAAAAGTCGAATCATAAATTCTTGTCGTAGGAGGTGTCGAATAGCATTCCTGACCACCATCTAGAATATCTTGCCCAACACTTGTCTTACATCCTCACTCATCATCTCCTTATTCTTTCCAGCTTCTTTCGTCTGACCCTTGACTTCATTCTGTCTCCACGTCCTTCTGACGTCGACATCTGTATTAGCAGTCCCGCCATCAGCGTCGTCGGCAATTTTCGGGTGTTTGCGCTTAGCCTCCCGCTTCCTCCTCATCCCCTCCTGCACTCGCCCTTGTTCCACACCCTCGATAAACATCTTCGTGTCTCGCGCGATGATTCGGCGCTCCTCGTCTCGCCGTCCTTCCTCCTCACGCTTCTCCTCGCGGATACCCGCCATGAGTTCCTCCCACGCCATGCCGCGTAGATACTTCATGTTCCAGACGTCGTCGTGGTAGAACCCGCCCTTGCGTCCACCGATGAGTTGGGTGTTGAGACTTTCGGCGCAATTGCGCGCCGTTTTCTTGGATGCGAACTCGATCCAGCCTTCTGTGTAGAGTTGGCGGGAGTTCTTTTTGGATGAAGATTTGTGTTTTGATGCTGGGGCTAGAAAGAGGCGGGAGATGGGACTGAAGCCCCGTTGTTCAAGGAGGTTGCGGAGTGCTGAGGGTTTGAGGTACGGTGGGAGAGAGGAGAGGTAGACTACGCCTGGGATCTTTTCTTTGGGCTTTTGTTTCGTCTTTGGTGGTAGAGATGTTGGTGGTGATGGTGACCGCTTCGTAGATTCTTCTTCGGGTTCCTCGTGCGGTGGCTGTGATTCGAGAGGTGATGGGGCTTTGTTTTCTTGGTGGACGCCGGCTTTGACTTCGTCTGCTTCGTCGTCTGAGTGGTCGAGGTTTAGTTTCCGTCTTTTGCTCGCTCTCGCTCTATCTGCCTTGGACACTTCTGCCGCCTCGGAGTCGTAGCCTGCGTCATTGTCTGACTCGTCTGATAGACCGTGGTCGAGGTATGTGTTTCTCTTGCTTGCGGACATACTTCCTACGCCCCTTGAGTTGTTCGTCGGGGTTACTTCAGGAGAGATCGGCGACTCCTCTGTATGTCGAATTGGGTCGAGAAATGTTAGTGAATGTCTGCGGATCGAGACGTTTGAAAATGCGGAGAAAAAATTTGGTCAATGTTGGAGAAACATAAGGCTACTTCTAACGTTAAGACATGGAGTGCCACAACAAGGCTGTCGATCTTATGGGTATGAGCACACGTAGCAGAAATCTAGAGGACTCGGGCAGAAGCATGTTTCGAATATCTTCGTGTCTTGGTCTACATGTATATATTCAAGGATGCCCAAAGCAGGGCCTACAAATTGGCATTTTGACTCTTCCATGCAATACCATTACCGTCCGTCCTCGTCCTTCGCGCAATCACTTCTTGAACCTTTTCTTTTACACCTGCTTTATGATTCCATCTCTTGACAACCTCGTCAATGACCGCCTTGGTCCCTTGTCGGCCATAACTACTCCTCACCACCTTCTCGATGTCTTTCTCGCTGGGTAGTGCAAAGACTGCATGCGGATATTCTGTGTAGTTCTGATCAAGTGCCTCTGGATGAGGATCGACCAGAGTCAAGGCTTCCTCGGGACTGGGCATCTTGAAGAACTCGTCGACATCGGCGTCTGTGACCTCGGCAAGTTTTGGAGGCTTCCATTCAGGTTTCGTAGGGGGTTTGTTGATGAGACGGGCGGAAACGCCTTCAACAAAATCAGGATGTTCCATGAATTTCACGGCCAGTTTGTGCTCGCGAATAAACGTTTCCGTTATAGTCCAATCCTTGCCTTCTCTCAATTGGCGCAGAGCAACACGAAGACTGGTTGGAGATCGCAGTGCAATGGTCTTTTGAGTTTCTTGTGCCCATTGTGCTAATGATTTATCCCCTGACTCGGCTTCTTTCCGAAGTGCTGCGAGAATCTCCTCGATCGTGTTGTACTTGAAGATCCTATCAATGGCTTCACGAAGTGACCCGCTAAGGTGTCCATAGGGGGCTTTCTCGTACGAGTCTCGGGGTGGGAGACTGCTAGTGAACTCTGAAATGGTGGAATTGATGAGCTGTTGTCTTTCCGAAAGGCTAGCATAGTCTTTGAAGACAAGTTCGGACAGCCGCGTAGTCAGCTGGGCCAGCACAGAGCTGTCGAGGTAGTGAGTTGCAATTCCGGCATAGAATGCCTGCACTCCTTGTAGCCTTTCCGATGTCAAGGCCAAGTATGTGCCAATTTCCCCGTCTAGTCGGGACAAGAAAAAGCTGCCACCAACATCAGGGAAAAAGCCAATGGTGGTCTCAGGCATGGCGAAAACGGTTTTCTCGGTCGCAATACGGAAAGGAGCATGGACCGACAGGCCGACACCGCCACCCATGGTGATTCCATCCATGATAGCAACATAGGGCTTGCTGTATGTTGCAATCAGGTGGTCGAGCTGGTATTCCAGGCCAAAGTAATCCCCCGATTTCTTCTGACCTTCTGGGCCTTCCTTGTTCTGTTGCGCAAGTTCCGCAACATCACCGCCTGCGCAAAATGCTTTTGGTCCAGCTCCGCTGATCAGGATAACATTGGCCATCTGTGATTTCTCCCATTCTCGTAGACGGGGCAGTATCTTCCTCGCCATTGACCCATTGAGGGAATTGAGCTTCTTGGGTCGGTTCAATTCAATGGTCCGTACACCGTACAAGGAGTTGAACAGGACATCGTCGGGATCATCTTGAGGGAGTTCCTTTACCGTCGCGCCATATCGGATAGGAGTTGAAGACATCTATAGAGGTTTAGCTCAATCCTGGTACCGTGTGCTTTGGGACATACTGCTCGTCGGCCCAATCTTGGGGAAATCAATGAGGCTCGAGTTCTTGCAACTGTACTCGCTGTCCGAGGAAGACTGTTTGAAGCCACAATGGAGGCAGCGTATCTTGCGCAGCAGGCCTTCATGACGAGCAACAAAGAAGTCGATTACATGGACCGCGACATTCGTGCCGCTGCTCAATCACAGAGATTGGTTTTGGTCGAATTTATCAATTGCTATGGGAGGATTCAGACCTCGGGAATACAATTGGTCTGCCCGAGGAATCTGCGGAGAATTGTCCGCAGCCTTTCCAGTCACGTGCGAGGCTGAAGAACCTAATTCTGAGTCAGCCGGCAAAACTACGGTTCATGTTGAAGCGGCGAATTCTGAATAATTATCAAATTCACCTTCTCACAACTTCGATTTCTCTAGAGTCACCTTTGCCGCCTTTTGTACTCGGGAAATCTCTTATTTCTCCAGGACGACTTTTCCCATACTCAAGGCTTTGCAACACATCTTTCGTTTCGGATCACCACAATGTCGATGGATCTAGACGCCCCAGTCTCACTCTCTTCAATTCACAAGCCACAAGCAGCGACGATCCTCTGCTGCAACTGTGGTGCACCCATTGATGGAACATCCTCAGCAGGCGCTCTATGCTACGACTGTGTCAAACTGACCGTCGATGTAACCGAAGGAATCCAACGAGAAGCAGTCTTGCACACTTGCCGTGACTGTGAAAGATGGTTGAGCCCTCCTTCACAGTGGACCTCTGCAGCACTCGAAAGCAGAGAGCTGCTTGCATTGTGTCTTCGAAAGCTAAGAGGCATGAACAAAGTCCGTATCATTGATGCCGGTTTCCTATGGACCGAGCCGCATTCGAGACGGATCAAAGTCAAAATCACAGTCCAACAAGAGGCATTCGAGGGGACTATCCTCCAACAGACTTTCGAGGTCGAATATGTTGTCGCTAATCAGCAATGCCCGGACTGCATGAAGTCTTTCACACCCAACACATGGAGAGCTACTGTCCAGGTCCGCCAAAAGGTGCCCCATAAGCGGACGTTTCTGTACCTGGAGCAACTTATCCTCAAACACCAAGCACACAAAGACACCATCAACATCAAGGAGGTCAAAGATGGACTGGACTTCTTCTTTGCCCAACGAAATCATGCCGAAAAGTTTGTAGACTTCTTGTCCTCTGCCACACCCGTCAGCGTGAAGAAGTCTCAAGAATTGATCTCTATGGATGTCCATACGTCCACCAAGTCCTACAAATTCTCATTCTCCTGTGAACTAGTCCCGATATGCAAAGATGATTTGGTCGCACTTCCGGTCAAGCTGGCCAAATCTATCGGTAACGTCGCCCCTCTAGCAATCTGCTACAGGGTTGGAACATCAGTCAATATAGTCGATCCCGCCACTTTACAAACTGCAGACCTACCTATGAAAACTTACTGGAGAGCACCTTTCAAAAGCTTGGCAGACGTACAGGAATTGGTGGAGTTTGTTGTACTCGACATTGAGCCCACAGGCTCTCAAAATGGTCGATTTTTTGGAGCTGAGGCGACCGTTGCACGCGCGTCGGATTTGGGCGTCAATGATAAGACATACTATTGTCGAACACATTTGGGCGGAGTTCTACATGCCGGAGACTCTGTGATGGGGTATCATCTTACTGGCACCAACTTCAACAATACTCAATTTGAAGAGTTGGAGCAGAGCAACGTCTACTCATCAACCATTCCAGACGTCATGCTAGTCAAGAAGTTCTATGCTCGGAAGAAGAAGCCCAAGTCTCGAAGCTGGAGACTCAAGCGAATGGAGAGGGATGAAGGTGATCTACTACCCAAGAAGGCGGACCAGGAGCGGATGGATGCAGACTATGAAATGTTCTTGCGGGATGTGGAAGAAGACGCCGAGCTGCGTCAAACGCTGGCTCTGTACAAGGCCAAACACCAGAAGAGCAAGGACGTCGACATGATGAGTATGGTCACAACAGACGACGGCGATGATGAGGTGCCGAAGATCAATGTGGACGACTTATTGGACGACTTTGAGGATCTGAATGTTAATGACGACGAATGAATGGTTGGCAACCACGGCATCTGCGGCGTTCAGGTTAGGTAGGCATCTGTACCATTACGGCATGAGGATGGGACATTTAAGGGATGAACACGTTCTGTAGCCTGCGAGCCCTTGTAAAGCATAAGCACCCTTGGGCCTGGTATCCCCTATTGATTCAGAACATCTGAATTGAGGTTGGATACCTTATTGATAATCCCCAGACCAGCCTTATGATGTCATACTCGACTCCAGAATTAAATGAACGCCTGTTGTCGCAAGTCTTGGACGCTTTCTCAGATTGACGCTGAGTCACTCATTTGCAGATCGCAGATTGCAGGTTGCACCTTTCCAACCCGGCTAACATAAATGACTATTGCGCCCTTCCGAAGATGAAATGAATTGACACACCGAAAGATATCGAATGTGGTGGCAAGTAATGCCAAGATATGCATAGAACAGACAAGGTGTCGACTATCAACATTGGCTGCAGGAAGAAGCAACATAGGATTGGGAAGTGAGACAGACAACACTTTGCGTTGATTTTCTTCACTTGCATTCGTGTGCAATGGACCCGAATTGAAACAATCTTGCCTGCCTCGCTGACAACAGCAAGATTTTCTCGGTCCTGCAATGATCTCAGCTGTCAGAAGCCGTGGTGGAAGGCATAACACCATATCTGGGACACGGAATGAGTTCTACATTCTTTCGTCGACCTGGCGATGACAGTTCAAGTTCTAGCTCTGGCTCGGAACCAGATGTATCTAATGACATTGAACACTCCGATGGACAACACGTTGACTCTATCACAGAGGAAACAGAGACCGCCACTACTGAGTCGCTATCGAGTCATGGGAGTATATCAGTAGGGGACACAGTCGATCCAACGTTGAACGTCGCAAATGTTGAACTTCATCGAGCGAATCTGCTCAATGCTCTTCTCGAAGACTTTGCCAAAAACCGGGCTTGCGAAATATTAAATGCAGCAAAGCCTGGTGCCGACCTCAACAGATCGTCGCCTGAAGTCCAACATTTGGCCGGCAGGCTATACGACCAAGTCAGCCAGTCCTTGGCTCAAACCGGCGTGCTACCTACGACCACTTCACATGATATCCATGGAGATAAGCAACTTCGAGCAACGTATATAAACGGTCTGGAGAGCATCGCGGTGAGTGGTCTACAGAACAACCACATTCCCGGAACACGACCTTCGCTTTCCACTCCTGAACAGCACCTTGCAGTTGCTCGGATGAACAATGAAGAAAACGATCCCATCTCACATTTACTTCAGCAGCCGTTAGCCCACCTCTCGCTCCGGGATAATCATATGCCAAATCCATACTCGGATTTGATCCTGTCGTCTGCGCCTACCAATCCCCGCAGTCATTATGAATCGAGTTTTCAGCAGCTGAGTTTGCTCGGAAAAGGAGGGTTTGGGAAGGTCTACCACACATTCAACATTTTTGACAAGAAGGAATATGCTGTCAAAAAGATCCCTCTTAGCCCGCGCCTGTCACAGCGCTACAAAGAGTCTGGACACAAGGAACTCGAGCATGTTTTACGGGAAGTTCAAGCCCTAGCACAGCTTGAACACAACAATGTCGTCCGATATCATGCTACGTGGATTGAAGAACCCAAGCGACCGCGAGATTCCGTGTACCACTCCGCCGAACCAAACCTCACCGCTCCAGGCAGGAGGCTCATTGCTGATGGGCGTGCCCCGATCCCCAAACCTCGACCGTCTCACATACTGCCTGCGATACGGGACTACAGCGACGGCATAATCTTCGGCCTGGACAGCGTCTCCCATGATCCTCTGCATCATGCTCAACATGACGCGGATTCGGTATGGTCTGCGAGACAGACTGATCATGAACCAAGTTCAGCACGACCTTCGGAAATCTTCACAGACGGTCACGCTCAGCCAAATGCACAATATGACGTGGTTATGGACGATTCTGTCTATGTCCTCCATGTACAAATGTCAGTGTACCCTATGACACTGGCACAGTACCTAGCACCTCCGCCTGCGAATGCTAGAAGCGCGCCGAGCCAGCCCTTGCGGCGGCACTGCTTCCATCTCATACCTACATTACGCATATTGATGGGAATCCTCTGCGGCTTGCAGTATATCCATGCCATGGGACTAGTCCATCGTGACATCAAACCCAGCAACATCTTCATTTCCAGTCTAAGCTTATCAGCTGGCGGCGAAGCCTCGGAAGGATACTACGATGTAGGAGACTGCGTCGCATGTCCCAATTCGGATCCGTATCATGTCAATCCGCGTATTGGCGATTTTGGACTCGTCGCTGAATTAGCCAGAGATGGCGGGATCGACAGTGATACCGTTGGTACTATTACTGGCAAAGCCGTTGGAACAGAATTCTATCGACCACCTCAATGGACGGACACAAAAGGAAAACGGCGATCGTCTTCGATCGATGAGAAACTCGATGTATTTGCCTTGGGAGTTGTCTTGGTGGAGATGTTGTGGTACTGCACAACCAAAAGTGAACGCTTAATTGTTCTTGGAGACCTTCAGAGAGGGAAAGTGCCTGCAGGACTAGTAGAAAAGATCGACAATGAAGGGCACGTACCGCGTGCTGGAAATTCAGTCTGTCAATGCATCTCAGGAATGATTGACCCGGATCCGCAGCAGAGATGGAGCTGTGCAGAGGTCAAAGAATGGATTGAAAAGATACTGGAGAATTGCACCGTCGAAAACAGTGAAGATAACCAAATCAGGATGGGCATCACTAATCCTCGACGACCAGCCGATTCGGGACAGGTGATGAGCTTGGGCGAAGTCGAAGAACAGTCTGAGCCAGCCACATGACCTGAAGGAGACCACCAGGATACAATGCCCTTGTTCGACGAAGATTCGCATTGATCTGGGTTGTTGCAACATAGATGCAAGAATAGGTTCGCATAAAGCCATTTTCTCATGTGAAGATAGCAGGGACTTGCTTTGACGGCCGGTCGAGGGTAATGATGAATGGGATCCTGGCAGTATGATCGTCTCGCCCCAAGCTCCAACTAAGCTGAGACATGAAGGAAAGGGCCAGAGCTTCTCATAACTCTGTTCTCAAGCCGGTTGATATTACTGCTGCGACTGTATTTGCAGAGCCATGAATTGTTCACTTGGAAGGTTTGCTGCGTAGTGGTCAGTATGAAGGGACAGTGCACGTGACCTGCACGCGTTAAAATCAGACAGTCTTGCCAAGTTGCCACTGCTCCTTTAGATTCGAACTGACAGGTGTCGCATTCTCTGACAGATGTCGGATGCTCATAGAGAGCTCCGGTGCCTGGATGGCAGATTAATCCTCCGCCTGTCCTGCTGTTTTGGGTCAAACAGTTCTGGAGACCTTGCCAGCCGGTCAAGGGTCCCCTATCGCATGCAGGCGCGGGTGCTGATAACATCAGTCTCAAGTTTGGAGTCGTCAATTTGAGTGATGCTGATATCTTCAATCCCACCCAGGAGTATTCTTACCATGAGCCTTACCGCCGGCCACATCTTCATGTGTGTCTGTGTGACATTCCAGCCAAGATCAGAGTCGCTGGGCATGCAACGGCGCCAAGCTATAGGCTGAAACTGGCGAAAAAGGGGGTGAAATTGGCCAGCAATTCCGTCTCAGTATTGGGCGCGCTGCCTCAGGGAGATTGGGAAGAACAGAGAGTACTCCAGGATGGTCTTGCTGTTGTGACTGCTCTTCGTCTTCTTTTCATCTTTCCTTTTATCCATAGTCCTTAACAGCACAGTTGACATCACATAACTCTTGCCCCCCAGCAGCAGATTCATATATTTCGAAGAGCGATAGAAAACAGGTAGAGGCAGGAAAATGACCATCGCAAAGGCACCCGCGCTCCTTTTGGCGCTTGCAGCTGTTGTGGCGGCCGAGTCGTCTATAATCAGCGTGTTTTTTCCTGGCGCGGATCAGCAAACACTTCTGGGTTCCATCGTCAAATCGGTACGGATTGACTATCTCTGTGTGCTTCGTCAGCTAAAACCTGCTAACCGTGTCGTTGGCGGACAGGATGCTTCGAAGACCACAATGGCTGTGGGATGTCCCACCGATGTCGACGCAGACGATTGTGGTTTCCCTACACCCATCACTGTGACAGTCGGTCCGTCGACATTCTACGCGTCAGAAGCCTATGAGTCGACTTCGGCGATTATAGACTGCCAGCTGACGGGCACCACGGCCGGAGTTTGCGCAGAGACATATATTGGACCGGCGGATTTGTTCGATGATACAGATACCTCTTTATTGACAGCCTCGGATGCATCATCGGATGACTCGATCACCACCACGGCGACCACCGTCACGCTCTCCTCCACCGATATGGTCTATATTCCCGTCACGCTCACCACCGGGGCGCTTCAAGTTATATCAGACTCAGCGGCCAGCACAGGGGCAACCGGAAGTGAATCCACACCTCAGGTCACAGGTACCACGAGTTCAAGTGGATCACAAACGGCTGAATCAACGGCTGCGACTGGCAGTACGACAGGTAGCACGAACAGCGGAACCACCACAAGCAGCGGGACTTCCGCCACGGGATCGAGTGGTTCAACAAATGGTGCCAGTAAAGGAGATTCCCGGATGATGGCATGTGGCGCTGTAGGTGCCGCTGTGGTGGGATTATTCAGTATCATGCTATTCTGATAAACTTCTTCTATGTCACCGGAACGCTCTTCCTGGTGGGACGAGCGGACCACAAATGTGCAGCAGGACAAGCAACGTAGATCGTGTTCACAACGACCAAGTCGAACCGCGGTGGTGTGAAAAGTTCTCAACAGACGATAACCTACGCGTGTTGCAGTGGAGTAGGGGTATCCGGATGAGTTATCCAGGAGCCGGTACTCAGCTGAGGTGGATGGAAGTGGTGGAGTGAAATCCTGCTGCACAATGACATGGCGATGCTTTTAGTCTCCTATGACATAGCTGTTGGGAAGGCCGTTTACTTCGCCCAGTACTCGTATGGTGTTTTTAGCAGAACATGGGGGTGGCGTGCGCTACAAGTTTCCAGATTCGTTCCAACTCATTCTCTTTCGGCCAGGGCTTCAACATTGAAGAAACAGGAGAGAACTATACGTTCCATAATATAATTTGACATATTTCAATATCCCTGATGATCCCTTCCGCAGGACTCCGTAGATTGAAGCTTTCAGCCTCAGGCCGGAAGTAGATCATTTGAGCAAGTATGGACCCGAAATGGGACCTGACGAAAAAAGATGCGGCGAGGGTAGCAGCGAAGGCATGACGCAGATCGGGGCGATGGAGCGGAAAGTTGTAGAAGATTCACAGGGTGTGATTCGATGGGATGATGGCCTCCGGTAGTGGCTTGCAAGGGGCAGCCGCACATGGCAGTTTGGCAATTCCCATGACCAGAAACTGGGGGGACATGGGAAAGAGATCGGCGATGGAATGGAGGATCGACCACCGATGCGGGTAGAGATGGTCGATTGCCAGGTAAAGTGATACATGGCTCTACCACAGAGATTGGACTAGTCAAGAAGTACTACCACAGTATGGTAGCCACTAACTCTTTATGAATAGGTGGAGGGACACTACCAATAGGGACTTCTTCCTCCCAAGACAGCCCTCTGTTTACTGGACCTGCGCCTAACGTAAACGCTACCCAACTCTACTTACGCTTTCCTAGCCGTGTTTGTCAGTCTCGGTCTCTAGGGTAGGAAGCTGATCAAGTACAGATCTCAACCTATCCACAAACCGAAAAACACACACATACCGTGGTACCTAGTGCTCCAGAATACTGCTACCTGCAGTGCTGCTAGTAGAATAGCGGTGGCTTGAGAACCAATACAGGTGTCTCCAACCCGGATCAAGCCTCCGCCACAGTGCCCCCAGCGCCTCTTGCTTCCCTCGATCGCCTGTCACTGCTCAATACGAATCTGCCTCAGATCTCTCGCTTCAAACCTGATCACTACTGTACTGTGAGAGTAACTCGTACCTTGAATGCCTATTTCACTGCCGCTCCACATCTTGGGCCCCTGCTAAAACCTGATGTTTTTTCCGTGAACCCGCTTGCCAGAATATTCCTCAGGGCCCCGTTACCCTTGATATTCCCCTTCACCCCTCCTGCCACACCCTCCGGCTCAAACAAACATTCCCATTCCCAATCTCAACCCAGACCCTGAACAACACACGCGCCTCACACCACCAAAGTATCACCACAAACAAAGCTTCAATCGTCTCTTCTCTTGTCTTCTCTTTACCATCGTCAACCTGTCATAGTCCTTCCCAATGGCCGCCGTACACTCTGGCCCCTCGTCTGCCGTGGACAGCATCAATGACCTGGACGGTTACACCATTCGAGACTACAACTTCCCCTCCTCCAACAGCTTCACTCCTGGACAAGATGACGATTTTGGTTTCGACCCGCCCGCAGTAAAGGCTGCCTCGCTCAACAACTTCCAAGTTTATAGCCCGCCCAACGACTTGTCAATGCCTGAATGGCCAGACTTCCAGCGAGATGACGATCTGAAACCCTCCACAGAGATCCCATTAAACCTGGATGCCTACGAGATCGACAAGTTCATCAATTCGACACTCCCAAATTCCACCACCGCGGTTGCACGTTATGGACAGATGACTCCACCGCGTTCCCACTCCGCAGCCAGCACTGATTCCGTCAAGCATGAGGAAAAGGTACTCTCTCCCAAGTCCGCAGCTCCGGAAGGACCACGCCGGAAGCGCAGCAAAGTCCAAACCAAAGAAGAAGAACCAGCCACCTCTACCTCTACACCAGCTACCTCCGGCCGAAAACGCAAGTCCTCCAAGAAGTCCGCCCTCGAGAGAAGTGACTCCCCAGAGGAACAAAAGAGAAAACAGTCACTGGAAAAGAACCGCCTGGCGGCTGCCAAATGCCGGATGAACAAGAAGGACAAGACCGAACAACTACAACGTGATTCCCACGACAAAGCTGTACAAAACGCCTATCTAAAAGACCAGGTCATGCGCATGAAGGACGAGATCCAGCAAATGAACGCCGTTTTGCTTGCCCACGCCAACTGTGACGGTTGCAGGTCACCAGAGGAGATTCAAGCTCACCTATCCAACATTGGTAACGACTTTTTCAGCTCGCACATGAGCATGGGAGCTTCCAACTACCAACAAGACTTCTCTCAAATGAGCTTCCCGGATCTACAAATGATGCCCGACAGCTACTTCTCCAGTGCAAACCACAACGGAATGCTCAACCCTCCTCTACCAGAGTTCAGCCGAGGAGGAGAGTTTGAAGTCACCACACCCATGCAGACTGATTGAAAGTCTTACACCATGTTTATTACCATATCTCCTAATCCTATGGAGCTTAATGTCAGCATTTGATGAAATTCTATTCCGAAACGAGCCGGGTGAGGTGCAAATGCATCTTCCTTTTCCGGCCGCGGGGAACCTGTTTGATTTCCAAAGATACCCAACGGCACGAAACGGCTTTTCCTTCAGCAATTTCTGCATACACGGCAGGATACGAGTCTGATTGCCTGAATCAGAGGACCGGCAAGTCGCGCAACAAGCTGCCAGTTCAAGGCGGGGGTCAAAAAGAGTTTCTTCACCCCACAGCTTGCTGTGGCGGTGCCGTCTCTCGATGAAGGCTCGGAGCAAAACCGCTCGCCAGGCTAGAATATCCGGCGATGCGGACGGTGGACTACACGACAATTGTGTGTGGCAACAATCCTCCACATGCGGAATGACGACGATGGCTTGGTATCTCAGGGAGTTCGTTGATGCTTGAGGCAAGTTCCAAGTCGATCAAATCGCGGGACGCAGATGGGCGAGTCTGCTCATGTGGCTTGTGAGGGACTGCAACTGCCCGGATCAACGAGCCTCAGCTTCTGATTGGGTGGAGGATCTTCGTCGATCAACGATCTTTACGGATGAATAGTCCGATCCAACATTGAACCCTAAGGGGGCGCCGCGATGGACATCAAAAATCTACCGTGACAGAGCGCTTATCAGGAAGGTCAATCTGGTGTTGCTGATTGTATGATTATACTTGAATGGGCCAACAGAATATGGCGGGCCCATTATCGCCTGCTTCACCTTTGTGCAGTCTTGCTTGGTATTGAGAGGGCCGGTTTCCTTGAAAGCACAGACATAGCACCCCGTACACGAAGCGGGATGCCCCAATTACGTTCGTATGAATATCAGCACGACCGTTGATGGCAGATAGTCTAACTAATAGTCTCTATGACGCTATGACCCTTGATCTCTTTACCTTTAATCTACTGCTTCGGGTTGTGCTCGACAGTGACGACCATAACCCATGATATGATTTACCCTCTATCATGTCGAAAGGATTGGTACCGAGTAGAGAACAGACCGTTGGTGGATCACGGAACGATCAATAGAAGTCACCATAGCCGTTGGCGACGGTAGAGGTTAAGTCTCCTGGCTACTATTACGAGTTTGTGCTCAATGAATATGCCAGGGCCCATATGCTACGATATCTACAGTACTACTAGTAGCGATCAATACGAGCCACACCAGCAACAGCAACATGTGTTCGACGAATAACGCCACACTCACATGTGCTCTCCGGAGAAGGCTTCCACGGAGATATAGTCCACGGTGGCTGATGCGACACATGCAGACAGCACCACAAATCTCACTTACGGGATTGTTGGGAGACGACAGGGACTACGACCATGGGGAAGAAAAATGCGATAGGCCTAGAGCGAGCTGAGGTACCCTGCCACTCCTTGCCTGGTAAAGTGGCCACTCGTAACGGCTGGAGACGGTTTGAACCTCGGTATGACGTAGACGCTTGTGAGTCGATCAGACTACTGTGGTAGTGTGGTTCGCTCTGGTGGGAATCTGAGAGGGGGGAAACCTCGGGAGATGAGCCATGATCCGTTGCCTGTGCCCGTAAGCAAGCGTCTACTGTGGTACGCTGCTGGAGCCACCTGATGGACAGCCACGGTAAGATTTACGAATCCAAACCCGAGGGTTTTCACTTGAGTACGAGTACTGTGGTACCAGATCTTCACTTCACGTAAGCATTGTCGTGTCTTCTTTCTTCGGCCCGCTGATCACCGGCGTGCAAATGCGAGAAGAGGATCGTGAGGATCTTTGATACCCTCTTCTGAGAGTTTGACTGTGGGACATGAAATTTGGAAAATGGCAATGCGCAATTACAGGATGGAGATGTGGTGTACGAGTATAACAGTACGACCTACGTGAGATGCTGCGTCAACCATGAACACCGCTTTCTCGTTCTGATTGGCTCTAGCCATTCGCAGTAAGCATGTAGACTCTAGCGTTTCGTCCAGAAAGGAAAGAAAGGAAGAAAGAGAATTTTCGAGAAAACTTTGATCTTTGATCACCTTCCGAAGTGTTCCTTAAAGCACGCTAACCGTTACCGCTGGATTGATTTGACATCCAATGGGTACGAGGGTACATGTCAATATGGCAGGAAGGTTTCGCATTTGGACAACGCAGACCCAGCTGCTGAAGGCACAGCCTGTCAAGATGTCTAGGTGTCAAGGTTGACTCTCGGACAAAACGTTGAACAATGTTCAGCCGGGGAGAGGTCAACGGTCCCATACAGGACGTTTGAGTAAGACAAGGCTCGATTTATAGGAGCATGCCAAGTTAAGAGGATGTCGGGTCAGACTGACCATATCCAGGGTTCTCGCTGGCATCACAAGGCCAGCATTCGATCCTGGAGATATTGCTGTGGCCAGGCTGCAGGTGTGTGTGGTTTCGCAAGCAATCGTCTCGGTAAGATTATTGGCTTCCAGGCCCTTGCCTCCCTATATCCACGGCTCATGCTGAGGATCGATTTAAATGTAAGTAGCAAGACGGTGGGCCGCTCTCTCTCTTCAGATACCCTCGATGACCTGGCATACATCATTACCATTGCCTGTCCTTCTCTTCTGAAAGGTCTTCATCCATCCTCGCGCTACGGCCTGCTCTTCCGCAAGACATTAAAAAAGAAGGTTCGTCTGTCTGCTACAATAACGAGCCACGAGATCTCTCATCTGCTAGTGAGCGAGCTTGCATGTTCTGTACCATACACGCCAACGAACCCTTACCAGCAGCAAGTCGACTGCAAAGTCTTTCGAACAGTCATACAGGATGACGCAGCGTTAGTCAGGTATGCTGGTGCCATAAATACGAGGCTTCATGAAGGCCTCACCGTCTCATGGAGCGATATGCATGCATCGGGCATGTTCGTGGCAAGTATATGATGGCAGGACTGGAGATCGTCGGAAAAGAGGCAGGGCGCAACCGCGAACATCGAAGTCGAGAAGCGCATATCAGCAAAAGCTATAGAACTTGCCCATCGGCAATGAATCCAGCAAATTGTTACTTCAATTGCTGTATTCCGTATGGCTCCACGGGTTGTCATCGCGCTGGAGGAGCTGGAATGGGAATTGAAGATTTTCGAAGCCGCACTGGAGCAGACGCTAGGATCGGGTCAGATATCGTGAGTCCAGAGTTCATAGAGACTAGAGTAAACCGTAGTCGAAAAGCCCTGCCATACCACGTGTTCTCGGATGTGTGTTCTTCCAGATCAGCATGGCGATGTCGAACGGCAAAATTTGAAAAGGACCTTTTGTCGGCGTCTCCGCGTATGATCTCATCAGCCTTCCACGTGATCGCGTTAAATATAGCATCTCCATGTAAGATCATCCAGTGACAGCCGCAGCTGAGGCGAGCAGATCCAGACCATTCTTCTGCTCGTATTCACGCCTCGAGAAGGCAAGCTGAGGAGTGTCTACGCTGCATTCTCACTTCATTGCTTTCGTTCTTCCTAGCACCATCCATCCTCCCATACACCCTAATACTTCGCGCCTCATTGAACCCAACGGCGCTCGCCTACCACCATCAACGAACAGTGGCGCAATCCTAAAGTCCTGACGGACGATCCGACATGGTCATCCTCGGCGGCCTCGAACTCGTTGCAGCGGGATATCTTCTGAAAGAGGTCTCAAAGGACAACAAGGAAGACGAAGACCGTGAACGGCGAAGACGGCGGCACCACAGCAAACACCGAGACGATCACAACCACGGCCATGGTCACAGTCATGGCCACCATCACAGTCACCGCTACGATGACTCACCTCCTGGACGACACAGTCGCCCACCTCACCAGAACTCCCTCGCACCACCCCAGAACCAAGGCCCGCCACGACCTTACAGTGCGCCCCCAATCCAGAACAGACCGCCGGTAATGCCGCCAGGACCGCCGCCCATGGTCTGGCAACAGCAACAACAGCACCCTCCAGCACAAGGACCGCCACAAAGCCACAGCACGTGGCCGATGCAGCAGAACCAACAGCCACGCCCTGCACAGCAGCAATGGCCACAACCCAATCAACACCAAACAGGACCACCGCCTCCGAACCCGCATGGCGCGAACTTCGTACCTCCGCCCCTCCAGCGTCCGGCGACGACAGTAATGCTCCCTCCACCAAACATGCACTACGACACGAAGACAGGCAAGTGGCAGAACAACATGTTACCTCCGGAGATGGTGCAGGCACAGAACCAGGGCAAACGGGATCGAGATGCAGGTCCGGAACTGCGGCGCGAGAATTCAATGCCGGAGGCAAACCCTTACGCCTCACCAGGCCAGAACCACGCGTACGACAGCGCAGGCACGCACCCGCAGATCAATGTGACGGACCACTACGGCCGGCCTGGTGCACCTCAATACACGATGTCAACCCCGGCTCTACCACAGGGGTTTGCGGAGCTGGACTCCGAGACACCAGGCCGCTACAGGCCCCATGGTGACGAGAAAGGATCGTCGTATGAGCCCCAACGTAGTCACAGAAGGCGGAGAGGGCACTCGGGCTCGTCCACCACGCGGTATTACGATGATGATGAGATGAGGGATCCACCACCAGCATATCGAGAGTAAAATGATGGGAGGAAGATGTCCAGGTCAATGACAGAACAGGGAAATGACATGAATCCGAATGGCTGGACCATTTTTATGAATTGATGATCCAAAAAATGAATGCATTTAGTGTAGGATTTGAAAGACAATATCTTGTCAGCGGGCTGGCAGATTAAAACAGTTCTTCAATATCTTGCTCGGTTCCAGCTGTGATGTGAACAAGCCCAGGCTGATGATCATTGGTCTACTCGATCCATTCCGTTACGAGCACATATCATACAAGTTCACAACCTTTGAGGGCCCTCTGCTCCTCTGCGCACATGCATTTCGGAAATATCTCCATCTTTTTGAAGCATTCTCCCAGCTCAGCATCCCACGCTTCCGATCATAGTCCATTCCAGCCCATATCGTGAGCTCAACACGTCACAGTTCTTGTCCCTGATGCATACTACGTTTCTAATGCCAGTGGATCTCTTCTGCCGCATCATCAGCGCGAGCTTAGTCTATGCCTGTGCGATAACGTCCGCAATCCCGGTGTCAATCGTACCAAGATGCTGTTGTAAATCCTGATTTTGCGCTCCTGCCGCATGGCTGGTGCTCACGGTCGGTGTATGCGGTAATGGAGTATTGGTGGCAACCATTAGCGTGACTGAATCTTGAAGTGAGCTGGTATCAACCACGCGGCCGTGTGTTTGGACGAATGACAACGTGGCACGCGACCTTCTGCGCCTGGAGATGAGGGATCTTGATTGTCGTGAGCTGTCCGGATTGTTGTCGTGATCAGGGAGGTCGTTGAACATTTGTGGAAAGGTGTTTTCAGTCCGGGCTCTTGCAAGAGCTTTCCTGACTGTCTGCCGAAAGCCACTGCGCTTGCGAACAGAGTGTACATCACCTGAATGCTGAGGAGCTTCCATGTTTTCTGCCTCGTGGACAACGATATTCGGTGGGCTCAGAAGTGATTGACGTCTTGTGTCTCCCATGGAAAAATCCGTTCCCGAATGCTCGGGTAGGGTAATCTCTGCCAGGACCCGTGCATCAGAGACTCGGCGGTTCTCAAGCTCCCAAGGGGGCGGAAACTGAACAGGACTGTTGAGTATGGCCTCAAGCGGTTGGTAGGCACGCTCGCGGTAAGTCGGTCTACAAGTAGGGCAAACCATGAATTCGCACGGCTGCGGACTGAGCAATCTGGAATCCAGAGTCGGTATGACAGGAAGTATTCGCTTAGTTTCACACTCTGGAGGAGGGATGGAAGGCTCTGACATCCAGACTTTTTGCAACTCTTTCCAGTCATAGGCCGCTTTGATTTCTTCGTCGAGAGAGGTCGAGGATGTCGTTGAGAATGTTGTACTCTGAGGGAGGGTCGAAAGGCTTCCTTCGAAGGATGATGCAGTTGCGGTCGACGATGTGGACGCTGTGGGAGGTCTGCTCTCCTGGGCAAGGATGAGATGCCTGACCTTCTCTTTCTGATCCATCAAGGATCTGATCTGTTCATCCGTGTATTGTCCTTGTCCGATTGCTTCGATGATTGAGGCACTGAGAGAGTGTGCAGCCACATCGTTGCAATTCCTCTTCTTGGTATTTGATGGTTGGCCTGTGAAATCAGTTTCTGGCAGAAAGCTGTCCGAGTCTTGCGTGCAACGATACAGCCAGCCAATGCTGGGGTGTTTGGAGCAAATGGAGCACTTGAAAGAGCCAATGGGGTCAAATAGACGGGTCATGGTCATATGAGTACACGCCGTGCGGCGGGCAGGGTTATTAACCCTTAGTAAAGGCATGTTGAAAGGGGACCTATGGTCATTGATGTCGAGCAGAAGAGTGATGGTAGGCCAGACGCAATGAGAGAGGTTCAACAGGATGTAGAGGAGAAGGGCATTGACAGAAGGAGCCATGCAAAGTTGTCAACTGAATGGGAAGTGCAGGTCCTCGCAGCCATATTCTCTTTTTGTTCTTCTTTACCGCACCTTCTGTTGCTAGGCCATCTGAATGCTTTTCCGGTCTTACAGTCTTGCCGCTGCTCCTCATTTCGTCTCCTCTACTATACTACCCGTTTCCAGGCTCTAGTCTGCCAGACATGACCAACATGTCGCGTGCCTGCCATGTCCCAGGTAAGAGCGGACTGACTCGGGCTTCCATAGTCTTGAATCATCCCGCAGAGACCATTGCGCCTATCTGACAGGATGTTGGAAACCATCAGTCAACAGGGGATTTATGTGCTAGGCATATGTCTGCAGAGAAGGTCAAGTTCTTACATCAATATCGACGACGATACCGTGTTTATATCTTGGCAGAGTGGATGACGATGAGTGGCTAAATCGCGGAGAAGGCTTTATGCCTGCGATTTGACTTGCCGTTCGACGCCTGGCCAACTCATCTCACCCTCATTTAAGTTTCCCGGGTACGACTCCCATCGCCGTCTCCATTTCCCGCCTCTTGCTTTCTACCTTCGCTGCTCACAATGATCGCGCCTCTACCTGATTCATCTTCGCGTTAACATCAACGCCATCTGCACTCGCGATCGATTCTCCCCCGGAGCAACTTCTCCTGCATAGACTTTGCAGCATACTCTATCTTCCTCCGACATCTTCGTGTCAGATCACCTAATCGGTACGTGTCAAGTCCCCCACAACTTGAGAGACCTCGGCCGAGGCACTTGCTTTTCGGCGACAGCCCCGTCAGCGCCATGACCATGCCTGGCGCCATCAAATACCTCTCTTACATCCCTGCTCTTGTCCATCACCTGCGCTAACATATTCTTCGTTGCATCAGGAACTCGACTTCCATCGATTTCACCTCTTACACGCGCTACTTTATCGCGCATCCGAAAACATGTCGGTCCGATTTGAGAAAGAGCAGATCCAGACGACGCCAGTCGCGCGCGTTGGACAAAATGAGACCATCGGGCACAAGATCGGTGAGCGGTTGACTGGCGGACCTCAACCAAGTGGATATCTTGCTGTAAGAACATACCCTTGCAATCCATGTCGCCCCAGACACTTATACGAATGATACAGGCGTACCTGAAGCAACTCCAAGCCAACCCACTGCGAACAAAGATGCTCACCTCCGGAACGTTATCTGCGCTACAAGAGTTACTAGCTTCATGGCTTGCACATGATCGCAGCAAAAACGGCCATTACTTCAGCTCAAGAATCCCCAAGATGGCGGCATACGGCGCCCTCATCAGCGCTCCCATGGGTCACGTTCTCATCGGTTTGTTGCAAAGGGTCTTCTCAGGCCGAACCAGCTTGAGGGCGAAGATCCTTCAGATCTTGGCCAGCAACTTGATTGTACGTTTTCTCCATTGATTTTCCGGAGGATGAGGCAACTGACTCACTGCTTTCCACCAGATTGCGCCGATTCAGAACACCGTCTATCTAGCATCAATGGCCGTCATTGCTGGTGCGCGCACATGGCACCAAGTCCGTGCGACTGTCCGTGCCGGCTTCATGCCTGTTATGAAAGTCAGCTGGATCACATCGCCGTTGGCGCTGGCTTTTGCCCAGAAGTTCCTCCCAGAGCACACCTGGGTTCCATTCTTCAACATCGTTGGGTTTTGCATTGGCACTTATATCAACACTCACACCAAGAAGAAGAGGATTGCCGCACTGAGGAAGAAGGTAAGATCGTCCTCTCTACAATTGTACGGATATCGAATTGACATTGTTGGTAGCACTACGGCGACGGCCGAAGCACCTCTGAGCGACCGGACGACAGATATTAAACTGCCAAAACCCAGACCACACTTTGACGTCACCATCAATTGCATCGATCAGGAGAGTGATTTCTGCGTATCCGTAGGGAGGGAAGGTATGAAGCAATACCGATTCGCAAGCCGGCAATCTGGACGTCCATCACTGGCTCTCTGTTGGCTGTCGGCTTTCCGACACACCCTTCCCATTACACATCGGGCTACAACGACCAATTATTTCTGATGTCGTTCGGTAGTCTTTATAGGGGGGGTCAATGTATATTTGCTTGCCGAGTGCGTTGGACGGTGCAAGCCGGTCTAAAACCTACCCTTGAGCCCCATTGAGGTACATCGTATATCACATGTTTACAAGACTCGAAAGGACGAAACGACCGTGCTCACATGAATTCGTTGGACATAATCACTACGTTCAGTCTTGAAGTTCTGTGTTCATTATAGACATCCATTGGCCATTGCACATCGAATTCGCATGCACAGTTTCCAACTAAGCAAAGGTGCAAGCAAGCAGATCATACCCTGAAATTGTGCAGGACAAATCCTTTCGTGAGTTCTACTAGCATAGTACCATTTCGTGCATCTCGCATACGACCTCACGCAACATAAGAGTACGAATTGCCCTCGTCGCGCTCCATGTAGTCCTTCTCGATCAACCTGTTCATATGTAGTCAGCACATCATCCTTTCAGTGTAATGGGGGCCATGACTCACTTCTCAATATTCCTCTTGATATCCGCCTGGTCCAAGACGCCACGCGACATGGTCGCCTTGATGACCTCGACAATCAAATCGTTGTGCCCAATCTTCTTGCGACTCTTCATGATGCGCACAATGGCCGCTTGCGTTTCATAGTGCCGATCCGCCGCGACACGCTGGTGAGTTTCTTTGTTTTCCTCCTTCGTCTCCTTCAGCTGGATCTGGTTGATTTTGACGCGCAGCTTGGCGTCCGTGAAGCCTGCGTTGAAAGTGAATGTGTCAGTCTCGTTGATGTCGCGGCCCTTAGGATGTTTCCTGAGGACTTGGTACTTGGCACACGCAAGACTCTGCAATGTGCGCTTGAGTTCGGCATCTACTAAGCCTGACGAAGCCCTGATCTCGGTATAAGACAAATGCTTGTCAGCGGGGATATCGTTGAAAAGCAGCAGGACAATGGCTTGGAAGCCTGAGACCACGAGTTCCTTGTTCCCCTTCGGGAACTTGGCGCGGAGCTGACAATGTGCTAGGGGGTGTTTCCACGTCAATTTGCGGCCGCTGTGCTTCGCCTTGTAGTGCGTTTCGAAGTCGGACATGACTTTGGCTATGGAAGTCGGAATGTTAACTGCGACATCGGGATATGTGGGCCAGGCAGCCGCTGAGAGAACATTGACGGAGAGATCTGGCACAGGTTTCGTGCCTCGGTCGTTGAGAAGTTGGTTGTACGACATCATTTCCTCGCGAGCGAGATCCATGTCCTTGAACATGGACTCGAGGTTGTGCGTGAAAGCGGCGCCACATTCATTCTTCAGACGGGTGAGCATGTTTCGCTCGGCATCGAAGGATGCACTTCGACCCATCAACAATCGTCGTGCCAGGTCTTTCTTGTAGAATGCTTCGAAAACTGCTTTACCGTGGACGAAACGGAAGAGGTCAAGGGCATTCGACAAGTGTTGGTTGATTTCAGCGTCCTCATCTGCTGCACCTTCGTCGAAGTCGTGCTCTTCCTCGGGTTTGGCAGCATCCGCCTTCTTTACTTGGAGTCGAGGCACAGCCTTCACGCCTCCCTTCAACAAAAGATCGACGTGCTTGGCGATCATTTCACCAGGTTTGTTGTTGTCTGTGTCCCAATTGGATTGGGTTTTCTTGGTCTTGTTGATGAACAGTTCGAATGCTTTGTGCAGAGCATTGCCTAGTCTATCATCGCCATGGAATGAGTACTTGAGGTATCGGTCCAGCCTCCGTTTGAACTCGAGAAGTCTGATAACCATTTCCGACTCCCGTTTCTCGTCAAAGACAATCATGGATCCCTCTGTCTCGACGTATTTGCTGAAACTCGGCGCAACCTTTTCGCCGTGTGATCTGCGTTGGAGAATGCTGTAAAGCCTTTCCGTCTCCTCATACTTGTCGTCCTCGAAGAGGTCCAATATACTGTCCTCATTCGAAAGAACGTCTGTCTCTTCTTCAACCAGAATTGTATCGAACAAGTTCGAAATTTGGGCTCTTGTACTCCGGTCTAGGGTGAGGAAATCACAACGACCCATCTCCCGTGCTAATAGATCAGTGCAGTTGTTGACGTAGGTGGCGAGATTGTCTTTGGTTGCTTCTGTGTCACGCCAGTGCCGGAAGTATTGCTCGGTTTTCGATGTCATTGCCGGCTCGAAATCGCTTGTATAGACACTCAGGTCGTGGAATGAATCGATGGCTTGACGCAATAGACTTGCATCTTTCTCATTGAGAACACCCTTTCGGTCCGAGTCAATCAGCGCCACAACGCCGTTCAAGACCTTTGGCTTTATCAAATCATCATAGAACACGCAGGATCTGAATTTGACCACGCCCGTCTCCGTTATGGTTGGGTTGTCGGCCGATCGGAGCAGGTAGGTTTGGTCTAGGTAGTAGAATATTTGCCGTATAGTCAGCAGTTGCTTCTGCCATGTCGTCCAAGCGCTGACGAAACTCCGCAAAACGTCGATGTCTGAAGACGATCCTTCATCACGTCGAATACTGTCCCTAACGGTGTCCGTAAGGTGGACTTCGAGCTTCCTGCTTAACCTAGCATACAACTCGGCCGCCTTACCCTGTCGACAGACGTTCTCTGCACCTTTATATAGTTCTTCGAGCGAATATGAGAGCTTTTGATTTGTGAAGACCGCATCAAGACCCTTGTCCTCTTGTGACCATATCTGTTCGAAGTATTGCTGGGGATCTATTCGAGGGACTGTCCGCAGGTTCTTGACAACCAACTTCTTGGGTCCCTGATGAGGATTGAATGGCGTCCTCACGCCTGCAAAGGATGCTTTTCTCTTTTGGGACCCTGGGGACGATTGGGAGCTCGTTAGGTCGACTACATTGCTCGTGGCGTTCTTGGATGGGAAGGAGTACATGTCCTGTTTGGAGAGCGGCTTTGCCGGAGGAGAGGTTTGGGTTGCCATCTTTCCTGCTCTTCTATCAAGGTCTCCGTAGCCCTCCCCCATCCGCGAACTGTCATTCGATTCAGTACTTTGTTGAGAAGACAGCAGATCGGCAATGGAGACTCGTGGCTTCTTGGAGGGTTCGGCAGTTGGATCGTCCTTGTCAGGTAGCTTTCTTTTCGTGGCAGACTTGGATGTGGTTTTACGATCCGGCGCTTTTCCTTTCCGTGATGCAGTCATCTAAAGTCGTTCGAATAAGTCAATCAATGTAATGGTAGGTGGGATGTCAGAATACTGACGATGTCGACCGCAGCCGGAGTACCACCAGCCACTTCCAGTGGGGTCGGCGATTGGCGGAGATACTCGTGTGACGCTTGTACGCTGCACAGCGCAATGCTTCACCCAACTGCCACTTAACGCGTCCGGACGCGTTGCCGAAACTTTGAGGTGCGGCGGCAACACAAATACAACTGCGTTCAGTCAGTTCTTGAGCACTTTCAACATCGCGGACTGAAGACAGAAATCAGGCAAAAGAATAGAAACAAGTCAAGATGAACCCAATGTCCACACCCCGAATCCTCCCTGCACACCTCCATGCCTTTGCTCCTGGCAATCCTCTGAACACAGTGCGCATGCTGGGGCAACTCACCAATGTAAATGGAGAGCAAGCAACACTTACCTGCGGCTCAGATGCTGTAACAATACTTCTTGGAAGGCAAGTGCGACTCCAATGTTTGTGTTCGATGTGGTGACTGACTGTGAGATAGAGATTCACACCTGCAAGTCGGATCGACGTACGAGATAGTCGGTAAAGTCGTCAACCTGGATGGTGGGCAGGGCCTTGGACTGCGAGTTCTACACAATACCGAATGGCCAAGAAACGAGCAAGGACAGCTTCCTGACCTCAAACTCTTCGAAGCCGTGGTGGATGTAACTCACCGGTACAAGAATATCTTTTACGGAGACGGTGAGGGTGGTATGGATGGCGGTTATTGAATGCGTGAAGAGCAGAAGTGATGAAGATGAGAATTTCCTGTCTTCATAAGGCTTTAAGACAAGGAACTTGAGTGACCGCGCCCTCAACGAGACTACTGAGGACAGTGCGGCACAAACGATCTGGCGGTGCGGATAGCTGCTGCAGCAGTAGCGAGCAGACTTGCTTTTTAATGTTTCGGACATGGCTCACCGGATTGAGTCTGTGAAACTCTGCATAGAACTGCGGACTCGCGGTGGCGGCATCGTGTGAACACGATGACGAAGGCCTCGCATCAGCGATCAAAGCATACCTGGGGAGTTCATATTATTGATGCACGAACTCTCCAGCCTAATGTACTGTTACTATCGAAGAGCTTCATGCGGGCTATGCCTTGGAGAGCTCGAAACGCAGTGAACCATCCTTTCGTCTCGTGTCATGGATTTCAGATACTGTACAGAACGCTTCACTCGAAAGCGCTATTTCGTACTCTGACGTTAAAAATCTCAAGCCCAAATGGCATCAGCCCGTCGGTAATCCTTGCACCATTCGCTGCCCCAACACCTTTACTTGACTCGCTGCCGCCTTGGGCTCCTTCGTAAAGTCGGTGCAGTCGTCGTCAATTGAGATGCCTCTGGCTCAGGATATGAATGTCCTCCATCCACGTCAATCATCTCATCCCACATATCGCTCATGCTCGTGGCGCTGGTATCAATGAAGTTGAAAAAGTCCGTAGGTGGAGAACTGGGCATTGTGGTGTTTGTGGCAAATGGGTCGGCAAAATCGCTGTTGAGGTGATCTGTGGTCAACTCAGAGAAGTTGAAGTTGACTAGGTGATCATGCGACAACGGAGAAGAGCCTTTCAGTGATGGCAAATCCGGAAAGTCGAAAGTAATGGCCTTCTGCGGTGTGGATTTCTTCGATGAACCATGTCTGGCCATCTTTTCTCCATCCATTATGTTCATCTGGAAAGGCGCATCACTGGTCAAAGCATCGTGAATTGAGCGAGTGAATGGGGTCATGTCGACCACATCTTTGTGGACGGTGCCCAACAAAGCTGCGAGTGCAGGATGTTGTCCATTTCTGGTTCTCGGGGTACGGAGATTAGGTTGTAGATCAACGTTGGGTGATAAATCTACGCCAAAATGACGCTGAGGCGTCTTTGAAGGTGTCTTGAGCAATAGTCGCTCGGACCGTCGTTTAGGAGTTGGCGTCATGGGAGGTAGTTCGACATCGTTAGGTCCTTCATCAAACAGATCCGCAAGACCATCGTCAATGACGACTGACTCGGGCGCAAGGTTCTCCTTTCCATCTGCGGTAATTGCAACAGCCCCAACCTGCGTAGAGAACACATCTCTTGTCTTGTTCAATCTTGGACTTCGTCGCACAAACGCTGGCAGATGTGTTATGTGTTTGGAAGCAGTTGTGGGTGGACCTGGGTCGGATCGGACCTGCGGCTTGTCGGGAGAAGGAAACAGCTGGCGCCGAACAGGCTTTGGAGTCAAATCAATCTCGACCGGAGCACCTTCTGAGCCTTTGGGAACTCCTGGACTTGATTGAACCTGCCTCATGGGAGGTCGCTGGTGAATCCGGGCTTGCAAACCTCTCGGGCCAGGATCAGCACTACTTGCTCTGAATGTGTATGGCATCGGAGGTAACTGTGGCTCATTGTCGTCAGTCGTAGAATCGTTGTTTACCATTTCAATGTCGTTTTCGCCTGCATCAGGTGCTTCAGTAGCACTATCGGACGGCGAAGAGTCGTCACTAGCAGGTGTTGGATTGTCGCTCTTGAATTGCGTATTGCCGTTCGCCTTTTTCTCTTCTTTCGCTGGGTTGCCGTTCTTCTTCCGCTTGCCCTTGTCCTTGGGGTCCTTCTTCTGCCATTTCTCGCGAGGTCGAGGACATCTCTGCTTGTGGAACCATAAACCGCAGGCTAAGAAGAGGTCAGTTCGGTCAAACACGCAACTTGCGACATTACTCACGGTTGCATAGTGTTATTGAAGTCCAGTCATCATCTCCTGCCTTTTTCTCAACCTTATAACCTCTGAAAGTTTTCACTGTGCCATCAGAGTTGTGACTGAGAATCTCCTTGTAACAGCATTCTCCCTGACCTAGAGATGTTTCGACTTCATCCCAGGAACAGTGGAAAACTTTGACATAGGCTCGACGCCATGCGGGTGTCTCTATTGATCCGCAATTGTCACAGAATGGCGGCATCTCTCCCTTTGCGATCGCAGCTTCCAATCTTGCTTTGGTCTGCTCCTTGCCAACCTTCTTCTTAGACGCTCTAGCCTCTTCCGCTGCGAGTGCGTCAGACATTAGAGCATCGCTGTCAGGCGCCCAGGTTTGCGCTCGATGGAGAAGTCGTGGAGCCGGATCGCTTTTCGGAGCGGGTGCGGGAGCTATCGCCTTCAATCGCTGCTGATCACGTTGCTCTTCCATTATCTGACGGGCTCGTGGAATGGGTGCCGGGGCCAGTCGTGGGGAGGACATGCTAACTCGAGGAGCAGGGTTATACGACTGCGCTCGTGCGATAGGACGGGACGACTTAGGTATTGGTGGAGGTACCATTGGTTGTTGAGAAGGAATAGACGTTTGAGCCTCGTCGTTGCCTTCATCGAAAACAGTTGGAAACCGGTCGATTTGAGCCGTTGGTTGGTCTGTTTGGGCCGCAAAAACATCCTGCTCCTCAGCTTTGTCCAGGAGGAAGTCGTCGAATTGTATGTTGCAAAGCTCGTCGTCTCCGAAGAGGTCATCGAGATTGCCGCTCATGAAGCCAGAATCATGACTAGGGTCCAACATGGGCGGCAGCGCCGGGCTCGTAATCGCTGTATGTTGATGTTCAGGCATGACAGGTGGTGAAGAAGGAAAATTTGCAGGCGTGCTCGAAACACTCCGGGCTCGTGTCTCTTCGGGTGATGTGATAGGGACATCGAGAAGTTCAGGCTGAGGCATCAAACCCATGGCTGGAGAAGATTCGTGAACCTGAGCCCCATAACCTAGGTTGCTGGTACCTTTCTTTGGTTGTCGCCTCGGTCTACCTCGTGGCTTGCCTGTTTTTGTGGCAGGAATGGGCGTAGGTGGTCTTACAACTTCTTCAGTGGGGTTCCCTAGCACTGCGGCGGCGGCTGGGTTGATCGCGATGGGACGTTGAAGTCGTACACTGGAGGCAATGCTTGCTGCCACTCGCAATGACTCAGGTTGACGTTCGATATTGAAGTTGGATTTGGTTGGCCAGTCGACTTTGGTCGTCTTTGCTCTCTTCCTGGCCGGACCCTCCTCCATGTTCTCGTCGCCACTGTAATATCCTGAATTCATTGAATCACGTCTTGCATGATTGTGATGCATGCCCGCACGTGAACTAGGCCTTGATTGGACGTCCACTTCCCTAGATTGAGCGATGTATTGGTTCGAATTACTGGGTGTGCCTGGTCTGCTGCTTGGCCCAGGCATCTGTGTAGTCTCGCCACTGAGCATTCGCTGCATAGCTTCAAGACCGGCGGTAGCAACTGGAGATCCTGATCGAGCGAATGGCTGTGACATAGAACCATTGTCCCCCCATTGTGGACGCGCACCATCCTGTGAGCTCATGCTTCCTGAGCGGTATCTTCCTTGCGTGAAGGTATTGACAGGAGTCAGACGCAATTTGACTTCAAATGTTTCCTGCGCATTCCGTGAGAACAATCCCATGACACTTTTTGTGATTCTGCCCGTCACCATGGCTTCGCTGTCACTGCCTGCGTTTTGGCCTTGATTTGCGAGGGTTTTAGACAGCATCCCTTGCCCCGCTAATGGTGTATCAGGTTCCGAGTAATCATAGGCGTAAATTGTGTAATCATTGGTATCGAGGTTTGTTGTGAGCTCGGGGCTTGCGGTAGTGACCGCTTCTAAACAGGTTCGCAGGTCGACAACGCCGATCTGGTTGGTCTCGTCCACGAACGCGGTTTGCACGTCGAGAGATTGAGGCCATCTTGCAAGGTGGATGTCTTTTTGGTCCGCGTCAAAAGTGTATAGCACTTTCAGCTTGACAGATCGAACAGACACGCCGTCTCCAGGTGAGGTCGCCATTTCGGCAGGATGCGATGGGCTCAGACTGTAGAGAGTCTGGCAGCGAGGGTTTAGAGAGGTTGTAAGGATCTTTTCATCGCGTGAAGATCGTTTTGAAAGGTACAGAGGTTCGTCTTAGCGTCGAGTCGTGCCAGGTAAGTAGATGGCTCGATGAGGGATGAATTAGATGGAGTAGTTTGTATGTGGGTGGTTGGACGTTTGCTGCTTTTGACAAATTCCGCTACAATGCTGTTGAAAGATGCAGGTGAGGAAGACAAGGGGATATGTACAAGAAAGTAAGAGGAAGCTGAGCGAGAGAGGCAGGACGAAGGTCAAAGCAGACAAGCAAGCAAGCATATGCCTCTTGGAAACGCGTGTAGCCCAATGCGGGCACGGCGGGCGTGTCTCTTTGGCGCGCGACCTTCGGGGCCACTCGGTGGGGAATTCCTTTGCTTTGGGTTCTTAGACGTTATGATGCAACGCTTAAGCCACTTCTGGTGACGGCTAGGGAAACTTAGCCGGGTATGATTCTTGGCGCGGATTTCGAGAATCTCCAAAGGCAACAGACCGCAAAAGTGAACATTCTTCAATCTCTTTCTGCGCTCTTGTCTGGGAACTCGGTCCCTTTAAGTATTCTTTTGACTCAAGATGGCAGACGCCGGCAAGATCCAGTATGTCCTTCCTCTTTTTTTCCGGCGCTAAACATGACTCAAAGATCCTCGTCAAGCCTTATCTCCGCAGAGTCTTTGAGGTCCTGCCTGTTTGCGATACAGCCTGCTGACTATGTTTTCCTTGTGATAGGGATCTTCTCAATAAACCCAGGAATGAATTGACGTACGTGGGTCCTCTTTCCTAGTGTTCCAGCCTTCCCATACGTCCGCCATCACCACAATTCTTCCGCCCATCCCCTCTGCAGGTGGATTCCGCTCCGCCCTCGCATCTACTTCAATTCCATCGTCTCATTCAACACTCTTGTCACCCCTCCAAGACCATTGTCGCATATAGCACACATGCACGCGCACGTCATTGTGGCAGCATGATGTGATGTTGACGGCGCGTTGTCGCACGACGCAAAGTTTTATTGACCACCGCCATGCTAACCTCTACTACAGGGAATATGAAGTCTCCCTCCTCGAAGCGCACGAACTATCTACTGGCCCTCTATCTATTCTGATGACCGCAACCCGAACACACACCCAAGTCTTGATCTCATGTCGAAACAACCGAAAACTGCTCGCACGCGTCAAAGCCTTCGATCGTCATTGCAATATGGTTCTCGAAAATGTAAAGGAAATGTGGACGGAAAAGGGAAAAGCTGGTGGCAAGGGCGTCAACAAGGACAGATTCATCAGTAAGATGTTTCTACGAGGTGATAGTGTCATCTTGGTCTTGTTGAGTTGAGCGCATCGGTGGTCAAATTGAAGGAAAACAGACTTTTCATTGCGCATTCGCGCCATCAATAACCAGCTGCCTTGCCACTTAGCATTACAGCGTCCTCGGAAAAGTCACGTCAAGGCTTCCGAAGGTGTGAGCGAGTGTATTCCGGAACCATGCATCAGCCGAGTCAGGAAATTCCAAAAGCGATTGCTATCAGGTGGCGTCATGGCCAGAATGGCATGGGATGGCAAAACAAAAACAATTGATACCCAAGGTTAACCGAGAAATGGATTTTTTTTGAAACTGCGCAATGTTGCTGTCTAATTTTCCAGAAGTTTTGATTGCATCACCTCATACTGATTCAGTCCCTACGAAGCACCGGCAATACCTAACAAGAGTTCCTGCAAGCCCACCGCACCTGGATCTGGGACTTTACCCATCCATTCGCTCTCTGCACCGACGTATACAGCGCGACCCAAGCTCGCCTTCATCGTCTTGGTCTTCTCCGTACCTTCCTTGGCAGCCTCGGCGGCCTTTTTAACATCACCCGTGCTGGACAGTGTCTCAATGAAGGGGTCCAACGCGTCTATCAGTGTGCGATCCCCCACTACAGCAGGTGTGTATTTTCCGAGCGCCGCTCTCGCGGACTTTAGTGCTGCAGCCCAAATCTTCGCATCGACCTTCTGTGACGATCCTGTATCTTGTTCGCGGAGACCGTGGACAAGCGCGTTGAGGAATATCGAGTATAGCGCACCGCTTGTGCCATCTGTGTGGTGTTCCACGACCGGAACGATCTTGTTGACGAAGGCTACAGCATCGGTAGGCAGGTCCCCTGATGACAGCTCTTTGAGGACGGCTTCGGATCCTCGCTTGAGGCCGATACCGCAGTCTCCGTCGCCAACAATAGTGTCGTACTTCGTCACCTCGGGCTCTGCGACGATCATCTTGTCCAGGCCGGCTTTTAGCACTGTGTGAGCTTGCTGAGGGTCAATTGACAGATGGCTGGCACTGAGATTTCGTGCGCTGTCGGCTTCGCGGTCCATCGTGGCGCTGTTATCGGCCTCCCAGGTAGCAGTTCTGGTTGCAGCGGCCCAGCCGAAAGCCTCTGCGGGTGCGTCGAGGAGTTCGAGCATTGACTTGCCTTGTCCGAGGCCAGTGTCGTCGAGTTTGAGGAGTGATGCTGAGAAACCCAGACCGTTGAGGGAGGTGATAAACGTGCCCGCAATGACTCGGACAGGAGTAATTCCCCACTGTTCCTTCAGTTGCGTGTGAACTTCGGCTACCACGCCTCCGATCTCCAGGTTGCTGACACCACCTAGGTTGTTGATCAAGAGGACCACCTTGTCTTGCTTCGTGATATGGACGAAATGACGATCTTTGTCTTCGGGATCGATCATCTGAGCCAGCATGATCTTGATGAGCTCGGGCAGGGTAGCAGACACGCGGTGACTGCCTGGCTCGTTGTGGATACCCATACCAACCTCGATCTCTTCCGTGGGAATGATCTCGTCGGAGTTGGGGTTCTCGCGTCCGGGGACGTGGACGTGCTCCATGGAAGCACCCACAGACACGAGGTTGCCTGCGACCTTCTTGGCGAGGTTGTAGACTTCGGACAGGCTACCACCTTGTTCGGCCAGAGCGCAAATAATCTTGAGGACCAAAATAGAGCCTCCAATACCCCGACGGCCACTGCATACTTCGTCAGTGACACTTTCTGGAAGAAACCTTGACCAAGCGGGTGCTTACACTTTGCCGCCCTTCTCTCGGCCAACACCGACATCGTCTCCGATGGCGAAGAACTCTGTTTCGACACCAGCCGCCTTCGCCTTCTCGGCTGCCAGGCCAAAGTTCAAGACATCGCCAGTGTAATTGAAAGTGATCACAAGGACACCCTTCTCGGTCGGCACCCTAGACATGATCGCCCGCTGTACTTGCAGAGTGTTTGGGGACGCGAAGATAGTTCCAGCCACTCCGGCGGTCAAGAACCCCTTTCCCACGAAACCAGCGAAAGCAGGTTCATGACCGGAACCTCCACCAGATATAATTGAGACCTTTGGCTCATCCAACAGCTCCTTCGTTGGTCGACGGTAGATGATCTTGTTGGTCAAGTCGAAGGCGACGGAAGGGTTCGTTAACGTCAAACTGTGCAACGCCGTGTGCACCAGGTGCGTGGGATCATCTATGAAATGCTTGGTCTGCATTTTGGCGGCGGTGCCTCGTATGTAGAGGGAGCAGGGTCAACAGAGATCGAGGTATACAAGCCCACTGTGCGAAGCAGTTTGCTGGGCAGACGCGTAGTTGTCGCGATGATAATATAGTATGTACAAGTTCTCCGAACAGAGGTATGCAAGGAACACCACAGAAGAAACAGTAAGCTCCAGGTAGAAGTGGAGGAGGGCGCATGGAAAATAAATATACTTGGATCGAAACCCATGAACTACCGCGTGCCTCCCCGCAGCACGGCGGCGAGGGCGAGGGGAAGATAGGGATTCCTGTATGCTAATACGTTGCCCCACTGAGGAAAACTTGCAGCGCGGAGGGCTAGGGGAAGACAGGGATTCCTGTATGCTAATACGTTGCCCCACTGAGGAAAACTTGCAGCGCGGAGGGTCCCTAGGCCGCTGTCACGCTGAACACGAGACTTTCTGTGCCCGGAAAAATGCCATTAACCACTTACATCTAAGCCCCCGCTGCCGCTCGGTGTCAGGGAACCGAAGGTCCCCCACATTGTTGTGCAAGTGGCCTGAGGACACCGAGGGTTGTTTTCACGGTATTCTTTGAGTCTCTGCTACGATATGCAGCTTCTGGGTGTCTTCTGCTCCAAATTGACTCAAGGCTCGACTGTGCATGCAAACGTGGTCCCAGAATGTCTCATTGGGTCACTCTGTGCATCACGTGGAGTGCAAGGCTCGGGGTTGTATCCGGTTTGATCGGTGGTGAAAGTGCGAGGGTGGACCTCTGTTCGGTAAAACAGCCAACAAACTTCGTTCTCAGCCACGAGTGCTGGGGCTTGTCGGCAACGAAGCGAGGAACTTGTCGGGGTTGGACCGGCAACATGCCGATGTCACTGACTTCTGTTTGCCCACATATCGCCTGGATACGTGGACAAAGGCTCTCCGACTCCAGAACACCGTGGGAAGTCTTCGTGACGGAATGGACTTCTTCCCTGTACGGAATCGAACTCCTCCGGAAGAAATGAATGTGTATAAGGCCAAGTGCTAGATCGCTGACTAGTGACGGCATATTGTTTTCTAGACCCCCACGCCCCCAATTCTCGTTTTGTCGGGCAGTTGGCTCCAATGACGAACCTCATAAAGTGATTCGAGATCGACTTGTGGTCCAGACATTGCAACCTTCACGATCCTCGTCCAACTTCCAATCAATCCGTTGTGGGAGATGTTGTAAGCTGGTCGATGGTTCGTGGGCGGGAGCACTCACCCACGCTTGGTTGAGCCAAGTCGGCAAGGCCACAGTCACGTGGCGTGACCCCTTAACATTTCAGCCTTACCTGTCGCACTGTTTTCTTCAAATTGTTCCATGTTCTCTCTTTATTTCGATACAATTGATACTGCGGTCTGGTCTAGGTTGATGCTATCATATGCTGATACGCAGTCCCTGAGGTCTGTCTCCCTGAGATCTGCTGATCCATGATGATGAAAGCAAGAAGGACTGCCTAAGCGGTACGCCTCCCAGCAACGGCTCTTGAGTTGAAGTGATCATCTATAGTAGACTGACCAGGGATTACCCTCTCACACACTGTCCACACTCTTCTCATTCACCTGACTGGTGTCGTCAACTCCTCCACCTAGTCGCTCTTTCTCCATAGTCACAGCGGTGTGCGAAGTAAAGTAGGGAGACACATCAGTCACGAAGAAGGCCACGATCGTTGCAACAACGCCGAAAGGGATGCTGACGAGCCAAGTGAGCCTGAATGCATCTGAGTAACCCTATCGCATTCCCATGACTGCGGCGTCCACCACCGCAGTAGAGTACTTGGCGAGGGCTGCGCTGTCAGAATTGGCTAGTGCAGTGACAATGGTAGGCACCTGGGAAGCTGGGACGTGCAGAGGCGTGAGCACTTTGATGACGTGCGCTGGTATACTTGTACCGGCCTTGTTATTCAAAATGGTGGTGAAGATCTGGGGAGAAAGATTAGTAACAACCTTGTCTGAACAGATATCAGTCATGACCTACTGTGGTTCCAATTGCACCCCCAAGAAAGCGGAAAGTGCCCACAAGGCCTAGAGCAAGACCAAGGTCCCGTTGTGGTACATTCAAGGAGGCCGTCCTATATATAATTAGGAACTTCTTCAGATTGAACTGGTCCAGGACGGGGGCAAGAACTAACACATAGCAGCACAATGTAATCCATGCAAATGGGATGTTAGCGAAACACTGGAAAGCCAGCGTCATGCCTAAGCGAGCTGGAGTGATAAGTGCAAAGAGACCCGCAAATAGTGTCTGCGTAGCGATACCGAAGACCAGTTGAAGGTGGACGTGCTTGATCCTGTCAATGAAGGATCCAATGATGGCTCCTCCCGCGGCGCCACCAAAACCTCCCGGTATGTTGTACAGTCCGGCTCGAATAGGATCGCTCGTAAACATGTCGGAGAGCTGTTCCGGCATGATATCTGTCATACTGAAGTAGACCAGACCTGTTACGAAGATGATAACGAGGAGGAAGGTATAGTCCCGGAAATTCCTGAAGAGACGCAGTGGGAAGAGCGGCCTCTTAACTGGTCCGAGGAAGTCCCAGACGAACGTGAGACAAAAGAGAATGGCTCCAAGTACCATTGGTACGAGTACTGCGGCTGATTTCCACGGGTGGCTGACACCACCGAAGTTCAGGCCAACCAGGAATAACGTGAGGCCAAGTGTATAGAGTGCGATGCCGACGTAATCCAGTTCAAGTAGTAGTTGCTTTCTTGTTATGTCTCTGAGGGGCTTCGTTGGTGGTATATAAAAGATGAAGGTGCCGACAAAGGAGATCACTCCAGTGATAGCGCCTAGAATATAGACCCATCTCCAGCTGGCATTTTGTAGCAGTGCACGAGCGATGAGTGGACCGAAAGTACTGAATGGTAACAAGTTCATCTCTGTCCACGCGAGGCCGAGTGGGCGATACTTGTTCGGCAACAGCTCTGTAATCCCCGGGTAGAGCACGAAGGATGATCCTTGTCGTTGTCAGAATGTCGTTATCGTGAAACGCCAACATGCACTAGGTACGTACCTGTCCCAAAACCAACCACTACCATCGCACCGATGGATTGGCCAACACTTTGAGAGCTCGCTCCGATGATATGGCCGATGATGAGCAGTGCCTGGGAGAAGAGAAGTATCCACCTGCGTCCGAAATAGTCGCTAAGCTGGCCAGCGATCGCGAACGCGACACTGCCAGCTAGTGACCACCCAGAGGCCATCCAATTAGCATTTGCTGTATTGCCTTGCAGCTCAATAGCTATTGGGCCCTAGATACACATTAGGCCTGCCATCAAACACTCCAGAAGAACAAACCAGGATTGGGAAACAACATAGAATGGTGAACGTCAGCGAGGGCTGGAAGGTGAACCCCAAGAACCCAACAGCAGCCCATGTCGACTTGGTCACCCTTCTGTTCTCATCCAGATCTTCGAGGGCAGCCCTATGAGGATCGCCATGGTCGTCTCGGATATGAGGGTCGAGTCGATCTTCACGGATTCTTGAAATTGCTTCCTCGTGATGGGCCGCACCTGGAGCAGAAGCCATTTCGGTTTTAGTAGTGCCCATTGTTGTTCGCGAAAGACAATGGAGCCAACTTCAAATCATTGCAAGGAATATTAGTATATTTTATGTTTCCTGCATGCAGAACATGGAGAGGGAGCTCAGTCCGGGGTCGTTGGTGGAGAACTACGAAGATGGACACTCCCAGATCAGCGTACATGATTGGCTCTGCGGCAACATGCCGAAGTCCTTGGAAGGCCATGCAAAGGTCCATGTGGTTCAAGACAGTGATCCTGGCTGAAAAGAGGGGTACCATTTGGACCACCAAAATTGACCTAAAGGCACGGTCAATGACGATAAATGCGGCAGCAGTAGAGGAATCTTGCTAGTTTGCAAGAACGGCATCAGTCCGCAAGAGCGGCTAGAACCCAGGGACGGTAAGTCTGGGCAATTCGTCAACCAGTCTACCGCCCGACGCTGGCATAGACGGGGAGATGGCGTTCTCGAGAAACCAGATTCGAAGTCACCTTCTGCGGAGAAGAGAAAACATCTCGGCAAGGAAGAGTAGTTGCGAATGGGATCGATCCCGTCACTAACGTCCCGGATCATTTCCGTTGCACAGGAAGATCAACACAACACAAACGGTAGGTATGAATCCCCATTCGGTTTGTCACATCAGCGAGCGTGGTGACTGGCTCGGCTGTAGACTACGTCGTCCTGAAGCTGCAGCTCAGGATGTGGCCATTCCAATATTAGGAATACGAGGCAGCTCACAACTACATGACTTCTTCACAGATAGAAGAGAGCTATACAGTGAGCACGAATAACACCGCCATTTCGCGACGGATACCCACAACAAATTGCCTTTTCGACTTACACGTTGTCTCAAGGTAACCACAGCCCGCTGACATGCTGTCTTTGTCCTCATATGAGTCTTTGAGATGGCTGATCCTTGCTATATCTGGATACATTGTTTACACCTTCCTTTACCCTTTCTTGTTCTCGCCTATGAGACACCTTCCAGGGCCGTGGTACGCCCGGGTCAGCAAGCTCTGGATTATATACAAGACTGTACAAGGCGTTCGAGCTAGATCGATCCATGACTTGCACCGGAAGTTTGGCCAATGGGTCGTCATTGGGCCAGACGAGGTCTCAACCTCCGATCAGGATGCCATTGTTCCCATCTATGGGGCCACGTCAAAGTTCTGTAAGACGACTTTTTACACCTATCAACTAAGGGGCATTCCCGAGCTGTTCACGATGAGCTCTCAGAAGCAGCATGCAGATCGTCGAAGACTCTTAGCCCACCTATTTTCCATGTCCACCATGAAGGACTACGAACCTGTCATATCAGACAACGTCAAACTATGTATGTCACAAATTGCTGAACAAGGCTGCCCGGGTCAAGCAAGCAATCTCTACGACTGGTTCCACTATCTCTCAATGGACATCATTTGTGAACTGTGCTTTGGTCGGACATTCAACATGCTTCGTGAAGGCATGAATAGTACGTATATCCAGGATATGTATCAAAGCCTCGAGATCGAGCCTGTCCGATATCATTTTGGATTCCTCAATCGATACGCAGGCTGGGCTCCTTTGAAATGGGTGAGGGAGTCTGAGGCCGCGAGCGTCAGATCTTTTGCGAAGGGAATTCGTATGGTGCAAGAATACAAGCAGAACCCTGAGAAGAAGCGAGCGAAAGACTTGCTCCGCAAGATGCTAGACGCCAGAGACGAGGCTGGCAATGCTTTGCCCGAGGACGAGTTGAATGTCGAGGCCGTTGGTCTGATCTTGGCAGGCTCGCACACCACCTCATCCTCGTTGACATGGATTGTCTGGCGTCTCCTGCGACACCCGGATATCTTGAGTCGGCTCGTAAAAGAGCTCGACGACGCTCTTCTCCAATGTCCGCGTGTTGCCGTCCCTCCCCACCATTACCTCGAACATCTAACGTACTTTAATGCTGTTATCAAGGAGGGCCTACGGATCGATACGGCCGTACCAGGCTCGACCCCACGGTACGTTCCACATGGAGGAGCCGACATCTCTGGACATTACCTGCCTGGAGGAGCCACCGTCAGTATCCAGGCGTACAGCACACATCGCGATTCAGATGTCTTTCCCGACCCTGACATCTTCGATCCGGACCGATGGGTGTCAGAGACTCCCGAGATGAGGAGGATGTATATCCCATTCGGTGCGGACGGCCCAAGGAAGTGTATAGGCATACATCTCGCTTACGTTGAGTTGAGAGTGATATTGGCGAGTCTTCTGCACCGCTTCGAGCTTTCCCTGATTGAACAGGAGGATACCGACAAGGCAATGGACATGCATGAGCTTTGGCTTGCCGCTCCCGAGGGACAAAGGTTACTTGTTTTTGCGAAGGAAAGACCGCCCAAGGTCTGACTTGGAACTTTTCGTAGATTGACACAACTAAGAGTCTTAATTCGCTAGCGAACAATACTGCAATTGGAGAGAAATTAGTCACTGGAACACTTCCAAAATATATTATATACCCCAGAGACCACGAATCATGGGCGTCACATCTGCCTCGGATCGACTCCCACTCCATTCTGCTTGAAATCGTCCACCAACCTCTTCTGATCCTCTTCCGGCGCCAGTGGCAGATTCGTGTAGATAGTACGCTTGCTTGGTATACCATCCGCCGTGATGCTCTGACCATCTGCACCAGCAACAGCCACATTCTTGTGGATGTGGCCGTTGAGGACGATGGCGTGCAGTTTGGATGTATCTTGGAAGATCTCGATGTCTTCAATCGGGTCACCGTCCACAAGGATGACATCGGCGTAGTATCCAGGTTGGACCTTGCCCAGTTCCTCTGGGTGGCCCATAATCTCGCCACCGAGTGCAGTAGCCGCCAGTAGACTTTCCTTGGGCGTGTAGCCAAAGAGATTGACGAAATGCGCAAGGTCTCTCGCGTAAGTGCCGTGGGGCGCCCAGGCAAAGCCAAAATCACCCCCAGGAAGGACTCTGATGCCACGTCGGTGCATCTCTCTCATGGCTTTACAGGCAACATCGACTTCGTTCTTCAACCCCTTCTTAGCCGCCATCTCTGGCGTCAGGCCATAAGGTGTTGCCTCTCCTGTACATGACGTGAATGGGAAATTTATGGCAGGGGCAACGAAGACTCTGTCCTTAATCTGCTCCAGCATTTCCATGCCTTCCTCATCTGTGAAGCTGGCATGGTAGATGACGTCGATTCCGGCCATGCAGGCTAGCTTGACTGACTCTTTCGATCTGCAATGGCCACAGACGCGTTTGCCACGGGCGTGAGCCTCTTCTACAGCAGCCTTTGTTTCTTTTAGAGTGAAGTATGTCTCTTCTGAGCCCATGAATTCGTGGACGTAGTCTCCGGTCATGGACTGTTACTAGTCAGTAAGCTGTACTGGTGATACTGGGATGAATCGAAGACATGTGGTACGCCTGAATAGTCTTTCGGAGAGGGTAGTCTATTACTTACAAGCTTGACATTGTCCACTCCGTACGAGAGGAATTCACGAACCACTTTTCTCATTTCATCTTCACCGTCTGCGAATTTGGTAATACTGGGGACGATGGCTCCTCCTGTCGTTGATATCTCCTGGCAATTGCTAAGTGTACGAGGTCCAGGTATCATGCCAGATTTGATAGCATTCTTGATAACCACATCCAGTCGTTTTTCTGGACAATGGTCAGCTTGACTTCTACACACGATTTTTGGGCGTAACTCACGAGCTGATGCAGCACCGAAGCACATTGTATAGCCACAACTATAGGCATGGTCAGTCTGTGTCCAACGGCTAATCATTGCATTGGATGGGAAGGGCACTCCAAGGTGGTATGGTATGGACACTTACTCTAAGTACGTCTTAGCAGAATGAGCAGTATGTAGAACGTGTTCTTCGAGGGGTAGACTGGTAAGGCCATCGAGCGTAGGAGAGTTGTTCCAGCTCAGATGTGCTTAACAATGCTCGTCAGTCTGGGCACAACATCTCGACATCATGATACTCACTATGAGCGTCAACCAAACCGGACATCAAGGTCTTCTTGCCCTTGCCATCAATGACGAGGGTGTCATCGTTGGGGGTGAAGTCGACCTTGCCAACCTGTGTTATTCTTTCTCCCTCGATGAGTACATCACCTGGATAGATATCGGATCCGGTGGAGTCAAAGATATTGACATTCTGAAAGAGTATCTTGCCTTTGTCGCCATCTTTGTGATTGTTGATCTCGATATCCGCTGGCGTGGGCTTGTAGAAAGGTGGCAGATCGTAGGTACTTCCGTTGGTCGCCCCATTTGTATGAGAGGTCCCGTTCGAGTGACCATTGACACCGTTGGTGGACATCGTCGATATTTTCTGGTGAACAAACCTTTGGAAGGAAGAGAGACTTGCAACTTCAAGATCGATCACGACCTAGTTGCTGCGAATTCTATATGAAGTCCTTCACGAAAGATTGATTCCGGTAGCAAGATCGCGAGCCGTTGCCTCTGTTAGCCTCCATCAGCCCATACCCCATGATTCATGTCTCCAGTAAGCGGGGTGCTCCCATTCTTTTGGAATGGGTCCACCAAGACCAGGCCGGAGAGATGCCGGACATTGAGTTTGCTCACTACGGCAGGGCCCACTGACATACTTCTTGGGAAATGATGAGGCCGATCTGCGATAGCCGCCAGCCTGACAACGGCAAGTGTCCACGAGGAGCACATTGACAAAATAGGTTGGATTATGCACTCCAGAATCGCGTCTTTTTGGAATTCTGTTCGGAGCGTTTCCTTCAAGAATCAGCATTTCTGTCGCACACAGCAGAGCGCTGAAGGGCACCGATCACGACAGCTAGGCAAGATGACTTCTCAATCACACACCTTCGGCTTTATTGGCCTTGGCAATATGGGCTCTCAGATGAGCCATAACCTGGCGACTTACGCTGAAAAGGAAGGGTACCCAAAGATTCAGGTCTGGAACAGAACGCGCGCCAAGATCGAATACATGCTCAAGCAGAGTTACTGTGAGATCGCAGACACGATTGAAGACCTCGCCCAGAAATGCGACATCATTCACACATGCCTTGCCAACGACGAGGTTGCTTTGTCTGTCTTCAGACAGATACTCGCGGTCGGAAAGCAGAACCTCATCCTCGTCGACCACTCAACCTTGTATCCTACCACATCTTCTACTCTGCAAGCGGAGGCAGAAGAAAAGAGCTCCTCCTTCATGTCCTGTCCTGTCTTCGGCCCTCCTGCCATGGCTAAGAGTGCTGGTCTCCTTGTGGCACTTTCAGGCAAAAATTCGGCCAAGGAGATAGTCAAGCAATATATCGTACCCACAATCGGCAAAGGCGTGATTGACTGTGGTGAAGATTCGAGCAGAGGAGCCCTGCTGAAAATCCTCGGCAATAGCTGCATTCTGGGCACCATCGAATTGTTGTCGGAGAGTTTCACACTGGCCGAGAAGACGGGTTTTGATCCTGCACTCTTCTATGAATTCATCCAAGCCTGGTTTCCTGCTGCCGCTTGGGTCAACTACGGCAAGAAGATCAAGGACGGCACCTTCAGTGGTAAGACAGGTTTCACACTACCTGGCGGCATGAAGGACGCTTCCTTCATTCGAAGACTGGGTGCTGAAACTTCGACGCCAACCCCAATCATTGATCAAGCATGGAACCATCTCACCACGGCAAAGGCCATAGGAGGAGAGTCTTTGGATTGGAGTGCATGCGCGGCAGGCATGCGTGTCACGGCTGGTCTCCCACCGTTCAAGGGGGAAGACTTTTCATTAGCTTCGAAGCACACCAACGGCGTCAATGGCGCAGCGAACGGGAGTGGAAAGGATCACTAGTGTCTTCAGAGACGGCGTCCTGCACAGGGTAGTAGGAGCCACGAGGCAGCATCCATCGACGAGGAATATAGACGGTCAATAACCACAATGAGTTCTCGACCTGACAATCCACCTCCCCAGCCGTTCCAGTCGTCACGTATATCAACAAGGCAGGTAACGCGAGCCGCGTCATATTCACGACTTGGCCAGCGCATTCTCTTCAAGAGTTCCCGTCACAGTGTTTTGCTCATCAAAATGCACCCTGAGATCGTGACACTCGACTTGAATCTGTCTATTTCTAACCTCGAGGCAGTATTGCAGGTTGTCACGAGGCAGCTTTCTTGATTAAACTGACTGACTCATCAGGGTCCTCTAGCATGTGCCAATGCCCGACGCTCCGGAATGTGACTTGTTGTGCATGGCTTCCAATGTCCTTGACGGTGCTTTCGCCAGCCGCCACCGTGCTCACCTTGTCCTCAACGCCACTGGCCACCCAAGTTCTGGCTTTGATTGATTCCCAAGTCGGTAGCGAGCCATTGATCAAGGACTCAATCGCCAGAGCATAACCCTCGGGGTCCTGCCTTGTCAGCATCTCTCTGGCTAGCGCGACCTGGGCCTTTCTCTTGGTGAAGGATTCGGCCGCGAACGCGTTGCTGACAATTGTGTCGGCAACGGCGACCATCCCACTCTTTCGAACAAGCTCAGCACGTGCTGTGAGGCCTTTTTGTCCGGCTTCCGGTGGGGGTGCTCGCACAGGGCCGAACAGGACTAAGTCTTTGATAACGTCTGGTCTTTGACTTGCAAGATGCAGTGCGACTAGGCCACCTAATGAATGACCAACAGCGACAACGTCTTTTAGGTTGAGGTGTTGAATTATGGCTAATGCCGTGTCAATGAATGATTCCCAGGACGCATGTTGAGAAGCTGACCTTCACAGTCTTTCACATACGAACTGATGCTCGTTGATGCGGGTGTGCTACTGCGACCGTGACCAGCCCAGTCGAAGCGCACAAGATCATAGTCTTGTAAATCCGAGACGAGGATCTGATAAGCGTTCGTAGTGCCTCCCAGACCGTGGATGAATAGGATCGACCGTCCCTCAGGGTTTCCTTCTCTTTCGAAGTAGAGTTTACTACCCGCCGACTCAACGTGGCCGGAAGAAGTGATCTTTGAAGCCATTTGCCTGATCTTTCGGTGTTGAAGCGAAGTTCTAGATGTGGACTGTAGAGTCGCAAGAGTTTCAATGCTACTTATTCTGGGAAAAACAATGCTCATGCATGAACTACGTCAAAAGACCCAGACAGTGCCTGGGAATCCTGGGGAGCGGCACGATGCCGTTCAGGCTCTTAGGTTAGTGTCACTAGGCTTGGGGAAACGTGGGCAACGGAGGGTCTGGAACCCGCTTATCACCGCCAATATCCGGGGCGTAACCTGTAAGGCTGCAATCCCATGTGACAGTCAATCAGGGTACAGCACAATAAAATCCTTCTCTCTAAGGTACACAGCTTTACTGGTCTAAGCCGCGTCCTGTACTGTACTGACGTTCTTATACTTATAGTACTTCCATTCTGCTGAAAAGAGCCCGAAAGACCCGGAGAGATTGTATCCTCCTTCGATGGGTATCTTACGTGAAGGGCATTCTATGGAGATTCGCCTCAGTCAAAGTTTTCAAACAGTGCGGCCACGTAAACGCTGTACTCTTGCACAGTTACAGCAGCTACGTCCACAGCAGATACCCCCTCAATGCGGACTTCTGGAGCACGCAGAATCTTCCTCGTTGATATTGATGCTTCCGACCCTGACGCATTCTTCTGAACCTTGGGAAGAAGAACTGGACTGCCAGATATCCTCACAGTCGCTGCCTGACCTTCCACCACCTCGAAGACGGCTGACAGTGGAAACGTGGATCCCTCTGGTAAGCTGGAGAACTGCTCAAGCTGGGGTATATTTGAGGCTGTTGTGGGCTTTGCAAAGAGTACCCCAGACCGATCCCACACGTCCCGGCCTACAAGTCGTCCTTCGATGGACGTCCAACCAAGCAAGGTGATGTCGCAGCCCAGATTGACTTTCCGAAGGGATTCGAAGGTCTTGAAAGCTCCCTCAAAAGAGTCTGGCGACAGTCCTTCGTCCAGTGGAAAGGCTATGGCAATTGCTGAAAGCTCGCTGTCTTGGCCAGGCTGCACAATGTAAATGTTCCCTGCGTTGTCTTGCTGGCAGTCATTAGCTAGTATGAAGTCCCACTGAAGCCCCTACTCACAGAGAATGGCAGTCTGTGTGCTTCTGCAAACTGTCGCACGGCTGATCTAAAATCTCTGTTGAGGTGACCGGTCTCATTCTCGTCCGGCGTTTTAGTGTAAGTCTTTAACAAGCCTCGCAATACGTGATCACTGTCCACCGCCATATTGATCTGTCTCCGAACTCGATGGACGATGCTGTCCTTCCATGACTGGCATTATGAAGAGCCCTCAGAGACTTTCTGCAACATCCATGGGTATGCCGCATTCCGCGTGCCGATATTCGGTCCCAAGATGGAAAGACCGAACTCCCTTCAAAGCGGGGAAGCATGTTCACGGAGAGATGCCGGCCGGGATGGTTGGAGCTGTCTTGCACTGGTTAAGTTACTGTAGTCATGCTGATCACTCGCCCCTCGGTCCAGCAACCAGTTCCATGCATGACAGTTCTGGGGCCCCGGCGCCTGGCTTCCCCATCTTCAGGATCTTGGATGATCCGGCTGTCTCTCCAGTTCAGGTTGTCTTCCCCACTCTCCTGAGATTAGGTCTTCTTTTTTCATTGCATACTGAGCAGTAGCATCAACATCGATGTAGGTCCCCAATCTACATAGTTCGAATCTGTCATGTTCAGCTGCACGAAGCATCGTGTCGATGGACGTATCTTGACCTATGGCGGCCTCTGATCACAGCGGGGAACAGTGCGCCCGAACCCCGGCATCTTCGCGGGCAGTGAAGCAGAAAAGGATACAGCAACGCAGGTACGGTTTTGCTTGCTCGACTTGCAGAAGGAAAAAGGCACGATGTGACGGTAAATATCCCGCCTGTCAGAAATGCTGCGACTCCGGGGAAGCGTGTACGTATGACAAGTAAGACAGCGTTCCGCCCTTGCTCGAGCACTTGTGTGCTGATGGCAGGACAGGAGACCTTCTGTAGCCTATGCTGTGTCACTTCAGAATCAACTCCAGGCCTACAAAGATCGTTTCGCACGTTTACGCCAGGTATCGGACAAAGAACGAACAACACTCCTTGGGGAATTGCTCACTGCTGAAGGCGAATTCAAAAACACCATCTCAATAGCACAGTCGCACCACGACCGGAATGGAGCCAATCGTCAACAAAGCCGCAGTGACTCGGAGTTTGAAGATGCCTCGGATGGGGAACAGCATGAAGCCCCCGATGAAGCATCGCTGGACCCAGACGGTCGGCTTGTCTTCTACGGAAAGACAAGTCTGTATCATCTTGGTCCCCAGGAGGATGCCAGATACGATCCTCAGACTGAAAACATACCGGATGAGAACGGTTTCGTGATACCCGAACCGCCAGCCCACAGTAGCTCCGCGAGCCATGAGACCCCAGGATACTTTGCTCACGATGCGAACGATAGCTTACCTCAATTCATATCTGAAATCGATGCGAGCCTCCTGAATCATCTTCTGGAAACCTACTGGTGTTACCCGCAGCACCTGCATTGCGTCCTCTGCAAGAGTCTCTTCATGCGTGAGTGATATGCAGCAGATTTCATGGCAGAAGCTGATTTCCTTAAGGTGACCTTTTTATCTCAGGCCCATACGTATCACCATTTCTATTGAGTGCTGTACTCACTCAAGCCGCCCGGTATTCGACAAGACCAGACGCGGGTGAAGTGGGAGAGCGCTTCGCCAAGAAGGCACTGGAACTGCTCGTCGAAGACATTGACCGAGGGAGCTCCATCCCAACTATACAAGGCCTGCTCATATTCTCCTCTCGCGAGTGTGCTTGCGGGAGGACATCTCAAGGGTGGCTTTACAGCGGGATGGCGTTCAGAATGATGCGTGATCTCGGCTTGCATGTGCCAATCAGAAGGTTGGGTTCCCTTTCACGGCAATTCTCTCGCGAGGATCTCGCTCTTCGACAACAAGTCTTTTGGAGCTGCTACACCTGGGACAAGACGATGTCGCTTGCATTGGGGCGTGCCCCGATTATCCATGATCACATTGAGCTTCCGACACCAGAGACGTTTCTCGATGGTCCTGAGGCGGACGACGAAATATGGATTCCTGTCACAGGGGATGCTTCAATATCACAGGGGTTTCTGCAGCACAGGACCATGTCGATCACCAGGTTCGCCGCCTACTGCGAGCTGTGTACGATCATTGACAGTATCCTCGACCACTTGTACTCCCGGCCGCATCGTTCACAGAACCACCTTGTCACATACCTTCAAACAACACTATCAAAGCTAGAAGACTGGTCGTCACGCTTGCCACAGGAACTCCTGATAAAGGAAGACATCAAGAGGATGAGATGCCCTCCTCTGCATATCCTTCTTTTGAATCTTCTCTATCACGCAACAACAATCCTGCTGTGTCGTCCTTACAGAAAGGTGTCCGACAAGGCCAAGGAACAATGCACCGCCGCCGCTGGAATGATCGACATGCTCTTCACCTTGCACGTTCGTAGATTCGGCTTTCGTTTCATCACATATCTTCAGAGTTACACCATGTTTGTGGCTTGCACAATCAACGTCTTGAATCTCAAGGAGAATCGGAACTCGACTGCAGAGACAGGATCCGAAGACGACCCGCAAATGTCCGTCGCCCAGGAGGCCAGTGGGAGGCTTGATTTTGGGTTAGAGGTCCTTCGGCAGGCCGGGAGCACGCCCTCAGCACTTCGATGTGCTGCCATAATCGCTAAATTGCTGGAGAAGAAGACTGGCAGTGGATTTCGACAGTATCCTCTCGAGCAACAGCCACCCTCATTCCATGAAAGAACAAGACGCACATCGAGCGTGCATAGCAGCCAGCTTGATGAATCGCCGACCCGTCCAAGACCATGTGTCAATGCCAGTACGCATCTGACGTCTGACATGACCTTGGTGAACCCAAGTGCAATGTATCATACTCTGTCAGATATGCGCAATCAAGGCAACCTACCTTCTGAGACAGTCGCCATGGACAATGCGAATTTTGGTCCCGGGCAAACATTCCCATACCAGACCGAAACCTTCCTAGACAGTGCCGCCCCACTTACAGGCTCGACAACCCTCCCTTACACCGGAAACTCAATGCAGAACAGCGTGGGGATCATTGAGACACCATTGCGATGGCTTCCTGACAATCTGTACGATGACGGCAGCTGGATGTTGATGGACGTGGACTTTGAAAACCTGCCTCTGGTGCCCATGCCGCCCTGAGTAGACCAGGAGATCAGAATGCTTGGGGACAATGATTCTATAGATGAAAGGATAGGTAAAATAGGCAACTCTGCAATTACAGTGATAATTGTGAAAACTCTGCGGTTCTGACGAGCTGCCACACTCTCGAGACCAGAAAAGGGGCGTAAGGCTGGCCCTTCACGTGACAGCATAATCGGCTGACCTCTGTACCGTGGTAACTTGGAAGGAACTGGTGTCAGGAATTGCACAGCTAGGCGTTGCGAGACTGCCGAGGAAGGAGTGCGGGTTGCTTTTACCTGTCGAAATTTGCATCTACGTTAGATCTCTGTACAGTCCCAATCCTATCCTTCCCTATTGGTCCTGGCCGTTCAGCGCCACAAGTTGCGTGACTATATCAAACAGACCACCATCATCAGCTGTGCCAGGAGAATCTATCCTTCTCCGCAACTCATCATCCAGCAAAGCCCGTAATCTGGACGCCAACACCCCGATCCTTGCCCACCCACGCAATTTCAACCACCCATCGACAAGGATCCCAGCACCCGAAGTCTCGACCTCAATCGGCCCGCCGAACAGCAACAACGCATAAGCGTTCAAGGGCGTCAAATCACGAACGAACGTTTTGCTGGTCTCCATTTTGGTAAAGTAGCTGACGAAAGTCGCCGCGCCAGAGAAGCCCTGGGCATCGAACAAGACGGAGCTAGGATGCACAAAGACCCTCCCATTCTCCTCGTTGAAGTACCTGATCGTTTTGGCCTCCGGGTCAAGCTCCTTCGCCCCGGACATCGAAGCAATGTACTTCTTGTCCGGCATTTGAATACGCGCGATCTGCGGATTCAATGCTCCTGCGATCAGCGCACGGAGAAGCATGACATTACTTCTCCGGCGATTGTTCTGGCCTGCAGCATCAGTAGAGCGAAGCAGACCCGTCTCAATAAGTGAGTCGAGGAGCTGGCGTCTCGTCGAGTCGATGTCCCGCAACGTCTGCTGAGACAAGAATCTCGAGGAGCACCAGTCCTGTATATCCCTGTAGCGCATACCCGACGAGACATCCTTCCAGGTCTCGAACGCGGTGCAATCGAGCAACAGATCTCCGTCGGCCGTGGGAAATGACGTGCGCGCCTCTTTCGCCTCGTCACGTTTATCTCGTGGCGATGCGAACGGGGATTTCGTCGTCAAGATCGCAGCGATCGTAAGACACGGGGCTAGACACTCGAATAGGACGCCATAAATGAGCAGCTTCGCGCAGCGCAGGTCCGCCGGGATCATGGCGAGATAAGTGCCCAGACCGGTCAGACGGTCGTTGTCCAGCGCACCCATGCGCCGAAGGGTCTTCAGGGCGGCGGAGACGGCGCGACTGTCCGGCGGCGATATAGTTCGCGCCAGGAACTCTTCGACATTCCTGTCTGAACCTGTCGCTTTGACTGACAAACAAAGCTGCTCGAGCGGGGTGCGGTGCATTTCTGGCGCCGAAGCAGCTGGCATACTGTTTGCCTCGACAGTGCGTGTGAATAGCTTGTAACATTCACCCGCTTGGACACGACCCGCTCGACCGCGGCGCTGTTTGCATGCCGCTTGCGACGCCCAGACTTCTTCGAGCCTCACTATGTTAGAGGTCGGGTCGTAATTCGTCTCCTTGACTTTACCCGTATCGATGACGGCAACAATGTCCTCGATCGTGATCGACGTTTCGGCCACGTTGGTGGCTACCACGACCTTCCGCTTTCCTGGCGGTGGGCGCTTGAAGACGATGCGCTGCTCGGCTGGTGTGAGTGATGCGTGTAAGGGTAAGCCGTGGATGTGTGGCGAGTCATTCAGTGATTTCAGACAGCGATCGATTTCCAGTGTGCCGGGCATGAAGATCAGGATGCCACCATCGTCGCTGCCCAGCTCGGAGTCGATGACTTGTACGAGACTGGCGATGAGTTGATAATTGATTCCCATGCCGAGATTTTGGATGGCCTTGCCGACATTCATGTCCATGTCCTCCGAGTCTTCGGATGCGCCGCGCTTACTTCCTCCAGTCAGACGGACAACATCGTCAAGATAATAGTCTTGGACAGGGTATGTTCTGCCCTCGATGTGCACCCTGCCCACGGCACTGCCACCGAAATAATTTGCGAATGTGTCGGCGTTCAATGTCGCGCTCATAAGGACGATCTTGAGATGAGGTAGTGAAGGTAGCGCATCTCGCAGAAGAGCTAGCAGGAAATCAGTATCGAGGGAGCGCTCGTGGACCTCGTCGACGAAGACGTGGCTGACATCTTGTAATGCGGACTTGACGTTCTCAGCGCCCTGCAAGCGACGTAGCAGGACACCGGTCGTTTGAAAGGTGATTTTCGTTGTGGTCGAGATCTTGGAGTCTCCTCGGATGATGTATCCCACTTCATGCCCTTCCACAGAGCATCTCTCTGCGTTGACACGGTCAGACAGGGACAGCGCGGCGACTCGCCTCGGCTGAGTGCAGATGATGTTGGTGGAAGAGCCCTTCAGCTCCTGAATGGCATTGTCAAGGACGAATTGGATGGCTTGTGTACTCTTTCCTGAACCGGTCTCGCCGGTGATCAGAGTTACTTGCCGCTGTTGAATTTCCGCCACGATGAGATCTTTCTTGGCCCATGCCGGCAGGTTCTGTCGTCCTTGGTTCATTCTCTTCTGCGGCTGAGTATCCTGTCTAGCTGTCCATGCGTCGAGAATGGCCTTGTTTGATCGGACATCCCTTGCAGCACCTCTTTCAGGCCTCTTGCTTCGGCGTGATGCCTGCGATTTGTCGGCTGAGGCTGTGGGCTGTTTCGCATTGAGCGACGGAGAGAGAATCTCAAGATCGCTCAATTTTCCGGGGTTTGCGATGATGCTCGGCATAGAATCCTCGAGCCATTGTATCAGACTGAAAATCATCTGGTCACCCAGTAGATTTTCCTGCGCATATTTGACGGCCTGTTTCGTGATACTCAGTCGTACATAGCTTGGTAGATCTGTTTTTCGAAGCAGAATGATAGGCGGTGAAGAGGTAGGATACCCATATGTCGGCCGCCGGAAATGGAATGTGACTGAGACAGATGATTCTGGACCAGACACAATTGAGCACTGACCTGGTCCGGCCGAAGAATACTTTTCAGCCAATATAGCTTCGAGAGCCGTCATCTCCTCCGACCAGATATCTGCGTCCGTCACGGTATCTTCAGAAACGTTATTGGCAAGAGGAACAAGCTGTGCTTGAAGCGCCTCAAGCGCCAGAGTCTCATCTCCATGATTGTCGCGGAGTGCTTGAACACATAGTTGAGTATGATAGCCACCCTCGGCCATTCTTTTCACCTTTGCATCAGTTGCAAGGTCATTCGTTACCAGCGATACACCAGCATGGTAGCCGGAAGGAAAGCTCCATTGAGGCAGCGAATCCTCAGGAACATGGATCAACAACCACTCCAAGACTTCTTCTCTGCTGCCGCAATACTCCAAAGCTTCTTCGATATGACTTTGCAGAAAGCCTGACTTTTTGAGATCTGATACGATAGATGCCCTCTCCGCAAGTACGATCTTCAAGGCATTCTGGTTCCACGATCCCTTGGTTCTAATGATTGTTTCGATACGTGTCCGTGTGTTCTGCCCCAATTCAATCCTCGGTGCACTATCCCATCCTTTCCGTGTTGTGTTGGTTGCACCTGGATTCACCAGGCTCAGTGTTTCGATTTTCGGTGGTTGCGAGGCTTGTTGTTGTTGTCTTTTCTCCATTGCTGCCTTGATCTCTCGCCTTTTGACCTCCGCCGCAAAAGGATCGGCATCATACTTCCAAGCTCGGCCCTCTTTGACATCTTCCTCTTTTAGGCGTTGAAAGTCGCCTTTCCAGAGGTCACGATAGGTTGGAGGCAATGCCATTGCGAGGTTCTTCATGCTGGAGATCCGGAACAAAGTGTACGCGGCTGCAAAGTGCCGCGCTTCGAGTGCTGTAGACTGATCTCCGAGTTGCGCATGTGAGGCAGGTAGTTGAAAAGGAGGAAGCTTGATGATCTCGCGAGATTTCGGATCCGTTCTTGATAGTACGACCCAGGACCGATGCAGCTTTTCGCCGTCGCCGTCACCGTCGCCGCTTCCTGCAACCTGCCGACCTTGATACTCGGGTTTGTTCCATTTCTGCCGCTGACAATGTTCTGACAAAAGGTTGACAGGCAGTTTTCCTGTCCATGATTGGCCTCCGATCACCTTGCGGGCGTCTGGTCGGGGTGGTCCCTCGGGAGGTTTCTGATCCTTCTTCTTTTTGTCGTCTTTGTTATTGGTAAACACAATATGATCACTGTCAGGCACTGGCGGTGCGGGAGTTGGCTTCTTGCCCTTGCCTGTGGCTGAAGGCTTCTTGGGCGCCATCTGGTCAGAACCTTGACCAGTCGATCCAGACTGCCGCGGAACGAGTTCAACAGGTGCAACAGCAACGATGTGGCGGAATAGTCTTTCTTACTCACCCTTCAGCCAAGTTGGCCGCGATTCGAGAGATTCATCATATCAATCAAGTGGTGCACGCTCTTGAGGATGCTTCAATCTCCGTGAAAGGATACGTCTAAAGAATTGTGCCCAAATGTACTCCGTGCCGTCATAAGCAGTGGGCGGAAAAGTGACGGCGAGATACTTTATTGGAAGAGAAAATCGCGGATGCGGCAAACCTGCCATAATCAAACGGCGAGGCTGAACAAATCAGCAAGGCTGTGGCTCAGCCTTGTTCAGCCCCTTTTTCGAGCAGGCTGATCGTTGATAAACGAATTAATTGGAGTACAGCTCAGTACAGGCCTTTCCAGGCACCGTTCTATTTGCATATCTCTCCAAGAGCATTATTTGCACAATCTCCCGCAGCACGATGTTGTTGCCTGAATGTCAAGTGACTTCTCTTCTCCCGTCCCTGACCATTAAACACTTTCACACTGCAGACTCCTCTCCCGTACTGGCCATTGTTCCCAAGCATTGTCGCCGTACCTGCAATGTTGCACCGTGAATAACGCCGATGCTCCGAAACGTATCGAAAGGAGGCAATGCACGCAGGTGCTCTGGATCTTCATGCAAGCGATGCCAACTAGCGCGTCATGACGTCGTGGTTTCTCGTGAGCAACTCTCAAGTGATGAGAGCAATTAATATGAAAATGGGGTGGTAGTCGTCCTGGAATGACGGCTCCATCCCGACATGTTGATGGAATGATTTCGTATCGAAGAGAATGCATTCCTCTTGACGTTTTGAGAGGTGATCATGTCCTTCGTGATAGGCTTTTGAATGTGTGTCATGACTGAACAGCTCTCGAGCGCGGAACTGTTCAAGTGGTGCGATATTGAAAAGGGTGATCATAATAGGGATTAAGTCCATTGACTGGTGGAGGTAAGGCTACCACAGCAGTTGGTTCTGGTAGCTGAAATCCTCGTCCTACTTCCGTTTCGACAAAAGCCGATGCTCTCTTGTAGCGCTTGTCGCAGTACTTGTTGAAGACGGCACTATGATGTTTGCGTGGTTCCTCGCAGCATTCGAGCAAGAGATTGACCAGACCCTTGAGCTGCGAATAGGTGTAACCAGAGTAATACACATGATGAGTGGTCTGCAATCGATTAGCGGTAGATCTAAAGGAGTGCTGCTGGAGACTTACCCAAGTGCCTTTACGGAGCATGATACGTGCGAGGCAATGTGAAGCAGCTGCTGTGAAGCTTGGCGGACTACCAATGAAACGCTCATCCATCAACGTAATTTCAAGGAAGTACTTCGCCAGAGTTCGGGTTTCCAGGTCATAGTCGTCTGCTTTGCTGATTCGGCGTAAAAAGCTCATGGGACCGGGCCATCCGAGTTCGAATTGCAGCATAGTCAACATGAAACGCTCAGCTTTGAGGATTTCGTCCACACTGTAGCCGCCGTCGACCATGTAGACAATCTCCTGGACCGAAGGACAGTTGATCTCTTCATATTTGGCAGCAATGAAAATGGCGGTCGCGCCCACGAGCTGCAGTTTGCCGAGAGACACAACCTTGCAGGACAAGAAGCGGTCGATGTAGTTGACCGTAAGGAAAAGGGTTTCTGGAAGAAGATTGAAGCGAAGGTGGACCTGCACGAGCCAATCCATGAGGACCGAACGCATCGACCACTGGATTTCGTGTTGGTTTTCCATGTAGTGAGCGTTGGGTAGCATCTTCATCTCGAGGTTCTTCATGTAGTCGAAGATCTCTTCACCATACTCGGCAACCATACTTGTGTCGTAAATCTCGTCCTCAACTTCTTCCTGAGAGCGGGTGTTTTCAACGAGTGCTTTAGCAGCGGCAAGCTCCTTACGCACACGTTGATTCACCTCTGGGAAGAGTGCAGCAGTAGCACCGCCGGTGGTGTTGTCTCCTCTAGATCGGAATGACCTGGCCGTCACGTAACCTTCCTCTTCGTAACTCTCCTCATCCTCTTCGTCCCAGTACTCTTCCTGTTCAACCTGTCGTTGAATGTAGGAAGTTTGTGGAATCAAAGCGGTAACGGTGTCGACAGGGTTGATAAGCTTCGCGACAGGAATTTGTTGGACGTCGTGCTTCTGAGTTGCAGAAGTGACGGGATTGGTGGAAAGTGGAAGAAGACTGGCAGAAACATTGTGTGGTTGGTACTGCAAAGTGAGCGGATGGCTAGCGGCATCTGAAATGGTAGTGACGGTTTCTCGAACATTGAATCCATGATTCAGTTCACTAGACAGCGTCGGCCCAAGGCTCACCTCATCAATGCCTGGCAGACTGATCTCGGACTGTGGCTCTTGAGCGTCTTTGACCGGGTCAGCCACAATCTCCGACGTTGGCGGGAGCAGACAAGGCTGAGATTCTGTGTCGAGTTTCGCTGGGTGGTCCGCATTGAGCTCTTTCACTTCAACGTTGTCGTTGTGCGACTCCACAGCTGTGATTTCGGTTTCTTGTACCGCATCTAGGCGACTGTCTTTGAAGATTGTAGTTTGTCGCTTGGTCAAGGTCTTCTTACTGTAAGGCGGTCCATTGTCTGACGTGCTAGTGACGGAGTTCTCAGTATTTGTAGCATTGCTTCCACCCGAGAACAACGTCTTCAAGCTAGACACGGACAGAGGTCGTTGCGCAGGTCTCAGCAAACTGGTCGACTTCTTCCCATACAGACCTTGGTCAGGCTTCAACGTAGGCTGCAGACTAGGCTTGGTTTGTAGAACCGAGTCATCTTTGCTGGGCTTGAGAGTTGTGATAGTGTTGCTGACATCGCCAAACACCTTTCGCTTCGCTCCAGCTGCCATTCCCTGCATTGGAGCACCACCTGTCAAGGCAGGACTCGACTTGTTTCGTTGATGTATGGTCTTTGTAACTTGGCCGACAGGAGGAAGGTTTTCGTCGTTGTTGACGCGTGAGCGTAAGGGTCGTTGCGGCTAATAGTAGGAAATACAACGTTAGAAACCATATGACAAGGGAGGGCGGATGGAGGAGTAACTCCTGGACAGAAGTAGGGCGCGTGTTGACCGGGAACAGCGGTGGCTGGAAGCTCGAAGAAATAGTACCTTGACGTCCATCATGACTCCTTACGACCCAAATAATAGTGTGTTTTGCTGGACCAGCTTGTTCTAAGCCAATGCTGGACAAGGCAGAGCGCCCCTATGTTGTTGAATACGCGACCGTCGAAGCGAGCATCGGTCGAAGAAGCTACAAGAGCTACTTGGGAAGGCGAGGTAGTTGAAGAAAGGAGATGAACTCCAGGACTGATGTATCGATGTTGAAGCTATGTCTGCTAGAAACAGCGCACGGTTGTGTACAAAAACATTGAATTGGAGAGTGCAGGTAAACAAGCCAAAGGTTCTTTCCGGCTTCACTAATTCATCTGATAGGCCTGGCTCCGCACCCTGGTTCCCCGAAGGATGAATTGGCACTAGGCTTCTTTCGGAGGGGGCAACAAACGCGGGTCGGTCGCCATGTCCAGAACATCAATCTTCACTCCAGGTCAATGCATCATTCGATTTCCTTGCTACAAATCCAATCTGCTTCATGAAACAAGGTATACGCATGCTTCTACCAGGTTTTTGTTGCCCTGCCACAAACGCTTCTATACAAAAGAACGAAACCTCTAGTATGACGTCGACGCGACACGTCCAGACACGCGGTCACATGACTTTTTGACATTTCGTGATCTCATGAGGCTCTCAATTGGCCTCATCTTCAATCACACACAAAATGGTTCAAGTGAATCCGACAAGTAGGCGATATACAGTGCTCATTGGGCTCTTGTCATTTGATACTACCTCCAGCTCCATGCGCAAGGAGAAATACCTTCCAGCCAGGGACGTCTGCAACAACGGCGGCAATCCTGAATCACCGGATATGTTGGACGCTTACTCACCTCCATTACCATGATCAAAACATCCAATGATATATACTTCGTCTAATCTTGGAGGGTATGAGGCCTGTATGACATGGCAACAGTTCTTCCCTCAGTCATCCATCAGGTTTCCGTCTTATCGGTCCCGTATCTGGTCGGAAGCAGATCCTGCCCACCACTTCAGATCTTCCGCAAGTCGGATAGATAATTGGCTGGTTTTTCTCGGCCATAAGGTCGCGTTTCATAGCTCTTCTTGTTTTTCATTCCCAGTGTAGTCGCTGGTCGTTCTCATATATGGCTCTACACCCCCATAACCATGAGGTATGGTCAACGTGCTTGGTTATTGGGGGAGAGTATCTCCGAGCACGGTTACGACGCCAGAAACTTTATTATATAATTTTGGCTCGGAAGGACTTGTCATTTGCACAAGTCCATAAGCTGTGCCTGGCCTCGGTAGCCGCAAGTGCGGCCTGATGCGTCCATCAGCCACGACTCCCGGCGCTCATTCATGCCACGTCTGCTGTATGGGTTGAAGAATCCGTTCGGTGCAAGTTGCATCAAAGACAATGCTTCAGATCGCAACTGTTTTGAGATATGACGTCCACCACGCTCACGTCTGCCACACAGTTCTGGAATGTGGGGACGGCGTGGTTGGACGGTCAATAGCTTCAAGTTGACATTGATTAATCTCAGTCAAAAATCGTCATGAACACGAGTATCATGGTCGCCTTGTCCGCGACTTCACGAATGATAGCTTGGAATTGCCAGAGATATGAGAACTGCACGTGCGCAAAAGATCATCATCAACCTTTGCGAAATTGCGCCGGCTTGAAGCTCGCCCCCATGCGCCAAGCCCTTGTCGGCTCGCTCAAGCCTGGGTGACAGTGAGTGTTGGAGCGAGGCTTTAGGGCGCTAGTTCGCGCATGTCTCTTCCTACAAGAGCGCAATGTTGCAGCCAACAGAATATGATGGAACGTTTGCCGCCGTCGGAGGTTGGAACAATCATTTCGACACCAGGAACAGGATAAGTTTGGCGGTGGGCTTAAGTTGCATGGATTGGCGTGAGTGGTGATCCTAATTGTGCGGTTCTTATGCAGCCAGTGCGCCAGCCCACGTCCCGAGTTATTGAGGATTGGTGGAATGGTTGGATGGCATGCTTGCGTGTCTTGACCACGGCCTCTGAACGGCAGCCAAAGAAACCGCCTAAAACTCCACCTTTACGGCTCATTGCTACTCTTCGCCATACAGACGTCGCAAACCCGCGGCACTACGGGCAACATTTCTTCACATATCAGTGAGGGGTTTGCTTTTGGATCCTTTTTAGCACTGGCACAGCGCATCGCCTGGTCTGGCTCGCATCGTTGGTGTTCCTCACTTTCCCGATTCCGCTTACCCTAAAGGACTTTCTTTCCCAGCACTATCTGCTGACGGCCTCGATCAATAAGTTTTGCTTTTTCATTCCCTGACTCAAGGCCCGACCATAGAGAAGCCAGCAAACTCTCATCCCAAAGGGCCAGCCGAACACCGCTGGTAGGGGGTCTACATCAGCTCTCAATTGGCCAGTAGCTGGCAGCACATCCCGTCACAAGATAGCGCTTCTTCAAGACAATATGGGCCCGTGTGTAGTAATGATGGTCCTCACTTGGGGGATTCTCGATATGGGACCCGATGCCATGTCATGCGTCTTCCAACTGCTGCGCGGCATCGCTTGACTGATACTGTCTCTCTTTGTGATTTCCTCACCGTTAAGCAGAAGAACTGTTCTAGATAATTTTGACTCGTTCGGACTATTAAAATCGTTTTCTACACACTTTGCAGCCACGTTCTTGTGGTACGAAAGGCCGGCATCTGTGTCGATGAGGGTGGGTCTACAGCACTGCCAGTTTCAACCTTGGTTCCTTCAACCTGACCTCCTCCCGTCAAGTCTTCGTTCGACTTGTTCATCAATTCTTTTGGCCTTGATTTGTACTACCTGAGAGGTCTTCATATTTGTCTTTGTTCGAGCGGACTACCCAGGTCGACCATTTCCTGTTGGTCTGCCTCAAAGTTATCGTCACAGACTCAGGTCCTCTTATCCTCGACGATGCCTGGACGGTAGTGCCGGATGCCATTACCTTCGCCTTTGCGCAGTCTCTCATACATTCCAATTCGATTCTAGGATCACTACAGGTGGTCGCGATTACAGACACAAGTGTTTGCTCGGTGTAAGTTCCCGTTCTATCGCTTACCAACATCATCACCAGCATCTGCAACAAAAACCCTGGCTCCTCATCCCGGGTGTGCTCTGATTCCTGCCAACACTTTACAATGCACATCATCTCATATCACAAAAGCTAATCAGGTCTTTCCCAACAGGGTGTCCCTCGTGCAACCGCCGACTACCTCATCGCAGACTTCCCGACCAACATAACGAGCCTATCGTGCTGATCCTTGACCGGAAGAGTGTGCAGGAAGAGAAAGACAACTACATACCTGGTACAAGATATAATGCAAGTCTCTAGCCTGCTGTCAAGCGAGGAGCAGACAACACCGAAGAGAATGCCTCCTGCAAAGTCGGTCTCGTTCGAACTTCTCCTTGACGAGGGTTCAAAGACAAGAGCACGAATACCTCTTAGGGTTGTACTCAACCGACATGACAGTACCGAGTCAATTGTCACCACTGTCAAGAACTTCTACGGTATATACGATGGCAGAGGTGTGAGCTTCGAAGACGCTTTCGGCAACACGCTCATTGCCTCATACGAGAATTTGTCGCCAGATTCCACTGTCTACGTGAGAATTGTGCTTGCCCCCCAGCAGCCTCCTGCAATCTTTCCTCACCCGACCTACGTTAATGACACTGGGTATGAGCCAAGGCGTCGACCTAGCCTGGGAGAACCATTCCAGATGTTGCCACCTCACATGCGGGAACAGTCTCACTCGCCGTCAAGGCCTGCATCAAGAACAGCTCATAAGCGGAGCGTCTCTCCCACTCAAGGCCGAGGACGCAGAAGTGCGTCGCAACAGAAGGGCACATTTATGACCAATGCGAGTCGAGGTTCTAGTGTCAATGGCAGCTATAACGAAGAAGATGGCTACAGTGACAGTGAAGCTGGTCGCAGTTCGGTGTCCGGGTCCAAGAAGGCCCGAAGCGAGCAATATGTCAGCTCAGAGATTAGCACCCTCAACGTGTTACAAGATGGCAGACGTGGTCAGGCCATCTTTGACAGTTCGGTAAACCACCGTGTTCCTTTCTGCCTTGGCCTAAGCTGACTCTTCTCAGGCCCTACCTCTTTTCGTTCCTCCTCAAGTCCCAGTGACTGCATCGCAATCCTCTATATCACCTCAGCGACGTTCTGTCCCACAAGAAGGTCCCTCACCTTTTCATCCTCCTGCTCAGAAGCTATACGGACTTCAACAAGTCCCCGTGTTATCCCCTCAGAGCTATGGACCGTGTCACAATATCTATGGGCCTACCGATCGAGGCACAGGCGCCGAAATGGTCACGCCGGTACCCCAACATGGCCACCGGCTGCGAGATAGATCTAGCATGCAACAGATACATGGTGGACGACAAGGAAGTGGTATCTTGCCGACACCGGATCCCACTGTTGCAAGCTGCATTTCAGACGAAGATGTTGCTCGTACCCTAATCGCTATGGGTGGTGATTCCAATTACTCTTATGGGCGCACCTCGAACTCAACGGTGGATGAGACATTCAGTGGCGCTGCTGATGCAGCGTCCTCAACAGGAGCGACCAGTGACAGTGATGAGTACAGTGAAGACGAAGGAGGCATGCCTAAACACAGGAAGTTCCTGGAAGAGGAAGACGACGAATACGACCAGGATGTTACACGTCGTGACCATGATGAGTTCGAGGGCCAGCCAAAAATGAAAAAGATCAAGACAAAGATGCATGATGGACCTACTAATGGTTACCGATCAAAGTCTACGTCGTCCCTGAAGAACGGCAAGTCCACTAAGATACGGTCAAATACACTACCAAAGGCTGCCAAACCCTTGGCGCAGCCAAACCTCACCAAGGTGCCCTCTGCGCCGGCTGCTCCTGGTCAAGTCAGGAAATCCTCTGGGTCGAGCCTCAACTTCCAACATCAACTGGGCATAGACGAAGAGGACCTCTCCTCCAAGCCTCGCTGTCAGCGATGCAGGAAGAGCAAGAAAGGTTGCGATCGGCAACGTCCCTGTGGCCGATGCAAGGATGCCGGCATCGGCGTCGATGGTTGTGTCAGTGAAGATGAGGGTAATGGTCGCAAGGGTCGTTACGGCAGGCATATGGGCGTGCCGGTCAAAAAGGGCGAAGAAGACGTCGACAACGACGATGACTCCATCATCGGCACCACATTAGGGCCCATGGGTGGTGTCCTCGTCAACGACAGTCCTGATAAGAGCAAGAAGAGGAAGAGATGAGCAAGGGGCAACGGTGTTTGTATATGGGTCTTACAACTCGGATTCTGCACGTGGAAACCAAAAGTAAGTCATGGCCAACGGGATAAAACGGGCGGCTGAGCATCTGAGATTGGATCAAACGGGTCGCGAGGCCCTGGATGTTATGTGACGAGGAGATTGTTAATGATGCGAGGTACTGTGCTTTCATTGGTGGGCCGCATTGTTTGACCTGGGGACCAAATTGTGAGGATCGTCGCTCGTCGACAAGGCTCTTATTGTCTTATTTGATCTTTTTGAGGCGAAGAATGGGCGAAACTTTGTTGATTTGACAATCGAAGCAAAAGTATCCTGGATTTAATGGACTTCATGAATGTACGAAATGAGGATTTGATATCTCTTATGAAGTTTGGCTGGTCCCTGAACCCCCTGGATCGCCAGCGACGATCAGATCTGCACGTAGCCTGACACGTGACTGTCCGTAATTCCGAAGTATAAGCGAAATGCGGGGAATCCGTCTCCAAAAAATTTGTTGTCAACTTGAATTCAGAAAAGTCGACGTGGGTTCGTACTTATCAGTCTCGTTCACCTCGACTTCCAACAATATCCTGTGCTTCCAGAGAGAGTCATTATACAATATCTTGCTTTCTGAAGATCCGAAGACTTCAGAATCAGATCCCCCGACTCGAAGCGCAAGTCCTCCAGGCACATCGAGGCCGACAGCCCCGAATCTACATTCACTCACTTTCAATTCGATCTCAACATGTCCAGGTTATGACCCTGTCTTCCCATAAGATCATCTACATACTCCGATAGTAGAGGCTAAGCCATCATCACAATGGCGGACTCAAATCCCACGGCTCCGAAACCCTCGACAGCGAAACCCGGCCCCAGACCTAAGCCTCGAGCGGGCGTCCAGCGCAAGACCAAAGCAGAACGAGAGCAATTCGCCAAAGAAGAAGCCGAGCGCCAAAAATCTCGGGCCGCAGAAGAAGCAGCCAAAAAAGCAGCAGCAACACGGGGCGGTAGAGGTGGTGGTCGAGGAGGTCGTGGCGGCCGCGGCGCATCCACAACTGGACGAGACGAACGACGCGACCACTCATTCGGCGGAGGAGGTGTCTTTGGTGCGGGTGGTAGCGCCAGGCCGGCTGCACGAAGAGTACTAGGCGAAGGATACGCCGAGCTGCTCGAGGGCCAGCAGGCGGCGAAACCTGACGAGTCCGCTGCGGGATCCGAAGTGATTGATGTAACAGGCGACGTACCGTCCTCGAGCGGTGGCGGCGGCGGCGGTGGCGGTGGCGGTGGCGGCCGAACAGCTGGTGCAAAGAAGACTGAAATACTTGACATCCCTGAGTCAGATGAGGAGCCAGATGAGTCGATGCGGGACATCAATGGCATAACGATCTCGGACGACGAGGAAGAAGAACACGAGGAAGAGAGAGAAGAACAAAAAGGAGAACAAGAAGAAGAGCTCAATGATAGCAAGTCCAAGCTCAAGGGCAAACAGAAAGACGTTAAAGTCGCGCACCGACCAAAACGCGGGGATGGTCTGCGACCGAGCCTCGCTGCGCGGGACCTCACAGAAGCCGAGGAGAAGGAGAAGGAAGACAAGAAGGCAGCAAAGCGCGCTAAGAAGGAGCGGGTGGTCAAGAAAGTCGACCCAGATGTACACGATGTCGACGACGACAACAACAACGAGGCTATGGACCTCGACGAGCCAGTCTTTGTGAAAGAGCAGGCTTCCTCTCCGGAACTAGGCCGGCGGCGCTCGCTCAAGAAAGTACGGTCACGGGATGCGAAACCTGCATCTACGGTCGAAACGATCGAAGAAGCTGCTGAGCGAGAACGTGTGACACTCGACATGGCCAGATTACGCGAATTGATTCTACGGGCGCAGACACATGAGCACCCTGCCACGGTCGATAATGATTTGAAATCAGACGATGAGGAAGCGCACGAGGACCGAGCGACACGGGACGGCAAATTGTTTTTGTTGCAACTTCCGCCGTTGACGCCGTTCTTGGTTGATGCGTCCATCCCTGATGAGCCGGAAGTCAAGACTGAGCCTGGCGTCGAGAGGACCGCAGCTACGGCTACGGCTCCGAAAGAGGAAATAGATGGTGCGGCACAGCCTAGAAGACCGCGCCTCCAGATTGACAAGCTTCTGACTGCGACGGAACCGGAGCCTCTACCTGCAGGTTTGGTCGGCAAGCTCCGTGTTCATAAGTCGGGGAAAGTCTCGATGGACTGGGGTGGGGCGGATATGGAAGTTCGATATGGAGCTGAGGTCGATTATTTGCAGGATGTCGTGCTCGTGCAGCCGCCGATCAAACAGGAAGACGACGAGGACACCGAGATGAAAGATGGTAACAACGAAGGTAATGCGAGCGAAAAGAAAGAGAGCAAGCCGAAACCCAAAGGCACGGTGTTTGCGTTGGGCCAGATCAGGAAGAAGATGGTCTTGATTCCAGACTGGGCCAAGTTGTATGATTGATGGAGACACCGATATCGCTCCGAGGAACTGGCTTGATGTCGCTTTGTACGTAGGATCCAACGCAATGATACCCCGAGCTTACAGGACCTGCCACCTGACTGGCATGTAGCTAGAGAAGAATGAAGCCTACAGCTGTCGTCCGTCGTTTTGAAGTTTCATAAGAATGTAATCCATTCTTGGTTCATCTATGTATACCCAAGCCTCTAAGGGTATGTACGTAGCGCCTTTCCGTAACATCATGGACATCGAAGCAGCATGAACACCTTAGGATGCACACGCTGAGTACAGCTTGTCTAGCAACACAGAGGCTCTTCTACTGCTGGCCTGCTTTTTCAATCGCACTCCAAAGAGAACACATCCCATTTCTAGCATGGATGACCCATAACCCACACAGATTGCGCCCGCGTGCTAATCCGCTTCTGCAGCTGGCACTTTCCACTCTCTCATGGAGAGGATGACATTCACAGAAATGCCATGCAGACTGTCGCTGATACCACTGCCATTGTCGCGAATACACCTGCTGCATTGGATGGTGCAGCGTTCCGCAAATTTGGCGGCAAAACAGTGACTGGCGCTGCAGACTGCTCTTGCTCTTTCACCTCCGATTGAAGCCCTTCGCCTTCTTCGTGGACGAAGTTCTTTACTTTTTCTATCTCTTCCTGCAATGTTTCCACGATTTTCTCTTGCTCTTCTTTCGCAGCTCCCACGAGCTTGTTCATGATCCAAGGCAAAAGCCGGTCATTGCCATCCTCCGCAGTCTCCATCTTGACTGCACCGCTCCCCATGGGCATTTGTGTAGGAAGACTTCTCTTGGATTTGACCACGCCAATCGTTCCGGTGAGTGTCCCAAGCCCGATTGAGCCGGCAGTGTACGAAGGCCACTGGTCGGGTATTGCGGCAAATGTTTGAGTGTATACGACAGCCACCTGAGTTTGTACGCCATCAATGTAGGAGTTCGCGTAGTATGTGGTAACTGGGGAGATTTGAGTGACAGCTGTGGTTGTCGCACCCGCGTCTTGTCCTGTTACTTGACGCTTGAGTTCGGGGACGATGTTGGCGTCGAGGACAGGAAGGATTTGGATGTCAGGTGTCGGTGTAGGTGTAGTTAGCGCCAGGGAAGGTATGCCTTTGGTCAGCGTGGTGACTGCCGACCATTTGTTCGTGTCGAGATCGGAAGGAAGTGGTTGGATGTCTACGGGGATGAAGGCTTGTGATGTTGCGAGGAGAGTAGAGAGGAGAACGGTCTTCAGCATGATGGGAGACATGGTTGGACCGTTAAGGTTGGGCGAGTTTCGACTGTCGCTGCACGATTTGGATGAAGACGCGCAGCCACTCTCAGAGTTCCGACTTGATCAGGCTTCGCCGTTGACCGTCAAAGGTGACGGCAGTCGTGACTGAATCGGCGGAAAGATGGTATGGTAGAATGCTAGGTAGTCGATAGAAGTGCGCAGGCTGGCCCAGCGCAACGCAGACGTCAAGACAAGCAAAGCGAGGGACTTGGAGCGAGCGAGCGGACTTGGGTGTTGTAGAACGACAGGACGCCGCGGGCCCAATCTGTCAGCTTTCAAAGCCTCAATTGAGGATCATAAGCAAAGTCGGCGGTCGGGTTCCTGAGACCGGTGGGTGTTTAATCTAGAGATAAAACAGCAGCGAATGGTATACAAGCGTCTGAGCAAAAGACTCGAGTGGTGATGAATATCGTGAAACGATTGTACAAGAATGCAAAGAGAGAGAACACCGGACAGTAACGACGGTGATCAGTAGGGGTTGACGCGTGGCAGGAGAGGCCGGACATAAAAATGGCAATCAACAAGATTTAGAGTGGTAAGTTACGGGTACATGCAGTAGTACCGATCCTAATTACAGTTGTGGTTAGTATCGAGGTTTATTCTGGTAGTGAAGTTATCGATATGGAATCGCTTGGTACAGCCAATTAGACCGCTTCTCCAAAGGCCTACCGGAGTATCGACTCCTGAATATCCCTAAAACAAGATTTGCTACAGAATGACCTAGTCACTCCTACAGTGTCCTAGGGTTTCAGCCTAATAGGCCAATTGCATTGTACGAATACTCCGTACATAGTAGGTCATCATTTCAGAGCAATAAGTCGTTGTCGCGTGCCTAGAGGACCACTCAACATCACGGTGACCAGTTTGCTTATCTCTGGAAGTCCCTATTTTGTTATCAGGACCTGCTCTCCAACTCGCCCTCAAGGTAAGCTGTTCACGTCGCTTGGAACTGTCCATCTTCACGTGCATGTGGGAGTGTGACATTAGAGTCGACATTGAGATGACCTAAGTCGATTGTAGGTAAGGGCTAGGCGGTCTTCGAGGCCCGTTCCATGATAATTGAGCCTACAGGGTCCAGCAGCTTCGTCAGTCTGCTTTTGGTTAAGCAGGTTTGGAGGCATTCACACTTCTCGACTGCATGACTGATAATTATGCCGATACATCATAACTTACAGCATGTGTGAACGAACTGCATGAACCACGGCTATGCCATCTTCGGCTTCGCGTGAGGGGCCCTCATGGCTTTCGCCTGGTGCCGCTAGCTGGTGGTCTGCCAGGTTTATCGAACGCCTCTACTCCGTACTGCCGGCCTTTCTGGTCGGCTGCGGCATGGCTGTCTTTGCGCCACGTCTCGTCTGCTTGAAGACAGATTCGCTCGTTGAGCAGGTGGGTTTGACTAACCAAAGGTTCAGAATTGTCGAGTGCTGTCTCCGTCACATGGTCATTCCATGTCGATGAGAGTCAAAGCTTGCTTGAACAGAAACCAGCCGCAGCCGCAACCGCACCTTTCCACCACTTCACAAATGCGGTCTCATGTCCTGACAGCGTTCATGGCCGGGTCGATTCTTCCGTCCTGCTATCCTGGTAGCAATACATGACGCTCGATTTTCTCGATTTCACGTCCAAGTTTGCCACTCGTTTAGATCTACAGTCCAAGGAATGGAGCAAAGGCTTAAAGTATGCTCGGGGATGGGGCTGATACGTCCGCGTCAGCTCATCTATCCCCAGTTTGCTTTGTTATTGCATGGAGGAATCCTCCATTTGACAACGATGGCAGCATCGGTACTTTTGCTGGCAGATCTGAGTGTCGGGGAATGGTGACTGGGTGAGTCGATTTTGGGACTTGCCCGATGATCTCATTGTCGCCGTTTTGATTCCTGTGACCTGCGGTTAAGCTCCTTGAGCCTTTCGAGTGAGTCAGGACAACTTCCTACTTTGCAAGAATCAACTTACGGCTTGTATACCTGGGTGTAATATTCCTTGAGCAATTCGGCATATGCAGCTTTGCGTTCCTCCCAATCGTCAATATCCCAATGCTCCCGGTACCATTCTGGGTGAAAATTCTCTGACTGCTGCAGACAGAATTGAACAGCCGTGTAGTATTGCTTCATCTTTCCGACATCAGACTTCCGCTGCAGATAGATGAGCATATCGCGTGGCGGTAGGCTCAAGTGTTTCTTCCGCTCGTCACAGAAGAATGCGAGGTCATACTCGTATCCTGTATCGACCTGCCATGACTTGATTCGACATTGAGTGAACAGAGCCAGCTCGGTGAGCAGGGTTCCAATATGGAACAAGTGAGGCTCGACGTGATTGAGATTCGCGTCGGCACGACCCGCAAACGTTAGGACGAACCGTTGTTGATGGAGCTCGCCGCAGTTATTGACGTGTACAAAAGAGCCATCCAGATGGCGTAACCAGGACGTTCCTAGAAGGAAGAACCCTGTTTCCACAATCTGGAGAGCGAGCTCAAGTTTCTCTTGCGTCCGGAATCGTCGCACCTGGGAGTTCCGGGTCTTGACCGATTCCAGAAAAGCTACCCATTGCGATGAATTGCAATCAGATTTACGGCGTCCGTGCGCCTGCAGTGTCTGTAATCGAAAAGTCTGGTTCTGCAATATGGTGAAGAATGCTGGAAGAGCTCGTCGTATGGAGCCGCAGGCGCTTGAAAAGTCACTCTCAATCTGCCCCGTCGGCTGTGGGCGTATAGGACCTTCAACAAGAACATCCGTCTCTCTATCGGCACTGGGTAAAGCGACTGTCATCCGGTAAGCAAGATGTGGACTATCACCTTGCTCATTGGCGAAAACATGAAGTTCCAGTCCAGGCTGTGGCTTGTTCTGTCTTGAGGTCTTACACAAGATGTCATAACACTCCTTGTATAATGCTTCAGACGCCCGCCTGGCCTCGATGGCCACATTGAGGTCCAGCGCTTGTTGTACTATTTGTCGCCGACGAAGGAGGGCATCTGTGGGTGTTGCAAATTCCAGCTGGTGAGTTAGGGCATAGGCGTCCGAGGCGTCTTTGGATATTTCGTCGAATCTCCACCTTAGCTCGTCAACAAACGAGATGTTGCGCGCGCGATCAAGCGAATGGTCGACTTCCTCGAAGATATTGGAGCCACAGACAAAAAGGTTGGGATACAGTTCATTCAATTTGGTGATGACGATGTGGGGACAAAGCGTCTGAAATGGCTTGACCAGGGTTTGCAGGAAGAATACAAATCGCCTATCGACATCTGTGATACGACTCCATCGGATGGTCCGGATGCCAATGTGTGGAAAATGCTGCTTGGGAGTATCAATTCCCTTTGGGATGACGACTGACAGACTAATTGGAGGATCTCACACGGAACACAACATCTTCGTAACAAAAACATAAGAGTGGCAACGTCCTCAAATTTGAGACCTTGGAATTGGTTAGGGTCACCAAGCTTATAGCCTGCCCGTTGCAATAAGGTCTTCTGGATTCTTGCCGACACTACCGTCACAGCTTGATACATCACCTTGCTCAGAAATTGTACCAGCAGAAGGTGGTGTTGCTTCTCAGGTTCTCACCCAGGATTCAGTTGCCCGTACAGCAGTCGGGTCGAGTCCCTCAAGAGCGACGGAAACAGAACTTGAGAGTGTCACTCCACGACAATCCTACTGAAAGGCGTCCCTTGAGAGAGGATTCTGCCCACGCCTTTACGAGAGACACGAATCTTAGGAACAATATAACTCTGCCGGTCGAGCTACCTTGAGGCCAGAGTCTGCTCCGCAGTGCAGACTCACGGTTTTGATATCGGGATGGAGTCCTCGATAACCCATAAATGTGACGTGCCAGGTGGATTGGTACAACTTATAGGTGATATCATCATTGGACTTCAGGATCAGTATGGAAAAAAGCTACGGGACTCAACCGCAGTGGGTTTAGAGTGGTTTGTTCAGATCGACTTCACATTGATGCGTTTAGATAGACCATTATGGATATATATCTATATATTAACTACAAACAGGAGACTGGAAGCCTACGGTCCATCCCATACTGCCCATTATTATCACCATTACAACTAACCCGACGCCGGCGCTTGTCGATCCATATATCCAAGAATGACTTCTGCGTAGAGAATTCAGTTCGGCGACCCAGGTGCTGACCGTGGTCAAACATCCGCAAAATCCGTCCATAATCCCTTGCAACACAGCGCATGCGTTGGGACTCGACGCACCAATGTTACCGGCATGCTGTAGATCAAACGCCATCCCAAGCACTGCAGTCCCAAATATGTTCACCACGAACGTACCCAATGGAAAGGCCGGAATGATGGCATTCAGGTGTTTCGATGCATAAAATCGGAGCAGACAACCTGGTGGCGCAAAGACAAGCGGGAAAACTGCTCGAAACCGCCAATGTACAGCATTGCCAGGTGGCCATATAGCCAGAAACACGGCACCAAGCCAGCACCCGATTCCCAGGACGAAAGCAATCGGTTCTAGCACATACCGAGCAAACCTGACAGGTATAGTAGGGGTGATAGGTTGAAGCAGCAGCGCGAATTGCGCGCCCACATTTAATGCCGCCAAAGAAATCGCCGGGTGCAGGATTAGGATGGCCAGTAAGGCGAGGAACGAGAAGCCGCCGTTCCTCGAATGGACTGTGGTCTGAGAGTGATATGGCGAGGTCTCTGACGGACCCTGGAGATCGTTCGTCAGGGCGAGAAAAGCGTCGCGCATGAACGACGAGAAAGAAGTGAAACTGCCACAGAAGCCCGTCGCCAGACCAATGTACAGAGGGATAGTCTTCTTGACCTTCCCATGGTTCGAGGCCGGGGCTTTGGGGTCTGGCGAACCCCATTCCTCTCGGAAGAGACGACGGTCTTCGGCGAGAAAACCCATAATGAAGGAACCGCCTAGATTCGCCCACAAGACGCGCGATGTCACTGGTGTGCCTGGGTAGAGCGTCACTGCGTCGACACCGAGGCGAGCCAGTGTGCCGAGGAGCGAGAAGAATATGAGCCATGATATTGTGGCCATTTCGCCTGTCCAGGGTGAGGGTTTGAAGTCCCGTGCTTCTTCTTCGGGGGCAGCCTTGTGTTCCTCCTCCGGACTCGTGCGGCCGTTGGCAGTCTCTTCGTCTGAAGGCCTTTCCCTCCGGTCTGCAGGCTCTCGGGCCGCAACTTCGCCTAGTGCGGCTTCATGACTTTTCCTTCGAGATCGTGATGTGCTCCATCTGCGCACCGCCTTTTCTAGTGATTCGCGCTGCGGGTCTTCGAGTTCAGCGGGCGGTGGCATCGTCATTTCGGTTAGATCCTCCTCTTCTCCATTAGAGTGTCTCCCGTGCCTGCTTTCTCGATGGACCTTGTCTTCCCACGACGGCCGCCTGGGGTCATTGTGCTGCGCGGGTGGTGGCATGACCGTCTCGGTAATCTCGAAGCTCTCGTCATCGTTATCGCCGTCGCCATTCTCTGTAGATTCTTCCTTTCCTGCTCTTCCTGAACTTGTGACCGAGTTGTAGTAGGTAGAGGCAGGCTGAGCGACGTCACTGGTGCCGGGATGCTTCCCCGAGCGCTGCTCGCGGACAAGACTTGTCGCACTGTCGTCCATTGTGGTTAAGGTCGCGTGTGCGGGCGATTCGCGGCATCCGTAATCACGCGACAGAAGATGTCTGCTCTACCAAGGTCGTCGAGGTGTTTTGGCGTGGAGATACGATGTACTTGAATAATAATATGCCGAAAGTAAAGCACGGAGCAGTCAAAAACAATGAACTCGGTCGCATACGCCAAAAGCACAACGAGGTGGCTCTATCGTCACACTTCACTGTACACGAACTTGGCCCGGAGGCGTGTATGATAAAGTGATTGGGATAAAAGTATTGACAACTTCATCGGTACTTTTATGGACAATGAGGATCGATCGGAATTGGCCGTATTCCCCTCCTCTGACCCTTTGTTTATCCTTATCGCAGATGTAACACAGACGCTCCCCGCGGCGTGGCTCCAACAGCTAAAGCAATGCGCTTTTAAACCTAACCACGTACCATCCCTACACTGTCCGATCCTTACGTTCCTTTTGCGTGTTGTTCTGATATCTTAGGACAAGCCCATCGTTTTGTTTTCGCATAGAAGCACTCTCCTTGATCATGGCGTCCAGTCTACCCTCCAATGTTCACATCTCCAAGCACCCTTGCCTCCGCGCAAAGCTGTCGCAACTGCGGTCCAAATCTACCACTGCTCGCGACACCAAAACCCTCGTCCACGATATAGCTCTGCTGTTGGGTGCAGAGGCTCTTTCAAAACTGACAGTCGAACCAGCAGGGACGGTAAGTCCTCGCCTCAACTGCTTAGACACCCCCACTGATGAGGTACCAGGCTGACCCTTGATTGATACAGGATGTGACACCCATTGGATACGAGTATACCTTTGAGACCATAGATTGCAGCAAGATCACCCTGGTTCCGATCTTGCGAAGTGGACTTGGAATGGTAGAAGGTGGGTGAGCGCATGCTTGACATAGCCTTCATGACTGACCGTGGTAAAGCCGTTCAGACGATCCTCCCTGAGCCTGTATCCGTACACCACCTTGGACTGTTCCGCGAGAAAATGACGCTGCAGCCTGTCGAATACTACAACAACCTTCCTCAGTCAGAGCACGCTGTCGCGAAACTAGCCATAATCGTCGATCCTATCATTGCAACAGGGCAGACCTGTCAAGCTGCGATTCAGTCATTGAAGGAATGGGGTGTTGAGAAGATCATTGTGTTGAGTGTGCTAGGCGCCGTCCCTGGTGTAACAAGAGCTGCCGAAGAATGGTCTGAGGGAACCGAGCTATGGGTAGGAGGTCTTGACGACGGTTTGACCGACAAAGGCATGATTAAACCCGGACTGGGAGACATTGGCGACCGTCTTTACCTCACGATCGGGAAGTGAAAGGTGATATTTGGATGTGTGGTGAACAAGTTGGTGTCGAGGAATGGTGCGTGATGTTGCTAGAAATCACCAAGCTTTCATCTGAGGCACAGGATCGCTTGATGACCAAAGATCCTTTCGACCGTGCCTTCTTGTTTGAGAAGACTGCCTAGCCACCGTCTAGCACCGTCCAGGTCTTTTGCGCCAAACTTGACAAGCACAAATCCTCGAACTTTTGCTGCGGTCCACAGAAGACCGGCTTCGTGCGCTGTTCGCCGCGACAGCTCCGCGTCTGTTGGCGGTGAGCTCTGACCTATACTATCATCTGTGTTCCAGTTCTTTGCTCCCATCCTAGGCTGAGCTGCAAATTGCTCGGTGATGAAACCCGCCAGGTGTTCGAATATTGGGCCATACACAATCAGCGTTCCGAAAACGCCCATGTCGTTTGAGTTGGCAACGAGGGTAGTGCCGCTGATGTCTTCGTCGTGTAGCATGATTGCATCACGAAGCAAAAGTCTCCCTCTAGATTGCTCGTCATATTCTCTGACTTCGTTTCGCCCTTTCCAACTCCAAAGATTCCAGCTCTCACCATTCGCCCGCCGACCTTCGCTCACCCAGTCGAGCACTAGCAGATTGCTGCTGCCATCGGGTTCCACATAGAAGGTTTGCTTCTGTTCGTAGACGCTCTCCGCAAATGGCTGAGTTGGGTCAGGTAGGTAGCAGAGAGCTGCCCCAGCTCCCACCTTCACATCAAGGGTCTGCTTACTCACCACAGACCTTTCTGCCGACTTGAAGATCTTCGTGCTGCCTTGAGTAAGTAGGCAGAGCCGTGTGGCATCCTGTAGCTCGATCTTGAGGTTGACCTGGTCTCCGCCGACAAGTCCTCCCCCGTAGGTGAGTAGGAATGCAACCGTCACGTGCTTGTCGTCTTGGGCAGTATGCGGCTTAGGAGCGATGAGTTTGAGCGGGTATTGGTAGCTGAATGTCTGTAGATGTTGTCTGCCAGGAGGCAGTAGAGAAAGAACGATCTCTCCGGCTCCAGGCAGAGACGAAGAAGGTGCAAACGGCGATTTTGGTAACGACATACTTCCTCGTTCAGCGCATACGTACGAGTATCAATCCTGCATCTTGTGGACCCTACTAGATCTTCGCCCAAGAAACAACGATGATGGTCTCGAGAAACAGCAAGCTCCTCCGTGGTGCTTCATCATGCTTGTGTCATGACAAGAGGCACAGTGCAGAGTGCCAGAGTGCCTACGTAGATACCCTAGACCACAGTAACCTAACCTACTAGGTCTAGAGAGGTCTTGGAAATTTGCTTAACTAAGTGTGGGGAGCCGCGACCCTCTCAAACACTGTGGCTAGGTAGGTGGTGTCACTTAAATGTTAACTGCCAACACAAACCCTCTCGCATCCCCTCCACTCTAGCATTAATTCGCGTCACGCGTTTTTGCCATGCGGCGTGTTGTTTCCTGATCCAATCCCGCAGCCAACTCTTTACGACGAATTCCAACTGCCTGCCACGGCCGACTTTGTATTGCTACTCGTGTAGATCAGCCCTACACAATCGCTGGCGTTTGCGCGTCACATCTGCCACCAACCTGCTGCGGAAGGCTGCTTAATCCACGGTTACTACGTGTATGCATTGAGCCATCCCGAACCGGCATCATATCGAAGAAAAATGGAAGTCAGTTCCAGTGCTCCAGATGGCACAGCAGAATCTCGACGCAGATCTGGAAGAGTAGTGCGAAAGCCTGACGTCTTTGCGGAGGAACTCTATGATGGTAGCCTTCCCACCAACGGCACCACCAAGCGAAAACGGCCGGCCCCTGCAACGACAGTAGACAATGAACAAGATGACGACCAAGAAGATGAGGACGAGGAATCCGAAGAAGACGAAGATGAAGATGAACCTGATGAGGAAGAGTTGAAGGCGCAACGTAGGGCAAGGAGAGCGAAGCCGCAAGCGGCAAAGCCTGCCACCAAGAGAGCAAAGACTACCAATGGCCCAAGTACAACATTGGCTTTTCGTTCAGCCGATGCACAGAAAGGAGCTGGCAGTAAAGCAAGCAAAGCTCAAAAGGCACGCGCTCGCCCGAGTCAAGCGCATCAACAAGGTCTATATGCCGAAGTCTTCGGCAAAGGACAGTCGCCCGAAGATGCATCGTCAGTCTGGTTTCAGTCGGTTCAGAGCGATAGTGTCGCTGCCATCCGAGACCTGATCAACTTCGTACTCCAATGCATCGGCTGCGACTCCAAAATCGAATCTCAGGACATTGAAGACTTGGATTCAGTGCCCACCAGGCTCGGTGATGTACTACAAGAATATGAACAGCAAAAGGCACCAGACTATCCTCTGGTCTCAAAACAGAAACAGTATGCTGGGTTTCAGACCGTTCTGGAAGAGTTCTTTAAAGCCATCATCAAGGCGCTGCACGTCTCAGGGGCTTTCTACGATCAGCCTGAAGTCTATGATAATATACACGTCTGGGTTGCAACAATGTCGGGCGCAAACTACAAATCCTTCAGGCATACATCCACAATCATCTCGTTGGCAATGAGTACTGCTCTTTGCGAGGTTGCAAAAGAATTGCAGGAGACCATGGCAACACTGAAAACCCAGCTTGACGCCGAGAAGAAGAAAAAGAGCGTCAACAAAGCCCGTGTTAAGACTATTGAAGCAAGCCAGAAAGACACAGAAGCAAAACTTGAGACCATCGACACTCAATTACGAGACGCGTTCGATACTGTGTATGTTCACCGATACCGAGATATTGAGGAAAGAATCCGAGCTCCATGCGTCGCTGCGCTTGGAAGTTGGATTGTGCTATACCGCAAAATGTTCCTTGAAGGTCAATTTCTGCGATACCTGGGATGGGTCCTGAACGACACCAGCTCTCAGACCCGACTTGAAGATGTAAAACAGTTGAAAATCCTGTTCAAGAACAAACACAACATCGCTGCTCTGAGAGCTTTCACAGACCGGTTTCGACCTAGACTGGTGGAGATGGGAGCCAGAGATGCTGATGTCAGTGTCAGAGTTGAGGCCATTGAACTTTTGGACAGGTTACGTGACGCAGAGCTGCTGGAGCCTGACGATATTGACACCATAGGACGGCTGACATTCGACAGCGAGCCACGCATACGAAAAGCCGTTGCCAAGTTCTTTGTCTCAAATACTGAAGATCTCTACAAAGCCACTGTTGAGGACTTCGACGAGGCTCAATATCAGGAAGCTCTGCCTACGGAGGACGACACAGATGATTATCTGGTGCCTTCGCGGTCGTGGATAAAATTCAAATGTCTGGGATCAATACTTGCCGGATATGACAGCGACGAGGAGTCATTAGATGGCGCAAATACTCGATCTCTTCCCATGGATAACTCAAGTGACTCTCGATACACGCTTGCCACGCAATCCATCTATCCTCATATGAAAGAATTGCATGAGTGGGAGCTACTTGCAGGCTACCTTCTCTACGACCATTCTTCGATTCCAGCATCTGGTGGAGAAGATGATATCAACATTCAAGTACAGCAAGCTTACCAATTGAGCCCCGGCGAAGACATCATCTTGCTGGACGTCCTCCATTCTGCGGTCAAACAGCACCTGTCATCCATCCTGGAACCTTCAAACAGTCGCAAAACCAATGCAACCAAAGATCAGATTCGAGAAAAACAAGAAGCTGCAGCACAGAATCTCACTGAGCTCCTGCCTAAGCTTCTCAGCAAATATGGAAGCACCCCTCAATCTGCTTCATCTATTCTTCGAATCGAGCAGTTGCTTGACATTGGCCTGATAAATGACTTGCAAAGTGGTGAGGCCACCTACTCCGCTATGCTTGACGACATCAGTAAACAATTCACCTCTCATTCGGACAAGAAGGTCCTTGCTGCAGCAAGTGTCGCCTTCAGAAATGCCAGGAATTATGAGCAGAGCAAAGAAGCGGCCGACGCTAAGGTTCACGAAATCTGGACCGAGTCTGTCACGACACTTGCCGGCCTCCTTCAAGGCAAGGAAGTCGAGAAGAGAGGCAGCTTAGCCAAGTCGACACTTGCTGCGGTGGTCAATGTAGCGCTGAGACTCGCCGAGCTTGCCGGTGTGTATGACTGCAGCCATTTAGTTGAGTCCAAGCTGGGCTCTAGCACGAACAAGAAACAAAGAGGGAAAGCGAGCGAACAAGGCAGTCTCATCGACCTCTTCCTCCAGCTTCTTAAGCGTGGTGAGCCCGACGCAGACACAACAGATGCCTTTGCCGAGCTAGAAGATCAGCTGTGTACTGCTCTCATCGAGCTTTTCTCACGCTATTTCCGATGGAAAGTGTTTGGCTTGAAGAAAGCCATCTCCGCCAATGATGTGGGCCAGCTCTCAACGAGGTCACTTTCCGAGTTTGCTATGACGAGGACAGCATTTGTGCAGAACGTCGCTCCAATCATTATCCTGCGCACGCCTTTGGATCCTGTACGCTACAATGCCATCCTGAATGTGCTAGAGCTGTTCGCGCTCTTTACTACGATCAGAAACATGCATTCAGACAAGGACGAACTGGATGAAGACACTGAGCGAGACCTCAACAGCCTCATCACCAACATGCCCAGCGACATTGTCCGAGAAGTCATGGTCACACATGAGAGGTTGGAGAAGTCATTCGCCAAGAAGACGCGTAGAAAAATCGAGACGAACGATAAACGCAAATCCAAAGATCTGGTCCAGGACGATGAGGAAGACATCGAGAAGCCGCCCGAGGACTCTGATGATGAAGCAGAAGACTTGGACCTCGACGAGGATGATGACGAGGATGGCTTTGAGGGAGCCGGCAAGGGAGCAAAGAAGCAGGCTGCTCTTCTAGCAGAACAGAACCTGTGCGAGTTGACAAGTAAGATCATCTTTGCACTTGTCGGGGGCGCGATCAAGGACGAGAAAGTCAAGCAGAGACTCATGCTGAATCGGACAAAGTTGGGCAAGAATTACTCAACGTTGCTTTCGTATCTTGATGATAAGAAAGACAAGAAGAAGGCAAAGGCGAATGTCAAGGCTGACGCGAAGAAAGGTGGTGCAGATACTGCTAGAGCCAAAGCGCCGTCGAAGCCTGCCGTAGGGCTGTCCGAGGAGATGGTCGTTGATGACGATATTGAGGATGGTGATGATGAGGATGAAGAAGAGGCGCAGAGACGGCGCGATTTAGAAGAGGTCGAAGATGATGAGCAGGAAGAAGCTGATGATGAGGGTGGACGCGAGGAGGTTGAGGAGGATATCACAGGTGATTGAGCGGTGTATTATACTATGGCCGTTGATGAATTCGGTGTTTTTCGAGCATCGCGCGAGCGAGGATTTGCCTTGAGCTGGATGTGCAGCAAGACAGTCACATAAGATTGTGTGTAATATGTACGCTGCGATAAAGCGTTCTTGATTGCTTGGTTCTGATCTCCTATCTTTTGTCTGTTTGTGCTTTTCATACAACTTGCGTGTCTGAGCACCACACGCTCTTCATGACATGATCTCATCTGAGCACCACGAGACCGCGCCCTTCGAGATGACACTTGCCCGCCATCCCTTCATATTCCTTCAGCACTTCTGCGACACCTCATGGTTTTATGTGATCAACTTTCCAAATGCATTGTCCTCGTGCTTCGGCCGTCCTGATGGTTGGTTATGAGTCGCAGATGCCAATCCCTTCCGCACGTTCAACTTCGTTTTCGCAACCCATATCCATGTAGTCCTCATGTATGAAGGACCGGCCAGCCAAGTAACATACTGGGGCCTTTAAATGGTCGTTTCTGGCTTGCCGCGGCTCTTGGGTCTGCCACCGCTCTTAACACGACGAGCTTCAGGTCGTTGGATGTGGTGGCTTGGGATCCATTCTTCGTTGTACTTCTTGGAGCCGGTGGATACGACAGGGCCCTCGCTGTCCGAAGTGACCTGACCCACATCGATTTTCTTGACTGGAGCAGCAGCTTTCTTTGCTGGCTTGCGCTTCTGTGGGAAGTATGGCGCGATCCAAATGGTGTAGAAGAAGTAGCCGACTCCAACGGCACAGGCCAGAAGGAAGAAGTAGAGGAACAGACTACATGGTGTTAGTTTGTAGGGAGTGGCACGCGACCTGAACAAAAGCTTACAGTTGAGGATCGAAGATGCTGGCGTCGGGCTCGACGATGGTCACAGTACCATTGAAGGCCTGCAGGGTATAGAAAGTGTTGTGCGAGCTTATGACAGCGGCCAAGTTGAGGCGCAGGTCTTGAGGGTGCATGTTTGTCGTGAAGCGGTACGGGAGACTCTGCTTCTCACCGGCTGGAATCTCAATGGCATATTGAGCAGTTGTCAGGTTTCGAACGATGACTGGGTTGGCGAGATCGGGAGACCATAAGCTGCCACCAACAAATTGCACGACGACGGGCTCAGGTTCCTCGTTCATGAAGGAGAGGACAGACTCGGTGGGCTTGCCATTGACAAGCTTGATACCAAAGATCTCTGCATCGGGGAATGAGGCTTCGACGGTGACTGCGAGGGCAGGGCTCGTCGAAGGGCTCTCCAGTTCTTCATCAATATCCTAAGATCATCGTTAGCCTTGGTGCTATTCATTTGTGCGCGGAATCAGACGTGGCTGGACTGCGTACCGCGCCGACCGCTTGGGCGAAAACACCCGCGGCCTGGGAACCGAGGAGGAGGAGAGCGAGATCCAAGAAACGACCCATGACGGAAGAGATATGCGACAAGTACGGAGGAAGGTGGAAAGGGAAGAAAGGGTGAGGTGATGTTTGCGTATGGAGGTGTACAAGAGGACAGCGTATCGCACTCTCAATGACTTGCAGCTATTGTGGAATTTCGAGTTCAGTTTGGGGAAATCTGGCCGCTAACGCTTGTTAGACGTTTTCGGGTTTAGGGGCCCGGGCTGTAGGTAAAAATGACGTTGGTGAGTCTCTTAGGCGTCCTTAAGGAAAAGTGCCCGTTGCCGCCCAGCCTAAACGCGGGAGGCGGTGCCTGGCGACCACTTTGTTCTGCGAGCAACCAATCGCCCTGGCTGCATCTCACTTGGAAACGCGCTAGAGCACCTGCAAATCCGTTCCACTAAAAAGTTACGCGTAGGATCTGATTCCCCAGGATCTTCGAGGCACAAGAAAAAAGTAATCGGTTCCTGCGCCTGGCACATCAGCTTCACCGCCAACAAGCCTTTTCCTTTCTTTCACTCCTACACAATCTACTTACTTCTCTCTAATCTCAACTTGACCTCCTCGACCATCCTCAATGCCCGACATGGCTCGCTTCGATCCTTTCTCCCCAACCTTCGACCACCCTTTACTTAATTCCAGCCCCGACTACGGTTCTCGAAATGGCACATTCATTCGCCCGATTGGTGTTGGTGTTGGTGGCGGCCTGGACTCACAACTATCTTTCAGAGAGCGAAATAAGCGTCTGAGAAATCTTGAAGACGAGAAAAATCAGTTGATCGAGGTACGGACAGTCATTGGACTCGATACATGCCTTGCAGCCTAATGGTTAACGCTGGTTGCAGGACTTGTTGTACCAGCTCGAGAACACACAGAACCAACTAGATCGACTACAATTGGATAACAGCCGAGAGAGTCAATATTCTAGAGATGCTCAACTGCGAGAAAGCGCCCTTCAAGAACAATTACTACAGGTTAAGATGATAATGGTACGCCAGTCCAGCAGCGTGTCGGTACCAGAGGGCCCAGGATTAACAATAGCTCTAGGACCGGAACTCATACATCGCAGTTCTCATCGATGCCGACCTCTTGGTTTTTACAAAAGAACTCCTATCCAAGGGTGAAAAAGGCGGCAAAGAAGCGGCGAACAATATTTTTACCTTAGTGACTGCCTTCGTGGCCGACCATTTACACCATTTGGAAACACCAAAGATTGTTGTACGAATCTATGCAAACATCAAATCATTATCCGAAACCCTCGCTAGGTTGAAGATTATCGAGCGGCCCGCGATATTGGACGATTTTGTACGCGGCCTCAACAGTACTCATCTACTTTTCGACTTTGTTGATGTTGGCCCCCGAATGAATGCCACAAAGGAAAAGCTCAGTGAACAATTCAAGACGAATCTTTACGATTGTCATTGTCATCAAGTTTTGCTGGGATGTGGCAGCGACGGCCAATATGCAACTTTGCTCGAAGAGACGTTGAAAGACTGCTCAGTGCTTGACCATATCACTCTTCTGGAAGATGTACCCTTTGAGAAAGAGGTTGCCACGCTGAAGGAGAATTTCAAAACGACAAAGTTTGACAATGTCTTCCGTACAACGAAGCTGGGTCCCGTGCCATCTCCACCAAAAGGCCCATTACAGGCGGTTACTGCCACTCTACCAGCACTCTCACGTGTAGAGTCGAACACCACGAATGGTACCAGCTCGGGTCCAAGCACACCTGGCATGACCTGGGCTTCCATGACTGCGCAACCTGCAATTGCAGCATCGAAAGCGACAACTCCAGGGGCTTCCACACCCACCTCGATGAAGAGTCCCGAGCCAATCGTCTCAAAACCGGTCACCAAAGCCATTGATCGCAACCGTCACGGCCAGAGAATCGACAAGGTGGACTCATCAATCCCAAACCATGAAATTCAGCGAATCAAGAAACTCAAGCTCTGCAACATTTACTACCTTCAAGGCTCGTCCTACTGCACGTCGAACAATTGCTCACACTCGCATACCTATCCATTGTCCAAAGGAGAACGGAACATCTTGCGGGAAGTGGCACGAATGACGCCGTGCTACTACAAGCTAGACTGCTCTGACCCCGAATGCATCTATGGTCATCGATGTCCGCAGAATGATCCCAACAAATCTGATTGTTGGTATGGGGACGCTTGCAGGTAATTTGCAATTCTCACCAACTAGTTGATGGCTCGTGCTAACAGTTTTGTCTCCCAGATTCAAAGACTTTGGCCATGGAATTGACGTCCGTGTGGTCAAGACGACGAAAGTTTGACACGAAAGCAAATCTTCACTGGAAGTGTGTTAGGTTTGACCAGTCTACGATTCTCCTCTCCCTTTTCCGCTCATCTTCCAATGCAGGCGCATCACCTAATGGCGACCTACATCAAACGGGCTGGTATCTTGTGGAGTCGGTTCATATGTTGCATGACGGCGGCTCGAATTTTGCGGTCTTAAGGCGAATGGGACGGTTGGTCTTGAAAGACCCTCCCATGCGGAAGCATACTGAGATACCCTGTTTTTCTTTTCTAATCTACTGGTCAAGTTTCTGGTTTCTCACAGCGGTTCCCACAGCGAAAATTGACTTGATGAAGTCTCCCAGCCGACTACTCTGGGATGGGTGCTCGCCAATAGGGCTAATAATCGAGCTGTCCAGGAATGCATACTGTTCGACCCCATGATATCGCCGTCATTTCTGATTGCGTTCCCTGCGAGATATGCACTCCGACCTCTCTACTGACTGGAACTAGCGTACCTGGAGAAGCCAGACAATCAAGCAGAAACCTTGAATGGTCTAGGCATGGATCAGTCGAGCGATCGGTCCTCAGCAGGTTTGCATAGCATTGAAGTTATGCTACTTGTTGAGATCCATGGATGTTCAGCCTCGGCTCGGTACTCGTTGCATGCTAAGTATTGTCTGGGCGACAAAGAGGCAAGGCTGTCTTAGCCTCCAGCACATACTCCCAAAGCTACATTAAACCTCTTTCCACAGACCCAACTACCGTACACCAGTCCCATGCCCTAATTGTCATGACGAAAGACGCACAATCAAAGTGCTAGCTTAGCGAACGCAATGCATGGGCCGGCCACGAAAATGCTCTATTGTGGATGTTACTATCGCGCGCCATATCCGCGACGATTGACAAGGCAGGTGTGCCCGAGACGCAACTCAAAGAAGTCGCTGCTATGTCATGCAGCCCTCCAGTCGAAGACCATAACGGCATCAAAGGCCATCTTGTGGAGTCCAGAACTTCATCCACCGCTTGTCAATGGTCCCAGCGTCGAAGTCCTTCTTGTCGTGGAAGTGCAGATCGGTGCTCAACCTGATACGCCCAGAAGTGTCCTGGTTTGCACCGGCTGAATGGATGGTGTAAGGCAGATGGAATACCACATCACCCGCTTCATAATTGGCGACGAGCCACCTGAACCTTTTCTTCTTCGACAGATGTGCGTTGTCTTCTTGAAACACCGTTGGGTCCAACGAGAGTACTCCGGTGGCAGTCATATTACGGTTGAAGGCCGAGATCTTCTCCTCGATGGAGAAGTCCTTGGCCCGCTCGTTGAAGTCGTTTTCGATGCCATCGGCCAGCTCTGTGCTGTCCTCCAGATAGAACAATCCTCCACCGCTGGAGCCGACATCGCCAATCGGCACCCAGGCAGTCAAAAAGAATGCCTCTCCGCCTCGGAGGAAAAGCTTGTCGTAATGCAAGCCGGTGCTCTTACCTCCAGGGATGTTATGACGAAGCATCGTTCTCATCAACATGACTTCTTCGTCCCACTCCGTCAACTTGCGGACCATGCTGCGGAGCTTGGGGTGCGCCACGAAATCCAGGTAATGCTGCTGGACATGGGCTGCCACAAGGGCCTGAAGCTCCTCTCCTGTTGGCTCGCCACCATCAATGCCATTGTGCATGGACACATCCTCCGCCGAGTTGTAGATCCCATCAACAGGATCCGTACCAGGCTTCAGCAAGCCAAAGCTTTGGAACTGAGAGAAATAGTGCTCTCGCATCTTCAGAACATCCTCCCGTGGCAGCAGCCCCTTGATGAAAACATAATCATCCTCGAACAGGCGCCGGCGCATTTCAGCGAATGGTGTGTCGGCAGCTGTAGGGCGCAACCAGCCGAGCTGAGCTCTGGAGACGGAACCTTCTATACCACTCAGGCTTTCCGGGAGGCCTGAATTAATGGCTGGGGCCCTGGGCTGTCCTTGTACTTCCACAGTTGCCATTGCGCCCGTCTGATGAGCGACGTGTCCAGTGCTCACAGAGGAGACGAAAGAGGGGGTGACGGTGAACTGGACGGCCAGGACATGCCTACATCTTATATCTCTGGATGCGGGAAGTGTGTCCATGTCAATACTCGTACCCAGCGCAGATCGAGATCTTTCGCGCAGGTCGCCTGATGTGGTCAATCAGGCGGACATTACGGGTGGAAGTGAGTTTGCCCAGAATGCTTCCCTGAGTCGAGCCATCCTTGCCTTGGGCGGCATGCCTTGCTGTTGACTCGAGTCGTCCATCTGATAATTCCGTCAAGGGATATCGGTCCTTGCACGGATGTCTCTGACAATAACGGAGTTCATCAGCGTGGACTTCTTTGTGTGGTGGCTTACTCGTTGATGCTTCTGCGTTCCATCTGCGCACTTCGAGATGACCACGTTGGGTTCCTTATCTCTTGGAAGTGTCAGAACGATGGGACTCTCGAGGACAGGAACTGCATTTTCAACGTAGGGTGGCCGTCGTCAACAACGCGAATGATGCAGCAGACAGGCGCCGGACAACAAGGAGCAGTGAACCGAGGGACCAAAGGTGCTTCCTTCATAATCATCGTTAGAAATGACTTTTGTGGTTGCGGGTTTCTTCACCTTCTTTTCGTCCTGGATTTCACTTTCACTTACGCCTTCCTTGCAAGTTCACCTCCATTCCGAGTTGCACCTTCACCTCCACCTGCGGTAGGTTGCATTCAAATCACACTCTCAACTCAACGTCAACCCCCTCCATCAACCCTTCCTTGCAATCGTGCACTTCTGAGCTGAGCATCATGCCTCCTGGCACCAACCATTTTTATAACGAAGCAAGACCCAAGCTTGACTCTGTCAGGTTGTTGCAAATGGACGACATCAGCGAGGTTCAAGATTACACGCAAGAAGAGCTGGAACGCATGGCTGAGCTTAGAGCTCAAAGAGCTCAAGGACCTTGGCGCAACCCTGAGGAAATGGACCCGGAAGACTGGGAAGTGGTCCATACTCCGGCGACACCAGTCATGGCACCATGGGACGACAGCTCTGAAACTGATCCGGATCAGAACTCTGATGATATCTCGCACCAAAACACCCCTGAACCATCCGCAAGTGCCTCTTCGACTGATATCCTCACGACACCGGTCATAACACCATTCAGCGATGATCCTGACGTGGGTCAGGACTTTGCCGGAAATCCTTACGGAGACGAGGAGGGCAGGCCGAATGTATTGGCAGAGGCGGAGCGAGAAGATCTGCACGACGACGAGTCATCGGACGAGGGAGAGTTTTCAGACGACGAGGCGGTTGACCTTGCTGCTTTCCTCTGAGCATGCCGGGCGGTCTCCAGGAATTGACTGTAAACTCATGAAAGAAAAGAAGCTCACCTATCCGTCGGTCAATGGCGTAGGGCATGGTGACGAAAACGGTGGAGCGATTCTGGCATGGTCAACGGCAGCATCATACGGGCTTTCACCGAAGGTTGATTTGTATGAGTACGACCACACTGGGCACGAATGGGACGCCGAAGAACTTGACGAAGTGAACCACTGTAAAAGGCACCTCAAGCAAGAAGGAAAGCGGCTCCAAAATCAACCATCATGCTACTGTACGTACAAAAGGTCAGAGAGGAATTTTGTACTCCATGATTTCCCCAGGTGATGCTTAAGCGGGCCCTAGGCTCGTTAGGCTTATCAGTGGGGAGAATGGTGCTCTCTTGAGTTTTGACAGCAATTGATGCTCCATCTCTTAACCTTGCCATTTTTCTGCTTCTCTCCCCTGTCTTCCCCACCTCATGAACTCCGAGCTCGACATCCCCGACTTCACCAGGCTTCAGCCGAGGTAAGCGTGTATGGCCGAGAGACACGGAGTTCGAGGTATCTCAATGAGGTATGTCCATCGTTATCAACATTGCCATTCCCACGCGTACACATATCATCGCCAACAGATCCATTTAGAACCAAATCAGTCCACCTCTTGACAGTCCCTCAGCAATGCCTTACTCTTCTCCCTATCCAGATATAGACATCCCCAAGCAAAACGTTCTCTCATACCTGTTCCCTCCTGATAAGCCGCTGTCTACCAAGCCACTATGGATCGATGCGCAGAATCCTTCTGTGAGTTTGTCGCAAGCCCAGATGCTGCTCTGGATCAAAAGGCTTGCTTTGGGACTTGACAAGCTAGGTATCAAAGAGCAACAAGCCGTGATGGTTTTCACCCCCAATCACATGTATGTCTGCGCAGCGTATCTGGCTGCCGCTGGCTCGAAACGCTTATTCACCGGGGCTAACCCTATCTACACTGTCAATGAGGTTGCCCATCAGATGAAAGCCATTGATGCAGCTGTGGTACTTGTTCACCCCGATCTCCTGGACACCGGCATCGCGGCAGCAAAGCAGGCGAACATCCCCACAGATCGACTGTTCATCTTCTCGGACACAGAGTCTCCAATCACACAAGGTGTGCGTGATTGGAGATCATTTCTCGCTTCAGAGTCAGAAGCCGAGTCCTGGCAATGGGACCCGTTGGACGGTGAAGCTTCATTGCAGACGATTGCAGCCATCAACTTTTCCAGCGGCACGACCGGCCTTCCAAAGGGTGTTTGCATCTCCCATCGCAGCCTGATCACAAATGCTGCTCAGTGTATTTTCAACAAGTTCGAAGGGACACAGTACTCGCAGAACAATCCAGGACCAGAGCGTTGGCTGGCCTTCCTTCCGCTATATCATGCCTATTCACAGCTCTGGACCATCAACATCGCCTGCAAACTTCAAGTTCCAGTGTACGTGATGGGCAAATTCAACTTCGATGATTTCCTGAGATATATCGAGCAATACAAAGTCACGGCGCTACAGGTGGTGCCGCCCATCATTGTCATGCTAAGTAAGCGGCCTGAAACGGCAAAGTATGATATCAGCAGCTTGAAACACTTGTTTTGCGGAGCGGCGCCCCTAAAAAGCGAATTGCAGAACGAAGTGAGCAAACGATTCAATCTGGTCATTTGTCAAGGTTGGGGCATGACCGAAACAACGTGCGCTGGGATCATGATGCCAGGCATGACCAAGGACTTGACAGGAAGTATAGGATACCTGATTCCTAATACCGAAGCCATGTTGGTCCATGACGACGGCAAAGAAATCACGAAAGATGGCGAACCCGGCGAATTGTGGCTTAGAGGACCTCAAATGTTATTATCTTATTGGCGAAATGAGAAGGCTACAAAGGAAAGCATCACGGAGGACAAGTGGTTTAAGACTGGCGACGTTGCCATCACTAAGAAAGGCTTGTGGTGGATCGTGGATAGGAAGAAGGAGCTTATTAAGGTCAATGGCCTACAAGTTGCTCCCGCTGAGTTGGAGGCTGTACTGTTGGAGCACCCGGACGTCGCGGATGCTGCTGCTGTTGGTATCACAATTCACGATGAGGAACTTCCTCGGGCGTACGTTGCGCTGCAAGAGCAAGCTAAAGGCAAGACCACGGAGGAAGACATCAAGAAGTTCGTCGCAAGTAAAGTCGCTAAACACAAACGGTTGGAGGGCGGCATCAAGTTCATCGACGAGGTTCCCAAACTCGCAAGCGGCAAGATTGTGAGGAAATTGATGAAGGAGTGGGCCAAACAGGATGCCAAAGAGATCGAAGGCCAGGTCAGAGCAAGACTCTGATGGGATGATGGCTTCTTTGTCTGACACTCTTGAACAAAGCATTCTTGCTGTCAATGTCCGTCTTTATCGGTGGTCGTATCATGCTTTTCGCCGATATAACGCTGTGTGCCTGGCTAGTGAGCCTCGACGATGATCAAAACCCTCAAAGATCGGACCAACAAATGCGAAAAGAACGAAGCCTTGATGTCTAACGAGCAAGGAAGTACCTAGGTAGGACGCCGCACAGCAATCCGAACTCAATGTCAGGCCTTGTGGGCAGACGGCAAGCTCCCGTGTCTTCGGTGATGTTTGACAAACAATCGGCAATCCGTGAGCAGCAAATGAAGTGAATATGCTGGAAACAACCGGCGATCTTTTCACCCAGCGGGCGAAGTCGGTCTACTGATCACACATGACATCGATTTTCGACTTCTCTTCACCTTTCTCTCACTTGGCTCCTACCACACCCTTGCATTCAATTTCGCTGCCTGATTGCTTGACTGTTCCTTACTGCCTTTGCCAATTCGCCGAGCTTTGTCCTCTGGCCTATTTCTTCTCGTTCACACTCCCTTCCCTGCCATTACATTAACCTTGCTCCATCATATGACAATCGGCTGGCTCTTTTTCAGTCAAAATGACACGATACTTCTACGATTGTCGCGTCCGAAATGACAACGTCGTCGAGATAAGCCGGCCGAATGGAGACGAGCAGCTCGAAATCTCTTTCAAGCGAACAGTCAGAATCCCAGACAACAGTGACAAATTCAACCTGCCCCCTGATATGGGTAATTTTCCTCTTTACAAACCCGAGCAGTATGCTCAATCCCTGCCAGAGAGCATTGTCGCCAAACGCGGAATCTTCCTGCCAATGTATCGTAAGTACTACTGCTGCACCTTGCAGTTTACATGCATACTCACTTCGCCCACAGAACTTGAGGCGATGTGGATCAACTTCGAGGCTACAGCACCGTTCGCGGTCAAGGTCTATGCCGGGTCTATCAACGCTGTCTCGGGTCAACCTGTTGCCAAAAGCGATGCTAGCAAGGTGCATCGACAAAGCCTTGTGTCGCAGAAGGCGTCCGTGCAAGACTACGTCGTTGTCCCTGGCCAGAAGTCGTTGGATGGATTTGCAACCGACAATGGACTGGTACGACAGTTCGTTGCTACAAAGCTAGGAGACGGCTATACCGTCGAGGCCCAGGTAACAGCACAGGAAGTGTATGGCGGTCTGCAAATCGAGGTTACTCCGGCTGTGGTTACTGGCCAGGACCGTCAATCCCCAGTCCAAGCAAGCGTCAAAACTCTGACCGGGAACTCTCTGACGCTCCATATTGACAACCTAACAACGGTGGAAGACTTGAAGAAGGAGATCGACCGAGAGAAGGTATACCGGAGGATCAGCAAAGATGTATTTTCGGCGGCAAACAAATGGTGGACCGTAAGTCAGCCTGCGGTGCTCGAATATCGGGTGTTAACAATTCCAGATGCCACGGCTTTTTCCTATACTGGGGGAATAAAGGTCCGTGTCCTCCATCAAGCTCTTGGTACACACTGCAGTACTAACTAGGTTGTGCAGGACGCAGCCATGCAAGTGGTGCTGAGATTACGTGGTGGCGGTACAGTGCCAGGAGCTAAATCTAAGGAGATGGGGTTAGCAGCTGGCGGCTCGATCAAGCAAGTCATCGTTCCGGACGGGTACCCAGTTGCAACTTGGCATAAATCCGCAACAATCGTCTTCAATGTTCAGCTTCTTGATGCAGCGAATTTCGAAGCTGTCACTGGGCTCCTAGCACCAGAAACTCCGATAACCATGGACACTTACGCCGAGCTTGGGTTACCGTTTTTCAAACTTCATGAGCATCCAAGCGGTGTACACGGTTCGTTTGAGCAGGTGAAATCTGTGGGAGAAATGATTGGTACGAAGGAGCAGACGGTGAAGGTCCCGGTGCATCATATCAACAAGCCTACAGCAGTCAATGCGCATGATCAGCCGAGGAAGAACACCCCTGACACAAAGGTCGCTGATATTACAAACCCAGCCGGACCTCTCGAGGATTTTCGTCACATTGCCGAGCTTGCGAAAGAACTTCGACTTATGAAGCTGGCTAAGTCGGATGACCAAGAGGACTCGGATGGCCAAGGGGACTAGGAATTCTAGGTGCGTGACCTGGTCAAAGGTGTCTCCATGTGCGAATCTGTTGCGGAGAGGAGTCGTTGGAACTGGACAATGGTCTGTCTTACAGACGTAGCAGGACCAGCAAGTTTGGTCGGATGCTGACTTGGAATGCATGGATGGTCGACAGGAGCTGTGTATCACAAGGACTGTCGGCAGCACGGCGATGCGTGATGTCAGAGCGACGGTCCATTTGATAAGGTGACTATGGGACGTCGAATGTCAAGATAAACTTGAGCTGAAGGACGCCATTGAAGCAATCGAGGGATATCCGTTGTTGGGCAGGTAGAGGAGATCTGATCACAGTCGCAGGTAGCACAACACCATGAGCAGCTCGTGATTCTCCCTAGTAATGCTCCAGCCAAACGATGGAGAGTGTGAACATCTCGATAAGGGGCGTCGGTGGCCGTGAGGGATGTGGACAAGGCTGATGATCGACGCTAAGATAAGACAAGTCAAGATAGGAAATTCATGACTCGTGGAATTTTTCTGACACGAGTCATGTGTAGTATTCGCAACTTCAGGTTCGCAGTCTATCCTCAACCACTGCCTCACCTAGACTAATACCGCGACCTACAACTCTTCCACAAGCAATTCTCGATGGCAGACGCAGACGAAGATGCCATCCACATCACCCCGGCGTCCGGTCATGACGACCTCGAGGACGAAACACAAGATTTCCGCTTTCTAACTCAATTGACCTCCTCCAGCGCTGGGCAAGCCGTTATCCCAAAGCGCGGCACGAAAGACTTTGAACCCAATCCTACTCGCTCACAATCATCTGCCCTCGATGCCTCCCGCCTTGCTATGCACACTGCCTTGAGTGCAGTTAGGGTGCACTCGGGAAAGAATCACATTGTAGGACAATACCTGCCCGACGAAAATGACTGGAGGTTTGACGACAACGGTTCTGGAGTAAGACATGCAAGATGCGTAGTGGTGCCGAGGTTCAAGAGCACACATCTCAAAGTCATGGGTGTGGCTGATAGATATAACTGGACCTGGTTCCTACCAGAAGAAGCACTCTTCCTACTAGAAAGAGGAAGTCTGGACATCCGATGGCCAGACATGGACGGGCCGGAGCATGACGTACCTGAGGAAAAGGAACAGGATTCAGACGATGCAGAACATCCCACGGGCTCTGCACAAGACGAGGTCAGCACACAGGATACGGCCGAGCAGGAAGATCATCCAGTCGCACCCAAATCTCGAGAAGAGCCAGATTTGAAGATCGGCGAACTTCCCATGAGTCTACAGGGTGCTTATGCTAGCTTCATAGGCAAAGACGGCTTGACATTAGAGCGGTACAGCGTCTACGCGGCGCTGAAAAGAGCAGGCTATGTCGTCCAACGAGCGCCGACATGGCACGACGTCGACCCTCCCCGAGCAAATGGGGACGCCTACCACAACCCAGACCAGCCGCAAAATCTCACAACAACGTCTACTCGTGACGCATCTCAGCCTCTGTCTTCAGCAGCAGCCATAATCCACAGACTGGTTTCCTGGCTCTTTCAACCTCGCGGCGGTGAACAATCATGTCCAGCCCTAGGTCCCCTCGTCGCACCCGGCCTATACAGAAACTACGCAGACATATTCCGCTCACTAGCACTAATACCATACCACGACGCATCGAGCACATCGAGAGCTGCTTCTTCTCCCCAACCGTCACCCCCACAACCACCCTTCCGCGTCCACTTCCACGTCTGGAAACCCGTCAACGCACACACATACCGCAAGACCGCCCCTCCACCACCAGACTACCGTATCGTGGTCGTCGACGCGCGCACCACTTCCGTGCCCACCCTGACACAGATTGGGCAACTGCTTGACACACAGCCTGAAGACTCCCTCTCGAAAGAGAAGGGGGGTCGACTTGAGGTGCGGATCAAGCATGGAAGGAGGAATGTTCTTCTGGCGATCGTGGACATGGGTGTGGTAAGCTATCTCAGGCTGAGTGACGCTTGTTTTGGTGCGGAGAAATTGTTCGAGGAGAAAGCCAGGTCTGGGTCGAAGGGTCAGCGACGAGGTGCTGGTGGTGGAGGTCGGGGTGGTGCGAGACATGGCCAGGGGAGGGGGCAAGGCCAGCCGAAGGGCAAGTAGACTTGATGCCGGTCGTGTGTTCACTGGCAAGGTTACCTGACGTGTGATGACTTGACGAGCTAGAGGTGAAGACTGAGCACGGGCAAAGATGGCGAAAAGCAGGATATGATAGAAATGATACCCCATATAGACAGAACGGCGGCCTAGGCAGAGGGCTTTAAGTATGGCATACAATACAGTACAATACGTTTTCCTACAATAGAGATATGATAGCAGGATGTGTAAAGACGTAGACGCCAATTTGAAGATGTGTATGAAATACAATTTTCATGAACAGGAGTAGATATGATCTGTCTCCCCCTGAAAGAACGTCCGCTTCTCAGCATGGAAGAAAGGCCAGGCGGACTGCCTGATGATCTAGGGAGTTTTGGGGTCTGATCTTCCATCTTCTATAGACGTCGGCCTGTAGAGAAAACTCGGGTCGCGTATATGCTTGAGATGGGTTGGAATGTTTTTAAGGGGAAGAAGGGGTCTGGAAGTATGGTTGAATATTGGGCTGAACATCCAGCTTGTGGCCATTGACGAGCTCGAGCTATCGTGGCAGGGCAGGTTATGCTTAGCTGATGATACGCTGGATGCTTTCCTGGATCGCACTCCAGCATATCATGTCCTCACCGACGTGCTGACGGGGAGTGACATTGATATGCTTTTTCCCGCAGTGCTGGTGACATGTCGACAGAGGGTGGAGTTGCCTTCTCCCGTTTCTGTTCACCATTGCTGACTTGGTGTGATACCCATTAGACATTGAGATTGTTGGCTTGCAGCCAAGCCCTTGCGAGGTGCTGTTTTGCCCGGCATTGAGAACCCACCTCAGCGGCAGGAACCGCCTTACATCAGAGAGAGCAATCAGCTCTGGCGATAAATGTGGACCGCCAGTGTCCGAAGCATGTGATGGTTTGAGTGTGCTCGACCTTTCTCGGAGCTTTGGTCGACCTTGTCCCGGGGTTGAAAAAACTCTTCTCCCGACTATACGAGCTCACTGACACTGAGCCCGATCTTGAAATTCAATCTTTCTTGACGTGTCATAGCAGCTCAGGTAATCAAGTAATCAGCCGCCATGAGCAGTTCCAGGCAAAGCTCAGACGGAATGTCCATATCAGGCACGCCTTCGCTGTTTCGGTGTTTCTCGTTGTAGTAGAAATATTCAACCACCTTTTCTAGGACGATACCGTTGATGTTTTCGAGGTGACAAATGCCGGTCTGGGCTTCGCTGAAGTTGTCTGTGACCCGTGTGTTAGTCGTGTCAATTGGCCGACGATGACAGAGCTGAGCCTACTCTGCATGTCCAGCATGCGGCGTATGGTGGCAGATACGCAAGCTGCTGAACGCCGCACATGGAATTCGAAGCCATCGGAAGACACCAATGTCACGAAAGGGGACGGAGTTCCATTGACTGCCGCCATGGTGCTGCAGACGGATCAAGGAAGATGGTAGATTCCTATCAGAACTCTGGGTTGACTGACGGCCTTCGCACACAAGCAGAGAAATAATGCTGCGGCGAGGAAAGAATTAAATGTAGATGGAGAAAATCGGGGCAAAGCGGCAGAACGCGTTTTGGTCGCGTTAAATTAAAGCAGCGGGCGGTGCTCCCCTTCGTGCCCCCTTCTAACTGCAAAGATAGCAGCGACGTGATCAACGATGGACAGTCACGCCCGTCACTGTTCGACCCAGATATTCAGGCTGTATGTCACTTATTGCTCGACAGACAAGCTACGCAAGGAACGTTCTGAGATGTGGGCGCTGGCTCTATCGCTTCAAATTCAGCTGTATGCGTCTGTTACGTTGCGTGGTATCTCAAAGCAAGGCATCCTTCCCTTCTCTCAGGTGGCAGAAATCATGCCTACTTCCGCCTAACTCGTCGGCTTCATCTCGCGTGATCTTCAGCTCTGATCTCGTAGTCCTACATGCCCACTACCACCTTCTTGGTGGCCTGCTCTTGAATCTCAGCTCATTCCGCACCGCGTAGCTGCTCATCTTCTGCACAAGACTGGTGCCTGGGCCCCTGAGCTCCTGACATTCCCAGAAGCCCGCTTCATTGACGGGATGGAGAAGTAGGTGTTGTGGTGGACATCTCTACTCGAAGCTTGGTTCCAAGCTCATGTGACATCCCAAGCAGCAGCTTTGTTTCATGATTATTTGCCAGAACGATGATTCCGGCCGAGTTTGCCAACCTGCTAATCGTCGTCCGCGATCAGAAGCGTCCCATCATCCTCATCAATCACAATAGCATGTATTTCTGAGTTCTTGGCAACTTCAGCCGCCATGGGTCCTTGTAATTTCTTTGCTGGAGCATCAATTGTTGCGTCTTCGTCATCAAGTGCTCGTTTCCGCTTGCCAGTTGACTGTGCAGGAACGGAGACGCCATTCGTAACCTCAACATCGTCGTCGTCATCACCATCGATTCCGTTCGCAGCAGCTTCTTTCTTCGGCCTCCGCGGTACGTCGAATGCCTCGCCTTCCCTCTCGATGAGCTCAACACTTTTGGTCTTATCTGTTGGCTTCATTGCCTCAATTGCCAATTGCAGATCGATCCTGGGTTTCTCATCTTCTTCGTCTTTGACCAAAAGGAAGCTTGCATCCCCAATACCCAGGTCTGTCAACTTTTGTTCTAGGTTGTCTTCCAGGTCAGGATCATAGATCAAACCAGCCTCACTCAAGACTGTTATTTCCTCTCCATACCCCAGCTTTGTCCGGAGTATGTCGTGAACCAGGTCATTCAAGGTAGCTTTCTCAATGTCGACGTGCACTCTAGCCATGGCTACACTGCAGACAGCACATTCCGGGTTTGGAGCTTCTAACCGATCAGTACTCAGAGCTCCATTCCACAGCCACAGCCATTTTGTTCGAGCATATTCGCTCTTCAACACTTTGAACGATTGCATGACGCACAATCCTGCGACCATGGCATTGGTCGTTGCAATTGCGGGAATGATATTGCCTGCCATCTGCTTGATGTCAAATTTTGACTTGGGCTCGATGCCAAAGATTATGGAGCGCAGATTACCTGCTGCAGCAACCAAGTCCATCGTATCGTCGTCGTCTTTGTCGAATGATATCGTAGGTGCTGATTGACCCGATTTCATAGCTGCTGCTTGTTCTTCTGCCAGTCTCTTGGCTAACCGAGCCAGACTGTCCTTGAACACGAAGAAGTTTTCTGGGGTTGACCATACACGCTGACCAGCTAAGAGAACCGACTTGTCCAAGGCTGAGGCTTCCTGTTCCAGGGTTTCATAAGATAGAGGTTCCGGCGCTTTCTTGTCTTTCCACATATCCTCCATGTTCGCCAGTCTTTCGATATCCTCTTTGAAGACCTTGTCAAACACCAGTTTCGCAAAGTCGTCCGATCCCATTGAGTCTCTGATTTTCTTCAATGCTTGCGCCTCCTGCTTTAGTTTCTCAATTTCTGCAGCGTTTTCCGAATCTTCGCTCTGGTCCACATCCGCCGTTTCGTCCTCGCTCACGCCAAAGAGTTCTGGAAGGAGATAGCTCTTCGCCCAAACAATGCAATGGATGGGTTGGCTGGGAGTGCTGCGGATCGTACAGACAGGATATGAGATCGGCGTAGTCTTTGGCGTGCAGTCGTAGCACGCGGTCTTCCCTTTTTTGATCACCTGCACTTGGCCTTTGAAGCCTGTGGTGCCGGACTCGATAAGCGGGATATCGACAGCCAAACACATCTTGTTGACATGGCGTCTCGCCTCCATATTGTCCAGCGCATTGAATACGAGGTTGAAGTTCGAGAACCATTCTAGGTTGAACTGCTTGTCCTTGATATTTGCGTGATATGCGACCAATTTGACATTAGGATTGAACTTTTGAGCCACCTCTTTTGCGACCAGGGATTTCGGTTTCTTGATGTGTTCATGTCTGAAAAGGAACTGTCGATTCAGGTTGCTTAGATCGATGGTATCGAGATCTATGATGTGGATTTCGCCGAAGCCTGTAAGGACGAGATTCTTCAGGAGCTCGCACCCAATGCCGCCTGCGCCGACGAGAAGAACCCGGGACTACAGCAGGATACTTAGTCAATGATCCAACAACAACCTCGCAAGACTCTCACCTCCTTGACCAAACGTTGCGCCGCTCCCAAGGACTGTCTTGCAAACTTGTCGCGCGCCATCGTGCTTCGTTGGCTGTATTAATTGATGAGGTAGAGTTGATGGGATTCAGTGTGGACAGGCGGAAGACATCATCGACCCGGAACCAGAGGTGTGGAAAAAGGTTTGCTCCGGGAAAGACACGGAGGGAAGAGGCGAAAGTGAAGAAAGCAGAAAGAAGAAAGCGCACCCTGAGGGTGGTGAGGCTTGGGATCGTCGGCAGGTGAGAGTAATGTAAAAGTAGAGATCAACGGTGGTTTGACTTTACGATCAGACTATCACCAGTTTATCCGGCTGAGGTGCTTAGCGATGGGCACTGCGCTAGGAAGACCCTGCAGGACAATTCACCAACCTTACCGCAAGTAAGTCCTACGTGACTTTCCCGGCAAACGCCCCCAAGAAGCGACATTATGGGCGGCGATGCGGCTTGTGGGCAAATTGAACCAGGGCAGGGGAACGACACACTGACCTAAGAGGGCGCCCACGGTGCCTTGCATAAGCCCACATCACATGATCTCCGCAAACAGGGCCGGGGGGATGTTTTTCCCGCGAGATAAAAATATCAATATCTCAAGACTCACTTGCGGAGCTCATATTCATCAACGACACGTCCATTACCCTGGCCAGAGAAAGGCCTGCAGAGGCATGTCCGACGATGAAGCCGACCCGGACCTCGTGGCATTGCTCCGTCAATCCCTGGGTCTGGCAGGCAGTTCGTCGACTGCCGCTCCAGGCACGGGCGTCCTGAAATCAGCAGAATACATATGCGACAATGCAATCGACGTCTCGATATCTCACTCTGGCACCAAAACTGCTGCAGAGACGATATGGCAACTCATGCAGAAAAAGCAATACTCAACCGAGACGTGGTCGACACATGAACTACATCCGAAATCCAAAGACGAAGCCACCGTCAACTTCATCTTCACCATGAACCTGCTCAATTTCTCCTTCTGGTCGGAACTGTCGCCTCAGGAGCGCTTCGCCGTCGACTATCGTGGCAAGACCTGGACGGGCTACTGGTCGCTGGTCGCAGCCTTGCAGCGAGCTCTGGACGAAGGTAAGCAATTCATCAACCTGTGGTCGCATGCCTCGCTCGACATCTCTTCTTTCCCTTTCTCGCAAGGCTGAGTTTGGCCTTGACATTGAAAATCACGTTGTGAGACCAGTATACTCACACCTCCAGGCTAGGCCACCCCATAACAACACCATCCTTCTGGCTCGACTCCTCCGTCTGCCCAGACGACCTGCTCTCCCACATCTTCCGCTCCGCCACAGCCGAATCCATCCCCTTACTTACAGACCGCAACTCCATCCTCCGCGAAGCCGCCAAAGTTCTGCACCAGCATTTCTCCAACCGCCCCGTCAACATCATCACTCGCGCAAACCACTCCGCCGCAACCCTAGTCAACATCCTAGTCGAATACTTCCCCAACTTCCGCGACACCGCGACATTCCATGGCCGAGAAGTAAACCTGTACAAACGCGCTCAAATCCTCGTGGCCGACCTATGGGCCTGCTTCAACGGGACCAGCTACGGCACCTTCACCGACATTGGCAGTTTGACAATGTTCGCCGACTACCGCATCCCGCAAATGCTTCAAGGGCTGCACTGTCTGTGGTACTCACCCAGACTAGAAACGCGGATCGCTCGGCTCCAAACGCTACAACCCGGTGAGGCCATGGAAATCGAGATCCGCGGCTGCAGTATCTGGTGCGTCGAGTTGATCCGTCGCGAAATCATCCGTCAACACCCCGAGGCCAAAGCAAAACTCAATGCCGTGCTTATAGACTTTTTCCTGTACGATACTTGTAAGGACCTCGAGGCGCGTGGCGAAATGGACGACATGCTGCCTCATCATAGAACGAGATCCATCTTTTATTGAAGACACAAAAACGGGTGTTTATTGTTGCTCAAGACATAAAAAGGGGTTTCCGGGTCAGGCTGTCTGAAATCATGTTTTTTAGATTAGACACTGCTAAACAACAAGGGAGGCTCGTGTCTGCTTGTTGGTACTATAGAGCTCCGAAGTTTGCTAGCCTCAACGACAATTTTACTTGGGGGTTAATATATGTGCGTTTTACCCCTTTCGCTCCTATATCATTAAAGCTTTTTGGTCGCTTGGACGCCGTTCATCATTGCGCCGTTCATCATTGCGCCGTTCATCATTGCGCCGTCAATGCTCTTTGTGCTCGTATAAATGCTTTTGTGTCCATCATAGGCCCATACTTTCTCCTCTCCCGAGCACTATGTGTTCTCCTCGACCGGCGTGCTCGTTCCTCTTGACCTCGACATACTAAACGGAGCCAGTACTTTCTTCGCTTCCAATATCCGCCATGCCAGGTTCTCAACTTTGCCATCTGCCTTGACCACCTGCGGCGCAAACTCGATTCCAAACATTTGATGGATGGCATACACAACGCGCTTAGCATATTTTCCATCCCGTTCGACCAGACTTCCGAACGCCTCTGAAGGTGTGCTTGGTGCAATTTCTGGATCACGGTCGAAACAATTTTGCACGACAGGTAGCAGTGTTTTTTCGATCGAGTGGCGGATCATCGTGTCGTTCTGTGCCGATGCGGTACCCACAATGTCGCCCTCAGGACCCTCTAGCTCGTCCTCACTGAAACGCGGAATGCGGATCTCGAAGGGCAGGGATATAGCCATCACGTTGTGTTTGCCGTTATGATGGTACCTGAATTCGAAGGTGCCTTGCGTCCAGAACAGTTTGTCGCCAGAGAAGACCATCTCGCCAGTCACGCATTCTTTCTCATCGCCATTCTCATCCTTGGTAGTCGTCTTCACATCGCTCGAGATGAGGCCAACTTCAGAACCCAGGAGATTGAACTCACCCGGGTTGGTGGCAATCCAGCGTCCTGCTGATGACAGCTTGGTCACATCGCGATGCGCATTATCGGTTACCATGTATAGACCAACCCAGTCTTGCTTTCCGTGATTGACAGGCGCAGTCCACTTGACTTTGATTGGAGCACCATACTCAAATATAAGAGCTTTGTGATCAGTCGTCCCTTCAGCTGGTTTCCTTCCTGCATCAGATTCTCTCTCCTTTGAGCGTTGCGAATCAGCTGCCCGCGTCCCTTCAATTTCAAGTCGGTAATCCTTCGGGTTCAGGCGAGCCAGCTCAGGTTCAGATGTGGAAAATGACATGCGAGCCGGGGTTTTTGGAATGAGGTTCTTGGTGTCCTTAACGATGCTGTTCACGCTAGCCGCCAATTTCGGACTCACGGCATCGAAGAAATCTTCGAGATAGTCGAATGAATCGCTCAATATCTTGTCCATCTCATCTTGCCATTGTCGTAGTGGGGGTGGGAGTGATCGGCGTAAGCTTCGCACCAAGCCGGCATCTTGTCTTAGACTTCGGCCATAGAGCTTCTGCATATGTGGGCGCTCGACAAGCTGAATAAACGCTAGACTCAAGGTATGGCTCAGTAGTGCAAGGCAAAACATTGCTCTGCTGCTGGTGATCAGTGCCACGCCCCAGACCCCGGCCAACCCAAGAACACGCTCCGGATTGTTCAGGAAACGGTAGATCCCACCATATGTCAGCTTTGGAGAATGGTCGAAGAAGAAGTCTCCAAAGAACCACCCGAATTCGCCTAGCTGGTCATAGATGCTGAAGGAAACCCATACTTGAAGAGCAATGAGTCCGAACCCTAGGACGTGCCTCAGAAGAGCAAGGCCGTAGTTCCAGTCGGCCGGCAGGGTGTACATTTTCCAGGCTGCGGCTGCAAACCAAGCATAGCAGAGGATCATGCTGATATGATATACGCCTTTCCATTGCCTCCAAGCTTCTCCAATGCTCTCGCCATACTTCAAGAAATGTCTGGTCCACTTCTTCTTGGCCGATTGCCGATTAAGCATGTAGCCGATACCAGCCGAAAACCAGAGTCGCCAAAAGAGGGCGTTGATCACGAAAAACGCTTGATAGAAGCTTGTGTTCGGCGTCAGTACGGTCAACGCAAATATGTAGATCTGTAAGACGAAAACAGCCCAGTCGGTCGTTCGATAAAAGTCGATGTTATTGAGGCCCAGAAGATTGTGCGTTTGGGAAGGTTGCGCGTGGGCAGGGTGCGGCCAAATATCAGTGGTAGTTGTTGGCTCAGACAGGGCCTTTTCGGCATGTGCTGCGAGCGGCAGTTCGTTGATTGATCTTCGTGGGGGCGGAGAGCTGTAGGTACGTTCGATATGCGGACTTTCGACCAGCACCAAAAATGCGAACTGAGCAGCATGGGCGATGATTGAGATGAAGAGTACTTGGTAACTGGCGGCCATCAGGGAGATGCCATAATAGCCGACATAACCTATCGAATACATAGGATGGGGTGCCATCTCGAAAACTCCATCAAAGGTCAACTCTTGGTCGATGAGGTAGAAGAAGTCGCCCCAATACCAGGCAAAGTCTTTGACAACTCGATGTGCGTCCAGCTTGACCCAGAGGTTGAAGGCAAAGAGAGAAATGCCAACGATCCAGCGGAAAGCGGTCATGAATATGGATTCCCCAACGGGTCGGTGGCCACATGATATGGCAAAGAGCATGTAGGAGGTAAAGTCACACATCAAAATGAGGTCGACTATACGTCGGAATACTAGCCAAGTATTGTACTCAATGGGTGCGGTATCGAAGTCGTAATCCTTGGGGATTTTGGTCTCGAGCTCGCGCTTGACAAATGCACGCACTCTGGGATGCGGATTCTGGCCACCGGAAGCACTGGGAAACAGCTTGAGCCTGCGTGCCCACCTCACAAGCATCTTATGATGAGATTGCATGTGCAGAAGGTAGCCAATGCCAATGTTGTAACCTGCCCTCCATATAAGGAAGATGGCTGCAATTGTTGGTTCTCGGTAGCCTGAAGGCAAGGCCCACGCTAGCAGAATATGTAGTGCGAGAATGAGCAAGACTAGGATGTCGCCGAAGTTTTTAGGCTCCGAGGGCGACAGCAATTGCGAGACCATGTCATGTGTAAATGGCACAGTGAAGACTGCGAGATATTAGTACTGCTTCACTCGACGAGAAATGGCAGGAGGTAGACATGCCGGTGCCATCTGGGGTCCGGCCGAACGTCTTTCGGTCCTTCTCCAGTTTGTCAGAATTCTCTTCGGCAGCGTTCATGTCTAGGACAGTCTGTCTAGCCTCCTCCGAGGTGGTGGCGCGTATGGGAGCATTTCGTTGACGGAGGCCCTCTGCTGCTGACTGGGAAGCAGGGACATTGTCGGTCACTTCAGCCATTATATTTCGTTGAGCAATAAAGGTGAACTAAGAGAACGTGTACGTTTCTGCTAACGCCTGGCCAAGGGGGTTGGAGAAAAAAACAAAACCAAGTCTTCCCGGGACAGGATCTGTTCCATGTCACATAAATATATTTACTCTGGAAGAAGATTCCTACGACGCGGGAAGACAGTAAGTGGGAAGGAAGTGAAGAGAAGAGGTAGCTCCGGAAAAATGAAAAGAGCCAGTCAATCAACAGAAGAGCTGTGAATGGAGTATTGTTTTGGTGGGATGAAAAGGCACGTGATGCGCAGGGAAAAGAGCAACACGGCAGGAATGACGCCACTGTTGTGAGCGGGGATCGTGGATATTGGTGAAGACAAGCCAGTACAATGTATTCACACAAGGACGCACGAAGAAGTATTGTTCAGAGGACAGGAAGAATACCACATTGAGATATGGTATTGTTTCTACAACGAGGGGTTGACGAGGCTGAACGACACATGTCATGAACTGATGTGCGCAGCCTCGCAGGGTCATGATTGATGATTGTCCTCGGATCAAGCCAATCATTTCCTCTTTTCATCATTACCAATCCGTTTTCCGCCGCTTCCCAGAACCAAGCAACCAGCCGACAAGTTACACAGAACGCCCATGTCTTACAATTCTAACTACATCTTCTACCCTTGAACGAACATACCATCTTCGTGGACACCTCGAATGGCGCCCTCCTTTCAAGAGCCTCTGAGTGAGGCTCTGGAGGCTCCTTTAAAATCAAAACCAGATCTAGTTGCGCCAGAACCGGGTTTGTAGTCATGCCCTCTTTGCTGCGCTTGCAGTGGCTGACTCTTTGCAACAGAACACTGTCCCGGTCCCGAATCGGAACAAGCGGGCAAAGGCGATGCCTGTGATGGCTGCCCCAATCAAGCAATATGCGCCTCTGCGCCGAAAGGGCCCGACCCAGATATCCCCCTCATAACCGAACGACTGGCGGGCATAAGACACAAGATATTGGTGCTGTCGGGAAAAGGAGGAGTGGGAAAATCAACTTTCTCCTCCCTGCTATCGCACGCCTTCGCAGCCAACCCGGACTCTACAGTGGGAATCATGGACACCGACATCTGCGGACCATCCATACCGAAAATGATGGGCGTCGAGAGTGAAACGATACACGTCAGTAACGCAGGCTGGAGTCCGGTCTGGGTGACCGACAATCTAGGCGTCATGAGTGTTCAGTTTATGCTACCCAACCGAGACGATGCCGTCATTTGGCGAGGCCCGAAGAAGAACGGTTTGATAAAACAATTCTTAAAAGATGTGGAATGGGGCGAATTGGACTACCTGATAGTGGATACACCACCTGGGACGTCTGATGAACACTTGTCTGTGAATTCCTTTTTGAAAGAGTCTGGTGTTGACGGGGCCGTGGTTGTGACCACTCCACAGGAAGTTTCCCTGCTGGACGTGAGGAAAGAGATTGATTTTTGCCATAAGGCAGGCATCCGGGTGTTGGGCTTAGTTGAGAACATGTCCGGCTTCGTCTGCCCTAAGTGCACTCACGAGTCTCAGATATTCCGAGCAACAACGGGTGGAGGACAGAAGCTGTGCCAGGATATGGGCATTCCCTTCCTTGGATCAGTGCCTCTTGATCCTCGGATAGGCATGGCATGTGATTTTGGAGAGAGCTTCATGGACAGTTTTCCCGACAGTCCAGCTTGCAAAGCACTGCGACAAGTTGTTCGGTCGGTGGGCAAGCTCATTGGAGAGGATCCTGACGAAGTACTCCCCGATGGACCGATATGATGAGGCTTGAACATGCTTTTGCTTTCTTGCATACCTATCATCTACGGATGAGGGGCATGTTGCACGCGCTCAAGGTCACTCCCGACCTGTGACAGATCTGCCAACCCAGGATCCACCAACGAGACGAAGAAAGGGTTACGCGGCGTGCGTGCTTCGCCTGCATTTGACCGCCTAAAGAACCTACTCTCATGTATGACGAGCTGGTGGCCGCCCTCCACCAGGCATTGAGACGCGTTGCATAGTAGCCAGTTGAGGATAAGGCTCGCGGAATGACATGCGAGGCTGGGACGTTCTTTGCACGGTCGCAACGGAGCCGCATGGCAGATCGTATGAACTGACGATGACGGTGCCGTGATAGCCGATGGGTCCGGCTTGAGGTTATTGTTCCTACGGGCAGCCTAGATGAATGTTGGATACCATGGGTAACATTGAGGGTGCTTTAGGACTGGTAGTCAAAGGAGAAAAGCCAATTGAGGTGATATTGCTGACGATCTAACAAGTACTACATACCTGGTAGTCTAGGTGTTTTGGCTAAAGTTCGGTCACGGGGGATGGAATAGAAGGTGGAGCGAACAAGGGCGAAACGTGCTTGACGTCTCCTGCATCTTGAAACCACCGTATTTCCATCTCCTGAGTTTCACTTTTCCTTCTTTCACCCCTTTTCATCATTCTTTCCGCTCTCCTCACCAAATCAATTAGGAAAAGATGAATACATAGTAGGCTTCCCGCATGATGGCCCTTCACTTCTTGCCCAGACCCTTGGAAAGCCTCCACATCCGAACAGCCTCGTCGTTACAAATGCAGTCCATGCTGATCCTTCTCGAGCCATGGTTGGCTCCCTCATACTCGACATGTCACGCCCCTTGGGAGTTGTGGAGAGATCCCATTCCGAAACCCAAGGTCCATCTTCGCGCCTCCAGACCTTGATCGAACGCCACTGATGACTTGTCGACTGCTTTCGCTTTTGTTCCTGAGACGTGCAGATGAGGTACCACCTCCTGCTGGCGTGGCCTTGTGCCCCGCTTGACACTTCGAGACAAGGCCGTACAGGTGCCACCTCTACAACAAAACCTGCCTTGCTGCTGTGTATACTGCTCTTGTTATAATATTTGCTTTTCAGCCCTGTTCTTCACCTTTTGTATCCTTGTTGGCCTACGAGCCGTATTCTCTTTCTTTTTGCATAGTCAATCTCTTCTTTGCACTTCGGAGGCAGGTCCTTCTTTTATCAGTCTTTCCGTCTCTGTCAGCTTTGCAGTGCGAAGTCTTTGGTTTATAAATCACTCTCTTATCACACTCACCACCATCCGATCCTTACAGTCAAGATGCTCCGTCTTCAGTTATTGTTCTTGTCGGTCCTTTTTCTCGCCACAGCTTTGGCTGGACCCATCAGGCAAAAGCAGAAACGCTCCTTCAAGATCCCGAGATTACGACAGGCGAACTACGTGCCCAATGGCAAAGTCGCTTACCGAAAAGCCTTGTTCAAGTTTGGCTTCGACGACATCACATTCCAGCCCAACACTGCGGTAGCTTCCAAACTCCAAGCTTCAACCAATACTTCAATCGCTGCTACCGGGGACGACGAGGACGGCGTGACCGTCGCAAACCCTTCTCAAGGCGACTCGGAGTTTCTGTCTCCCGTGACTGTTGGCGGCCAGACCCTGGTCATGGACTTCGACACAGGTTCATCAGACATGTAGGACGAACCCCGTTCTTGACACTTACACTGCATCAAGCTAACAATTCGCCTAGGTGGGTCTTCAATACCAACCTCGCCGCAGCAGATCAGAAAGGGCACACCATCTACGACCCCACCAAGTCGAACGCTTCCTCAGCACTTACTGGCAGCACGTTCAACATCAGCTACGGTGACGGTTCATTTGCCTCAGGCCCGGTCGGCCTTGACACGGTCGACATTGGAGGCGCAACAGTGGATGCTCAGGCTATTGGTCTTCCTACCGATGTCTCCAGCAGCTTCGTCACCAATACTTTTTCCAACGGTCTTGTTGGCTTGGCCTTTAGCAAGCTCAATACCATCAAGCCGACTCCGCAAAAGACCTTCTTTGACAACGTCATGGCAGACTTGACGCAGCCATTGTTCACGGCAGACCTCAAGTCCGACTCTGCTGGCTCCTACGAGTTTGGGCAGGTGGACACCAGCCTGTTCACTGGCTCATTACAGACTGCGGCTGTTGACTCGAGCAATGGCTTTTGGCAAGTCGACTCAACTTCGGCCGTTGTGTCAGGCCAAACCGTCAATCTTGCCGGTGGTTCAGCTATCATTGACACTGGCACGTCTCTCATGCTAGTGTCGGACGAGTTGGTGGTGGCATATTGGGACACCGTGCAAGGTGCACAGGTGAATGCTGAAGCTGGAGGGGTGATCTTTCCTTGCAACGCCGACTTGCCAGACGTTCAAGTTGCGATTGGAGACCACCTCGCCACAGTCAGTGGTGCCAACATGAATTTTGCCAGCGTGGGTTCAGACTCGCAGACTGGCCAACAATTCTGTTTTGGCGGCCTCCAATCCAACCAGGGTCTGGAGTTCTCCATTTATGGCGATGTGTTCCTCCGATCACAATTTGTCGTCTTTGACGGCTCGGGACCTTCAATCAGTGTTGCGCCACATTCATGATACGAAACGAGATATAGCATAGCATAGGATGGAGAGTCATGTCAGAACGAATAAACGTGCATAGCGATGGAGTCTGCCTTGGTCCATAAAATTGTACATCAATAATACCGATGACATACCAGGTCTCTCTCTCATGCATTCTTCCCCCAGTGCAACCTGTGCATGAGAATGAAACTCTCCCACCTCGTTCCTCGTTCTTCAGGGTATAATTGCCCGACTGGCGGCGTGACATGCGCCCAGGCTCTGAACAATTTCCTCCAGTAACATGTCTCGACGGCGGGTCTCAGGTACCAGTCTCTGAACGTCCGGACGGTATTGTTCGCTACACGTTCGGCATGTTCGGGATTGGCCTCCAGATACTCTATGGTCTCGGCCAGATCGGACCAGTCATCCTTCACAATGACGATGTTTTGGTCTGGGCCGGCGGACCGAATGAGTGGTGAGGTGGTCTGGTGCCACTTCAGCTCAGGTGTGATGATAATACTGCGACACATCTGAAAGTACCGGAGCCGTCCCGAGTACGTGACGCCCTCGGTGTAGATCAGGTATTTGTATCGGCAAAAGTCCTCCATGGCCAGAGCATTGCTACTCCAGTTGAGGCGCTGCACGTCGCTCCAGGGTCGGTCCCAAGCAACGTCCAGCAGTTTGCCACGTAGACCCTTGTTCCATTTGACAGTGCCTCTCCATACAGCTTTGCTTTCCTTCTCCTCCCAGGTCATGCTGCCCTCGGTCTTGATGATGCGGTCGTGAACTTCATCTAGCGAACCAATGTGCGGTTCGGGCCAGCTCCAAAAGCCAAAGTCGGGCATCAGCCACGTGTTGTGGACTTGTTTATCGGCGTCAGACCGCGCCAGTGACCACACATCACCACTGGGATGGTCGTTGACTGAGAATTCGAAATTGATGTTGGGAAGTTCTGAAGGGGACGGCGCGGTGACGATTGCACGATGGATCTGATGCAATATAGCGGATTGTCGGTGCCATACATCGAGGCCGCGGTCGGTCAGGTATAACTGGAAGTTGTCAGCTGATCCACACAGGTTGAGCAATGGATTGCAATAGGAAGTCCTACGGCGCCGTTGTATATGCGGGCGCGGACGTGGCCGTTTGTAATCTTGTCAAGGCTTCGCTTGACTGGACCCCGTGATAGAGCAAGTTCGATCTCGTCGAAGGCGTGAGGGAACAGTGCGGTGCATTGGGCATCGCTGAGGGTCAGGCTGTTCGCAGGGTGATCTCCCGAAACGGTAGAAACCCCCTGAACATCGCTAAGCTTCAGGGTGTTCGGCGGGTGATCATCCAAAGCGGTAGATAATTCATGTTCAACTGGAAAGCGGAGAAACTCTCGATTTGTGTAGCAGACAAAGAATACTGCCATCAACAAACAAGTAGTAATAGTCGTGCGATGACGGATCCCGTGACCGAGAGCCCCTAGATTACCTTCGCGGAAACCCATGTTGCTCACGAATGCTGGGTGTGGAGTGGTAGAGTCTCAGTCCGGTACATGTAGAGTTAGAAAGAGGCGGTATAAAAGTTGAAATATGGGAGTTAAGGGGTCAGGGAGAGGCGACACGACGGGATCAGCCTCGTAAAGAACTCGGCTGTAACCCATCATCTTTGACTCCTTGGACGTCAAGCTCACCTATCCCGTCCAAAAGCGCCGTATCAATTGGACTGGCTTCAGTCGTAGGAGATTGGAAAATAGCTGGCAGCTCTTGATAACTCACCGCCCTCTGACCATTATCTAGGTCGATTGATCAGAGCTTGAGATGGCGCTGGGGTTGAAGCTCTGGCACGGCCTAGATCTCGCATATACACAAGACTATACCTCGCAAAGCAATGACACATAGGAGACGAGGCCGGTGCCATTGAGAGTCTCGAATGAAGCTCGTGGCTTGTGCTTCATGAGTCTGTTGGAAGAGATTCACGGCGTGTCAAAAGGCTATTGACTGACTTCTGCTGATCAGGATTGATTGAAGGTAGCCATGCAGGCGGTGTGGCATGTGCTTCACGAGTCTGACATAGAAGACTCAAAGTGCGTCAAGCTGCCACTGATTTAATAGCCGTTGATCACCACTGGTTGCAGCTGGCCGATCAGGCGATTTTGGTGGTCTGAATCTCGTATTTGAGCCAGCCACTAAAGTGTCTCAGACAGCCACGAATTGGTTTCTGCTGTCCGGGACTGGTCGAGGACCTGAAGATAGCTGCTCAGGGGGGCTTGATGGCTAGAATTGCGTGATTGAACTTTGAAGCAGCCACTTGACTTAATGATAAGGCTCGAGGCCAAAAGGAAGACTGCCGTCGAATTAGGAGCACTGTCCAGAGCCGCGATCTTAGGCTTGAGTTTCGGATGTCTGAGAATCGTCGTGGAAATCCAGGCGTCTTGTTGTCCCATTACGTGGACTTGTGACTTCATGAACTTACTGGTTATATCTAGAACATGGATCTGGCGCCGCAGAATAAGACCGTCTCGGCAATGAGATGAAGAAGGAGGCGCAAGAGTGCATTTTTGGTGGCGTGCAAAGGACGAGCAAGGTGTTAACTTAGAGAAAATGTCAGGACCGAACCTCTGTTCGTACGAAGGGGGGCCGGCTCAAAAGGGCCGGCTCAAAAGGGCCGGCTCATGTATAGCGCGAAATATTGCCGGGAGACCTGAGAGATTGTGACAGATCATCAACCTTGTTTTCAACCTTGTTGCAAGTCTTGCGACTGCTTGTGAAACCTTCTTGGACGGTCTGGGTCGTTGCCTGGCTCAGTCATCCAACGCTGTGTGAACTGTCTGTTCTCGAAAGTTTTCCACTCGGACGTAGGGTTGATAACACGGATAATGATAGCTTCATCACGCGTACTAGCCCTGCTAGATACTGTATCTGTGCGCCCGATCAGGTACGCCAAATCTGTGGCTGATCATGGAGGGGAAAGACGAAAGCCCTTTGGTGTCTGTCGTGTGGTTATGAGAAGAGTCCTGCAAGTCAAGAGGCGGTGGCTGGATTTGAGATTTGAAAGCCCGCGAGGCCGTGATACCGTTGGTTATCCTCTAGGCGCTGCCCCCCTATAATTGCCCTAAACCCTCGGGCGAGATCTCACTCCCTTTTTCCCTTTGTGTCATGTTTTCCCCACTTCGTTCGGATGGTACCCTTTGGGATGTTTACTTGATAATGGTTACTTCCCCGCTGTTGATGGCTGCTGACCTTACGCACGAAATTGGGACTCTAAAATCAGGCATGTGGCCGACGAGAAAGCCTGCCTGACTGATGAAGTCTGCGGCAGGATCGACACCTAAATTGCCTTGCATTCATATTCAATCCATTGCAACAACCTCGTGGACTTGTGGCGTCTTCCATGCCGATCGCCATTGGCATCTTGGCTTCAGCTGGTGGCCTGGACGCCCCCACGTCGATGCCCGCCTAAGACAAAGGTTTCCAACGCCTTGCTGGTCGAACACGAGCGCAAGGAATATGCAGGATTTTCGTGGCCTTCTGGAGGGAGCAGGAGCGCATATCAATGAGCCAGCCTCACCGAGTTAGCCCTGGGACAGACTGATGATTAGATTCAGCTCCATCAAGCGAATACGGTATTTGCTTCACTATCGTGCGCCGCACCAGTTCCTCGAAGGAAGATCAGCAGCTGGGTGTTGGCTGACTTACCAAGCCCTGCGCCACGACGTGAGACCCAATGACCTAGACCTCATTAGATGGTGCTTACCAAAATTCAATCCCGGTCAGATGCTATATCGGGCTTACTGCTGAATTTCACTTCCAGATTCACTCCTTCCAAGCCATGGGATCACTTCCAGCCTGAATGACAATTTGGACAAAAATGACCACATTCCTTCCTTGGGATGTACCTTCCCAGTCTCAGATCGGCTCACCAGCGTCAGTTTGAACCTTTTTGACGTCGTAGGTAGGTTCGGCTTATCCTCCTTACGATCTTGCTGTTTGTTTTCCTTGTCCTTATGTACCTAAAACTCTATGCGACAATCAACTAGCTACTCCCAAACAAAGCGGTAAAGGTCGAATACTCCTCATCGTCGCAACTTGCGCGATTGACACTCGTGTCCAGGAGAATTATCCCGCCATGGCCTCCGTTCAAACAGCCATATCAATCTTTGAACTCAGCCGAGAACCTCAATCTCACTCCAGTGCCACACACGGCCGGTTCTCAGAGATCAAGTCTACCCTGCGCAAACATGTTCAGCCCAGACTTCCATGGAAGCACTGCATACACGCCAGATCCTATGAGTGAAACACCAAATCCTCTACTGAGATCGCCCAGCAAATCATCCTCCCTACGCAAGAAATCATGGTTGAGTCCAGGATGGAAAGGCAGTTCCAAGATCGCCTTGACGTGCGCAGTTGTGGTGTTGATCGCGAATATCTGTCTGACCATCGGCATTGTGGCGGCTGGTGATAAAATGTCCAAAGGCATCTACATGGTCTACGAGGGGAGCTGCACTAAGACTGAAGAGAAAGATACTTACGTGCATTTGGCACTCAACGCCGTCGCCACGACACTATTGGCGAGTTCCAATTATTGCATGCAGTTGCTCACGTCTCCGAGTAGGCGCGAGGTCGATAAAGCTCACGCGAAGCGGAGGTGGTTGGACATTGGCATTCCCAGCATTCGAAATTTGGGCTCTCTGAGCAAGAAGAAGGTTGTTTTATGGTGGCTTTTGGGCATTTCCTCGATCCCGCTCCATCTGATGTTTGTCACCAAAGAAGCTCCTTGTTGGTACGGCTGCGCTGACGATTCCAGATACAATTCGGTTTTCTACTCGGCGCTCGCAACGAACAATTATAACGTTTTGTACACCTCACCAGACTTCGTCAATGGAGCCTCTTACAATACGAGTGCATTTCCTGACAACAAATATCTGAACGTCACAGACATCCAATCGAGGGCCAAGCAATTCGATGTCCTTGATAACGAGGAATGTATCCGGGCTTACGCAAAGGATTTTGTCGAAGCCCGCCGTAATGTGATCGTGGTGGTCAAAGATCCTCCATCCAATCAAGGCTCGCTCTTCAAGCTCGAAGACAACGAATTTCCTGATGACATTACTCCGAAATACAATGCCTTTGCCTGGATATGCGACAACCCCGATGTTGTCCGACAAACAGATGCTTGCTGTGAAAACGAATACGGGTTCGTGCCTTGCTCGAAAATCACCCCCAAGCTTGTCAAAATGGCAGACCAATGGTCGACAGGTGGTTTTGAAGTGGATCACTGTTTGTCTGAGAAGGTGCAATCACAGTGTCATCTTCATTTCTCGCTCGACATGATGGCCGTGGTATTGGCCTTCAACGTTCTCAAGGTTATCGGCATAGCCTATGTCGCTTTTCGGATGGGTGAACCTCCCCTGGTCAACGTGGGAGACGCTGTTCAATCCTTCTTACGCAACCCGGACCGGACCACAGAAGGTATGTGCCTATCGAGCCATGCCAGCATTGTTGCGTCCTCGCAATCAGGATACACGACGGGTGCTATGCGCTACGATCCTAAGCAACACCGGTTTGGGGAAGCGGCGACCTGGAAACAGTGGAGCTTCCTACTTGCAATCTTCACCTTGGTATTGACCGGAACCGCAGTGTGCCTGGCACTGGGTATCAACAATTTTGTCGGCGACAAGACGATTCAAAACGCCTGGGTTGTCGGTTTGGGCACCGTCAGGCCCGGGAATCTAGTCATGGGCTGGAATCTGCCGGGGTACGGCAGCACATCAATTGCAGTGTCCACGCTCATCGCCAACACCCCGCAAGCCATTTTTTCTTTCTTGTACATCTGCTACAACAGCCTCTTCACCGTCATGTTCCTGTCGCGCGAGCTTTCGAATCTTAGCGTGACGGCGGGTCGTGGTCGGAAGAACCTCCGTGTCACCGACCCGCAGGGCGAACAGAAGAGTACATATTTCCTGAGTTTGCCGTACAAATACGGCATACCATTGCTCATCGGCTCAGGTCTGTTGCACTGGCTGGTGTCCCAAAGCATATTTCTGGCCAATATCACAATCATCCCCCGTGATGGGACGGTACCGATGCAAGACGAGATCACCACGGTGGCATACTCGCCCATAGCCATGCTTTTCATTTTGTTTGTCGGGTTTGGGCTGCTGGTCTTCTTGTTTGCTACTGCCATGCGCAAGCTGCCTATTGGCATGCCTCTGATTGGTAGCAATTCGCTGGCCATCAGTGCGGCATGCCATCCGCCGGGGCAGCTCGACGAGAGTGAATGTGAAGAGATGGCTCAGCACCCCTTGAGCTGGGGTGCTGTACCTGGATTTTCCAAGGTTGGCGATTTGGGGATATCAGGCTACGAGCTCGACAGTCCGGATGATGATGGGCACAATGTCGGACACTGCTGCTTTAGTGACCGGCGGATGGAGGCCCCTGTACGAGGGAAGTTCTATGCATGAACAGGATTTCTAATGACATGGCATCGAAGGCTTGGATGTGATGTGGTTTTCAGGACATTGCATTGCTATGGAGTTTGGATTCTTCTAGTCTGCTGGGACGGTGTTAACTGCTCGGACAATACCTTAACGACTAAAAGCGGATTTTATTCTACTTGCTCCGGAAAAGGATTAGAATCACTCACTCAGGTGGCACCATTGGATGCGATAGCATTCGTGCCATATGAAAATGAAGTGGAGGTGGACACATGATGAGTCTTATTAGGCCAGCCTGGCTTCGTATTGACACATGGGTAGTCAGACTCCTGCAAGCTGCCTGACTCACAAATCAGAACAAATCAGCTAGGTGTATGCCTACCTAGGTAGGATCGACAGATGCTATGGTATGTACCCCGAACTCACAAAGCCACCAGGCCATTGCCCTGTAAATTTCTATTTTTGGTTTGCCAGACGATTTCCAAGCTCCCAAGCCCGAACGACAAACCACGAGAACAAAGCACCATACACGCTTTTACAACCCGTTCTGTCTAACCTGCCCCTGTGATTTCTCCTTCTCCACCTCCCTTGTAATGATGTCGCGAATACCAGTCAAGCCCTCATCGCTCGACACCTTGAGCACTCTTCTCTCCTTGTCATTCAGCCCAACGAACTGCTCAGGCAGGACCGAGTCGAAAGTAAACGCCTTTTCATCTTGGAGCGCCAATTCGACCGCGCCAGCGAATTTCGCAGGGTGAGCCGTCGCCAATGACACGGTAGGCACTTTCGTGGACGCCGTGGCTTCGATCTCGCGTAGACTCGCAGCAACACCGATCGCCGAGTGCGGGTCGAGCACGTAGCCCTTATTGGCGATGGCGGTGCCCTTGTAACAGTCGCGGATGGCGCCCAAGGTCTCCTTATTGCTCACCCTGTACGTAGCGAAGATATTCCGGGCGTTCTTGAGGATAGCCTTATCAACAGTGAATGAACCCGTCTTTTTGAGTTCTTGGAACCAGCCTGCTATCTTGCCGCCAGCTGTACGCACGGCCGCCTCGTACTTTTGGTCGGGGTTCGTCGAGAGTTCGTGTTCCAGACTCAAATGCCAGAGCAGGCGCTCGAAGTTGGACGACACGAGAATGTCCATGGCCGGACTGTACGTTTCTTTCACCCCGTCTTCGTGAGCCTGCGCGCCGTCCTCCTTGATCCCCTCGTGCGGTTCATCCGCAGGTTTTGTCGCTGCGGACTTGGAGTAGCTGCCCGTCTGCCAGAAGCGGTGGAGAATGTCGTTCTCGTTGGTAGCAATGACGAGTTTCGACACGGGAAGACCCATCCGCGTCGCGTAGTATCCTGCTAGGATGTCGCCGAAGTTGCCTGTGGGGACGACGAATTTGGCTTCTTTCGGCGAGGATCCCGCGTGTTTGAGGAGTTGGAAGTAAGCGTAGAAGTAATATGTTATTTGGGCGAGGATGCGTGCCCAGTTGATGGAGTTTACGGCCGCGAGGTGGTGGATCTTGTTGGTTTCGGGGTCGGCGAATAGAGCTTTCACGTAGTCCTGGCAGTCGTCGAAGGTGCCTTGGACGGCGAGACAGTGGACGTTGGGGTCTAGGACGGTGGTCATTTGCGCTTCTTGGACGGGCGAGACCTTGCCGTCGGGGAACATGATGAAGATGCTGACGTCCTTTTTGCCGCGGAGGCCGTAGATGGCTGCGGACCCGGTGTCGCCTGATGTCGCGCCAATGACGGTGAGATGGTGTCGTGCCTCGCCGGATTTGAGGTTCTGGTTCTTGCGGACTAGGAAAAATTCGAAGAGATTGCCTAGGAATTGTAGCGCGACATCTTTGAATGCGAAGGTTGGACCGTGGAAGAGTTCGAGCAGATATAGACCTTTTTGCTCGTCGAGAGTGACGAGCGGTACTGTGTCTGGGTGACGGAATGTCGAGTAGCTTCTGTCGACTATGGATTTGAGCTCGGTGTTGGAGATTTCGTGCTCGTCAATGTACAGACGCATTACCTGGTATGCCAATTCGGCGAATGAGAGGTCCTTCCAGTCAAGGTATTTGGATCCAACGTCGGGAACATCGTGTGGGTGGAAGAGGCCTCCATCTGAGGCGAGACCTTTCAAGACGACCTCCTCGAAGCTGAAGAACTCTTGTAATGAGGTATCGTGGTATCGAGTGCTCGAGTATTTGGAGTTGGCCACCATGGTGGGGACGTGGTTACTGGTCAGTAGTAGGTGCCTGAGTCAGAGGACAAGTGGTTGTTTTTTGTGCTGTCTCCCTGTTCCTGACCGAGGGATCAAATTCCGAAGCAACAGCCAGGAAAAGCCTTTCGAGGTAGGTGAGCCTGTCAGTCTCCTCCACGCCTTTCAATCAGAGTCCAGCAGTCAGTCGTTCCACAATATCAATCCTGTTAGTTGTAGTTGAATAGTGGTTCTCTGTTCTTGTCCCAAGAAAATCCTCTGGACCCCTGTCCATCACGTGATGCCATCAAAAAGTTCATCAACTAGTCCAAAAAGAGTTTAATTTTTGTTTAATGCTTGGCGCAGATCCGCCGCCTGAGAAAGTAGAAATATCTCTTCCTTCTCGCCTTTCTCTCTTCTTTTCTTTTTTCATGCGACTTTGTGAGTTTTGCCCGTGCCCTCACGGTTTCTATGTTTTGTGTGTTGCTAACAATGATTGCCAGACTTCATAGAATCATTTCTATAGTAAACGTCCTCTTCTGAGCTCTTCACACGAGCCACAGAATCCTCAACCTGGCTGACGAAAAGAAATTCTCGGTACCCTAGAGTGAAACCTTTTTACTCTCGCTGCGTCTGACCATGGTTCTTTGGAGCCGGGACGGACAAGAGAGTGGTGATGATCTTTGACCTGCGTTTAGGGGCCTGGTTTCGTACCGCCCGGCGCAGCTGGTACTCGAGGATGACTCTGACAGGTCTCATATACACTTTTCATGAGCTGGTTTAACCCTTGTTGGTTGCGGTTTGAGAAGAGTTGCGATTGTCAGAACAGGTCTGGCGCTGTGGTCAGCGATGCTGTCGACTAAAAACGAAGTTTTTACGACGAAGATTGCCTAGGCAAATCTGAAAATCATTCTCACCCCAGACGAAATCGTACTCAGGCCTTTTCGAGGTTTGCATCTCAATCCTGGCTAACATCTACGAACTCTGCTGAACCTGCGCATGCTTCATGTACTCACCTTGATCATCTATGCCACATGTACTGCCAACTGTTTCACATATCGCAAGGGAAATCGACTGAAGGAGAGCCATACGGCAACGGGCCAACAGGCTGGGCAGGGCAATTCGGCAAGACTTATGATACGCAGGACGAAGATGTCATAATGTTGATGTTTGTCTCGTAAGAATGGTACTCGAGGATGCCTTTTATGAGTCTACGGCGCCTGTCAACTAGACAGGGCATGCTGCAATCATATTCAAAATTCCAGCTGCGACTTGTCCTCAGCCACCGCCCGAACGACCACCTCCTTCTTCTCCTTCGGCCTTCCCTTCCTATCAACACGCTCATCTCTCGGATCAAATCCGCCATTGCCCCAAAGAGCCCACTCAGGCGTCTCCTTACAATAGTCCTCTGGCGCAAAGTCCACGCCTTGCTCCAGCAGTCCGAAGAATTTCTCGTAGTCGATGATCGTATGCCACTTCTCGTTGATGAAGAAACGCTTACTCGCAAGCAAGACACAACAGCTGTGCGCGTGTTCAGCTGCGATACCGTAGTCCAGGCCCCTCTTCTTGAGAGCCTTGTCCAAAGCCTCGACAAATGCCACAACCTCTTCGTAAAACGGCACGTTCTGCATGGTCAGGCCTGCACCCGCGGATGTACTGGTCCCACAGAATGTCACGCCCTTGACCTCGACGAAGCACGGTAATCCCTTCTCAACGAGGTCGGCGTACCCTTCGACTTCGTCGTCCACATTGAACCCCTTGACCAAGGTAAGTCTGTAGACCGTGCGCTGCACGAACCGCTTCTCCCGCAGGATGTCGAGACACGCCTGGAAGCGCTCCCAGAAATCTCGATGCAAAGGTCTGTCAATCTTGCGCAGGCTGTCCTTGTTGCTCGCGTCGATACTCACGTACAACTGCGTGACTCTTCTCAAGTCCTGCAATTGCTGTGGATGCTGTGCATTACAAACCAAGAAGCTAGAAATCTGCTCGCTGTGTAGCATACCCAAAAACTCGTTGATTCGCGGGTAGAAGATCGGTTCGCCGACCAGACTCAATGCGCAGTGACGGATGCGCATGGCTTCTTCGAACCGCTCGCTGCGCACACCGGGTACGCCGCGCATCATCTTGATCTTCTTGTAGTGGCCTTCCTTGGCCCCATCGAAAATCATTTGCGGATCGTCAACTTGCCACCGCCATGTCGTTGAGACGGGATTGGTCCCGTGTCGCCAGCAAAAAACACATTTATTGCTGCACGACAACGAAGGCGTGGTTTCCATGCACAGGTGCGATGCGATGCCGTAGAAGGAGTTCTTGTAACATGAGCCGCGGCCGCGGAGGGCAGACTTGGTCCAGCGGCAGATTTTGACGCCCGAGTGGCTGCCGACGATGGTATAGCCTTGTTTCGTCAACGCCGCGTGCGTAGGAGATTCCTTGGGCACCATCGCCTTCAAGGCGACGGATGCTGAAGGTGTCGTCGTAGAGTAGGTAGTGAAGTCAATGGCCATTGGAGCACCTTTACCTCCGACATCTTCGAGATCTGTCGCGCTCGCCAGCTTTCTCCTCTTGTTTCGGCCAGAGTCGGGAAAGTCCACTTCGGCATCGTCTGCTTGCTCTAGATCTTCCCCGTCACTCTCGTCTGCGTCACCACTACCAGGGACACCCTCGCCCAATGTGCCAGTTGTGCCAAGCTCTTCGAGGACGCCACATACTCCGGTTGTCCAGTCTTGTAGCGTCTGGTCAACGTTGCTTTTCACATCCCCGAGACCCAGCGGGTATGCTCTCTTCCTGCCAGTCAATTTGGCCATCCACATGTCCACCTCGACCGCTTGAGAGCAGAATCCTTTTTCCTCGGTAGGCCATCCATCTTTGTCTCCGACGCCAAAAACAGTGTAGCCGGCCAGCGAGGACATGGAGGCAGTATCAATTCGGAAGTCGTTGTGAGTCTCATCGAGGTGGGCAAGGAAGGTGTTCAGGATCGTGTCGATGTCGTAGGAGGGTACGAGTAGCAGGTAGACGTAACGGACGTCAGGACGCGGGACGGGTGTCTTGGGACCTGAGATGAAGTAGTCGTCGAGGTCAATGTAGGAGAGGTCATGTATTTCTGGCTTGAGGACGGCAGGCTGCGTTACCGCGAGACTCTCGATTTTGGCCAGTACACCCTTCGAGAGACGCTCCGTGGTTCCTGTCAGCGAGGTAAAGAAGATCAATGGCTGTATGCATGATGACTCTGCTTGCTGATGTCCTCCGGACCGTGACTTTGTAACAATGGGTTTACGGCCAGTCACCACTTTAGGTGCAGAACTTCTCGGTTTTCGAGTCTCGCCAACTGCAGGTTGAGGAACTCCCTCACCGGGTGTCTCTGTGCCGGTGCCTGTTTCATCGGCCTCTTTGTCGTCTCGCTCAAGCCAAGCAGCCTTCTCTAACCCTGGAGAGGAGTTGTGGGTGTGTAATGTGTGACTCCGCCTGCGCCGCCATACGAGAATGAGGAAACATAGCACGAGAAAGGTCGAAAAGCCAATCCTATAATCGTGCCATGAGTTCAACAACCGGTCCAGCCAGTCCGCCAGAACGACCGGTGCTGTCCCTCCTTCTCCCAAGTCCATTGTGCTGATGGCGCATGTCTCGTGCTTAGCAATTCGAAAGCCTTACTGTGCCTTTCAAAACTTTGTAAATTTGTCAAGTTAGCCGAGCGGGTTGCAACTCCAACTTTTTGAAATGGCGGTAAGCATAATTATGCAATTACTCACCAACAACGTATACAATTAAACATCTTTTTACTGCTATCTTAATCGTCGTCGTCGGCGCTCTATATTGATATAAATATCGTTTTATATATCGCAGTTTTCGTGATACCGGAATATCGCAAGTTTTTACCTATCGTTAAAGAGGCGGTCGAGCTTGCCCTTGAAACTATAGCTCGATAGAAGACTATTAGTCTAGCTCACGGCGTCTCTAAGGCCTACGTTACTAAGGTAAAGCGTTAAAAACGTAATAAGAAGCTTAGTCTCGATCAATTCTATCCTAAGAATAGACGCCCTCCTATTATTCACGATATCGCCGCCGTAGGCCTACTAGAATTCATTAAGGACTAGCCGACGGTACGCCTCGATAAGTGCTATAACTTCCTCCTTGAGGAGTACGATATTCGAGTATCTCCGCCTATAGTCTATCGCTTACTTAAAGAGTATAAGATTACTTATAAACGTATTACTCGCGTCAATACGAAGCGCGACGAGAAGTTAGTTATAGAATTTATAGCCGATATAGCCGATTACACTACGGAGCAAATTGTCGCCGTCGACGAGAGCGCCGCTAACGAGAGAATACGGGACCGTAAGTTTAGTTAGTCTCCGCGAGGAGTGCCCTATCGAGTACGTCTCCCGAGAAGGCGTACGGAGCGGTAGAGTATTCTACCCGCACTTATAGTTAACGAGTAGCTCGATTACGAGGTATTTTAAGGCTTCTTTAACGCCGAGCGATTCGAGGTATTTATAAAGAGAGTACTTATTAATATAAATCCCTTTTCGAGGAGGCACTCTATAAGGAATACCCTAGTGTGATAGGCAGATAGAGTAATAGTCGATCTAATAGGTATTGTATTCAGTAGTTAACTAGGAGTCCCTCAACCATTAGGTATTATAGGACTCGAAGTATAAGAGAAGCTAAGTCCTCTCATACGAGAAGAGTATGCCTTATAGGCGCTGCCTAGCCTCTAGGCCCTATACCTTCGGGCGGCTCGGCTTAGTATACCATTCCTGACAATTATCCCCCCCTCCGGGGCTTCTCGTCCTCGAGAAGTATTCCGCCATCTCATTAGGTGAGAGCCATACCCTAGGGCTCAGTAGTGTTCCATCACCTAGTAGTATTCTTGCATAGTAGTTCTCAGCCTTGGGTTGTGACCAGCAGCCTCGTATACAGTAACCCGCAGCCTTATGTATAGTGACTCGTAGCCTTGTGTGTAGTGACCCGTAGCCTCGCCCTAATGAATAAGTTTTTGTAGATTATACCGCACCCAACAAATATACGAGAACTCGGCGAGTCTATATAGTTCAGAGTGCTACTTGTATCTTTTGACTCTCCCTCTCTTCTTTCCTTTTCTCTATATAATAGCAACACTAATAATATCTCGGTATATACTTACGTATTGCTCGTATAGAACTCTCCGCTAACTAATATACTTATAGCTCTTGTGTTCTCTTAGTCGCCGCTTATCTATAAGTCTTAGTCGCCTCGCGTGAGATTTATTTCACGTTACTAACTTTATATTTTGTGTAGAATCTCAAAACACTTAACTATAAGTCGCACTTATATCACGTAGTTTTCGCCTATGCTGACTGATTTTTTTGTAGCAGCTCCCTCTTCTCAACTAGTAGGTGCTCACTAGTTTATGATTAGGTTGCCTACTAATCGCAGTAGTGTCGACCATTATCGCTGCGCCTATAGTCCCTAGCCTTGGCAGTATTGCCGGTGGTACCGGTGGTGGTCGTCCTCCCGATGGTGGTGGTGAGAAGCGAGGTAGGTTCATATACGTATCGTATGCGACTCTTCAACTAACCTACGGCAGGGCTACCGAATGATGCTCCCACTTCCTCGCGCAAGGCTCGCAAGCGAGTGAAGCGCGGTTTACCATGCTAGCGATGCCTCCGCCGTCTCTACGCTTAGCCAGCCAATGCTCCTACTAGTAATGGTCAGGGCTAGGCGGGCTAGCGAGTCAACTACGAGTACCTCGAGGGCCACAATCGCTATCGTTATTGCTAGGGTGGCAATCGGACCATCGCCTAGTATACTTCTGTGAGTTGTATATATATTGCATAGCAATCGCATACTAACCGTTTTAGGTCCCTAAGCATTTGGAGGGTCGTGCCCGCGACTTGCTCGCGACCAACCGTCGTCTCGTCTAGGGAGAGGCTAGGGTCACCATGGCCGCTATCGAGGCGTAGGCGAGGGTCCTCGACCTCGAAATGACTGCCTATACCCGCGAGGTGAACCGTGCCGCCCGTGCTGCCCGTGCTGCTCCTGCCCCTGTCGCTGCCGGCTCGCCCTCGACTCCTATCTCGACTCGCCTGTTACCAGCTCCGCCCAATGCGCCATTGATGCGGTCGCTTGCGGCCAGCGTGCGAGATACTGCTACTCCTCCTATCTCCCCCCCTACCGTCACCAATGTAGATGTTATCTAGGCTTTGACCTACTTAACTATAAGTGTCAATTACGAGTTGCCTACGAGTCACTAACGAATTCTAGAATGCCGTCACTACGGCTACTACTTCTCTAGCTTCGTTGGAGTCGCGTGTGGGTCGTATAGAGGCCGCAACTTTCTCTAGCTTCGGTAATGATAAGCCTACGATATCGTCTGAATCGTCTGACTCGGAGTAGAGTCGTACGCAACTCGTGGTTGGTAGAATAGGTGGTTACGGTGGTTACTTATCGCTTGCGACTTAAAGCAAAGTCTTGGTGAATTGTGTTTTTCGGTAGGGCCTAGGAGTAGAGGGTATACCGCTCGTAGTGGACTCCCCTATAACCCCTTGTAGGGTGTAGAGGGTTAGGGCGTTAGTCGAGATTTTTTAGATAGTTTTGCTTTTCGTAGGGAGCTCGCTATAGCCTCGCCTACGCCCCGCGGGGGTATAGTGTAGGAGCGTAAGTCGAGCGTTGAATGGAACTATTCACTCGCTCTTCGCCTCCAACTCGCAATCTTTTCCCGTACGTTCGCAAGGTGTTCTTCTAGTTCCTAGGAGTCGTTAGCTTCTCTAAAACCTTTCCACTTAATATAGAACTATTGCTCCCCTTTACGAGTGCGTTCGCCTAGGATCTAGTCGACCTCCTACTTATCTTCCCCTTTAATATCTAAAGCTAGTGGTGGGTCGCTACCGAGTCGTATACGATACCTACGTAATAGTAATATATAAAAAGTATAGTGAAGTCTTCTATAGTTCTTAGGTAAGTCGAGTCGATAGGCGTTAGCCTTATATCGTTCTAGTATAGTGAAAGGTCCTAGATACTAATCAGCTATCTTCTTGCTTACGCGTAAGGTACGAATATTGCGAGCGGAGAGTAGAACTCGTTCTCCGACACTAAAATGTTTAGGGGTTCTTTTGAGATTGTAGTGCTTAGCTATAGTTTCACGCGCTTCCTATGCGATTCGTATAGACTTGGCCAGTACTTCCGCCCTCCCCTCTGCGAGTGCGTTTTCCGCATGTATCGTCTGCGAGTCGCGCTCGACATTAATGTTCATAGAGGGGTTGAAGGTTAGGACGTCTGAAAATGGTGTCTTCCCAGTAGTAGCATTGGCTTGCGAATTCATCGTATATTCTGCGCTTATGAGTAGCATCGCCCAATCTGCTTGCTGGTAGTTCACATAGCACCTTAGGTAAGCTTCAAGGGTTTGATTCATTCGCTCCGTTTGTCCATCGGTTTGTGGGTGGAAGGTAGTGGAGAATAGCCGTCGAGTCGTAAGGTGAGAGCATAGGGTTCCCCAGTAAGCTAAGGTAAAGACTGAACCTCTATCACTTACGATCGATCTTGGCGCTCCATATTTTGCCACTATTTTTTCCAGAATGATCTCCCCTAAATCGCTTGCGGTTATCGTGCTAGTGCATGGCGTCAAGTTCACTATTTTCGAGTATCTGTTAACAATTACTAGTATTGCGTCGCATGCGACTCGTCCGTGCATCGACGCTGGTAGGCCTACAATGAAATCCATAGAGATATCCTACCACGGCCCCTTGGGGGTCGGCAGGTTCTCTAGGTATCCATGTGGCTTTTGCCTTGGTACTTTCATTCGTTG